GCACAGCAGAGGCCGAAGACGACCAGCCGTAGGCCGAAGATGCAGAATATCCAGCAGGGGCAGTCGAGGACGAAGCGCCCCAGCCGTGAGAGTAGCCTCCGGGAGCGGAAGAGGAAGACGATCCGTAAACCGGAGGCTTGCTTGAGCTGTACGCGCCTGCGGAGGAAGAAGATCCGTAGACTGGCGGCTGCGAGCTGTACCCGACGGCAGAGGAAGACGAAGATCCGTAAACCGGCGGCTTCGACTCGCTGTGAGGAGCGGCGGAAGAAGAAGATTCGCCATAGGCTGGAGGCTGCGAGCTGTATGCTGGCGGAGCGGTGGTCGTTTCGTAACCGGCTGGCTCAGAGTACGCGGCTGGCTGCTCAGAGTAGGCTGGCATGGCGGCGGCAGCGCCAACAGCGGCGAGGACGGCAATCTTGGAGAACATCTTGGCTGATATTATGTTGATGGTCGGAAGGGCGTGATAGTATTATCTCTTTGTAGCGAGTGTTTGAATGAGACCGTAGCGAGTGGATCTCAGACGTGCAGATACAAATGAAAAGACTAGGAGGTGCTTTTGAATTTATTTGTTGGAATGGTGAGAGAGAAAGGTACTGACAGAGCGAGAGGGAGTGTCTTATACCTCAGCGAGACGGTCTTTGCGCCTCCACCGTGTTCGGCCGCCCATCGCGTAAGGTTGTCTGGCAGCGTTTCTAATCATGGCGCGAAGCCAGTCGAAATGCACCGGCGTAGGCGTGCGTGGTGAGAGCGAGCGCCTGGCCACCATAGAAAGCGATACGAGCTGATGATGGTCCCGGGGGCCCCTTGGCGGTAGTGGCATGAGAGTTGCCGTGACCGGATGAGAGCGGTCGCTCGCATCTGCCCTCCCGGCTCGTACCTGCATGCGGACGTGGCCAGTCAGAGGGGAGGATGGAACAGCGCTTCCAGAGGCTGTGCTGGCGGCGAAATCGTATTCCGTGAGGTGTCGTCGCGCTCCACGTGTTCGGCCTTCGGAAGACACCAGAAGCGTTGAGAGCGCGGGCCTATCCGTCCTATTTTCATCCGACGAGTGTCGCTATTGGCTACGACGTTCAGGTACACATCAAGCCACACGAAGTACTTTCTGCGTTGTTTCTTTAGCTGCACCGCTAGTGTTTCTATTACATCCGTCGGGAGGGAGCAATACGTACGATGTGTTACCGTCGACAAGCATGGTGCAGCAACCGTTGCTGTGCAAGCAGCCCAGCTTCGTCTTCTTCCTCGGCGTTGCTTGACATCAGACCATCAGCGTCTACTGCGCCGCATCTCACTCTTCTGTCGCGGCCACACCTCACTCCACTGCCATCAGCAGATCGCGATGGTCATGCTGTCTTCTGAGACATACACAAACAACTCACTCGTACTCAAGTGCGGGCCTCGGCGACCGACAGCTGACGCGCGGCTAAGGTCTGTCTGCGAAGCGGTACCTTACCTGTCCAGAAGGCGAGCAAGGACCAGGAAAGCTAACACCCCAGGGTGCTCCAACCTTCCAGGGTGTGTCTCCATGGAGGCCTGAAAGTGGAGGCCTGGAGGGGTTCCAGCTCAGGCCGCTTAACATGTGGAAAGGATAGAGCTTTACGACCTCGCCGGATGACGAGTCCATTGTACGGGTGCAGCTGCACTGTACCCCTGACCGGGAGTCCGCCCACATAGAGGCTGGCGGGAAGTCTACGTTGTCCGCTCAGATGCACCTCAAGACGGGGAAGCCTTGGTCGTGAACTGCACCTTCTGCGTCTATCTTGAAAATCTAGGCCACGATGCACGGCCAATGAGCCGCCGAGCTCAAATGCTTGTAGGCGCCAGATCGACTTTCCAGTATAACGACAATGCTATATCGCAGACTGATCGTCGTCAATAGCGATTGATCAAACAACGGTGTTGACAACGCACACTTGTTGAAAGCCATCTGCTTCAGACTCGATCAGGCGCCTACGAACAGCAAACAGCTCGCAACCGAGACAGCTTCTCTCCCCTACTCGTAGCCTCACTCGAGGTGGGGCGACTCCCAGCGACTGCCTACTCTGGATCCTCCAGATCGCTCTCAGAGATTCCGAATGCCTGCATGACTTTCTTCTGGCCATCTTCGTAGTCTAGCTTTTCGGCTTCCCCCTGGATCCGATGACGGGTTCTCATGAGATTGGTGGCTACATGGGCCCATTCCAGCGAACTCCGACCAGTGACTTCCTTCGCACTTCCGTCCAACTCAACGGTCATCAGCTTCCCGTCTCGCTTCCGAATGACCCCATCAACGATCACAGTATCAATGTCAGCGGGTGAGCTGTGGAGAACAATTGCAGCGACAGGATCGTGGACTCCTGCGCAGACCATCGCCGGACTGTTGGCGTCGAAGGTGACGAGATCAGCGAGCTTGCCTTCGGCAATGCTGCCAATTTGGTATTCCATTTTCATGGCGTGGGCGCCTCGAATCGTTGCGAGGTTGAAGGCTTCTTCGACGCTGAAGCCTACGGTAAGTGGGACTTTCCCCCTTGTCTCTGCGACCTGAATAAGTCGTCAGCATCATCAAATCCTTTCCTTGGAATATTTGCTCGACGGAGGATCCTCACCTGAGCGCGAGCACCACGAGCACTTTGCAGACCGATCCTCGCCTCGCCAGGAAGATATGCCGCATTAGTGGTATGGCAGTCCACCCCCAATGACCCCAGGTCTTTGACACCAAGGTCATCTCGGAACGCTATTACAGGGAAAGCCAGGGCCACCTGCATTTCCGTCGACGGCGTACTGGAGTAATGCACATCGTACTTGCGATACAAGTCCGCATCAACCTTGGTCATGTTCGAATGCGCCATCAGGAACTTGCTGCTCAACACTCCAAGCCTCTCAAGTGCCTGCGGCCAGCTTGGTTTGCCAGGTTTCCAGGAGATGTGCGTCTGGATGAGGTCGATCTTGTACTCGTCGACCTTCGCCATGAGCATGTCAACATACTCCTTTGGGGCGAACACGAAACCGTCCCAGGCCAGTCCGAGCTTGACTCGACCGTCTGCCCAAGGTGACTGCTTTGCCAGCTCGTCGAAGGTGGGCACAGCGTGGCCTCCGAAGCCGTTCGGATCGATGGTCATTGGGTTCGTCGAGCTGAGTCTTGGGTTGAAGCAATAACCAAAGACCGAACGCATGCCTGACGCTGCCGTGGCCGAGACGGCGTTGTAATTGTGTTCTGGGCTGATGTTGACGTGCGCGTAGTCGGCGACGGTCGTTGTGCCGCCATTGATCATCTCAAGGCAGCCACCCACTGTTGGAGAGGGTCAGCGTTATTCGAGCAATGTGGAATCAAGCTGGTTGCTTACGCTGTCCCCAGAAAACATCCTCGGCCGTGAACAGCTTGGCTGTGAGGTTTCCAGACGGCCTACCGCTCGAGTCAGCATTGCCAACTCAGCACAGCACGGTCATTCAGGATACGGACATATACTCAACAAACGTCTGGTCAGCATGTCGACCCTTCAACTGCGTCTGCCAAACATGGTGATGTGTGTCCACGAAACCCGGACTGATGATTTTATCGGTGCAGTCGATGACAGTCGCCGACGCAGGTGCGGTGATGTCCTCACCAATCTTCGAGATCCTGTTGCCGTCAATGAGGATGTCTGTCTTGATGATTCGGACGCGTTCGTTCACATCATGGAGGATTGCTGTCCCGTTTTGGAGCAGGTAGGACATTTTGGTGTATTGGACCTTCAGTATGGTTTCCTTCCTGGCAACCCTGTCGGATGCTCTCTAAGATATATATATATATATATATATATTATCGTTTCAGCGCTGCAGTTCTTCCCAGGTCAGGCAGCCCACAGGGTGTATTCGAAGTGCCCACCTGGTCGGCATTCGGCGTCGGCGATACGACATCACTCCAGCTTCGCGCTGAACTATTCTGTAAGTCCGTCAACAATGCGAGCTCTCTTCATATCGACTTCGTAAGCACAAGTAGAGATCGATCTGTAGAAGAAGGCTCAAGATTAGTATTGCGCTGTCAACTGCCCATCTCGCCCCAAAACAGCGTGGAGACAATTCCGTCCCCGTGACTGATCAACATGCTGGCCGACATGATCATTGTTGCTTCATGTACTTCCAACTGCAAAGGCTGCCCTGCTAGTTTGTCGCATCCGCGGTTCGGTGTGGAGTTGGACCGATGGCATTGGAACAACCGGCACGCCGGCTCATAGGTGCATCGACAGCCGCTCAAGGGGCGCTACACAGGACAAATACTCGCGCTTCACATACCCAAAAGCCAGCCCTCGCCCAATGTCGCGTCCCCCTACTTGCTGGCCCCGACCACATTCCTCAGCGTCCCGAACGGCAGCACATCTCCAATCCTCTCCCTGCCCGTGAACAGCATGACCAAACGATCAATACCACACCCCCAGCCTCCAGTAGGCGGCAGACCCCATTCAAGTGCTCTCAAGTAACTCTCATCGATATCCCTCCTGTCGCCCTCCCCGTCGACATCGCGATACTTCAGCTGCTCTTCAAACTTCTTCCGCTGCTCGAACGGCGAGTTCTCTTCTTCGTACATGTTGGCGATCTCGTGGCCGCCGATGAAGAGTTCTGCCCTCAAGGAGACAATTTGACCAGTCTCCGTGCAGGTTTCGTGTTTGGAGAGCGGGCTGAGGCAGGCAGGGTGGTGAGTGATGAATGTTGGTTCTCTGCATAGAGGCTCGAGATAGTGGGATGAAAGCGCATCCAGTAGGCGTGGCAGCGTAGGTTTCGAAGGTGGTTGAACGTCATTGGCCTTGAAGATCTCTAAGAGTTCTTCGAGAGCCGTTTCCGTATCTAGCTGAGGCAGGGATTGACCAAGCTGAGACTCGAGGGTAGGAATGAACTTCATACTGTGAAAGGGAGTGTCGATGACCAGCACTGGCGGCAGACTGAAGAGGCGTTCGTCCTTCTGGAACTCTGCAAGCTTCTCTGATAACGTAGACAGAAGCTTCTCCGTCCTCTGCATGAGATCATCGAGCGTGGCAAACGCTTCGTAGAACTCAAAGATGTAGAACTCGGGGTTGTGCGTAGCATCTACGCCTTCATTCCGGAACGCGGGTCCCATTTCGTAAACCCTCTCCATCCCTCCAACGACGAGGCGTTTCAACCACAACTCGGGCGCTATGCGCAGGTTCAAGGTCTGGTCAGAGAGCTCCGTAGCGGTGGTTTCAAACGGCCGGGCGACGGCGCCACCGGCACCAGCGGTCAAAAGTGGTGTGTGTACGGCAGTGAATCCGATGTAGTCGAAATAGTCCTTCATGCCTTTCTCCACGAGATGTCGCACGCGCAAGGTCTGGACAGCTTTCTGGTTGACCAGCATATCAACGTGCCGCTTGGTAGCCTTGGTCTCCGCATCGTCCAGCATCCTCGGGATCTGGTGTAGCGACGGCGAGAGTAGCGTCGGAAGTGAGCTCGCTTGCAAAGAGAGCTCATCGCTTGCAGTTCGATGTGCATGGCCTTGTACTTTCCAATAGTCACCCTTTCGGATGGTGTTCGAAAATTTCTTGAAGCGCTGCTGGAGTTCATCTTCGTCATAATTGGCAGCATTGTGTTCATGAAAGAGCTTTTTGAATGACACAATCACCTGCACCGTCCGACCGGCCTGGCTTAATTCAAAGAAGAGCAGGCGTACCCCGAAAGTGCGAACGGACCAAACACGACCTGCAGCGCCGTGTTAGTATGTTCTGTTCGCGGCATCCATGATGACTTCGGTGACCTCACATACCCGCGAGGATGTGTAATTCGCTTGTGGCTGTACTGCTCTGCTTTAGATCCTCGTATTCCCGCCGAAACTGATTGATGGGAGTCCTCCTTTTCCTGGTTGAGCTCAAGTTCGGATACCATATCGACTGGTTCTCGGCATAGCTGTTGAGCTGATGTATACGCTTCTCATAGTCATTCGTGACGGAAGGTTGACTGGCTGTCTGTTTCTTTTCTAATCGAGAGCTGCTGGAAAACACGCGAATAGACGTCGGACGCGGCTGGGTTCGCTTGGAATAGGATGTGAAGAGATGGAGACGAAGGCGCCGCGGCGCCATGTGTTGAGACATTGCCTTACCTAGTGATATGTTCCGATCAGCTATTCTCCTGACTATGGAAACATGTAAGACCCGAAAAAGGATTTATTCATTCAGAACGATTTGAAGTATGTCGTGATCACGCTCCGAGGAGTCATTCGCAACGGTTCTTGTATACATGTTGATCATCATATAATGGAGGCGAAAGCTGAGAAAGAATTGTACCTTACCTGCGCGGTCAGCGAAGCAGCATCGTATGTGGTGTGGACGGACAGGATTGAACCGTAGCAGTCCCTCGAGAGAAGTCCAGATGCGCGGCGAACCAGTTCTCCCCCGAATACGACTTCTGTCAATACCCACCATTTTCACATGCAAGTCGCCCAGGAAGGAAGGCACGAAGGAAGCAAGTGAATGTTGGCCTTTCCCAATCACTTTTAACGATGTAGCCACCCACTTCCCTACTTGACCGCCCACCATCCCTCCACCATGGCCAACGACCTCCTCTCCTTCGCCGGCTGGTACTTCCTCCCCTCCCTCGTAACCGGCTACCTCCAATCCCTCCTCTACACCCTCACCACCCGCGCAGGCGACGCCAAACCCTCCCCCCGCTCACCCCGCTACGTCCGCGACCGCCAGCGCATCCACATCGCCGTCATCCTCGCCTACCTCGCCTACACCATCTACGACTCGGCCTACCAACTCCGTCTCGAAGGGAACTTCTACAGCGCCATGGGTGTTCCGTTCGATGTAGACGAGAAAGCGATACAGTCCCGGTTTCGCAGGCTCACGGTTCAGCATCATCCGGACAAGTACGCTGGTCCTGCGTCGGAGCTGCCGGTGGTGGAGGCGATATACGTGCAGCTGCAGCTCGCGAGGGACACGCTGTTGAATCCGGCGAAGAGGTTCGCGTATGATCGGTTTGGACCTACGGTGCTTCAGTGGCGGCATTGCAAGATTACGAAGGACTTTGTTCTGCATGGGGTGCAGCAGACGGCGCTGTACTACGTTGCTTCGGGCGTTGGGCTGGTCCTGATGAGCATGCTGGGGTACCTACAGCAGGGCAAATTCTGGCGATACGTTGCGATGGGCGTGCTTGGAGCAGTGGAGATGAGTGCGGTCATGTCGCCGACATGGCCGGTGTGGTTGGAGTGGGGTGTGAATCCTTTCGTGAGGATGTGGGGAGGGGAGGGATACCTACCGTTCCAGGCGTTGACGCTGTTGAGGAAGTTGGGGATTACTTTCTTCATTGCTCTAGGTCAGCTGGGACCTCTGTTGCAAGGCCCTCAAGTGGTGACTGCGGAAGGAGATGCGGCGACCGCGCAGCAGCTGGATCGGCTGGACGTGTTGGCCAAGGCAGCGGATCAGGAGGTCAGTCGATTGATGGGACTGGAGCTGAGTCCGTTCTTAGGAGACGGAGAAAGGAACAGATTCAAGGAGTTGCGGGAACGTGTGAAGGACTGGCTGGTACAGAATACTGTGCGCAATGATCCGGAGGTGAAAGCGGCTGTCAGTCGAGTGCTCGATCGGCGGAGGCAGGGGGGTTCGCCTGAAGTTCAACGGCCAAGATAAAGAACCGAGATGAAATCGAATGCGTCGTTTTGCAACGCATTCTTCTTCGATTATGCCAAGTACCACCTTAATCGAGTCGGCCACTTCTTCATGCCTGCTCTGTTTCATCATATCATAATGTCGTCTGGTCCGCAGCATCTGCACCTCCCAGATCCCCAGTCACCTCCATCTTCTCCCTCTCTCCAACCTCAATCCCATCAGCATCAGCAACAATCATGTCTCCCTCTTCTCGTGCCTGCTGCACCTTCTGCTCCTCCTCGATATCCGAAACCATCTCATCCTCTATCCGTGCATCCGACGGGTCCTTGCCAGCTTCGCCAGCATTGTCCATCTCAGCCTGTTCAGCCTCGGCCTCTGCAACCATAGAAGGCTCAATGACCGAAGCAGGAGGCTGAGGCGATGTGCTTCTGCCCCGCCCCACAGCGGCTGCCATGTCCAGTCCAGCGTCGAGAGAAGTATGTTGTGGTCCCATGTCCTCCATGCCAATCTCATCTGGTCCACGGGCGTGTGGTGACTCTTCTGGTGGCCGATCTTCGGTCGACTCTGCTGGTGTGCGTTGAGGTGCTCCTCCTGCAGCTCCTGACGATTCTCGACCCACAGCTACCGCGCCAGCTGCAAGCAGTGGTCGACGGTGTGCTGACTGCGAGAGGGGTATTACTCCCGCTTCTTGCTCTTGCCGTAACAGCTCTCCTTGTGTGACCGCACCCTGCTCTCGCATCTCTGCCTCCGTCGGTCCTGAGGAGCTGGAACTACTAGCATCTGACTGCTCGGACAGAGTAGGCGAGTGCGGGGCCGGAGATGTGTGCGCTAGGCTCGTGGCAGATGGGACACCGTTGATCGTCACGCTGACCGTCTCGATGCTCCCAGCGCCATTGGGTCCTTCGATCGTCTCGGTGGATTCGCTGCGGAACTCGCCCTCGTTGCCATTCGATTGCTGAGAGTTCGTGTGACCGAAACCATTGTTGCGAAGCCATGGTATCGGTGTCAGGAGCGCTCCACCCAAGCTCTCGTCACTGCCTAGCCCATCCCGCTCAGAGTTGCCGTTGGCGTGATTCGCATCGCCGTTTGTGAGAAAGCCGCCGTGAGATGAGTGCTGTAGCGAAGGAAGCGGAAAGTCAGAGGCGGGCGAGCTGACAGACACAATTCGATCGAGGGCGCGAAGGTAGGCGGGGAGGAAGCGGTAATGTTTCTTGGGGTACAGTGCGAGTTCGGCTAGTCGTTGAATGGTGTAAGGCGGGCTGTGTGCGAAGTCGTATTCCAAGGTCCGCGTCGAGCTGGTGTAGATGCTCAGCAAATCGGGTGGAAGTGTGCCTGACTGCGCTTCTTCAGTGTCTCGGGGTTGGACGGGGTGTGACGTGCGGTTGACTTCGAAGCCCGGGGGATGCGATCTTGCCGCGATATCGATGGGCGCGTCATTCTCCTTCGTACTGTCCTGGCTGCTCGGTAAGGGTTCGGTGCTCTCGTCTGCGTCTGGTAGCTCTTCGTCTTTGGGTCCAGGCTCGCTACTGAGGAGTGCCGGGGGAGTTGAAGCGACCACTTCCGGGTCTATGGATGAGGGTATCGGCGCCGGGAGGGGTAGGGAAGGTAGCGGGAACTCGTTGTGCACGATCTGTCGCCGAGGGTTAGCTGGCTGCTAGACGGGCAAGCAAGGAGGCCATACATCATGCAGTCTCTGCAGTAAGCTCTCCAGCACACGAGGCCACTCCGCGCTATCGCCAGTCAGCTGTGGTAATTGTGAGGACGTATCAGTGAACATACACGTCGAGTGACCCATCCTGCGCTGCCTCCTCCAGTATCTGTTCCGAGGATAACATGTTGCTCGAGTTATGTCGAATGGCGCAAACCTTCAAACGGCGAGAAGTCGCGCGGACCCGGACGCGAATGTGAAGGTCTTGGCGGGAGAACAGCTTCACGAGGAGAATTGACAGACAATTAGAGGTGTGAACATGTGAAGTGGCAGATCAAATCTAATTGAGTAGAGTCTATGAACAAACGAGCTCAAGACGCTGCTTCTATCGAGCTTGTCTCTGGTTGTTGACCTTCCGGTCTCTCCATCTCCTCCCTCCGTTTTCTCCTCTCCTTAAAGACGCTACCGCCGGTCCATATGGCCACAGGTATCGCTGTAACCCCTGAGACCAGACCCAAGATCAACGTCGCGGTGCCCCATCCTTGAGACTGGTTGACTAAGCCACCAAGCAAAGGCCCAAACATGGTTCCAGCCGCAAACCCCATGTTGAAAAGAGAGTATGCTTGAGCGTAGGCACCATTTCGTCCAAAGAACCCAGCTGGCCGGCGCTCCGCCTTTGCATTGACCGCATACGTTATCTCTGCCATGATCGGTGTTATCATCAGTGTTAGACAGGTCCCGATCAGAGCCAGGAGCGCGCAGAGGAGGACTTTCTGTTCGAGCGTGTTGTGCGTGACCAGCCGCAGGAGTATCAAGAAAGGGCAGGCGAGGACGAAGCCTGCGATCGCGTACCAGCGCGGCCCTTGTCTATCGCTCAGGTAGCCAACGACTGGGCCAAGGAAGGACACAACGACAATGGGCAGGAAGATCAGGCCAGCGCCCAGAGAGTTCCAACCGAAGGTATCGCGAACGAAGAGTGGAAGGATTGAGTCGAATGCTGTGAGCAACGAGGCTTGGATAACGGTGGCGAAGAGTGCCGAGAGGAGTCTCCTTGAGCCAAGCAGGTAGACGACTGGCGGTAGTCGTGCAACGATCCTTCTCACCACAGGCGGCGCACTTCGAAGGCTGTCAGACGGTGCTAGAGGTGCAGAGGTAGCTGAGACGCTGTGGTCCATGTTGGGTCGAGCACCCTCCGTCTCAACGGTGGCTGGTTGATCGTCCGTCTGGTTTTCAGTAATCGTTTGCATCTCAACGTCGCCCACGGAATCCCTGTTCCCAGCATCCGGCGCTTTTTCACGATGCTCCCCTTCGCTCCCTATCCACACCCCATTTTCATCCCACCTCGCCGCCACCTTCTTCTCGACCAGCACCACTCTCAGTAAGACATCCACCACAATCAACCCGAAAGCCATCGCGAACACAGCATAATACCCGGCCGCGTCGAACACCACTCCACCCAAAAGCGGCGCCAGCAGCATGGCGAGACTCATGCTCAATCCCACATACCCCATTGCCTGCCCTACCTCATCTTGCCCGACGGTGTCCACCATTAAGGCCAACCCCACAACCCAGACTACCGCCGCACTTATCCCCTGCAGCACCCGCCCCGCCGCCAGCATCCCAATCGAGTTGCCGACACACAGCATCACCGTGGCGCCGCCCAGCGCGAGTAGACCGAGGATCAGCGGTAGCCGACGCGAGCTGCTTCGATCGGCCAGCCAGCCGCATATTGGTGCTGTGCATAGTAATGCTGCACCATAGACGGCCAGGAAGATGGAGATCCAGGTTTGGATGCTACCGGGCTGTACATTTGCTCGGGAAGTGAGAGCGAATGGCAGGACCGGGACCACTATGCCGTAAGTGAAAATGTCGGTGAAGATAGCCGTGGACACGGTAAGGATGATGAATGTTTTGGATGAGCGGTATTTGAGGAAGATGGGTGGCGAGGTCGAGGATCCAGTCAGCCAGCGGAACATGATGGCTATACAGCAGCTGATGTCGTCTCCTCAGGTCCAAGATGGTGGTCGTTGGATGGATTGTCGATGGATACGATGCTAGCTAAGTATTTCTGTTGATTTTTCTGCTGGCCATGATGTTGAATACCGGATCATCTCGTGGTCATCCTGAGCAAACAGACGGCCACCAGAGATGTAAGAAGAAAATATCTCAAGCAGATGGCGTGAGGTCATGACTGCGATGCATCCTTGCCCGAAGACAAGCGGTCACGGAGTTCGAAGATGCGGCATGATTCGGTTGCCCGATGGAAAAAGGCCGTCGGCCAACTGAGATCGTGAGATCTAGATCTCCCCCATGGTGTTCAAGCCAGCATGGCGCGGACATGTGATCCCGGTCTGCATTCACTTCCCTCAACCAGGGATGCACTTGCCTCCTCTGTGGCTACAGCATCTATCTCTGTGCCATCGTCGACATCCATGGGCCAAAGCAGATCGTAAGCGAGCAAACCCTCCTCCGAAAGGAACTATATCTGCATCACGATCCGGAGAGCTCTCGCTTCGTCTCACCTCGACGGAGTTGAGCCAACATGGGCTGTCCTGAGCAGCGGGCAAACAAACAGTCCCAGTAGAAGGGAACATGCTTAGGCCGTCGTTCTCAAGCGCAGGATGCCTCGCACACTCTGCACAACATGCGAAGACTTTGCCCGGAGCGTCATCAGCCAGGACTTCTCCACATGGACCTACGAAGAACAGGAGTTCAGGATCTACTACACCTTTCCACACTCCAGCTATTCAGCAGTGAAAGAGTCTGCAGCCGCTGGTTGTCCCTTCTGTGGCTTTTTCCTGCCGTCCTTTGGTAGCCCAAAGCATGCTGATCAGCACCCAACTTCCTGCATTACATGTACGCTTTTGGAGAGCGAACTCAACGATCCCAAGTTCTCTTTTGATTTCTCGACTCCGGGTGTGAAGGGTAGGGGCCGCTTCGAGCTAGTCCGCGTTCTCGACGACGTGTCGCAGCACTTGCACGCAACTTGCGAAGCTGATGTGGCGTACCAGATCTCGGAACGGCCTGATACGCCCCTATCTGTCTCCCTCATCAAGTCTTGGCTGGAAGAGTGCGTGCAGACTCATGAGCCATGTACGTGGAAACCTCAGCCAGCGCTACCGACCCGGGTGATCGACGTAGGAGCCAGCAATACCAGCGATGAGCCCAGATTGCTGGTCACCCTCGGGAAACATGGACGGTACCTCGCGCTCAGTTACTGTTGGGGCCGCAGTCAGACTCTCACTACGAAGAGAAACAACTTCCAAGAGCATCAGCGGGAGATACCGATGCGATCGCTGCCCCGTACCCTGCGAGACGCCGTTTGCTTTACGCGGTTTCTTGGGATACAATACCTTTGGATAGACGCTCTTTGTATCATTCAAGATGATGCCGATGACTGGAGACGTGAAGCTGCCAAGATGTGCTCGGTCTACGAACCAGCCGTGCTCACTTTGTCCGTCTTGAATGGAACTTCCAGCGATGCGGGTTTCCTGGACATACGGTCAAGAGAGGCGGTAGTCACTCAGCTAGACGGCTGCGAAGTCGCTCTAAGGACGCCTTTGCCCAAAGCAGAGAGCGCCATTCCGAGCGGCTCGCTTGGAACACGAGCCTGGACGTTGCAGGAGCGTGTTTTGGCACCAGCGGTATTACACATTGACACGGAACAACTCTACTGGGAGTGTTGCAGTGGCCTGGCCTCAGAATCATATCCGGCGATTCGGAGAGCTCGCACTGGCAAGAATGATGTTCAATTCGGCGCCAGCATCCACGACATGAAGGTTCAGATCGGACAACAGAAGGACTCGCCATCCATGAGGCTATGGTACGCTTTACTAGAAAATTACTGTGGAAGGCTACTCACGAATTCAAGTGATCGCCTCCCAGCCATTAAAGGGCTTGCGACAAGGTTTCAGTCCATTGTTTCGGCGGGATACAACTACGGTCTTTGGTTTGATGATCTGGCAAATGGTATACTATGGAGAGTCATCAAGACTGATGTCGTTCGGCCTAAACCAAAGGTGAAATCTCGCGACACCGGCGTCCCTTCGTGGAGCTGGGCTTCATTTGACTCCCGTATTACCTTTGACATACCTGGCCCCAAAGCCTCGCGCACCGCCTTGGCAACATTCGAACCGCAGAGGCCATCAAAAAGAGGGCCAGCGACCGAGCGGTGGCCAAGGATCGCCATCACAGGCCTGTGTCAGAAAGGTGTGCTGTTCAAAGGACGCGGCCGTTATACGTTGGTCACCAAGGACAGACGCTCGCGGTTCACTGACATCGATTGTATCCTAGATTGTGAGCTGGAGGATGTGGAGCTGTTCCACTGCGCTCCGAAGCCATACTATTGTCTTTTGATCGCAAAGGAAGAAGGTTCAGGTGGAGCCACTTACCGCTACCTTTTGCTTAGCAGTGCACCGCACAGCTCGTCGACTACTTCGAGTCACCGGGTGTTCCAGCGCGAAGGTGTCGGGACACAGTACCTTTCGCACGACGGAGAAGAACCTACTGGTGCTGGCTTCAGTGCTTGGGACATCGTCCTGGTTTGAAGTATGCTCGACACTGCCGCTGCAGTATTGATGTCGACGCAGCTGAGTCGATTTTGACACCATCGAGCATCAATTGACTTCCCACTGGGTCATTCTTCGTGGGCCAGTGCCTCATAGGTCTTCATTTGATGCCACTGGCCAAAGCGACACCAACACCGTGGAGTAGACGTTCACGGCATGTCAGCAAGCGTTTTCATACCTGTCGAGGAGGCTCGATTCGTATACACCTAGCCTCTGTACTGTGACATGTTCTCTTCTACTCACCGTGGGAAGGGGGTGGTAGCTGTCTTGAGCAGGCAAGCACGAAAGCGATAGCGAGACGATTGTCCTCCTACCACTTCTCCCAGCAATCTCCCTCATGTACACGTAACCAACGTAATCAACAACCAGATCAGCGTTCTACATCAAACAAAAAAGCTTCTCCATATCATTGCAAACCTCTTGTACATGGCTGCGAGCCCCAACGTCAGGCACGTGGTCAGGCAGCTCTTGCTTGCTCTCGGCTTCTCGAAGCAGGATGCTTCACGCCCGCCACTGTGCTACCGCTGAACTGCCTTAACTCGTGCAGCCAACCTAGGTCCTGTCATTCGAGCGACAAAGTCATCTGCAGGCACCGCAAAGGCTCTCCGGCAGCGGTAGATCTCGAGGGTTGCACACAATGAAGCCGCTCTTCCGGTCCCGCGGAGTCACGGAAGACCGCAGCAGTCATGTGGCAGGGCTGTATTCCTGTCGGGTAAGTATTTGATGAATGCCCTTTCCTCGATGGATCCATCGACACCTCAAGAATCATGACCGCGGAAATGGAGTTCAAAGGCATGACCCCCGCCGACCTGGCGGACGGGACCGCAACAGCTGCAGAAGAAACCGCGAATACCATCCAAGACATCCTAACCAAAGTCAAAGGTGGAGATGCAGTGATGGAGAAACTACAATCGGACCTCAACGACTTCGCGGACGCCTGCCACTTCCTGCACGGCCAACTGCTTCGCGCCTCTGGCCTCGACGACATCCCCGAGAAGGCGGAAGATGCTCAGAGCCTCGAAGAGAAGTTCAGATTTAGTGTTGTCAGTGTCTTGCAGCTATGGCTCACGAACATGAGGAAGAACTCGACCCACCTTCGTCGACACCAGAAGTACGCGATGGGCTGGGTGGGCAAACTGGCAAACTTGAATTACGCAACCTCTATGCTCAAAGAGATCAATTTGTCGGCGGTGCTTGGGACGGCAGAGTCGCATATGGGCGATGTGCAGATGTTTATTGCGTATTTTAATCTGTAAGAGTGGAGTCCATCCTTATGTTACAAGTGCGACCTAGCTAACAGCGGCATAGGCGATCAGAGCTCGACAAAGCCGCCCGCGGTGATGGCCACAGCGGGCTCGAGTTCCTGTGCAAAGACATCGAATGGAAGGCCGCTGGCGTCCAGTCTCGCGTCACTCGCGCCCGGAAGGAGTCGAATCTACCACAGAAATGGGGACGCACCCACGAGATCATTGCGGATGCATCTGTGGCGCTGGCTGCAGAGGCCAAAAAATCGGCCCAGGTTGCACCTTCGTGGTAGGAGAAGTCCAGCAGATCCTTTTGAGCCGATGGAGTCGTGGCAGCCAGCCTTGTTCCCAGATGGATAGCCATGCCCGTGCTCGCTCCCGAGCCCTCACCAACCTCGCCTCCTGCCGCAGGTCCTCCAATCCCTGAGCCCGCTTCTCCCGATCGAGAATCCGCCGTTCGAGCCCATATTCGCGATGAGAAGCGCGCAGGTCCATGCAGCACCAGGCCACGCCGGCTGAGTAGAGGAGGAAGAAGGCCGTCAGGATACATGCTGGATCTTCGACCTCCGCCACCTGTCTTGGATTCACCAGCTGCCGAAACAATGCTCTGCAAGAGTCCGGTCGTGAAAGTCCCAAATACACTGCTACACCCATCACCACCGTTCCCGTAACCCCGGCCACTCGTCCAAGGCGTCGAAAAGCCGGTGGAAGCGATCTTCCGGCGGCTGCAAATGCTTGTCGGGGGAGGGATCGGAACATGTTGCACAGCCCTGACGCCTTCGCCGATGTGTTTGTGAGGTTGTCTGTTGGTACGGGCAGGAAAGGGGGAGAGACGAGATTGCGAAAGGGAGTTGAAGGGTGATGGGGAAACAGCCATCCGCTAGTGCTCGGTATATGACTTTTCGAGTGACGACTCTGGCCAACGAACGCGGTGCGAGTGGTAAGCTGCTGGGTTGGTGCTGTGAGCATTTTAGCATCGAAAGCTAGACTTGGAAGTTGCTGTGAATTGGGGGCTCCTACGCTCTTTGCAGTAAAGCTGTTGATCCTATCTATGTGGACGGCAAGTTGCCGACCCTCAACACAACCATGCTTCGCAGGCTGCGTGGCGCAATATGTAGCGTGCTAGCACCTCCTCGAAAGATTCCGTCTTTTCACGACTACACTGTCATTTCGTAGTGACCGTATTCAGGAGACCCCCGATCCGTCGAAAGAGGCGGACTGCAGTCGCACAGTCGCAGGAGCCTCCCAGTAAGACTCCGACAGCCACCTCCACGCCAAGCCCAGCAACGGCAGCAAATATCGCTTCCCCATCGGCCCTGCAATGCGTTCGAGCGTGAGAGTGATGACCCACTCCCAGATCTTAACATAGCAAAGATAGAAGATTAGCGCGACCCAAAGGCTCGAAAGCCGGTAGTAGCGTGCCATGTAGCTCGTCACGGCGTTGTAGACTGTATCGTTTGATCGAGGAAGATGGAGCCAAACGAAGCGAGGCCGTCGCTCTTCGAGGTGCAGGCTGCGGTAGTGGCGCTGCAGGATGCGGAGCTCTAACTCGCTGTCTTCAAGAATCCGTTGGCGCGGATAGAGCGTCCGTATCACGAGTTGGAGTAGAAACTTGAGTGCACGCCCGTGCGCTTTTAGCCGGCTTTCCTGGAGTTGTTCGTCGCGAAGGATGAGGCGCAAGGCGTAACGACGGTGGCAGATGCTCAAGACGCTTAGAGCCTTATGCCGGAGGTCTCCAAGCTCAAGCGAGAAGCAGATCCGTGCGAACGTACATGGGATGAGGGCAAACAAGACTGCGCCTGTGAGGATCCTCTGTCGTGATCGTCCCTTCCTCCACCGCCTTGGTGAAGTGTCGAAGATGTTTGTCAAGCCTCACCAGCTCCAAGGATCCCAACGGTTTAATTCCGACCTTGATGACGTTCCCAACACGTCTTCACGCTCGATCTGATGGTGCTGAAGCTCGATACGGCGCAGCTCGAGATTGTAGTGGAGTTGCAGCCGACGTAGGTAGACCAGTTGCGACGTCAGGGAGTACATGAAGTAACACCCGACAGCGAAGAAGCCGACAAGGAAGATGGCTTTGATGGCGATTTTCTCGTTTTCCAGGCTGTATGGACAGTCGGTCGACATGCTTGCGGTGGCTTGTAGGTGGTGAAGGAGGATGGCGGTGACAGAAGATGCGCTGGACGACGATATATAAGGACAAGTATCCGCAGAAGCGGGATGTAATAGAATGCAGCAGTGAGAGCAAAAGAATAGGTAAGCTGGAAATACTGACCTTTCCCACCTACCGTGTATGTCGCCTTTCCACTGTGCAACTGAGGTACTCGTCAATAGAACGCTGCTGGTTGGCTGAAGCCATGGGCATGAGCGTTCGCTCGATGTCGACCACATCAGTGAATCTATAGGCACCTTCGCCCTCGTGCGATATGATAGCCAGGTGGCAGCATCCGGCAGTGTTGAAACAGACATGTGACAATTGAAGTGAATGTTTGAAGGATGCTTTGGTTTCACAAGGAAGTGAAGCGCTAAGTAATGGTGGAGCGCTACAGCCGAAAGCGGCTAGGTCGAAGGCACAGCACGGCAGGGACGAACGTGAGATGCCTCTCCAGATTGAAGTCAGGTTGTCGCTGTTGGCTGGCGCGCGGAAAAGTCTACGAGCCCGCGCCTTTGCACGCAAACATGGAGGAGCCAGGAGTCGCCGCAAGCGAGCCACACCATCTTCCCACAAACACTCTAAGTACAATCCTCTCACTATCTCTCTCTACCCTTTCATACCCGTGTCGCTGTGAATGGAGTGAAATCAGTATAACCACCACCCTCCGCCAGACACGAGGCACACCACCGTCCAAGCTCGGGCGACAAGGCGAGACCACGTAAGGAGCCTAAAGCGGGCTTTGCCAATAAGACACACACCACCTCGTCGCGACTTCACCACCTCCATCGACTTCCATCGACACCCACCACCACCACCACCTCCTCTCCATCGGCGCCATCACCCACCATGTCGCCGACCACCGCCGCCAAAAAGGCCGGCAAAAAGAGCAACATAGTAATACTGCGCCTCTCTGCCGACAAACTCGCCGCCTTCCCAGCAGACGTCAAGCCCGCCGCATCGACCGCCATCAAACCAGACCCATCGCCATCGATACAGCCTCCAGAGAGCACCGGCAAGTCATCAGAGTCCAATGCCACACCGATACCAGCGAACGCGAATGAAGAGACCGACCCCAACTCTCTCGCACCACCAAAAGTAGACAGAAGAAGAAGAGGTGGAGGCACCGTCTCCGGACGCAAGCGCGCACCACCCTCCATCAACCCTGATGCACCACCGCGCGAGCGCGCCAGGCCGGGACCAAAGAAGAAGCCGAGACTGTAAGTATAGCCCCCTTAAGAAGGGATGAAACATGACTTCACACCGTCACTTCATCGCCGCAATGACGGCATGTCATACATATCTGCTGCCACATGCTAACTTCCTCACCAGCCCCGACGGAACCATCGACCGTAACACCGGCCTTCCCACCGCACCAGCACCCATTCCAGCACATAAGCTCGGCCCAAAGGCCAACACCGGCGCCATCAACGCCGGCCTGCGCGCCCTCGACCGCACCGGCAAGCCCTGTCGCAAGTGGGAGCGCAAGGGCGTGCACGTCAAATCCTTCACGGGCATGATGTGGGGCGTGGGGACGTGGAAAGCACCTCTACAGTCCTCAGCATTCGCCGGCGATGTCAAGAGCGACACCACCGGCTCTAGCGATCTCAAGCCGAACGGTAGCAGCGCTCTGCAGAGCGAGCAGAGCAATAGTGGTGCCGACCCGGGAGATGTGACGATGACGAATGGGATTGAGAGCTCGCCGGCGCCGCCGGTTGCTGCGTGATGTCGCATGACTGCGTAGGCTGCAACACAGAGCAACGAGAGGCTTCTGCTTTAACTTGCTTTACCACCACAGCGGATAACTTCTGATGCATTGTTAGCTGGGCATGAGCATATCTTAGCGAGGAGTTAGAGGCGTTCCAAGAGGATCGAAGAGGAGCCATCCTGTTTTCTGAATGGCGATTGTGTGAGCTAAATAACCATACAATCGGCTTCGATTCCTTCCGCCTTCGAGTTCACTTTCTTCACGACTGAATCATTACTTCCATCCTCCGAACCTCGCACGAACGCCGTTACCCGCCCTACTAAACTCACCCGCGCTAACCATACTCCAAGCCATATCCTCTCACTGATGAGGCTCACCCGACGGTTACGCTAGCGCCGACGAAGGTGCCGACCAAGGCCCTCCCTCCGAAGGCCCTCCCTGATTCGGCGCCGGGTCCGCCTCGATATCGCATCTCGCCAAACACTCCTCCACAAACAACGCCACGTTCTCAGGCAGCTGGTCCCTGAACTGCTCGATGCTCTCGCCATTCAGCGTTTCCACCCCAAGCTCCGCCCGCACGACGTCGTCGTCGAGTTTGAAGAGCGTCTGCGTGCTCTGCTGGACGCCGGGGTCTTCGGAGGCGAAGCCCGCGACGAAGACGGCTGGGTCGCAGGTTGGGTTCCACTGGACAACCACATCAGCAGAGTTAAAGAAGACATGAAGATACGAAGACAGGTTGATATACCTCCGTATGCACCGCCCCCTGCGGGAAAACCGTCATCTGCCACTTCCCCAACGTATTCTCAACAGCATCCACACCGTTCTCGGCAATAAACTGCGTCTTCAGCTGACCCTCGACGACGACGTTGATCTGCGAGCTCCGCGGATGCACGTGCGGCGTGTTGAAACCGCACGGCCCGATGAAGCCCAATGTCATGCTCACGCCGGTGCCGATGAGGGCGGGGAAGAGTTTGCTGTCGGCTTTGACGGTGCGGCCGCCGAGGCCGGTGGTGATGGCGTCGCCGGGGGGTGGGGAGGCGAAGTCGTAGAGGAAGTCTGAGGGGGTGAGGAGGGCGAGGCGGTCTTTGGCGGTGGGGGCGAGCTCGAGGGCGGAGATGAGGGCCTGGTTGTTGGCGGAGCTGTTTTGGTCCCGGCGGTGGAGGGGGTAGGGTGCTGGTGCGGGTGCTGGTGCTGCTGAGGCCGCGAGGGCATAGAGGGCTATGGGGAGGAGTGATGGGTGCATGTTGGCTTCTTTGGATAAGAGTGAATGGGATGGTTGGGTGATGGATGCTGAGTGGGTCTCTCTTGGAAAGATGGCGATACTTATGCGATGCCTCAACCATCTTGTACAATCAACGCCGCCCCAGACTTGCTTGTCCCTCGTTCATCTCACAAGGGGCCATGGACGAGAATAGGCGTGACAAAATGAAGATAGTAATCATGAGATCGCCAGCACGCAGTAACAGTGTCTCTCCATGGATCAACCCGACAAGTCAGACTTCGAGGCCTGGTGTCCTCGGCAGCAGAAATACATCGAGCGGCCGCATCGCCTTGTGTTGGTGTTCATACGAACGGCGGGTGTTACCATAAGGCTGGTGTCGATCGTCTCAGTCAGCCTCAGCCCAAGAGGGTGGTCCATGGTACTGGTAGGTGGTGCAAATGTCCCCGATCCTCTGCAATCTGCGCTCGACTGCGTTCATCCCCAGTTATCGGGGTCCGACCGGCTTCTCGGTGGACCAACTTAGAAGGAGTGAGCAGTGAAGGCTGGAAGACCGACGTCGTGCAACGGAGATTCCAGCTGGTGGTCCTCTTGTTGGAAGTCTCCGAGCAGCCTTACGATTCGCAGTCACCTACCGTGGCAAGTCTTACTGAACCGCACGATGCAGTCCCTCGAAGAGACCTGGGAGCGGTGAAGGGCATTCTCACATTGAGTCGCTGGCGAACTGATCTGGTTCAAGTGGGACTTCGTCGTCTCAACGAGCTCATGTCGAGAGTCTTGATGGATAGCTTTCAGCACAGCATCTTGAGGACTCACTGATATGCCTTTTCGTCATGTGTATTAGCACAGATGCCTATCTCCTTGCCCGGCATGCACCTTATCGTCGCCTCGCCGTCGTCTCCCGCCGCCGGGTCGGCGTTGCGGGGACCGACTCCATCTCCATGTCCCCAGCTCTTGTGGTCAACCTTGAATCACCACTGATGCCACTTGCTGTTTGCCAGCTTCTTCTCATCCTTCCTGCCCAGGAACTTGCTACAACGTCTTATCAATAGCCATGTCTGTGAGCAGGTTTGCGGGTGCTGCGGAGAACGACAGGAGCACACGATAGTCACCTGCCCGAGTGGATCACCAAGATACTCGACCTCAACCTGTCGGTTCTGAGCACACTACACAGCGTCTTTTGGAAGCCCCGTCCGTTATACCAGAGGTATATCTGCGTGTTCGCATAAGCCAGACCAACTGCGCGGGCAAGAGAACCCTTCGCCTGCCGCATGCTCAACTGTCTTAGGCGGGAGCCAGCATGACCTCCGCGAACAACTCATCCTTCTTTCCACCACAAGCACAGCGTTCCTACGCCAACGTCGCCGCCGGTCTCCATCCTACCCATCCTTTCAATACCCTCGCTGCTGCTGCCGACAGCGTGAACACCTCTACATCATCTCTACCCTCCGAACAGCATCAGTACGCCGAAGCTCCGAGACAGCGAGAGCGCAGTCCACCTCGAAACATGGACATAGACGGGCAGGGGCAGTCGTGGAAAAGACCTGGGTCGGCGTGGTCAAATGACTTTGGCGGCAAGTTGAATGGCAAGATAGGGTGCCAACGACACGACGAGCATCCGCCTTTTTTCACGCCTTCGTATCTAAAACGTTCGCGGCATGTGCAGCGGCTGGAGAAGGCATGGGAGGAGCACGTGAGCGAGCTGAAGGAGGAGATGCAGCGGAATCCACCTCAGCCGAAGCAGCCGTCGCTGTCGACGAGCTCGAGCAATGTCAATCTGAACAAGATGCATACGCAGCACATCCATCGCGCGCCGGTGCAGGACGTGATCGAGCGGTTACCGCCGCTCACAGAGGAGGACAAGACACATCCGCTACCCAGTCGGTGGAGCGATGGTGACCACATCAGCGGGCTGGAAGTACTAGCGGACGGGACTGAGGTGCGGTTTACAGGAGTTACAAAGACGTCGGACGAGGCGGCATCTGTGAGATCAGACAATCCTATGCCGAAGGAGGTTGGGATATACTACTTCGAAGTGACGGTGTTGTCGAGAGGGAAAGATGGGCTGATTGGGATCGGGTTCTCGACTAGGAAGGTCAACCTCAACAGATTACCGGGCTGGGAGGCAGACTCGTGGGCATATCACGGTGATGATGGATACAGTTTCGCGTGTACGGCGAGCGGGAAGGCATATGGTCCCAGATACTCGTCGACGGACACGATCGGTTGTGGCGTGAACTTTCGGACGGGCAATGCATTCTTCACCAAGAATGGCGTGTATCTCGGTGAGTGGCGGATGAGTGAAGATGAGTGGGGATGTTTGATCGGATGACCGCTGACAAGCATGTTAGGTGTCGCTTTCTCCAATATCAAAACGGATAACATCTATCCTTCGGTGGGGATCAAGAAGCCTGGAGAACATCTGCGCGTCAACTTTGGCCGCTACCCGTTCGTCTTCGACATTGACAGCATGATGCGAGAAGAACAAATCTCCATAAGGAAAGATCTTGACAAGGCGGACGTCAGCAAATTACACCCTCCAGACAATGAGGATGTCCTCATACACAACCTCATTGGCCAGTATCTAGCCCACGAAGGCTATGTCGAGACATCGAAAGCCTTCAGCAAAGACGTGCACGAGCAGCAACAGTCACTTTCGAGCTCACCTCAGCCCTACCAAGCGCCTGACTCTGACGACGACATCCATGCCTTCAATCGCCAGAAGATTCGTAGGTCGATACTGGACGGCGACATCGACCTGGCGCTCAAGTTTGTCAATACTTTCTACCCGCGCGTGCTCGAAGAGGAGGAGAACAGAGATATCCAATTCCGCCTCAGATGTCGCAAATTCATCGAGATGATGCGCCGGTGTCACGAACTTTCTGCCGCCACCTCCTCGCCCACCACCGTCACCAAGTCCGTCGCCTCGCTCGATAGCAACGGGCATGACAGCAACGGCCACGCCCACGACGAACCAGCCGACACACAGATGGAGCTCGATGACCAGCTGCACCGCGAAGCAACATCTCATAGCAACAACAATCTCGACCCTGCTACTAACGACGTGGACATGGACACCTCCCAGGACCTACCGCCAAAGGCTTCATTCATGAAACACCAGGACCTCCTGAACGAAGTCTACAGATATGGCGCCGAGCTGCGATCCGCCTTCATCAATGACCAGCGACCGCAGATACAAAAGATGCTCATCGACATCTTCGCACTGATGGCGTATCGAGATCCGACGGAGAGCGTGGTGGGTGGATTGCTGGATCCGAGCGGTAGGGTGGATATTGCTGAGGAGGTTAATGGGGCTATACTTGGTAGGTATTCGTGTCTTCCTTGCTCCTGCTGATTTTTGTTTGGTAACGACGAGACGTGTATGCTGACGCAGGTACGCAGTGAGCCTAGGCAAACCCCCCTTCGCCGCTCTAGAGAAGCTCTGCGCGCAGACGGAGGCCCTGCTGGACGAGACGGCGATGCGGAACGGTGGCCCAGCGGCTTTTGTCAACATCCGACAGGACTTTTTGCGAGGTTGAGGGGCGCTACGTCAAGATTCTTGTGTTCATGGTTCAGGAGTTTCGGGAGCAGAAACGGCAGAATGGCGAGCAGGCCATCACTGGCGCAACGATGGCTGGCATGGACGCAAGCGGCCCGGCCGGCGAACGGTGCTGGCGTGTTTATAGAGCCGGTCCTTGAGGCTTGGGATAGGAGGGACGCGATGGCATACCAGACTCCGCTCGGGCATGAAGACACGAAGGAAACTAATATTCGTTATCCGATGCTTCTTTTCGTTTCTTTAACTTTTTGTTCTCCGAAAGATGAGAAACGGGAAATTGAAATGGAGATGCTGACCGAACTCCAGATGCTTCGTCGACCCGGAAGGGTGGTAAGCAACGCTCAGCGGAACTCTATCCACGAGCAAGACGAAGCCCACAGTCACAATGCACCAGTCCAGGCACGATTGCTGTGATCTCACACCGCTTGTAGCGGCCTGTGTCGTCCTCCCCACCATTCTCCCTGGTTTCGCAACCCACTCACAACGCATCACCATGCTCATGCTGACCACATATCTCCTGGACCCTCCCGACCCAAAGCCCTGGAAGGCAACCTTTCTCGACGAACCTTTTAAAAAAATGCAGCCACTCAGGAGAGGGCTGTTGGTCTGTACCATGGCATGCTGGGAACTCTGGTGGTCGCCTTTGCGAGGAGTGGGGCTATATCGTGAACTTTACTGCAATGATCACGAAGTTTACTGATGTGCTCGCAGGAGGGAAGTATACTTAAGGCATGTGTGCCCCCTGCTGTTTTGGGAGTATCATACGCTTCCAATTACTGCTTCGAGAGACCATCAGTACTGATTCATCTGACACACTTGATCATTACTACCTTCGACTATCATTACCTTCGACCATCAGCACCTTCGACCATTAGCACCCTTCGACTATCACGTCTGTTCCACCGTTAGCACCGTCGACCAACACTCCATCCTTCCATCAAACCGTCAACATGGCCGTCACCCGCAGCCAAACCATTGGTTCTCGTCGTGAGAAGAACGACAGTCATTCGTCCCGTTCCCGACTTCCAACGCTCATACTTTCAGCAAAGAACTCTGAAGGTCTATACACGCGTGCACGTGCGGTCACTCGCAACTCATCGAAGCGTCGTGTCAAGCACGACGATTCAAACCGAGTCACCAAGGATCAGGCGGTCCATCACGCCTGCCGTTCATCCCAGAGCCATCAGGCCAGTGCGTTGTTGCAATCGGTCGGGGATACGGTTATTCCGCATTTTTGGATCAAGACGCAACGCAATAAGGCCACCGGCAAGAAATACGGCACATCGTCGTACAAGGCTTCTTGGGAACCCCCCTCGCTGTTCGACCTCCCAGGTGAGATGCGCAACATCATCTACGGCATGATCTTCGCAGACACGGCGCCGAAAGAAGTCAACCTCCTGAGATCAGCGGAGAGCCGCCCATCAGTGGGCATCATTATGGCTTGCCGCCAACCTAGGTACGAGACCTACCTCCTCTATCAGGACGCCAACCAGGCCCTGTGGAACAATCACGACATCTACCTCAACTGCAACTCCGGCTCGTCTGAGAAGAAGCGCCACAGGCAATCCGACCGCATCTGCAACAAGCTCTCCCAACTCCCTCAGCAAATGACCCTCAAACGCCTTGAGCTCCGCATCAACATCCCCCGCATCATTTGGCCAACGATCAAGTCGACCCTCATCACCATGTCCGTTGATCAGGGCGTGATGGGCTGCACCGCAGTCTCGCAGTACACCCGGGGGGCTCTCCCCATCACCAGGCAAATGGTCGACCAACACATGCCAGACTTTGTCGTAGACAATGCGGGGATCTACTGGTCGTGGTTGCACCCCCAAGGGAGACCTCACTGGGTGTTGAGCCCTCATCAGTGTGAGATCCTCGTGCGGACTCTTCTTCTATAGCTGCACCGGCGAGAGGCGGATGTTGTTCGTGTGGGGTTGTGGTGGGATTATGGCATTGTCGCAGGATTAAGGGATAAAACGGTGGGATATCGGCATTGTTGCAGGCGTTAGGGATTGATCGGAGGCATCGAAGGAACCAACGAAGTGAGGTTGAGCACCGACTTGGGCATGTGATACGGTCTGTGCGCAACTTAGTGCACTTTTGTAAGATAGCAAGAACTTTGGATTTGAAACTTCACCCTCGCAAACTTCTTTTGCGATTCTGGTTCACCGTCCTTTACACCACACTGGTTCACACAAGCATAGGTGAGTACTTCCATCAGACGTCAACGACAGCACGCTAATGATTGCAGTGATGGAGGACAACGACACCCCAGCAGAGGAGGTGGTGGGTTTCTACAAGCTGCCACGTGAAATGCGCGACCGATTCTACTACTACTACTTCGAAGACACCAACATCGACGACGAGATCGATCTCACGAAAGCGAACCAGCATCTCCCGCCGACCGACATCACGAGAGTGTGCAAAGGAATGCGACAGGAGACGCTCCAGCTCTCGAAGGAGGCTACCGCGAGGTCCTGGCAAGACCACCGCTTCTACGTCGTCCTCGATCGCTTCGCAACGCACGACCAGAACGAGAGTCGCATCAGGGCTTGCATCGAAAGGCTGAACGGTACTCCTAGCCTCCGCCGCCTCTGCTTCCACACCAACGAGAATCGCCGGGCTTCGGTAGTCGTCAGCATCTCGCCGGAAGGAGGTATTGTCTGGTCCCTGCCTTCGGCACTCGAGAACAGATGGCGACCGAGCTGGCACTGGAAGATGAGTGCCAACTTGGTGAGAAGCGCCAAACGGTTGTCGCCGCACACTCCACTCATGAGTTCGTCTTCAAATTCCACTGGAAATGTACTTCACATAATGCATTGCGCGGCACATGCATGTCGTGTTGCAGTCGGCGTGGTAAGAGCGGAAATTTACTAACTACACGCCATTTCTGCGTAGCGATTGTAATGCATTGAATCAAGCTCACAAAAACAACGGTCCTCTGGAATCCCTATCATACGTTGGATCTTGCTTCGTGGTTTGTTCAATACCATCGAGTACTACTCAGGGACGTGCCACATGGAAACGCATGCTTTTCAGGTTCGTTTCCAACACTCGGTTTTCCGTGCAGCGTGCTAGAAAAGCGCCGATGGCATGTGATACGTCCGTGCACCCCTAGCGTGAGCTAGCGCATTCAATCCTCAAGACCAAGTTCACGGCTTTTATTTTCTCACCTACCTCCTCCAACATACCCTTGAAAGGGAGCCATGGAGCCTCTAAAGCCGCACACTGGCACGACGGAGGGTGAGCACCAAGTCAATTCTATCAACCGCCGTTCTAAGCTAACAATCCACAGCGATGGGCGACCAGAGTGGACCCGAAGCGACCGGCCTCTTCAAGCTACCACCAGAGGTGCGCAACCACATCTACGGCTACTACTTCAAAGACGGCACCGCTGCCGACACGAGAATCGACCTCTGCAAAGCCAACGACTTCCACCCGGACCCAGCCATCACCGCGGTCTGCAAAGCGATTCGAAACGAGACACTCGAGCACTACCGCCAGTCCGTGAAGTGCTTTTGGCAAAAGCACTCCTTCATCATTCACATGGACTATTCAGATCTTCATATCGAGCGGCTCGATTGTAGCCTCCATCGCCAAGCTCCGGAGCAAACCCACGCTCGACCGCCTTACGTTCGACGTAGAATGGCAATCCTTTGAGACGTTGAAAGTAGTTGCAGCCGCCTGCCCAAACTCAGCGCCTCATTGGGAGGTGACGGTAGCGGATCCTTCTGCGCCTATCACATCCTTTGACGGGTTGATCGCGCAGTCCATGGCCGAGGTGCTCAATGACCCGAACAGATGGGCCTCGTCGCCGAGTAAGCGGACATACGAAGACGATGACCACGCTGCATCGATAGATGTCGTTTCCTGTGTGTACAGGATCGGCGCCATGTGTCGCGCGCTCATGCCGAAGGCAGGATCCGGACGCTAAGGCAGTGGGGTGGAATCGAAGGTATGGTGGAGACATGCAATGGTCGATACATCACGCTCATGGTGTTGATGCCGCTCGTATAAGAGCACTGCAGAATGATGCTCAAAGGGTGCGAGGTGAAAGCCAGTATGGTCATCACAAAGGAAGTGGTGTCACTACGGAGCTGCGATGTCATTTCTGCGTTCAATTCAGATCAGTATACTCAATCTTGTAGGCTGTAGCGCAAACAAAGCTAAGTTAGCAAACATCAACTGAATGCTGCATGTGAATCGACGTCCGTGCGCAAGCCATCTCCACATATGGAAGCTGTGAAACTCTCCTCCTTCATTTCTCGTAAACTTCAAATCACTTCCACAAACTTCGTACCTCCTGTCCACATGGCAGTGAGCGATCAAGTAAGTAGCCTGATCTAGTCAGTCTGGCAATATGCTAACGATAACAGCGATGACCGCCCAAATCACCGCGGAGGAGGACGACGGCCGCGTCGGCCTCTTGAAGCTGCCGCCAGAACTGCGCAACCGCTTCTACGACTTCTGCTTCGCACCAGCTCACCACATTGATGCCGACTCCGAGATCAACCTCGTCAAAGCCTACCGCTACCTTCCCGATCCCGCCATTTCGCCATCACCAGAGTGTGCAAGGAGATCCGATGCGAGGCGCTTCGGCAGTATCGAGCTCTCGTCTCCGCCTTCTGGAAAGGACACAACTTCTTCATTGACGTTCACCCGTTCCACTCTGACGAAGAGTGCCATCAGCAGGAACAGGCTATCATTCGTGCAATCTCGAGTTTCAACAGCAAGCCAACAATGAAGCGGCTGGCTTTCAAGATGACGGTGGTCAGAGCAGGTGGAACAGGGTCAGTGTTTGCGTCGAGCTACGTGATGCGTGCATCCGCAGTCCCACGGTCCAGCACTGCCCAATGGACTGTAAGCTTTGCGTCGGTCCAGACTAGGAGCGCCCTTTGGCTTGGGAACACCATCGCCTCGGAGTTGACGGCGCTGAGGGACGAGGGAGCAGAACGGACGCTTGATGCCATCGAGTCGAACGCAATCGACGCTGTGGGTTGCGTGAGGATCTTCTTCAGAGGTTACACTGTCCTGGGGCGGCTTGAAGGGCCGTGGTAAACCTCCGCTACAGGACTGCCCCGTCGAGAAGTCCGATTTAAGGGTAACGGATACCTCTTCGGAGGCAGTCCTGCTCCAACGTTAGGCGCTGACAAGCGCACGAGGTACATGCGCCATGGGCTGTGGAGGATGACAATGGGCGCTCAGAGAAACTGCCATGAGTGCTGAACGCTACCATTACTACACAAGGCAGCAACTCACCTTTCGTCACCGTTCCCTCCGCTCGCTGGCTCCTTCCAGTGTCCGCTGTCAAGTACTTCATGTCTTTGCTGTTAGCAAACAGTCCTGTCACTTCATAAAGCACCTCTCCAAGCCTCCTCTAACCCAAAGCACAACACCACATCTTCCACCTGCGCCCCACCATGACCAACCCCCAACCCACTAACCCAAACACCCCTCGCCACCGACCCTTTCCCTTTCTCTCCCTCCCACCCGACCTCCGCAACCAAATCTACCCCCTCATCTTCTCTCCCTCCCTCCTCCCCACAGGCCAAACCCTCCCCCTCCTCACCGCCGCCGCCGTCCACCTCCGCCCCTCCCTCTCCCAAGTCAACCGCCAACTCCGCAACGAAACGCTCCAACTCTACCACGACTGGACCGCTCCCTTCTGGCGCCACAACACCTTCACCATCCGCCTCGGCTCCAACGACCGCTCCAGCGTTGACCGCTTCCGGCTGCGGCACTACAAAGGAAGCGACGAACTGTCCCACCTACAAACCCTCTGCGGTTCCGGCTTCGTGCTCCGCAACCTTCACATCCACCTCGCCGCCCTTCTGAAGCAGTCCACACCCTTCCAACTCCGACAGCACAAGTTCGAGCACGAACTCCCGTCCCTCTGCATCCAAATCCAACTCCGCATCCGCGAAAGAAGAGATGCCAGCGGATGGAGTTTCGTGCTCCGAAGGCCGGGGGGGAACGTGCTGCCGCGGAGTGATGTGGTGGCTATTACTGCGGTGAGGTCGGCGCTGAGGAGGCTGCGGTTTTTGAGTAGGGAGGACTGGTCGGGGGCGGAGAGGAGGGCGCCGGGATGTACGAGCGCGGAGGTTATGGAGCGGTGTTTGGAGGTTGTTGAGACGGGGTTCTTTCGGGAGATGGAACGGGAGGCGGAGGGGGAGGAGTGGTATTGAGCGATGCTGTTGCGAGAAACGCGATGTCCGGGTGGCAGTAGTCGGTGTGGATTGGAGCAGTGGCTCTGGTGTTGTCGAGGTCGTCTAAGGTGCTTCAGTAGATGAAAACCGGAAAGGCCAGAAGAATGGCTGAACAGCGAAAGAGTTGATCATTTCATACGCCTCACAAGCGTCCGCAACAGCAATGGTATCTCCCTACGCCAGCTTCGCCCATTGTATCCAAGAATACAAATATACCACACTCCCCTCACCCTCAATCAATCGTCATCCTCGACCCCACACTGCCCAACGGCATTTGCCCGTTCTGCGCATACGCATTATCCGCCTGCATCTCCCCCTTGCCCTCCCCTTTGCCCTTGTGCAGATGCGGCATCAACCCCTTGTTGAAGTTCATCATACACAGCACGGCCGACACCATCGTGACAATCAACAGCAAAATCGTCAGGACCGCAAACGTCGTCAGACTGTGCCGCGCAGCGACGTACTGCCCTTCGGTCGTGGAGTCGTACATCCGGACGAGTTTGAAGACGAAGTAGGCCATGCCGGCGAAGTAGAGCGTGATGATGATGGATTGGCCGACGTAGGATTCGCGGCGGCAGATCCAGGTGGCGAGAAAGAGGAGCAGGACGGTGACGACGAGGGCGGCGATGGTGAGGGCAAATTCGTATGTTTCGCCGTGCACGATGACGAGGAATTGGACGGTGAAACCGACGAAGAAGAAGAAGTCGAATTTGAGGAGGGCGATGTAGATCTGCGTTTCGTTAATCGTGAGATGTTTGCTGGGGGATGGGTGATGAGGGCATACCTGGTACTGCAGATATCGCCGCTTCAACCTCAAATCCGCTGAAATGTGCTTGTAAATCGTCCACGCAAACTCATCGTACAGTTTCCACGCCACCAGACTCAGCAGTACCGTTCCCAGCGCCAACACGCACGGCACTGCGATCAGGCACGGCTCGAGATACTCCCATGTACTCGTATCGATCAAGCCAGGCCCTAGCTCCGACACTGCCTCGTTCACCTGGTCCATCTCGACAGCCGCATAGATCATCATGCCCAGGTTATAGAGGCAGAGCCCAATAACCTGAATGGTATTTCGCGCGCGCAGGCCATCCCAGACCAGCACGAGCTGGTAGAAGAAGCCGAAGATGAAGATCGCCAAATACGTCGGTATCGTCCTCGCGGCGCCTACTCTCGAGTCCGTCGCCGCATCCGTCAAACTCGTCTCAAACTCGCCAAACACGTACGCCTCCAAGCCCAGACATATTATCGCCTGAAAGAGCGCGATGCCGAAGAAGGACCAGGTCCAGAGGGAGTTGGGCATATACATCTTGCCCTTGCCCTGTCTCACATTCGATGTGGTCGTTGTGGGTAGACCTTGGCGGTCATGATAGCCTCCTGGCACGTATGGCTGGCGCGCGCTGGAGAAGGAGGCGCCGCTCAAAGGTTGGTAGTCGTTGCCGCTGCCGCCGAGAAGGCTGGAGCGTTGTTTGTGGCCGGACTTGGTCGCTATTTTGGCGGTGGCCGCTGGCGCGCGGCCTGGTGGGGAGGGGAGTGGAGGACGGGATGGGAGGGGTGAGGTGGGCGGAGAGGACGGGTGGTGTTGGTAACGATCGGATGTGTTGAAGCTGGTGGAAAATGCGTTTAATGGTTGTAACGAAGTGTGTAGAAGGGGATGGGGAAGATATGGTGGAGGTGGAGCTGAGGGTGAGCGTTCGCAGGGTGAAACTCAAAACCGCTGCAGGGTCTTGGGGTTGGCAGGCCGGAGTCGTCCGCGGATTTCGGGCGTCAGGTGTAGGTCGCGAGATATGGACGTTGTGTTGCGTTGTAGGACAAGATGTATACCGCAGGACAAGCGAGGGGAGGAGATATTTAGGTTTTCTCTCAATTATCAATACGAAGTGTCGCCGTCGACGGGGTGGTGGAGGGCTGGCTGCGCCCCTCGTGGCTGAGGATGAGAGCAGGGATGAGACCGCGCCGTTGGAAAAGCTTAACTGACATTTCAATCTATTCATCCATGGTTCATTGGTCGTTGAAGGAAGTTGAAGATCGAGGAAGGAAGGACACACACTTCAACAGGGTGCTCATAAAGTTATGTTGCACAGAAAAACGCTTTACACGCGAAAAGCTATGCCAATACACCGCGCAACCTATGCAACCCTAACGAACTCAACACCCCCAATCTATCACGTGGAATCTCGAGACGAAGCATATCTTTGCGTACAAACCTGCCATTCTCCTGTTTCAAAAGTACGAACCAGTGCATCACGTCAGTTCGTTCAACATGTCGAGCAAGCAGAAGCCACAGTTGCCGAGCTGCATGGCGGTTGGGTTGATCGGATACATACGTTGTCTTCCCGTAAATGGTGTGTCCGTCGATGGTCAGGCGGCAGAACGAGTGGGAGCCGTTGCCCTCCTTCTCCCAACACTCGTCGATTGCAAGGTTGAGCGCAAAGGAGTCGAAGCCGAGCAGGCGCTCGAGTTCGTTGCTGTCGGTCACCATGCTACAATCGTAGCTGCCGTACGTAGGTATGTGGCTAGACTCCCGGAGAGGATCGTTGCATTCGTGCAAGCTTCCGCCAACGTCCTTGATGGTCATACCAAATACCTTGCAAAGGCCGCAATCACGCCAGCGATAGAGAGTCATGTCAAATGGGCACGTATCGGGGTCGTTGTTCGGTCCGCCGATCCCAGGACCACCGGGCCATGCACCGCCCGCGCAGGAGAGCCAGCTCCAGGTTGGGAACTCGTCTCTCTGTGGTGCATCAGAATCCTGAGCCTGCCACATCATGGCCCAGTTCAAGGCCTCGCAGGGTAGACCCCAGAAGAACTCTTCGAAATACGTACTCCGTTTCAACGCACCCAAGATGCCCGAGTACGCTGCCAAGGCATCGGACTGGTATGACAGCTGCCGACAGCTGTAGGCCAAAGACATGAGCGTGTAGAGGTTCAGAGCTTCGCCGCGATCCGTGATAGCCATGCCAAGGGGGTTCCGATGGCTTCCCAGGTTTAGACGCTGACTGTATGTGTTCGTCTTCCGGAAATCCTCTGTCGTCTGAGGATTGTGCAGAGGCGACTGGGCAGTATCGATCGACTCACAGCAAGCCATCGCGTTGCACTCGAAGTAGGCCTGGTATTGCGTCATGTAGAGACAGCGCGGACTGAGCAATGCTTCTTGATATGTCCAGCCCCGTGAGGCCCAGACGGAAGCGTCGACGATATGGCGCAGTGTTGGGCCGAGCAGAACAGCGTCGAAAGTGTCAGTTGAGCATGACAGCTGCCGGTAGGCGGAACTTCCGGGTGTCACTCGTGGCAAGCCTGCGAACGCGTCTTTTCCCGACAGCGCGATGATCGTGAGGAAGGAACCTTGGTATATCTCATGCATGATCGCAATTTGGCTTTGCTTGTCTTCCCATGCGGTCTGTTTTATGCACACAGCGTCGACCCACAAGTATCGAGCACCAAATTGCACGGTCAAGGTAATGGCATCTTCAACCGTGCGAGTGAGCTCGGGGAGCTGAGCCCCAACACATCCTGCACCGTCAAAGCTCTGGTTCACATTGCCCCAGACGTAGCTTAACGCAAGGTACTCCTGAGTTGCGTTGGTGTATGGCACGATAGTGCGACTGTACGCATCAATGAGGCGAACGGTCGCCAACTTGTCTGGGGCAGGTCGCGAGCAAGTAAGCCTATGTTCTCGGTCGCAAACTGAGAGCCATCCTTGCACGGCGGAGATGTTGATGCTGCTTGGATCCACCCGACTTGCGCGAAGGCTAGTTGGTGCCTTGCAATCTTCGCCTTCCCACAATGCGAGTGCTTCACAGTCATTTGAGACATGGTCGTGCAGTTCGGCACCAGGAGGTAACGGCTCTAGAATAGCGGCGACGTATCTGGCCGTCGACAGCCGGCTCTCTGTGTCGAGACCGATAGAAAATTCCAGCCGGTATGCGGACCATGCCAGCACCAGCATTATCGTCTGCGAGACTTCTCTGACGGCCGGAATGATTGCGAAAAGGGAGACGCATACCTGGCAACTCTCTGACAAGACCAGATCTTGCACAGTCCCGAGGCGTCGAAATGGGCCATTCACGTTTGCCTTGTACGCCTCGCTTAGGCTGCTAGCAGGACCAGAGTACGCAGGCTTGGACTTCAGCCAGGTTCCCAAATCCAAATCGAGACACCGCTGGCACTCATACTGTCGCTTTGGTAGTTGAGCCAGCCTCCTGCTCTCTTCGTTACGCTGCGGACTTCGAAACCATTCCAAGCCATCAGTGTCGGTGAGGAATGCAGTCTTGCGACACGAAGTTGCATGGTGTCCGCTCTTTCGGCACTTCAGGCACAGCAAACCATTTGCGTCTGTCCCACGGATATGGTTTTGATGGACCATTCTGTGCAGTCTGAGGAATCGTGTAGGCAATAGACCTCAGCGTAGATGCAGCGAGAACAATACTGGCGTTTCGACAGCGGTTGAGGCAGCCCTCATCGGCCAACGGCGCACCTGTGCTAGTTCAGTAAGCAAGTTTCGGTTCGCAATATGTGGGAGGTCAATTAAGAGTTGAACGCAAACTGATGTGCGTGCAGCTGGCCTCTTATTTGTTCCGCGCAACTATGATAATGGTGATCCTCGGGCAGACTGAGGAAGTGATTGGGGACGCCCTCTGCAAAACGGTGTGATACAGGCAATGTTACGCCCCATTGCATATGCAAAGCGCGGCAAGGAAGTCCTGATTGGCCCAATTGTGTGATAGACGATTGCTGACGACGGGAGCGGCAACAGACTTGGGATCTGCTTTCCTTCGATAAGGCTCCAGAAGTCCGGAAGGGAGGTGTATTCCAAGGTCGACGGATAAGGCGACGGGTCCTCAGTCATCAAGAATACCTGCAACGCGCGAGTTATGGGTCCATCACGATTACCACAAGGTTCTCAGGGACCATTGCTCAACATCACGCATCATCAGTGTTGCAAACTCCATACTCTACCTATCGCCACGAGCACCCATCGATTCAGCTGATCTCGAGCCGTCTCTTGGGAAAGTACCGGCGCCACCCCCTCACCTTGCAGGCTCGACGCGATGGTGCGGACCATGCTGCCTTGTCAAAGTACCCGAGTAACGCTCTTAGACTTCGGGGTAGAAGGCACGTGGCTGTTGGTCAGGACGGATGCAGGCAACGAATCTCGAAAATTTGAGGCTTGAGGCTTGATCGTCTGTACTGTGGTCCTCGACAGCCTTATGCTGAGACCAAATTCTTGTATTGCGAAGTCTGTGTGCCCCCTGGTCTCCGTCAAGCATTCGGTAAAGACAAAGGCGAAGTGTCCCAATTACAAGTAGGTAAATTCCAGTCAAGGCGACCGTTCTCGATACTCTCGACCTCTCGAGGCTTATACGGAGGGTAGCTGCATGTGCCGAGACATACTTTGAAGCAGGGGGTGGTGTGAGAAGAAGTTAAGGTGTGGTGTGATCGGAGACGGGCCGGGATCGCCTAGGTAGCCGAAAATAGCTTGCATGAGCTTGTCGATCGGGACCGGCTCTGATTTTGAAGATTGGAAGGAACGACCAGAGACCGTATACAGCTCTGAGCGCCGCGAACATGGCCACCGAGACACCCACAGCGACGCCGGACATGGCGAAAAGCAAGAGAGACAAGAAGGACAAGAAGCGCAAGAATGACAAGCACGACGACGAACACCAAACCAGCAAGAAGCGGAAGCACTCTCACCATGCCCTTGAGACTCCAGCAGCGGAACAACCACAATCCAAAAAATTCAAGAAAGACAAGCCAAAGCCCCCCAGCAGCACCGCGCAGCCTCAACGATCGACTCTATCGAAAGACGAACTCCTCCGCCAACACAGCCCTTTCACCACCCAAACCACCTCCCTCTATCTCCCCCTCTCCCCCGCCGCCCACGCCTTCCCCCTCCGCGGCCTCTGCGCCGAACACATCTCCCCGCTCCTCCTGACCTACTACCCACCCCTCAACGGCGTCGTGCTCTCCTACTCCAACGCGCGGATAAGCGAACACCCCGCTCAAGCCATCGCCAACCACAGCACACAGCGGAAGGAGAGCGAGCACGTCCTAGCGAAAAGTCTAGACGAGTACGCGCCCTCCTTCCTCTGGCTCACGGCCGATTTTCTGCTGTTTAAGCCTGCGAGGGGGACGTGGATGGAAGGATGGGTGAATCTGGTGAATGAAGAGTACATTGGTTTAGTGTGCTATAACTACTTCAACGCCGTGATTGCGCGGGAGAAAATGCCAGAGGGGTGGCGGTGGGTGGAGGAGCATGAGAGGGGGCAGGAGGAAGGTGGGGGTCATTTCGTGGATGAGCGGGGAGAGAAGGTGGAGGGGAGGGTGGTGTTTGAGGTGGAGGACTTTGAGACGGGGGTGGAGGGGGAGGTGGGGACGGTCAGTATTCTGGGCACGCTGAGGGGACGGGAGGGAAAGACATGAGGAGCGGGCACTAGATCCCAATGAAGCGAAATACATTGCTGGTTTATGGACGGGTGCTGAGGAATATGCTGTTGACTGCATGTACCCGCACCGACCGCGCCGCTGCATTACTATTATGGTGCAGGCTTAGGCCACATCCAGGGCGAGGGGAGCGCACGATGAGAGGTAGAGGAGGTCCAAGGAGAGACGCACGCAGCTGTTTACACGGTGGATAATGCTGCGTGCAGAGGCGGTGGCGGTGGATATCTACAGATGAACTGGAGATGAAAGCCAAATCAAGGAGGTTGGAGGTGATGACGAAGAAGGCATCGAGGTGGAAGTAGTGCTTATACAGCCGAACATATCACGGGCTCGTTGCAGCTTCGCGACCAGAGACAGACCTCCTCAAGATCGAGTTCACAGTGCGCGAAGAGACATTAGATCAAGCACAGGTAATCATCTTAACAGGTCTACCCCCAGGATCCCCAACCTAAGCGCCCCCTTCACCCACCTCGCCGGCATCCACCCAACAACCCGCCTCGCGAACCTCAACCGCTTGCTCTTCGGTTTCTTCTTCTTGATAATCCTTCGCTTGCCCATTCCAACCTCAAGACCTGACCAACCGATTCAGCTTCCGAATCTCCGTCCACCGACTCAGTCCCGACAGCTCCAGCAGGTTCATCCGCCGCATCTTCCCGCTCGGGTTGCCAATGATGACGGCTTTCCACTCGGGATCGTCTGTTGAGGCGTCCCAGGCGGGGTTGCCGGTGGTGTTGGGCTGGGCGTTAGGACCGGGGCCTCTGACGCCGAAGGCGGGTTTCTCGAATGCAGGGAAGGCGTTTGTGGGGATGACTTGGAGCTCGCGCCATCTCCAGAGCACGCCGATGAAGAGGACCGTCAGACCTAGGAGGATAGCGGCGACGATGGCGGTAGCGGTCTGCGCACCGACGGCTCTTGTGACGTCGCCTGAGACTCCGGTAGCAGCGGCGCTCAAGATGAAGCCGAGTCCTTGAGCAGCGAAGAATCCAGCGCAGATCCGCGGAAAACTCGAGTAGTTCGTCCGTCGTCTCCTCGTGGCCTCCGCCAAACTCTGCAACCGATGCCTCTGATTCACTCCGGGCTGCAAGTCACACGTATCAAACGTCTCCATGATCAAACCCACACACTCCGCAATCGCCAGATTTGTCAGAAAGCCCACCATCCCACAAAACACCACGGGCGTCACCCAGCTCACAGTCGGACCCGGCGAGCTGAGCGTGTACGCCAAGGCGGCGAAGGGCAGCGTGAGGGTGAAGATGCAGCGGCGCAGCATGTGCGAGGACCAGGAGACGCGAGAGTGGCGCATGGTCATGCTGTCGGTGCGTTGGGGCTTGTCGCGGGCGCGGGAGAAGAGGTTGGCGCGGCTGAGGGGGATGGCGAGGAAGGCGCCGACAGCAAGGGATAGGACGGCGAGGCCGACGTAGTGGGGTTGCCAGAGGTAGTCGCGGGAGAGGAGGGCGCCGAGGAGCTGTGCCGTCCATCGTCAGTACTGCTTAGGTCCAGAGGGGAGGGACGAGGGGTACTCACCAGTATGACCAGCGTCACCTGCGCATACATCCATGCCAAGTAGAGCATCAGCACGAAGAACCCCGTCTGCAACACCATCCTCTTCGTCAACACCAGCCCAGCCCAAACCTCTTGAAACCACCACTTTGGCCCTTCGTTCGAAATGTGCAGCTTGACCTCACCCCTCGCCACCCTCCTCTTGATCCTCTCCTCATGATCCACATACTGCGCAATGCTCCTCCTGTACGGCGCACGTCTCGTCTCCGGCGCGATAACATTCACCAGCAAGAAGAACGCCAGCAAAATGACAATAATGTAAAACCCCCAGCTCGGACTCAGCCCGGATATAATTACCGCCCCAATGCAAAACCCAATGCTCATACTCCCCACGAAGCAAAAGCTCCAGATCCCCAACCATACCCCAATCCCACCCCCTTGCCTCCTCACGTCGTCAAAAGCCACAATCTCCTGATGCGGTTTATCGCTCATCAGACTCGCGCCGAAGAGGTCGAAGAGCGTGGGCAGGAAATTGACGTTGGCGAAGCCGAGCGCGATGCCCTGGAAGGCTCGTGGGATGAGGAGGCCGCAGCGGTAGATGGGGTTGTAGGGGCTGCGGTAGCCGGAGACGGCGAGGGCTTGTGGGAACATCAGGGGGAGCATGAGGGCGAAGGCGAAGAGGGTGTAGGGTTTGCGGCCGTGGAGGAGGGGGAGGGGCCAGCAGATGATGGTTGTGACGCCGAGGCAGGCGAAGAGGCTGGGAGCATGTCAGCAGTGTATAGGTTGGGGACGTGGTAAGAGAATGCAGGCGTACACGACATTGCCCAGGATGACATGGTGCTTCATGTCCGCTAGTTGGTACTGGATCCGTGGAACTTCGCCCGCCTGTGTTCATCAGCACCATGCCTCCAAAACCGAGTAGTTTGAACTCACATAAATCCCAGCAGTCAAACCAACAAACACCGTGTTCAAGCACGCAATCATCGCAGTGATCCTCTTGCGCGAAGTATGCCACTCCCTCGCAATCGGCTGTCTGCGATGGTACCTCCCCAAACTGAAGCCCTGGCCTTCGCGAAGGCTGATGTGCTTTCTGCGAGGGTGCCTTAGACTGATGTTCCTCTCTAAAAGGTTCGGTGGGTCATCACTGTACCTCGAGCTTGTTTTAGACACGGACCTGTTCATCTCGAGACGTGGATCATCGTACCTGTTGGTTGTGATGAAGGAGTCGCCTCGCTTCAATTCGTCGCGCGGGAGCGAGCGGTCATTAGCGGGTGCTTCGCGGTAGTCGGCGGATTCGAGGAAATTGGAGACGTGGTGATGGTGGTGCTTGCGGCCGTGACGGCGGCGGGGTGGTGGTTCGGATTGAGGGTGGGTGTTGGGCCTTGGGAGACTGTCGTAGAAGGAGCTGCCAACACGTGGCGGAGGGAGAGTGTTAGTGGGTACACGGTCAACGCGCTTTACCGGAAGGTGCTGCCGACGTGCGTGATGCGGAGGCACCATATTATCGGTCGGTCTGGAAGGCAGTGGCGGTAACGGCTTGTCCAGCATGATAGGAGTGCTCAAGCTCGGACGAACACCCGGCTGAGCGGTGACAGACTCTCCCAGATCGCCATAGTAGTCTTCCGCTGCACCATGAGATCTGCTCAACGCCCTCGCCTCAACCGCTTTAGCAGTCTTCTGTTTGGCGTATGCGAAGTCTCGGACTATCGAGTCTGCTGAAGCTGGCTGGTACAGGCGTGGCGGAGTGCTTGTCATCGATCGCTGGTCTGCGGGCACGGCAGATTCGAAGGACGCCTTCTGAGACCTGGCCATGCGGTACTGCTCCTTGACCACGGGCTGCTGGCTTGGTTGCGGCGTCATGGTGAACACGGTGGGCGCTGTCTCGACGGAGTGACCGGTGCTGTGAATAGAAGACGCATCCGAATCAGGAGCAATTGAGTCGCTGCTATTGCGTCTAGACTCAGCGGGCGACAATCTCAGTGGTCGACTCATCTGGCCTTGGTCGATATCGCCATGGATTGTGCTTGCTTTGCGAAGCGCCAAAGTAGCACTGTTCAGAATGTGAGCTACTTCTTCGTTGCGGCCACTTTGTGCTGCATCTCGTGCAACGTGCAGCGCCTCTCCCATCAAATTCTCCAATCCAGTGACAGCCCGATTGAGCGACTGCGGCTGAGCCTGGTCACCGCGCGACTGACTAGCAGGATCGGCATAAAGCGGCGGAGGTCGTGCAGGCAAAGATGACACGCGATTAGGCGGCGAGTTAGGCCTAGACGAAGAAGATGAAGAGCCCATCAGATGCGAAGGCATGGCGAACAGTGTTGTCTTGCGGTCGAGCGGACGCAACGGTGGTGCGGGAGGAGCAGAGTCGGGAGGCGGGATTGCCACAGATCGTCGAGGCAGAGCTCTCGCCTTGGGCATTTGTCGTGGCTGTTGAGGTGGATCACAGGATCTGCAACTCTCCCTGCGGTGCGAGGAGATATGTGGCTGGCTGGTCACTTGCGGACCCATCTTATGTGCTGACGTTGCGGCACGAGGCAATGCCCGTGGTGAAGGCTCGTCCAAGGGCAAGTCCAGTTCATTCTCAAGCCATTTGTTGGCGACGTGAAATGGTTCACGGGTCGCAGGGTGGACGGAGGCGCGGCGGTGACTCGGGTGCTTGTCGTAGGAGTAGCCATCATCCTTGCGTAGCATTGCTGGGTGCTCGTGGGCTTCCGACGATGGGGTCGTGCTGTACTCGGATGAAGGATGGTCGGCAGCTGTATGAAGGCCCAAAGCCTGCTTGGCTTGCTCTTTGGACGTTGGTTCAACTACACCTGCTCGAGGTGTTGAGTTGAGCGACAGCTTGCTGAACCAGGATTCTCCAAGCTTGGGACGACTCCGTAAGGATGGCGTTGAGCCAACGGTCCTGAGAGCAGGGTCCTTGCCGTTCTACGGTCGAGGTCCCTCGTTGATGGCCGCAGAAGAGCCTCTTTCGACTGTCGCAGGTGCGGGTGAGGTTGGTAGAGCACCAGCGGCCAGGATATCTCCCGAATCAAACTGCCCAGGTACGTGCCTCTGCGTCGCCTGGCCTGGTCCGTCTAGCCAAGGTAAGCGCTTGCCGACCAGGACTGTCGTACGACGGTCCAATCGCTGTGCCCAGGTAGGCTGCTCAAAACCATCAGCTTGTCCATTTCTCGGCCTCCGATGCAAGAGTGTTACCCTTTCAGCAATGCCTCCCTCGGTGTCCTCCGTGACAGGCCGCAGATCTCGCGCTGAGGTGTGGGCGGGCGGAAGATGGGTGGGTGGCGATGCTTCATTAGGTGTTGCGGTGGCCAGCGTGGGCGACGGGCGGCGCAAATGCTGGTAGATTGACTAGAGGTGTGGGCGTAATGATGGCGAGTTGGGGTGGACGTGAGGTCTGATGCGCCGTGGTGAGGATGAGATGGAGAAGCACGACCGGCGTGCGACTCGGATTAGCTGGATGCGAGGTTGGCGCTGAGGATATGCGGCATTTATGATCGCGGTCGAAGGTGAGTGTCGAAGTATGGTCAAGGTGATGGTTCGGCGAAGACTGTTGAGGCGGATTCACACAAACGGCAACGACCAGGCCCTTTCCTAGACTCATCCATGTTGAAAAGCAGCCGCGAGCCGCCTGCACGTTGGACTTGCACGTGCTGAGCTTGCCATATCGCCGTTTCCTTGCAGTATGTGATTGGCACTTTCTCCTCTACCTTCGCTGCCCTGCCCCTTTGATCACTCCTCATACTTAACCTTCCCAGCACTAACATCCGGATAAACATCAAACCTCCTCTGCCCATAAATCGGAATCCCCTTCCTCGTCTCCTCAATCTTCTCCCCCGTCAACTCCGCGTACACCGTCCCCTCCTTCTCATCCGCCTCCACCACCACCTCCGCCATCGGATCCACCACCATGCTATGTCCCCACGCATTATAATCCGCCTGCATATCCCTCGCCGGACTGCACAACCCCACATACACCTGATTGTCCATCGCCCGCGCTCGTGCCTGCAGCTCCCAGTGCAGTTTACCGGTGGTCATGTTGAAGGCGCCGGGGTAGAGGAGGAGGAAGGCGTCTTTGCGCGCGGCGATCATGGCGAGTTCGGGGAAGCGGATGTCGTAGCAGATGGCTACTGCGATCCTGCCGTACTCGGGTAGGTCGATGAGGGTGAGTTTGTTGCCGGGCGAGAGGACTTCGCTCTCGTGGAAAGAGATTTTGCCGGGGATGTCGATGTCGAAGAGGTGGACTTTGCGGTGGGTCGCGAGGAGCTTGCCGTTGGGGTCGAAGGTGAGGGAGGTGTTGTAGTATTTCTTCGTCTCGGCCCAGTATTCGGGGATGCTTCCCCCGACGAGGTAGGATTTGGATTCTTTGGCCATCTCGGAGAGAGCGTGGAAGGAAGGGGATTGCTCTTTAGTGGGAGGGGAGGGGAGGAGTGTTTCGGCATATTTTGGGAAGTATTTGGTGCCATACGGAGAGTTGAAGCATTCTGGAAGGACGACGATGTTGGCGCCGTTGGACGTTGCTTCTAGCACTTTTGATCGTGCTCTTGAGAGGTTCGCAGACTTGTCACTGCCGGCGGCTAGCTGCACGAGAGCGAGCTTGACTGACTTCTTAAGTAGCTTAGACATAGCGTCGCGGAGGATGGAGAGAGAAAGGTCAGTGAGGTGAAAGTTGAATTATAGTTCCTTGCCTGATGTAAATGGGATGTATGGTACCAAGTCGTCAGTATGTGTCTGTTGTGCTGACGAGGGTTAAATAAGTGGGAGGTTGAAGTTCTGCTGGCCGAAGTCGCAGCTGGAAAGATGGTATCCTTGGCATGAACATACCCGACAGTGGAAGACCAGAAGCACCAAGATGTTTACAACTACACCCTTGCGTTATTCATGTCATATCTACCTGAGCTATTGGTATAATCACATCTCCCATCCATCCATTCGAAGCAATTCCTGGGTATCAATACTGTAGTCTCGTTCCTTGCGCCATGATAAACGCCTGCGAAGAGCCGTCATTACCCTCAGCATCGTTGCAGAGCAATTCCCCTCTGTACTCTCAAATGCGTCCTGATCCTGCCCTGTTCCCCTCTAGCGATCGTTGCGCGGCACATACTGCACCCTCTGCGAAGCGTTGCGCGTGACGCCGAAAAGATACGCCAACTCCTGCACACCCAGACGAGCGAGATTCTGCCCGTCCTTCTCATCAAGCGCCTTGCTGATCAACTCCCTCTTCTTGTCCTGCAGCGCGATGATGCGGTCCTCCACCGTCGCCTCAATGAGCATGCGATGCACCTTCACCGGACGTGTCTGTCCCAGACGATGCGCGCGGTCGATAGCCTGCTCCTCAATGTACGGGTTCCAGAAGGGATCGAGAATGATGACTTGCGACGCCATGTTGAGGTTGAGACCTGCGTTGCCGGCTTTGAGTGAGACCAGCATAATGCGCACGTTCTTGCGTGAGTCGCGGAAGTCGTCGACAGCGTCGTTGCGCATTGACGCGTTCATGCTCCCATCGTAGCGGCGGTAGCCCCAGCCGCGCTCATCGACCGGCACCTCCAGCAGGTCGAGCAAAGAAGTCCACTGGCTGAAGATGAGGACCTTCTCGCCTTCCGGATCATTCATGATCTCGTCCAGGATTTCCAGCGTCTTGGTGATCTTGGCGGATGAGATCCAGCTATCGCGGAGACGGCGCATGTAGGCCCTCTTCGCTTTGGCGTTGCGGCTCGCCAGTTTCTTCAGCTCGGCCAGCGTGGCGGGCTTGTTCGACTTCTTGACCTTCTCCTTCTTCTTGCCCTTCGCCTTCTTGGAAGCCTTGGGCTTCTTCGTCTTCGGTTTCGCTGGTGCTTTAGACGGACCTGCCTCCGCACCCTCCTCCCCATCGTCTTCAGAAGCTTCGTCATCTTTCGCATCGTCGTTAACAATGAAGCCTCTGAGGTTGCCTTTCGAATCGACGTCGTTGCCAGTGTCTGTCTCGGAATCATCAGAGTCCGTATCTGAATCCGCTGCGGCTTCCATGTCTGCTTGGAACTGCTCGAGCTCGGCTCTCTCCTCTGCAGTGAGAAGGTCGGGCATGTGCACTTTCTTGAAGGAGTCAAAGTCCGTGATGCGCTTCGGGTCCACGGCCCCACGGCATGTCGGGCACTTCGCAGTGGTCGCATTCTCGTTACCATCTCTAATGGCATTCGCTGGATCTGCGATCTTGGCGAAGCACTCACGGCAAGTGTCGTGGCCGCAAGGCAAGAAGATGGCCGGGTTGGTGACGGCGTCGTAGCATACGGGACATTCGAAGTTACCTTCAGTCTCCTTGATACGGGCGACGACGGCGTCACTGAGCTCCCTCGCCAAGTCCACAAGCTCTTCGGGCGCCATGCCCGCGGCTGCTGCAACGCCAAAGTCCTTGATGAGATGCGGATGGCAACATGCCTGGCGTAGTCGCAAGAGAAGGACGAGAATGGCGGAGTAGCTCTTGCCGACAGTACCGGCCTGGAGATATCTGTTGAACTGGAGCTGGGTCCGTGACTCAAGCGCATCGTAGAACTCTTTCTCGGCATCATCAAACACCGGATTGTTGACCTCAGTGGTCCGTTCCGGCAGAATCAAGATAGGTTGACCCTCAAATTCGCTCTGCTTCGTGCGTCGAAGCATGACCGCTCTCAACAGGCCTTGAAGCTTTTGCATGGCGCTGTCCTTGCCCCAATCACGCGTCTGCTTCAATGGGCCGGAGATGTCGACACGGAACTTGGTCCATTCGTTGTACGGTCTGATACGCAGGAACTTCACCAACGAGAAGAATTCTTCGACACCGTTCATCATCGGAGTGCCGGTCATGCAGAAGCGATATGTGGCGTTGAGGTGGCAGGCCGCCTTCGCAGTCTGCGTGTTGATGTTCTTGATGCACTGCGCTTCGTCCAGAATGACACGATACCATCGAGCCTCGTCGCCGAGAAGGGCACACTTTTCGCTGTTGGTTGGTTTGGCTTGAGACTCCGGGAATCGCTTTCTGCGGAAAGTGTAACTCTCCAACTTCTTAAGCTCCACGCTCAGACTCCCGTAGGTGGTCAGCACAACGTCGTAGTGCTGCAGATCGCGGAAGTCCTTCCTCTTGGAAGGGCCGTGCTGAACGTAGACGCTGAGACGATAGCGGGACTTGATCTTCTGTTCGATCTCTTGCTGCCACTGGCGCATGAGTGCTAACGGAGCCACGATCAATGTCGTCTTGCGCCGTGGATCTTCTGACTTGCGTGTGACGAGCAGGGAAAGCATCTGTATGGTCTTTCCTAAGCCCATGTCGTCAGCGAGAACGCCACCTTTGTTCGAACCATCTTCACACTTCTGCAGCCACGTGAGACCAAGCTCTTGGTACTTGTGAAGCTTGATGCTCATCTGTTCTGGGGTGGAGACACGCAGATGTTCCGGCATCTCTTCGTCAGGTCGGATGTTCTCAAGCAGTGCGTTGATCTCCTCTGTAGTCTTCGCAGGATCGTAGTTCGCAATCTCTTCAGCACGACGACGATACAGATCCTCATATCCAGCATAGGGCGCTTGCGGGGCGGGTATGCCAGCCTGCAATGGACGCGAGCCGCCAAACACCACATCGTTGTCATCTTGGTCCGATTCAGGATATACTGGGTATGCAGGCCCAAGTATGGAGCCGTTGATCATGCTGCTCAGCTCCGCAAATTGGTCGCCCATCATGTTAGTGGCGTTCTTCATACCGTTCACGGCAGTGGAAATGCCCGGAGTGCTCTGCATCCAGCTGTAGTTGCTTTGAGGTGTGGGTATGTTCGAGTTGGGAATAGTCGGATTACCGTACACGTACTGCGCCCCGTTGCTGTTAGTCATGGGGTACGCTCCGGGCATTGGTGGTCGCTGTGGTGCCGCTGGGTACTGTGGCGGCTGATATGGATTTGACGGCTGTACGTTGGAAGAGCTACCGTATTGACTGCCCGCGGTTCGCAGACCAAACTGGCTTTGTGGCATGCCATGCGGTCGAGTGGGAACACCCTGGACTCCAAGTGGGCGGCTGTTCGGCGTGACAGCACTACGTGAGATCTCGGTGACATCGTCGTCGTCGTCACTGTTAGTGAGGTCGATGACGTCCATGCGGCCAGGACGGTGCGGAACTTGCTGATGCTGCCGCGACGAACCCGCTTCGGGCTTGATGTACGGCGACGGCGATTGGGGTGCGAGCTTGCGCTGTGTGAAAGAGCCTGGTGACATCTTCACATCTGGTGTTTGCTGGGGGCGCTGTGGTGGACGGTGATACGAGCCACCGTAGTTGAGTGTGGTCTGTACACCTGGTCTCGAGAAGGAGGAAGATTGCGTGCGAGGCTGTTGCATGGAGCGCGCCATTTCCTCATCAGCAGCTTCCCGCTCACGTCTCGCCTGCAACGCTGCCTCCGCTTCCAACTGTCTCCGCCGCGCGCGCTCGGCGTGGTCTCCGGTGCTATTGCCTGGATGCTCAACCATCTCAAACGATTCTGTCGAGGAGGATGTTGGAGTTCCCGCATTCGAGGGCTCGGGCGTCGCTCGCTTGTTGGAAGGATGGTAGGAGTCATTCTGCAGCGACTGTGGGAACGACCGCTTCAGGCCACCGGAGCTGTGCTGTTGGTATGGGTCACCATACGAAGGGCTGGCTTGGTACCCGTTGTAGTTGCTGGGACCGCCATTCTGTATCGGCTGCCACCCGCTCATGCTTTGCGTGGGTGTCTGGCTCTGGCCAGGCTGTGACGATGTTGCTTGCGAGCCACTCTGAGAGGCCTCCAGACGCTGCTCCAGTTCCGCCTTCTTGTTCTCGAGCTCAGCAAGTCTCTCTGCGTAGTCGTCGGCTCCTGCGTCAAGGCTGCCCATCAGAACTTCTTGAAACACCAGCTCTTCCTCAATCTCATCGCGGGATGCGTTGGCAGACAGCGACGAGGCCATCTTAAATAGCTGCTTGCTTGCGGGGCGCGAAGACGCCTTGGCGATGTTCGTGCGACAACTCTTTGCTCATCGACACATGGTGCGTCGGTGTTCAGGCGTGGTACTGCGACGTGTGCGTGAGGTTCATGCTCGGCCAGCCCGACGGCGCTTGTATCAGGCTCTGCGCGCACTCATGTGCAAGCTCGAGGCTGTGAGCTTCCGGAGCCTGCGGAATGGTGCAGTGCAGTACGGGAAGGAAGGTTCGCGCAAGGCTTTGTTAGAACCTAAGTTTGTACTGAGGCCACTCACGCGTCGAAGGCTGACGTGACGTCTCCGCAAAAGGCACTTGGCTACGAGCAGGAGCTTACCCACGACTTCACCTGCTCTTTTCTACAGCATTCACATCAAAGTTCACGTGCTTTCACCATCTCAGCGAGGTACACAATGCATTGCAGGTGAGACCACATGGCAAGCGGTGCTATGGAGCCTGGAGAGCTCTCCTATGGTAATCAGACTTGTGGTATCCATAACTTCAATGCGCTCTCTTCAGGACAGGACAGAATGGTGAAGAGCCTTCCGTGAGGCCTGGTGACGGTGAATTATGGAGCACCGAACCTATCTGAAATCTATCACTTTTCTCCAGTACCGACCGTTCGGACGTCTGGCTACCAACCACTGCTGTGTCACCATGTGCCGTCCATCTCCACAATGCAGGCCTGCCCAAAGTCTCCCGAGTACGAATGGCCAGCGACGACAGTTATCGTCCAGAAAACGTTCATGAAGAGACGCTGCTGCCGCGCCACAGATCACAAACATGACAAAGACCTCATGGACGGTATCACTACCACAGCTGGCTTGGACGTCTTCTTCAAATGTGCAAACGAACCGAGACAATCCGTGAGGGCCCACGTGTGACAAAGGTAGTACAAGCAACAACTTCCCCATCAATGCGCTTCCCACTTGTTCTTCTCGACGGCGTCATTGTCAGTACCAGAGTTTTCTGTGTGGAGTTTAGGTAAGAAGTGCAAACGCGACCTCACTACATGCAGGCGCCCGTGATGGGTGAGACTAAGTCTGCCACGTTTTTTTGTTTCATTGTTCTCGTGTCTTCCAACTTGACGCGCAGAAATACATTTGAAGATTCCACGATGAGGTGACGTGCCACGAACCAAGATCCAAAGATCTGCCTCCCGATTTCTCACCTGTCATTCTCGCAGATATGGGAGGCCCAACCTGGCTGTCAAAGGTACTCCCTTGTTGCATGACATCGCGGACAGATCAACCACAACCAGCGCCACCAGTCGAGATGACTCTGATGGAAGCGGTCAACATGGACGCCAACTCCGTCAAATCACCAGCTTCTAGGACAGCAACGCTTCGCACCGTCCTGCGCAAAGCACCACCCACCAAGACCACCGCAAACGATACGCACAACCACGAACGCGACAACAGCGATACGATCACACCCTCCTCCGCGACCAAATCTCAGTCCGCCGAATCGAGCGCCAAACCAGAAGCCAAAGCAGCACCAGACCAGGACGAGATCACACCAGCGCCACCACGCACGTCTGGCCCAAACACTCCTGGGCCATACATGCGTACAGCTGACCTGCCAAAAAAGATCCAGGACGCGATGGCTTTCCAGGCGAACGTGGCGAACGCGATTGCGGACCGGCAGGAGCTGTTTAGGCGGTTGAGGACAAAGCCACAGCCGGCAGAGGAGAGTGGGGAGGCGGATGGGCTGCTGGCGGGACAGGAGAGGCAGGTGGAGAGGCAGGTGGAGGCCGAGCCGCCGACGCCGACGCCGACGCGTGGTGGGAGGAGACGTAAGAAGACGGTGTCATTGTGAACGAGCGAGGTCTGTCTTCACCTGTTGGCTGGCCAGGGCGTGCGTTTAGGATAGAAGCTGACGAGGTGCAGGCTGTACACAAACCATCGCGAGCGCCACAAACTGCGACTTCCCACGACCGCAACCAAAGCTAGATGAGACGACAGACTATGTAAATCTACTTGTTCTGGTTCACCGGCTACGCCATAATGATCGTTGAGCGGACGGGTGTGGCAAGACATCGGCGTAGGCAGAAATTGAGATGCTTCCAGAATGATGTGAAAGCAAGCAGAGAGAATATTTCTGCCAGTGGGTATCTTCGATAGAGCTCATAATTCATCACGCAAACTTATCATGCTTCCCCTTTACCTTAACGTCAAGCATAACTTCATGATAATCACCCTCTCTCCTTGCCTTCTTCAGCCGCTTGACCTCATCATCCTCAAGCCGTCTGCCAACTTCATCCTCCAGCTCCTTCCGGCTGATCTTCGCCCTGACCTTCTCCGCCTTCTCCACCTTATGCTTGGGCTTGAACCGCGCCTGCATTCTGATTCTGATATGTGCTGCGTCCCCTACCTCTGCCGCATCTCCCCTGACCTCCGGCGGAGACTTCTCGTCGTCCACCGCAAAATACGTAGACCTCCCCGTGCGTATATCAAACATCCCAGCCTCCGCCTCAGAAGGCGAACACCGGAAAGTCTCCTCCGGCGATATAGCCTCCCTCGTCGCAGAACAGATGCCATATTGATCGCAGCCCAAGTATCTTCCATGATGTCCTTTGAATGTGAAGTCGCCGTCCGAGCCAACGACTCTTGTCGCGATCCAGACCTGCGAGACGAGATGGGGTTCTGCTGTTGAAGGCGCATCTTCTACCATGTTCTCTACTGGGCTTGCGTGGACTTTGCCGAATGCATCGGTCGCTAGGCATGTCAAAGGGTCGGTGGGCAGGACGAGCATGACGGGTCCTGAGATGTCAGACAGCGCGTCTGCGGAAACCCAGTTGTCATCGTCGTCCGGAGCCTCGTCTGCTGCGGGGACGAGTTGTTTTGATGTGGGTGCTGCATCGTCTTGGGCTTCGTTGGCGGTTCGTTTCCGCTTCTTGGAGGGCTTCTTCTCGCCTTTGAAGGTTAATGCCTTGACCATTTTGACCACTATTGTTCAGCTTCAAGTCATCTGCTCGGTCGAGAACATGTGAAATGCCCGCAACTGCCTTCCTGGGAAAATAGCTCGCTTAGAACCACACTAGCCACATTGAGCTCACCCCCGCGGAGCTCTAAACTCCGATAACCCCACGTCAACCCAGAACGTTTTCCAACCAGCTTGAGCTTCCAACCTTCACAACCACGCACCAAGACATGCCAACGGAGGCAGCCTCAACCCCACCATGCGTCTCCGTCTCCGCATAGAGCGCAACTCACTCCCGACCACACAAGCCCTGTGGCCAGTCAAAGAACGTAAGTCTACCATTGCTCAACTGCTTCAGCACATCAACGAGGTGTTTCCTCTCGAAGGCGACACATGGGGTTTGGAGGACTACAGCGTGGCAGTGGGCGGCTATGAGTGTTTGCACTATCACGAGATAGAAGCGGTCTGCAAGGAGGATGATGAGGTGACGATCAAGCCGTTGCAATGGGTGGATGTGAGGTCGAGGAGCTTGACCGGGCGCAACCAGATTTCAGCGGATGGGAAGCATTTGGTGGATGGTGTGCCATTTGGCAGGCCGTGCTTGAGGAACCCGGTCAGGCCTGATGTGAGGATTCCGCCGAGGAAGAGAAGGAGGTTGCTGGAGGGCGAGGCAGTGGGTGGGGAGGGTGATGCTTTGATGCTCACTGAGAACGGGGAAGAGCTGGACGAGGACGACGAGGACGACGAAGACGACGAGGACTTCGAAGACGAAGGAGGTGAGAAGGTCGGCTCTGCTGACACTTCTGCTTCCGAGAAGGACTCTGAATCTAGCAGTGATTCCGACAGCGACAGTGACTCCAGCAGTTCCGAGAGCAGCTCTGACGACTCCAGTGAGAGCGAATCAGAGTCGGAGGTAAGTTGCTGCTCTTCCTGCCATCCAAAGTGGCGGTCACCACAACTAACAAGACGAGCGTACAAAGCAGGCCGCGCCAAACCAATCGAACGGCACCGCAGCTTCTCGCAAGCGCAAGCAAGCACAGAACGGGACCAGCCGGCCCAGAACTACTACTGCTACCGCCACGATGAACGGCACCTCGAATCTGCCCTTCCAAGGCATGGAGAAGACGAAGACGCGCAACGAGAGGCGCCGTGAGAAGAAAAGATTGACGTTCATGAAAGAGAAAGGGGTCCTGTTTCCGGACGCTACCTTGGCAGACATGCGACTGTACGAGGAGACCAACCCGGGCTGGAAGGCCAAGCTCTCACAGCCAGAGGGCAAGGACACTGAAGAGCCAGAGTCGCTAGCCGGCTCCGTAGCTCAAGCGGCCAACCAGGACGTCGCGGATATGGAGGAGAACACGGAAGTCGACGGCGCAGGATTGGACGGCCATGAGGTCGAGGCAGCAGAAGCGGCACCACACACGGGAACGTCCCATTCGGACACCAAAGGCAAGAAGAGAAAGAGGCCGTATGATGATGCGGACACATCAAAGGTGCAGGACCGTGAAGAGATGGACAATAAACGCAAGAATCTGCTGTCCGAACTCGCATCTGGCGGAATCGACGTAACTCCGAAGCAGCAGCCCAACAAGCGCACGAAGCGTGATCAACTCGATGCGGAGGAGGCCGATGGCCCGCCCACTGAGCTCAGCTCCAAGCGCCAGGTGATGACGCCGCTGGATTCGTCGATGGAAGAGGATGTTGCGACGGGCCAGAACGAAGCGTCAATCGCAACAAAGTACCCTCCATCGCGCATTGCAAGGTTCGACATTTCAAACGTGAGCCGGATGGTGTATGGCAGCTTGGGTGTCAGAAGTCCAAAGACACAGGCAGACCGTGATCGCTTGCAGAAGAAGCTCGCAGACGGATCAAACCGCGGCAAGAAAATCAACAAAGCCAGCCCTCTCTTGGAGCAATCGACGACACCAGGAGCAGCAGAGGAGGACGGGGAAGATTGGCGACAGAAGATCCATCTGACCGCGGTTGAGTGTATCGACGAAGGCATCACCCTCTCGGAGCCTCCATTTCCGTTCCTCCAGCGCTGGCACCCACAGCAAAGGAGGAAGAAGAACGGCAAGCGCGACTCGGGAGCGTACATGAACAAGCGCGGTCGTGGTGGAAAGAACAGGTACGAGGCGTTCCAAGAGACATACGACAAGTACAACACCAAATCAGGCAGCGATGCGCTCGACTACGACGATCCTGTGGAAGACGATGAGTACTGGGAGGAGGGAGCACTGCTCGGTGACGATTACGAAGAGGAAGCAGAAGAGGATGATGGATTCCCAGCCATGCCAGAGGACATCGCTGAGTACCCAACACTCCTCGAGAGCGAAGAAGCGAAGGTTGGCGATTTCGTGGCGTTCTCCGAGCTGGCGTGCGACCACAGCACCAATTGGGAGCCGAAGATGGTCACTCGTCTCGTCAAGGTCGCGGAGAAGCTCGAGGGAGGTCGCTGTGTTCTCCAAGCGCCGAACAGTGATCGTAGGGCTAAGGTGTTCGACAGGGATGGGAACAGAGTCTATGGTAAGTTCGAGATGCCGGATGAGGACGAGACGGAGGAGGATGAGGGGTTGAAGGAGGTCGGGTGGGCTGAGTTGGGGGAGGTGAAGCTGGTGTCTCGCGGGTAGGGAAGGGGGGAGGGGGGTGTGTGTAGCGTCCGCTGTGGTGGGATGGGGCTTGTTGCTTGCTGGGAGAAGGGGTTGGTGGTGTGCCCTTGTTGATACTCCTTGCTGCTGACGGTAAATAGCTGTCTACAAACCATCGATCAGATCCTCCTGTTCCACAACATCTTCAGCTTCATGCTGTGTGATGGTTTTTGTATGAGTATGGCGCTCTGATCGACCATAACAACACATGTCTTCGGAAATCGCCAATGGATGGCTCGACACAGTCACATTCAGCTGATTTCTATGAGCACAATCGGATGAACGGCTTGCGAACCGTTACCCTGTCAGAACCGTTAGAATAGATTGGCTTCTGTCGATCATAAGATCTGCCACGGAGCGTCTGCCGGCCCTAATAAGATATTTCTCCGCCCTCTAGTTTTTCACGAACAACTGGTGAGCTGAATCTTGCACTATAGGGAGTACGGATACTCGAGATGCCAGAACCGTCCAGCTGGTGAACCGGATCAACAACGTCGAATCCTCAACGCACCCACGAGTCGTGCTGAGTGCGATCCATCTTCACATGGGTGACAGCGGACGTGCACTGCCTTCGGTAGTCGCCGACACCTTCTAGCCGGCATTTCGATACGTCGCCGAGACTGCTTCATGGATCCTTAGTTCTGGACGTCGAGACGCTGCTTGGAGGCCATGGGCACTGCGCGCGGTCTTCCCTGGACGTAGCATCGCTTCCTGTGATATGCCAGTGCTTGTATTAACCAGCAACACGACTCGAGTCACACGAGCAGTCTTAAACGAATCGCTCAAACGCGCCAGGTTTCCCTGGCCTGTCGTCGACGAACGCCGTTGGGAGACATTGCTTAAGCTTCATCAGGGGGGTTCCTTCGTTCCTGCAGCTACTGCAAGGCACAGACATGTGATTGGATGAATGTAAAGATAGCCGCGCAGAAGAGGAAATTTAGCTGCACGGACTCGAAGGACCTCCGTCCGACCAGGGGAGTTGAAGAACACCGCCGCCAAAGAGGTTTGCGCCCCGGAGGCGGCAAGGTGGTAGCGCTATCCGACTTATCCAGACCTCCACCGCCAGCCCCATGCCTCTCCTGGCCAAGGATGGCGGTCCTTCAGGAGGCACCTCATTCGCCTGTTACTCCATCCCTAGGCACGCTCATCTCGCGTAGCCAGCAGCGTCCAAGAACGTCCTCTCTAGTGAGTCGGGGCGACTATCCGTGGGAACGATAAAGCCCTCGCAGATCCCACGTTCTACTATTCTTCTCTGCTCCAACTGTCAACTGTCAATCACCGCATCCCCTTTCGTGCCTTCACAGTTCATACCAACTCACCACAAGTCATTCGTTCAACAACAAACAACCCATAAAACCAAAAATGCTCTCCAAGACCATCATCGCCTCGGCCGCTCTGGCCACCGCCGTCGCCGCATACGACCTGCCTGTCTGCTGGAGCTCCTGCTTCGAGCAGTACGAAGTCGAGTCTCAGGGCTGCCTCTGCAAGGACGGTCTCGGCGAGGTCGTCTCCAAGTGTGTCGCGGCCGGCTGCAGCGAGTCGGACAACTCTTCCTACGAAACATGGCTGTCTAGCTACTGCCACGCCGCGCCCGTCTCCAGCAACACCTGGCCCGTCCCCTCCAGCACATACGCCATCCCATCCTCCTCGGCCTCGCTCCCACCAGTCTACTCCAGCCCAGTAGAGTCCTCGTCGAGCGCGCCGGCACCCCCACCATACTCTGCGCCTCCGGTCTCGTCCGCGCCAGTCCCATCTTCCGCCTCGGCCGTGCCATCAGAGAGCTACCCAGCCCCAGTCTCCTCATCCGCACCGATGACCTCCGGCTCCACAAGCATCTGCACCGAGAGCACAACCATGATCTGGCGCTCGACCACCATGACCGCCCCAGTCACCATCACCCACTACCCAGGCAGCCCGACGGGCTGGGCCACCTACCCAGGAGGCAACGCCACTTCATCCGCAGGCCCTGCCAGCACTGGCGGTGTCTCCCCACCAGCCTACTCAGGCCCACCGGCCACCGGCGGTGCCGCGCGCGTCGGTGCCGGTGTCGCCGCTGCTTTCGGCGGTCTCGCTGCCATGCTTCTTTGAGTGGATGGATGTGGTCCAGTTCTTTACTCGCTTTAGCGTTGTTGGTGGTATGGTGTTGGTCCTAACGGTCGAAGCGATGACGGACAATTTAATGTCTTTACAATACCCCATGGTTTAGGAGAGTTTAATTGAGATTCAGATATCAGTTCGCTTCTCACTTCCATGTCGTGCAGTAGACGTTCACGGTGCTGTCGGGTTTGTTTGTAAGCATTACACAGTCAGTGACAGCAAGGTAGGCCTCTTAGTGAGTTCGTCTTCTCTCCATCAATGATCAAGGTAAAGTCGTGTGCTCATATCATCAGTCATCATTCATCTAGGCTCATCATCTCAGAGAGTAGACCACACACCTCGACATCACTTCTACATGTCAGAAACATCAATGTATCCTGCCTCACTGCTCCCTCTCCCACAGCCCTGCCGCACTCCCATTGAAACCCAGATCCGTCACTCCAATCTCCTCACTCTCGAACCGACCCACCAAATCCGGCTCCAACGCCTCCAGTGGCAACTTCATACCCTCCTCATACGTCTGACCAAAATACATCGCCTTGTGCCCCTCACCCGCTTCAGCCCGTCGAGCAACACGAGTCCTCAGATCGCCGCTCGCGGCTTCGCTCTGCTCGCCTGCAAAGCCACCACTCCCCTTCTTGCCTTTGAGCTGCAAGCGGACGCCTTGTACGCTTTCGCGGCTGGGGTCGCGGTCGGCGAAGTTGTGCGGGACGAACATGACGCTGGAGGCGGAGGTGTGCATGAGAGTGTTGGGGATGTCGCCGCTGTGTGCTATATCACAGGTATTAGTTACTAAGATCCGACTTGTCTTTGGGCTGTACTCACGCAAATGATGCGCCCCCAAGTTGAAGTAGACGACCAAATCGCCGTCATACTCCGAACCCTCGCCGTGCTTCAGCGTCTCGTGATTTGCCATCTTCGTGAAATCAATCAAGGGATCATGCGGCGCGAAGTAGTTGAGTGGGTCGGCTGAGCGAGGCTCATTGTCCTTGCGCTGCAGGACCCAGAGGTCACGTTCGGCCCACCTGGCGCTGTCGCCGAGGGTAGTCGAGTTAAGGATGGTGAGATGAGGCGGCGAGCCCATGCCAGTGCCAGCGGCGATTCGGTAACCTTTGCGCTCGCCCCAAGCTGGCATGTCATGTCAGCGATTCACTCATTACGTCCATCGTATCGTGTCTTTGTGGAAGACGCCGGGGACACTCACCATTCTTCTCCTCCGAGCTCATAACGACATAGAACTCCCCACCATTCTTTGGCCAATCCATGGCCGTCTCCTTCTCTACAGGATACTCGACAATATGCATAGTATTCCTCTCTTCGATCTCTGGCCCATCCCAGGGATAGCTCTTCGTCAGCGGCTCCCAAGCCAGCCGAACTATGTCATTTTCCTGTGTGGCAACATCCAGATCCGCTTTGAAATTGATGACATGGTCGTGCATACTGCTGGAGAGAGCCTCCTGGATCCGATGGCCGTACTCGTCTTCATTCGTGTGTGCAAAGAACGAACCAAAGATGAACCCGGATGCCCGTATCTTCACTTCGATAGCGCCGTCGAGGTAGAAGATGTATTCGATGGTGTAGTCGTAGTTGCCTACCGTTGAAACCGATCTGACGACCAGGTAGGTGTTCCGCGAAGCCGTGACTGAGTACTGCGCACTGTGGCGAGATAGCAGATGATCGGCAGTATACTCAAACAGGCAGATCGAGTTCGGATGCTCGTAGGAGTGAGTCGTCTGATGGAACCTCGAATCCAGGTAGTCTGCGTATGCCGGACAGTCGTAGCCAGGCACCAGCTCAAACATGTTCAGTCCCATCCCAAAGAAAGAGTCCATAAACTCAAGCCCGCCTTGCATTGGGTCATCGCCAGCATAATGTGCCATGGCCTCCTGGAGGCCGAGCTCGTACATCACCCGCTTGCCTTTGAATCTGATATCAAAGAGTGTCAACCCGGTGGCTTGGGCGGTGGTGATGTAGAACTCGAAGCCGAACCAGGAAACGAATTTCTGTTCTTTATCCAGTCTATATCTGGGACCATACGGCTGGACAGCGACCGGCGGCGGCAGCTCTCGCCCTGCAGGTTTAGATTCGAAATCCTCGGTGTCCGTCCAGGACCCATCTTGGTTTATGCCGGCGCGGGAGAAGTCTGGCTTTTGCCACGCTTTGCGGAAGTCGTTCTCAGTGTCGTATAGATATCCGTTGTAATAGAACTGCCCGGCTGTCCAGTCATCAGTGTTGTGGCTACTAGCATCAACCTTGACGTATATCCCTTGTGGTAGGATAGTCCGAGCACCAGAAGCAGTTCCAGGCCTGAAGAACTCAAACCACATCGACAGCCCACCGCGCTCAATTCTAGAAGGCCGCGGCCAGCAGAGCAGTCCCTTCGGATCTGACGGGTCGTTTCGATTGACCACAGCGCCAAGCAGATCTTGAGTGATATCAGACACATTCTCAGCCAGCGACAATCCGAATTCCATGATTGCAAAGAAGTCCTGGACGGGGTTTGCGACATAATTGCGCCCAGAGTTGAAGACGTAGTCCAGTGGCAGTACCTGGGTGTCTGAACCGACGGGCAGCGGTCCCACCATGTAGTGGACCATATAAGGCTCGTCTTCCATGACCTGCGCTACCCTGGCCATTGCCCATCGTTCCGGAATGGCAGCATCGTCGCGCAGATAGGGGACGGCATCGGTCTTGTTGGGACGAAGAGTTTCTAGTACGACGATGAAGTTCTCCCGGTTGCTCTTTGGATGTTTCGTTAGATTGAGGTATGAGAGCTCGTCGAACACGAATTCGTAGACGTCTTTGGCTTCCTGGTTTGACAGCTCTGACCAGATGTTCTCCTTGGGTGCTTGGAAGCTGTTTTTCTGTTTTGTCCGGAGTCGGTCATCGATACCAGTATTGCTGAAAGGGAAGAGATAGAAACATGTCAATACGGCCAAGGAGCACGTCGAGATGAGCAAGACCAGTGGCCTCGTTCGTAGTTCCATTGCACCGACGAGGAAGACGAAGTCTCACGATTGAGTTCGATTGATCAATTAAGAATGCATGTTGAAAGCCATCGAAGTGTTAACGTAAGAGTGGTGGTCGAGATAAGATTGAGCGTGCACCTGCCTGATAGAGCGTAGATTCGGAGTTCGAAAGACAATGCCAACTCCGACCACGCATAATCATCAGTGGCTGCGAGCATCTTTGTAAGACTGTGCGATGAAATGGTCCAGTTGATCTTATGAGGGTTCGATATCCAAACAACATAGAACTCATATCGTCTGCAATTTCAGGCGCTCCTTCAACGACACCTGACAGTGCGGCTGAATCAGGCCAAGGTGAAGCTTCTCCGGGCTTGATGAAGCAATTCGAGCCACTTCCAGGTCGAGTCCGTTGCGTCTGAACTCGTACAGAGTCGGAAGGGGGATACTGTACGGCCTTCAATATCAGGCTTCTGCTCCCGTCTCGCGAGGGCTGGTCTCATTGGTGCCCACAAGCACCTCGCAAAATACTCCAGTCCAGGCCGCATCTCCAACTTTCGCCCCGCAGCCAACATCAACACCTTCCTGTAACAAGCAGGCGTTAAGAGATGCCAAGCGTCTTGGTGATCGTGAGTTTGTCTTCAGCGGCCGCCTCAAGGCCATAGGATGCAAATGGACCCCACTGGTGGTGAGGGGATGGCCTAGATATAAACACAGTAGGTCGCTCTCACGGTAAGTCGCCCTTTCCTCACGATTTTGCATCCTCGTTTGTCCAACAGTCATGCGTTTCCATCTCCTAGCTTTCCTGCCTTTGGCGCTCTCTACGGTTCTTCCGCGCGATGATGCAGTAGATTATGAGGGCTACGAAGCCTTCCGTATCAACACGCATGGAGACGGAGGTGCCGTGAAGACCCAGCTCTCCTCCATCGACTACAAGCAATGGAACTACCGCGTTGACCAGCATCTCGATATTGCCGTGCCAGCGGAAGATTGTGCGAAGTTCAAGCAGCTCGGTCTTGAATGGGAGCAGATGCACAAGAACTTGGGACAGTCTATCAGGGAGGAGAAGCAGTGGAAGAAGTATCCAGGTGAGGACGCTGTTTAGCAAGCTATTACCACGCAGAGCTGACGATTGCACAGGCAGGAAGCCGGACGAACTTCCAGACGACTCGTGGTTCGACAGCTACCATCCGTACGAAGACCACAAATCCTTCTGGGAGGACTTACACGCTGCATTCCCCAAGAACTCAAAGATGATTAGCTCTGGTACCTCTGTGCAAGGACGTGACCTCTTCGGCCTAAAGCTGTATGGCAGCGGCAACCACAACGTTCAGAAGCCCGCTATCATCTGGCACAGCAACGTGCACGCCAGAGAATGGATCACATCAATGACCGTAGAGTACATTGCCTACCAGCTCATCGAAGGCTACGGCGGTTGCAAGGGCAGCAAACCAGACGCCGAGGTTCAGAGTCTCTTGGATACATACGACTTCTACCTGATCCCCTTTGTCAACCCCGACGGCTTCGTTTACTCCCAAGAGGTCGACAGACTCTGGCGCAAAAACCGCTCCTCTCCACCACCAGGCGCAAACCAGACCTGTTACGGCACAGACGTCAACAGAAACTGGCCGTGGAAATGGAACGTTATCCGTTTCGGCTCCTCGCCCGACCCGTGCGAAGAAGACTATCGTGGCGAAGCACCGGGTGATACGCCAGAGAACCAAGGTATGACCGCCTTCATCGACAGCATCGCCAAAGAGCAACCGATCAAATTCTACGTCGACTGGCACAGCTATGGCCAGTACATCCTCACCCCCCATGGCTGGTCCTGCAAGATCGTCGCCGAGAACAGCGAAGAGCAAGTCGATCTCGCCGAGGAGGTGCAGGAGGTGATAGCAAGTGTGCATGGGACGAACTTCACTTACGGACCCATCTGCGAGACGCTGTATGCGGTGAATGGCGGCAGCACGGATTACGTTTACGACATTGCTGGGGCAGAGTACTCGTGGGCTTTTGAGGTGAGAGACGAAGGCAAGTTTGGGTTTGTGCTCCCGAAGAGGTTTATCAGGCCAGTTGGGGAGGAGATGTGGGAGGGTGTAAAGTATGCTATCGCGAACATGTGACGCAACGACATGTAGGTGTTTAAGCTGTATCACAGCAGATGTGCAGCCAGAATCTCAACATCACGCCTCATCATAGTGCGACTGTGAAGACCTCTGCTAGATCTAACAATTGCCACCCCATTCATCGCATGCTGTAAGGTGCGACTTCGTGCTTAAGCGACGCTTGCCACTCCTTAAAGCACCCGATCGACCATCTCAGGCACATCAGGCGACACTAGCACCTTCTCAATGACCTGCAGTGTCGCCCTCATCGGCAGACCAACAACATTGTCGAAGGTCCCATCGATCTTCTCAACTAAGATCGACCCGACACCTTGAATGCCATATCCGCCAGCCTTATCCGCACCCTCTCTGGTCCGCACATACGACAGTAACAGCTCGTCCGTCACGCTCGAGTCGAACTTGACGTCCGTCTCTTCCACGTGCGTCTCAGTGGCATATCCAGGGTCCATCGCCGACTCCAGCGGCACCACGGCAACAACCGCAGTGTAGACTTTGTGCCAACCGCCATTACCGTCACGAAGCAGCTTGAGCATAGCCATATGTTCCTTCTCATTTCTCGGCTTCTCCAGAATCTGTCCCATGCTCGTGCTCACGACCGTATCGGCTGCCAGGACTAACGCGGGCTCGCCTTTCGGTGAATCGATCTGCGCTTCGTATACATTCAAGGCTTTCTGCTGCGCCGTCTCGAGGACATACTCGAAGGGTGCCAGCGACTTGCTCTTGTCTTCTGGAACGGTGGAAGGTATAATCTCGAGGTCTGTAAGGCCAATCTGTTACGTTGGCTGTTACTTTGCGCTCAGTCTCGTGTCGGGCCGCGTTCGGTAGATACGAACTCACCTGCGCGAGTAGCTGCCTTCTTCGAGGAGATGCAGAGGCTAGTATGACCCTCTTCCCTCTGATCATGTTCAACGCTGGCAGCTCCAGAGGCAATGGTAACCTTGGTCGGGGCGGACCTGGCGGGCCACTGGCGTTCTGCGTTGGCTGTGCTGCATCGTCGTACGACGGAGGTGGTTCTAGGGGTGCCTTCTCGTCCGCCATCGTGTCGAGTTTGCAGTAAGAAGAACAGCAAAAAGTTACCAGGTCATTGACACCAGACGAAGGCAACGCAAGCGACACGAGTCAGGGCTTTCACAATCCAATCAGCGCCGTCACAGGCCGAACGACGTCCTCCTTCTCCGTCTCACCCGTCATCTCTTTTGCCACTCACAATCCTCACTGCAGAGTGCGAATACTCCTCAGAGGCAGTGAGGCCACATCAGCTCGTCTACATCCTCTGCATATGCTCAATAATCGAAAGAAGGCACAATCCTCGAGCTTCACCTCATCTTCGCCCCACTACCGAGGCAGTTTTTGGTTGTGATGGAGCCGGATTGCTAAGGCACCCGAGAAACGTCCTACGTGCGAAGCATATCTAGCAGACTCTTCTTGATACGGCCCACAACTCTACAGCATTGTGTCAAGGCCATTCAAGAAATTTCGTGGTTGGTCATTACACTTTCGTACTTATAGACTCGTTCCTTCCTCTCGTCTCAGTACACACTGCTCTTACTTCATCTATTACCCCTTGAGCTCCCATCTAGAACACAACGCAACCATGGTGCAGAACAAAGGCCTCATCTTCAAGCAGCCTCCCACGGCCTGGCCGGAGATTGGCAAGCACATTGCCGTCGAGGACCGTGACTTCGACACAGAGCAAGCACCCCCTTCGGGCGGCTTCACATGCAAAGTCAACTATGTCTCGTTCGACCCATACCAACGTGGCAGGATGCGGAGCCCAGAGATCAAGAGTTACTCCGCCCCCTTCGAGCAAGGAAAGCCAGTGACCAACGGAGCCATCGTGACCGTCATCAAGAGCGACAACGACAAGTTCAAGCCCAAGGATGTCGTCAAGATGCCCATCACCTGGACCGAGGAGTACAGCGCCATTCCAAAGGAGATGCTGGCTGGCGCAGAGGTCCTGCAGAACCCTTACAAGCTGGACGAGAAGTTCTTCCTCGGTGCGCTGGGGATGCCTGGCTTGACTGCGTATAGCTCGTTCTACGAGATCGGGGAGCCGAAGAAGGGCGAGACGATCTTTATCAGTGCCGCTTCAGGCGCGGTTGGACAGCTTGTTGGCCAATTGGCGAAGCATGAGGGGTTGAAGGTGATCGGGAGTGTGGGTGACGACAAGAAGTGAGCTTCGCCTTTACTATTCACTAACTGCCAATAATACTAACCTTGGTCCAGGCTGGATTTCATCCAAAAGGAGCTCGGCTTCGACGGCGGTTTCAACTACAAGAAGGAGAAGCCGCTTGAAGCCCTGCAGAGACTGGCGCCTCAAGGCATCGACATTTACTACGAGAACGTAAGAAGAGTTCCAAACACGAAGGCAACCAGAACGATGTACTGATGGTACTCAGGTCGGTGGCGAACAACTCGAGGCTGCCATCACCCAGATGAACCAATTCGGCCGCATCGTCGCTTGTGGCATGATCTCTCAATACAACAAGCCACCGTCAGAGGCATATGGTGTAACCAACCTGATGCAGGTGGTTGGCAAGCGTCTGAAGATGCAGGGCTTTATTGTAAGTGCTCTTCCGCTCGTGGTGTAAGGTGTTCGGCAGGCTAATCGATCATGTAGGTCATGGATCAAAACATGGGCCCGAAGTACCACAAGCAGCACCAGGAGAACGTGCAAAAGTGGATTCACGATGGCAGCTTCAAGGCCCAGCAGAGTGTGACGAAGGGGATTGAGAACTCGGCAGACGGCTTGATTGGGATGTTTGAGGGGCGCAACTTCGGTAAGGCTGTGCTGGAGGTTGCTTCGTTGTAGAAATATCTGAAGTAGTGGCTGTGCCCTCTTGATGGCCGCGTCAAGAACCTAGTGGATGGGTACTTGGCCGAGCATTCAAGTAGCATGCCCCTCCGTTAGGTAGCCATCTTTTGAATCAAATTGCATAACAACATCTTTCTCTCTTTACAACCACAACAACGTCTTCCGGAGTTTGATTATGTCGTACTCTGTGAAGGAGAAAATGCCCTCTCTACTGCTTACGCCGATCTTGCATCACATGTGCGCGATCCGCAACTAGCCGTTTTCACCTGAATAGGCAAGAGCCATTGGCTTGAGCAAGAACTTCAGACTACACTTCATTGCACTCAAGACGCTGCAACAATGGCCGACGTCAACGAGCTTTACGGCTCTTGTGCCTGCGAGCGGAATCAATATACCATCGTCATCCCCACCGCTTCAACCTCACTCGCCCAAGTCTTCTTCGACAACAGTGCTGCAAACCGTTCGTCAACTCAGACACCGAGACGAATACCAGCGGTTGCTGACTTAAATGGGTACCAGGCCGATCACAAGCAACACCCGTGACAGCATGGCTCCGTGTGCCTCTGGATTGGGTCCACAGCACGACCCACGCACAATTCGACGACGAGACACACCCTTCGATCCGAAGAACATACCACATGCCTTCAATACACCCAACGCTACCGCCGACAAGAAGACAGTTCTGTGGGTACTGTGGAACACATCTGACAGCATGGAACGAAGGGCATGGGCACGAGGCCGACTTTCTCGACGTCACGCTGGGTAGCTTGATGAACGAGAGTTTCGATACGTTGGAAGCATTGAACATCATAAACGCCGAAGACGGGGAGGAGGAGAGCTTGGTGCGGTCGGACATGATCAACGAGGAAGACCACGTACACCCTCGCGAAGAGAGCATGGAAGATCAAGACCCAGCAGCCGCACGCCAGGTTTCGAGCAGAACTTCAGGCGCTATGCGACACAGAGGAATGCCGTACTTTGAGGAGATGGTCGAGAACAGCCGGCTAGGTCGCATCAAGCGGCAGAAAGGCGGACATACCTCGAGGGATGGACGCACGACGGTGGAGTGGGAGGTTGTGGAGATTGGAGGGGACGAGCCGACGCCGATGGAGACGACGCAGAGTGTGGCCACGGGGGCCGGGGGCAGTAAGAGGCAGAGGGTTGGTCCTTGAGGTTCTTCTTCTTTGCTATCGAGGAAGTGTTTGCCGCAGCTTGAGAAGCCTGATGAGAGACGTGATGTAATTTGAGCAAGGAGTCCGGTGCCGCACACAAAAGTGCTTTGAGGGTGCTGGATAGCACATAGCTGTCGTTTGTAAGATACTTCGACACCCAGCCTCTGAAATGAGATATTCTGCAGCGCCTCGCCGTCCACTATATTATCAAACCCATCACATGAAGAGCCCAACCAGTGAGCAGTCCAAGATATACACGTGCCAGATGCCCACACTCCACTCTAAAGCACCAACGCATGCCCAAGAACGTTGCTGAAAGCGGCCACACCCTTTCCACCCAGCTCTCGGACCCGGCCCTTCGTACCCCACTCCTCTCACTCCCTCGCCCGCAAAACATTCCCAGGCGCCGCCCACCCCATCTCCCCCAGCATCACCCTCGCCAAATCCCTCGCGTTCCCCCTCCCAGTGTGCGCCCGGCAAAGACACAGCATGAAAACCTCCTCCGCTTCCTCCAACAGCTCATCACATCCCACGCTGAAAGATCGGGACGCGATGTCGTCGATCATCCGCTCGACTCGGGAGGTGGTTGGCCTCTTGTTCAAGTTGTGCTCGGCGATCACGGGCTTGAAGATCGGTGATGCGCATGCCGCCGCAGTGGTCGGTCATGGGGCAGCGGAAGGTAGATGGATTGTTGGGGTTGCGGCGGCGGAGGCGGTCGAGGACGGTGTGGTTGGTCATTGTTGGGTAGGTATCTTGTGGTCTCGGGTGGGAGAAAAGGGCTTGTGTGTTGAGTTCAGAGGTAATTTGTGCAGATGTTCCCGTATAGAGTTTGCAGCCGGCTGCGTTGGCGTAGTAAGATTGCCTGTGGATGGAGTACTCGCAAGGTACGAGCTGAGGGATGCTAGAGAAAGAAGACTTACCACTGGTGGTGGTAGAAGGACGCATATGAATGGAAGAGTGAGTCGAGATAGGACAAGACAAGACAGTGAGACTTGAGTACCTCAGACAACGCTATTGTTCTGCTCATGCAAGACGAGTCTATCTTGTCTCACCGATCATGGAGTGTCTTATCCTTATTTCGAAGACCCGGGCTGTCGAGAGACAGTAGCGTGTCTTGAGCTCAGGTTCATGGAGTAACCGATCCAGACCTTTATGGTGTCAGTTTGGAGTGATTGGAGGAGCCGCATGGCGGTGCAGCGCTCTCGGTTCTCCGCCAGCCATAGTCATCCTGATCAATAGCAAGGGGCTCTGGCCACGCTGTTGCGGTAGTCGATGGGTCCGTGTCACGACACCTCTGGTCGTGGGCGCGGTATCTTCATCGATTCGAGGGCCGCGTTGAGTATCGGGCAAGAAGTCCGATCAGCGTGGCAGCTCGCCCAGCAACATTGTGCGATCGGTACTAGCGGATAATACTAGAAGGCAAGTCAGCAAACGATCGTCACCGTTCCGTGAATGTATACATACTCAGAGAATCATCTGGTGATATCCGCACATCGTTCACCGTGCCCTTGTGGCCCGGCAGCTTGTGCAGCATCTTTCCCCCTGCACTATCCCACACAGTTGCAGTACCGTCACCGCCTCCGGCAGCAATACTCTTCCCTGTCGAGTCCCAGCACGCTCGAATGAGGTTCTTTTCCAGCCCAGCTTGAGCTCCGTCGAAGATCCGGATTTGACGATCGTTGGGCGCGAAAGGACGGATGTCCCACGTTCGTACTGTGTTGTCGTGCGAGTTCGAAAGGAGTGATTGCGAGTCCGGAGAGACAGCCAGTGATGTGACAGTGTCGGTATGTCCGGGTAGTGTGTATGTAACCTTTTTCATCCGCAAGTCCCAGACCTTAATGTCGTTGTCTATGCCGCCGCTGAAGAGCTCGTTGCCCGCTTCTGCCAGGCACACTGCCGTAACTGGCATGTCCGTCTCGATGTAGTCGATCGCCGCCTTCTGTCTTGGGTCCCATACGCTGATCGAACCGTCGTCGCTGCCGGATATCAAGATCTCCTCGCCTCTTTTGCTGACCTCCAAGCAATTGATCACTTCCTCATGTCCTACGTGTCTCCGTATCCGCTCGCCAGTCTCCACGTTCCAGCTTGTTACCGTCATGTCTGCGCTTGCTGAGTAGATGACCTGGCTGTCACGGGACCAGTGTAGGTCTAAGACCGCGCTCTTGTGGCCTGTGAGGACACCGTAGTTCGCGCAATCGCCGGAGGAGTTCCACAGAAGGATGTCGCGGTCCATGCTGCCGGAGGCTATATGGGCGCCGGTTGGATCGAAGCGAGAGCAGAAAACTTCACCCGAGTGACCTGTACTGCATTAGCGATATGTCAACCCGTCTTACAGACAATGCGCCTACCACTCAGCTCCATAACCTGCGCCTGCAGCCCAGCATGGCCGTATGCCTACGTATCGCACTACCTATCAGCCATTGCTTCCTTTCATTGCATCTTTAGCTCTGAGTAGGCGCTAGAGACCACGTAAGGGCAGACTCACTCCTTTGACCACCGCATTGCTGCCAGAGCCATTGACTCTTGCGACTGCGCCGCCGTTGATGTTCGCTTCTGATCTTTGCCTCTTGACCAGCTGTGTTGTGCCGAAAGACGATGAGGCCGCTCTCTTCTCGCCGGACATGTTGGCGGTGGCTTGCGGGTCTCTGACCTGTGATCGTTTATCTGTGGTAGTTGATCATCACAAGCTGAAGTCCAAAAAGTTCAAGCTCTTGCCAAATGTGGTGATTTTTGAGCCTTTCGGCAAGTTCCGAAAGAGCTACAGTGTTAGAGGGCACAGCAGAGCACTGCTTGATCGAACACTTCACACTCAGGACTGAACAGTAATCGCAACCCAGAGACTCCCTCTGCTCGTGAAGAGAAATCTAGGCAATCAGCGATGAGGTGAAGCAGGATCAATTGGTGCCTCCAAGCAACGGCACACTTCTCGACCAGACGATCGCGGCAATGGCTACAAAGGCTGCGAGGATAGGCGAAGAGTGGGTTGACCTACATACTCTGTGCAGTGCGAACGACTAGCTAACAGTCGTCCAGAGTGTGGAAGTAAGCTACAGCGCCTGAATGCCCGTCGCAACTGTCTGACAACCACCAGATCCCGCATCGACAAGATCAACGCCGAAGTTGTAACCCTCACCTACGGCACCATCGTTGCTCAGCTCTGCCGCGACATCACCGTCCCGAACACCGTCAGCAAGACCGACTACAATGCCGTCAACAAGGAGCTCGACCGTATGGGCTACAACATGGGTCTGCGCCTGATCGAGGACTTCCTCGCAAAGTCCAACACGGGGCAATGCAGCAACTTCCGCGAGACTGCGGAGATGATTAGCAAAGTGGGCTTCAAGGTCTTCATGAATATCACGCCGACGGTGTCGAACTGGAGTAAAGAGGCGGATAGCTTTCATCTAGTGTTTGAGGACAACCCATTGGCGGACTTTGTGGAGTTGCCAGACGATGGGAGGGCGCAGGATGAACTCTGGTATAGCAATATTCTGTGTGGTGTTATCAGAGGGGCGCTCGAGATGGTAAGGCTTACTACTGTGGGGTGATAGATGGCTGGATGCTGATGTGACACAGGTTCAAATGCAGGTCGAGGCACGCTTCGTGAGCGACGTGCTACGTGGTGATGATACTACGGAAATGCGTGTCACCCTGATCCGGATTATTGAGGATGAGATGCCGCCGGATGATGAATGATGTATCAATTTAAGACAATCCACGTTCAACTTCTGGTCAACAGGCGTCCCAAGTGATATCTAGTATGGTCGCTTCGCCCATACCCCCAGAAATGGATCCACTTCTACCAATTTAATTGCCACCTTTGCGAACGCGAGTGCTACGAATACGTGGACTGCTACACCAACTTCTTAGACGACATCCCTGCTGCTACTACGTGCGACTCTATGACAACCACAAAATCTGGTATACAGCATTATGGCTTTGGCGTTAGAGTGAGGACGTGTTCACGCTGCTATTGGCCAACCCCGGATTCTTAGCGTAACAACCCCAGCTCACGGGCTGTAAGCCGCATCCACAGCGAACATCACCTGCCAAGTTTTGTTACAATTGTTACAGCCCATCCCAGAACAGCTCCGCTTATGCCACCTACGTTCCATGAGCAGCCAATGCTTACCGTTGTCGACATCTTCATGGGTTGAGGCACACCGAATATGATACGTAACCAGCCCTCGCGCTCGACTGCAGCTCTTCGGTAGAATTGACTTACCCGGGATCCCACATCGTATTCGAGATTGAACGCGTGGCAGTGACCTCGCGATTTCGGGATGTTTACCGCTTCAAGACCGTTGCATCGTCTGGGTGTGCGGTCACGCAGGATAGATGCAAGCGGGTGAGGTCCCTGAGGGCAGATCAGCTTGTACGAACCAGTACTCAGGCCGGTCGCCGCCCTACGTACCGCTCTTCGCAAGGAGCATGCTTTATGTGCAGTCCTAATACGGTAACGATCTTGCAAGTGAGAAGGCGAAACCCTGCAGTTGAAACCCCAAGCATCGTTCCTACGACCTAGAACCCACCATTGCCGACCCAGATCCAACACCCTTTGCTAGGATTTGGAGAAGCCAATCTCTCCTCGCGGAGTCACTAAAGCAGTATTCGAAGAGAATGGGAAATGCCAGATCCTTCGTTCAGTGCGCAGACACAGGTGACAGAACTGCACTTGAGCCGTGTCTCCGACCGTCGATTTGAAGCATCTCATATGCTCGTCCCCAAACGAGCCAATCGAATGATGCAGAGCGCCCCTTTGCAAAGGTCCAGGCAGCAGTTTAGTCCTGTGACATGCGCGATGGACTTCCAAAACTTGAGAGGGAGGCCTCCTTGCGCCAGGCCATATCTCGTCAACGATGGTCAAACGCGTGCGAATACCTACGCTTGAACGGCTGGACACCTCGCGGTTCAAACTGGCCTCGTTCAGAAACATCCTCCTCAGTCCAGCAGTCCTGATACTGGTCGCGACCTACTTCAGCTACCAAGGCGCCCTATGGTACTTTCGAAATCATATCTTCTGGCGAGAGCCCCACGGAGAGTTCTTCAACGACGAACACGTCTACGACTTGGGCTACAGCCGTGAACGACAGCGTGACGCCGCAGACTTTCTTGCTCAGGCTGCCAATGACTCCGCTTCGTCTCCGACCCACGCCTACGGACCTCTGCTCTGTGCGGGCATCGCGACAGTCAAAAGACGAACGGACTACCTCAATGGGACAATCGGAACCATGTTCGCAACCCTCACGCCAGAGGAGAGAGGTGCGATGGAAGTGCGCTTGACCTTCGTAAGCGCGCATCCGGAGGACCACCCCGACTGGGACCAGGGGTGGCTGAACTTGGTAGACTTCCACGGCGGCTACAACGTCACAGAAACTGAGATGGAGCAGCTGCGGACATGGGAGGCGGATGACAAGTGGATTCAGTGGAAGGGCGTGTGGGACTACACCTACCTGCTGCTTGACTGCTATGAAAGGTCGAACGCACCGTATATCGCAGTCTTCGAGGACGACATCATCTTCGCCGAGGGGTGGATGTCGAAGACGCTGAAAGCGCTGGCGGAGCTGCGAGAGATGTCCATCGAGTGGCTCTACCTGCGGCTGTTCTACACCGAGACTTTCCATGTCTTCTGGAAGAAACGCGATTTTTTCCACCACTATCGCGGGGTCGCACACGGAACAGGAGCTGGCGCAACGGCCTTCATGCTCCTGCTGCTGCGGGGGTGTTCGAGGACCGTACAACGACGCATCTACAACGACGCATCAACAACTGGACGCTGCTGGTCGTCGCTTGCATTACCGTGCCTGCCGTGATCGACCTTCTGCTCAGGGTGCCGAAGCACAGTCTCAAGGGCACTGGCCTAACGCGTATGGACGCCGCATGCTGCACGCAGGCCTTGGTGTTCCCTCGGTCGCAGGTTCTGGACGTGATTGACTACCTGCTGGAGCGAGAGCGAGGACAGACAGATCTGATGATTGAGAAGTACGCCGATGAGTTGGGCATTGCAAGGTTCGCCGTCGAGCCTCAGCAGGTGCAGCATGTTGGTGTGAAGTCGTCCCGAGGGGGCAGTAAGAAGACGGTTTGGGCTCACTGTAAGTTCTCTACCTCGCACTTATGGTGTTGGGTCAGTGACTGATGCAATGACAGTGTTCGAGACGTACAATGGAGAAGCGCTACGGGAAGAGCACGTTCGAATGGCTAAGGGTGGAAGGACGTGGCGTCCTCAGGATGATGGACTGAGCGACGTTCTGTAATGTGCACACACCTAGTACGACAGAATTTAGTACCTTAAATACCCAGCTATTTAACCTTCACGTTACACCTAGATTCTCCTCGCCCTTTGAAACGTTGGTATGTCAAGGAGTGCGCTCATATTCGTTGTCAAAGCTTCGGCAAGCTCAGCCGAGCGGGTGTGATCGTCTGAACTTCTATGATCGACGACTTGCGTACTTCACAAACATCACATACGCCCGACAAACACGCCCTTGCAACTTCACGAGCACTCATGTCCGCACAAACGACCTCTCGACGATGATACAGCAATGTCATCAGCAGCAATAATGTCCAACCCCCAGCCCAACTCGGCCTCACCCAAACCCACCACTCCAAACCCTTCCCTAACCCCCCTCCCACTCTCTGCCTCGCAAGAATCCCAAGTCCGCGCGCTCTACCACAAGCGCGTGCGCCAAAAATGCGCAGATGAAGTCCGTGACTTCGCCACCTGCTGCACGCACCGCACCTTCACGGCCCCGCTGTTCTGCCGGCAGCAGCAGAAGGCGATGAATCAATGCATGATGCGTTTTGCTACACAAGAAGAGCAAGACGAGGCAAGGAAAGAGTGGTTTGAGAGCTCAGAGGAGAGGAGGAGAGAGCGCGAGGAGAAAGAAAAGAAGAGAAAGGAGGATGAGGTTTTCTGGAGGGAATGGTGGGATAAGGGCAAGAAGACAGAGGAGGTCGTGACGTCTGGGACGGGCAGGGAGGTTAAGAGTAAGAAGTGAGAGGTGTAGACGATTACATCGATGCGTATGTGGTCTTTGGAGGACTTGGTGATGGTCTACACTATTCGTACATGCGGCAACCGGAGCTATCGATGATGCTGGATGGCAGCCTCTACAGGCCAAACCCGATGCCTGCGCCCTCGACCATCTCTGGCTCTGCTGATTGCGCCCGCGCTTCAGCTGCCTCTCCGCCCACTTCTCGACGCTCTGTCTGCCTCGCTGGACTCTCTCGCGTGACATAGCTTGGAGGACCCGTCCGCTGCGCCGATACGGCTTCCTCGTATGTTGGCGATGGAAGCTCTGGAGCATCCGAGTCGACCGGTGATGGAAGTATCTGCCAGTGCAGAAGGTCAGGATTCGCTCGCACACTCCCACGCCATCTTCCGTATGCTGGAGGAGGGTTGGGGAGGGACTCGATGTCTTTATCCCAGCCGTTGATGACTTCAATGTCTGCAATGATTGTCGGCTCAGCTTCGCGGCTGTCGGGACGCACTTCGTCGGTTGGCATGTGTACTGGAATCGGTGTCGCTGGGACAAATACCGCAGGCTCGACTGGAAGTGGTGGCATGAGGCTTGGTGGACGATGCTCTCGCCGCCGCCGTCGATGGCTCCGCTCTGAGACTGGTACGACATACACTCTTCCTTGCCCGCCCCTGGGCAGGATGAAAATGCGAACGACTGTGTGGGCAAATACGACCGTCGCCAGAATTATGCCCAGGACGAACAAGATGTGGAATGTCGCGGTGACATCGCTCGAAGTCGTCGCGAGTACGACATCTATTTTGCATTGTCAGCACCATGTTTCCACTTTATCCATCACCAGGATTATGGAACTTACACGTCGCGACCACAGCACTTAACAACAACGCCGCCAGCACGCAAAGCAAACACTGACTCGAGCCCACCTCCACCACCCCTCTACTCTTCTTCGACTTCTTCCACGCTCGCCGTTGCCGAGTCTCGCTCTTCCGCTGCGCATACACCGCCAGACTCGGATCACTCAAGTCCGGATGATCGAGCGCCGCCACCGCGCGAGTGTTGAAAAGAGCGGACTGGTGAGCCATGCGCTGAATCGTGTGGCGGTAGCCAGAAGGCGGGAAATGTACTCCACGTATCGCCTCAGAAGGTGACGTCGACGTCGTGCTGATGCTGTTCACGCTCTCAGCCGTTGGGCTCGGAATGACTTCTGGCTGGCGTGGCATACGGGGAGCTCGGGTGGGTGATGCTGGTGGGGTGAGGACGCCGTACATTCCGCCCGGTGGATAGGGTGGGTGTGTCCTGGGGGTGTTCGGTTCTGGCAGGACGGAGAATGGCGATGTCTGCCCTGGCGAGCTGAAACGGGAGTTGCGGAGGAGGTTGCGGACGTTGTCCTGGACGCGAGAGAGGCGCGAGGGCTGCGTGTCCTCGAGGATGCCGGCCTCCAGCGCGCTGGAGTCTGGTAGGGGTGAGTGCATCGTGTCGGTCCTCGCGATGCTACTGCGGTTGTGGTACGGAAGAGTTTCGAGGATTAGAGAATCGATTATCAGGGAATAGAGTAGACGGAAAACACTTCACAAGTCAAAGTATAAAAGAGTGATCAGAACAAATTTCAACATCAATCGATCAACAAGTCAACACGACGCAGGCACCCGGACGCGACACACTTCACGTCCTCGTCTAACCACGGATACTGTATCCCTCAAGTACGTCCACAAACACCCGCATATCAAATCAAACCCGTCCCGCAATCTACACACGAGGCATCCACCTTGCCTTGCTCCTCGCTGCCCAAACATCTGCAAGCGTCGGATGCGCAGGACCAATCATGCACCTTAAACCTCAATGGCCTGAGGAGACTGGATTAAATGGACGAGGTGGTACGGGAGGAAGCCCACGTTACACGGCCGGAGCAAGGGGCGTCGATGGATGCGGATGGGCGGTGCAATCACGCTTCACCATCTTCCAGATGCGTGGGTTTGTGAAGCAGGTTTCGGTTCACGCGACACACACTTTCGCAAGAAGTTTTGGCGGATATGTTGGAGCGAGAGGGTGTGGTGCTGCAGCTCGCAGGAGTTTGGGGTGGGATGTTTCAGTTCTCGGGGCTGAGCCTGTCGGCCAATCAGTTGGCGAAGAGACGATGTACCTGCGTCAAGGGTTTTAGGAGAGCAAAGTGGACGACCAGTTTTGAACATTCGCTTATCGGCGACAGTGACGGGGTCCTGATTGTTGGGAACGAATAGTCAAGATGGCAAGGAACAGGGCAAAAGGTATAAAAAGGCCATAATATCATTTCATCCCCTTCCCCCCTCCCCTCCTTTCCCACATAGTAGAAGAGCCAAAGAGTATGGTATGAAACGACACCCCAGCCCTCCCTTCACCAACATCCAAATGAAAAAAAAATTGGCCTGGCCGCCTCCCATTCATCCATCCGACTCCTTCCACCACCAACATAAGATAAAAAATACTTCGCGCACCCGGCCGTCCCGCCCCAACGATGGTATTCCCTTCCTTTAACGCCGTCGAAACAAGAACAAAAAAGAAGAAGTGATGGGCTGGGTTTCTAGATAATTACACGGTTGATTGGTTGATTGCTGAGAATTCGTTCGTCGAGAGAGGGAGGAAGAAAAGCGACTGCTGCGAAAGACGAGGCCCAGTATCCAACTCCGAGTGAGGAAGATCGAGTGAGTGGGTTTCTTGCGCCGCGGTTCGCCGTTGTCGACGTCTTGGGGTGGGGGTATCGATATTGGTGACAGTATGTGGTGTAAAGTAGTTGTGGCCGTGAGGTCTTGGTCGATAAGCAGCATTGAGCCGAGAGGACCGCAGTGATGGCTGCGAAAGAGTGTCGGCAGACATGTCACCCCCCTAATTAGCCCCCTCAATCCCATTCCCAATCGCATTGCCGTCAAAAGCAAAATTCGCGTCAAACCCCAGCGCCCCGTCGTCGTTGTTCAGGAAACTATCGAAGTCGAAGTTATCGAGCGCGTCGCCGGACTCCATGCCTCCGAAGTCCAGCTCGTCCATGCCGAAGTCCGGGTTGCCCAGGTTGCCGAACGGTTCGAGGTTGGTCGAATGGTCCATTTGCTGCTGCTGCGCGGCGGTGCCGTTCTGCGGTGGAGCGCCGGGCTGTTGGGTGCCAGCGCCGCCCGGGGCGGACGTGGCGTGGGGCTGGTTGGGTGGAGGTTGGCCGTTGGGCATTTGTTGGCCGCCTGCCTTGTTGGCGAAGGAGTTCGGGTTCATAGGTGTGTTGGGTGTTGCGGGGGTGGGAGTGGGTGGATGTTCGGACTCCGTTGCTGGTGTGGCGTTCGCTGGCGCATTCTTGCCCTTCTGCTCGATCGTTAGTGCTCTGGACCGACAATCGAGCTCACAAACTTCGCTACTCACCTTCTTCGTATCCTTCTTCGCGCCCGGCTTCGCCTTATTCGCCGTACTAGGCGTAGGCGGCGCAGGCTGCTGCGACGGACTGCTCGGCCCCGTACCACCCACATTCGCTTGTGGCGCAGGCGGTGGAGGCATATTGGTGTTCCTCGGCGTCCCCTGCGGACCAGGCCCAGGTTGCCCCGGCATCATCTGGCCAGGAGGCTGCTGTCCAGGCGCAAACTGGCCGTTCGGCATCTGCATGCCCGACGCCCTCATCATCTGCATCTGCTCCTGCGTCATGCCGCCCGGATGTGATGACGGAGGTCGCATGCCGTTCGGGCCCATCATCATCTGGTTGCGCATCTGTGGCGGGATGCTGTTTGGGTCCATCATGGCGGCGCCCGGCGGTGGCGTGCCTGCAGCGCTGTCAGCTTCGAAACCAAAGCGAGAGTGGTCGAACCCAGTCGACCTACCACGCAACGCATCGTTGGGGTTTGGTGAAGCATTGCTGCCGCTCGGGCTTCCTTGGGCCAACATACCTGGTGGGAAAGTGCCGTTGGGTCCATTACCACCCGGATGGCCCGCTGAGCCGCCGGACATGTTATCCTGCTCCTGTCTCGCCATGAGCAGCCGCTTCTTATTCTGCTGCTCAAGTAACATCAGTTGCATCTGATAATCCTGCAAAGCGTGATTGCCGTTGCCACTGTTCTGCCCTCCGGCCGCCGCGTTGCCCGCGCCCTGCATTTGCATGCGACCTCCGCCGTTCGCAGCAGCGGCAGCGTAGAACTCGCCGGTCGCGCCGTCCATGCCTTGCTGGCTCAGTGGGCTGCCTTGAGCTCCGCCGGGGCCCATGTTGGGCGGGAGACCCTTGGAGACGTTAGAATCTGGAGTATTGACATTTGCCATGAATGCCTGATGCTGCCGCCGCATGTTTTGAGAGTAGTCTCCCACAGACTGTCCCTGTACATCAGTACGCTGTGTGGCAAGCTTGGAGGATGCCTCAGGCGCGATTTCGTCCACTGCGAGGTGATCTTCACTGTGCAGTCTCACGCGAAGGCGTCCAAGTGTGGCTTGGGGAAGGGGAGAAAGAACAAATGGGGAACCCACCTGGTTTGGTTGTTGCATTTGTCCGGGTTGACCAGGCCGTTGGTTCATCTGCTGCATTCCACCCTCGAGCCTTTGCCGCTTGGGCGACGGGGCCTCACCCGAGCCTGGAGAGCTCGTTCGGTTGTCCATCTGCGAGTTGGAGCGCTCCATCTGGTTGTTGGCATGCATCATCTGCCCGTTCGCTCCTGCTGCCTTCAGATTCTGCATTTGCGCCATGTGCGCCGGGTTCCTGCAAGCACGTCAGTCTCCATTACTTTCCTTAGTTGTATCACTACACCCAACATACATATTCCGATTCTGAATCGCCTGCCGCTTGAGATCACCGCCGGGCATACCCATAACACCACCATTCTGCATCATCGGGTTGAAGTTGCGCATCTGCGAGTTCGCCTGCGCAATATTCCCCATCTGCATGCGGTTGTGCTGCTGCTGCGCGCGCTGCGCCTTGAGGTATGCCTGCGTCTGGCCGTTTATCGGCCTGTTCCTGTGCGCCTCCCAGATCTCCCAGAACTGGAACCACCAATCTTGCAGGAAATTGCCTTGGCCGCCATAAATCGCCGGGATCGGCAGGTCGTCCGGCTTGTTCGCGAAGTCGGCATCTATCCCATCGATGTCCATGCCATCTCCGACTCCGTTCGCCTGGCCGCCTCGCTGGTTCGGTGATTGCTTCTGCGGCTTGGTGTCGATGTCGACGTGCTTGTTCAGCTCTCGCGCGACGGAGTATAGTTCGTTGCGAAGGAGGTAGTCGTATATAACCGTGTTCAGCTTCAGTCGTGGAGTCTCTTGGTCCATCGGGCCGCCAGAGTTTGTGGGTGTGCCGACTCCAGCGCCTCCGACAGGCCCGCCCATCTGGCCTCCCATGGCGGCCATGTTCATCTGCGGCTGCTGGCTCATCGTCATGCGCGGTGAGCGACTCGGTGGATGGCGCGCTCGGGTTGCGCAAAGGTGCTCGTCGGTATATGGCGGGGCTGGCGATCGCCGGTGACGTCGTCTCGATCGCGGAGATGCTCGCTATTCGCACCACCGCTGGCCTTCGACGTCGGAGTCGAGGCGTCTGGAACGAGTGACGGAAAGGTGGAAGGTATCGTGGTGTGTGGAAGGGTTCGAATCGCACTCGACGCCGCTGACTGGCGATAGGCGGGCGGAAGCGTGTGCGTGACGCCTGATCTGACCCTTTTTTGCGCACCTCACCTCACCACTCCAACGCACGCCGAAGGATGCCTTGATGCGCGAGATCAGAGTCGGGGGGTCAGCATAATAACCCTCGCGGTCGACGGAGTGAGGTCGCAGATCGCGGACGTGCAGGAGGTGGAGTTCAGCACACGGCAAGGCGAAAGAAAGCGGCAGCGGCAGAAGTAGTTGCCGGCGGGTGGCGGGAGTGTCGAGGCCGGTGTTCTTCCTGTTCCTTCCCAACGTCGTCACCTTGTCGGGTATCCGTCGTCAGTAGTCTGACCGTGTGCTGCGATTGCTGCGCCGGGGTGGTAGAGGGTAAAAAGAGTGAACTGGATGGGTTGCGAGAAAGGACCAGCAGCATTGACAAATGCGACGAGCAAGCTGCTCGAAAGAGCTGGTAACGTGATCGCGCCAATCAGAGCTCGCCGCGACGTGCATCAAGACACACTGGACCCTTTCAATTACTTCGATATCGCTATTCAGAGAAGCGGACGACAACACCATCAATCTATGGTCATCTGTGAATTTCACCGCTACCGTATTCCTTATTCTCCTCCTTCACAACTTGCGATATTCCTTATGGCGTTCTGGAAGAATTACCTGTCACATGACTCGAACGCTATCATATCCGTCTTGGCAGAAGATCTGTCAGGGGCTGTCTAATTTTGGCCGCCGATGAAGGAGTGAACGATAGATGTAGCCATGTACTATGCGTTCGACATCTTCCTATAGCACTGCCAAACACTTGGGCAAGCACCGACGACCACACGAAATCGCACTCAAAGCAAGTAGAGCATTCCAAGACTTCATTTCAAGACTACCTCCCACCTCATCTCATCACTCCTCCTCCGTCTCCTCATCCCCCTCCCCCTCCACCCCCTGACTCGCATCCCCCTTCTTCCCCTTCCCCAACTTCAACACGCTACTCCAGCTCCTCCCCCCACCGCCACCACCTCTTCCCATCTCCTTACTCTCCCTCAAACTACTAACGCTCGCACTCAAGTCCCCCCCCTCCTCATCCCCATCCTCACCCAACCCCTCCCGCGGCGCACTCGTCGCCACATTCTCCATCCGCGACCTCTCGCGCTTGAAAGTCGGCAGCGCGAATTTGCCCGACGAACTCTTGCGCGAGATCTTCTGCATGAAAGTCTCCTTTGACGAGCCGGCGAGGGAGGGGGACGGGTACGTGCCGTCGCTCTGGTTGCTGTAAGATGGTGTACGCGCGAGATCTGACGACGTGCGTCCGGATTCCAGCACAGAGGACTCGGTGGTGGTCATGCTACGCGTGTCGCGGGATTTGCGCGAGGCGGGTGGGGAGTCGTCGTCTTCGGCGCCGACCATGGCGGGGCTGCCGATGGGTGTGGTGGCGTCGAGGGCGTCTTTGGAGGAGGAGGAGGTTTTGGTGCCGAAGCGGAAGAAGGAGGTAAAGTTTTTGGCGTTTGGGTTGAGTTTGCCGCCTGCTGCGCTGGCATCGGCGGATTTCTTGGAGCCGGGTGGTGGTTTGGTGCCGATGGGGGCGAGATGGGGCGCGTGGTCTGCGTCTAAAGCGTCGGAGTCGTCGTCTTCCATGATGTCTTCTGGTGGGCCGGAAGCGCCGTACTGCACTGACGGTCTTCTAGACGGGTGACGAGAGCCGTACATGCGAGGTTGGGCGGAAGTGGGCGGAGGCCAGCCTTGACCGAAGGCGAGTGGGCTGTTGCGCGCCCCGCCAGTGGCATCACCTGAGGGCCATGCATCGACGCCCCAGCGACTACTGTCCATGGATGGGCGCGGAAGCTCATTGGAGTGAGTGGAGCCAGGACGAGGAGAAGTCGGTCTACGACCAAAGGGCGCGAAGCTAGAAGGCCAGCCGCCACTCTTATCTTTGCTGAAGAACCCGAACGCTCGACGTCCGAGTGGCGCGGCTGACGGCGACTCATTGGTACCATCGGGTCCATCTCCGGGGCTTTGAAATACAGTTCCAGAAATGCTACTAGTCCTCTTACGAGTAGCAGCATCCAGACCCGATATTCCTTGGTCCTGTCGAGGCATAGAACTCGACTTGCTCAGTGGTGGTCCGTTTTCGAGGTTCTTATTTCGTTGCTTGATGCCAAACATCTCACTGAAACGACTGCTGGTACCACCGCTAGTGGCGCGATTGGAGCGCGTAGAGCGGATCGAGCGTCTATCGGCGTCCATGAGTCCTTCCGGCGAGCTGATGTGGAGGTTGTGCTGGCTAGCTTGGGGGCTTGCGAAGACGCTCGGCGATCTACTGCTTGCGGAGCCTGGAGACGCAGGGCCGGCACCAGGATAGTCCTGTGCTGCTTGTGTCGTCGGTGGACCTGGTAGCCCAGGTAAGCCCGGCAAAGAACCCAAACCAGGTAGAGGTCTGACAAGCTCTTGTCTGTTGTCGCCGTCTCCAGAAAACAAGTCTGCGGGCAGGAGGTTCGCACCAGCTCCAGGACTCATCATCGCGCCTCCTGTCAGCTTCTCCCTCTCCTCCTCGCTTAGTGAGACTTCCTCAGTAGGGTTCGGTAGTGTCATGCCATTGTGGATGTTTAAGAATGGGGCAGAGTTGAAGCCAGACGCAACCGGATGGATGTTGTTCGCGAATGGACTCTGGGTGACAGGACCGAAAGTAGCCAGCCTAGGACTATCAGAAGCGCTGTGTCGACTGGCTGCATGCCGACTGCGCTGGCTGTCGCCCCGCCGTGGCAATCTTTCTTGCGCAGGGGAAACATAGTGGGCGGTCGGCGCGGCATTGTCTTCCTGTCTCCGTCGCTCTGCTTTCAAGGAGTCGAGGTAGCGCATTTGCTCGTCGTGGAAGCGCTTGGCTGCCTGCACTTTGCCGAAAGTCATGGCATATTGTTGTTGCAGATCATTCCTATGATTCAGCCATCGTCGCTCATCCTCCGCATCGTTTTGCAACTGCTGGACCAGATTTGGCTCTGGACCTGAGCCATCCGGCGAGCTGTTCTTCAAAGCGCGCTCCAGCTTCTTGATCTCGCTCGTCTTCTCCTTGACCTCGTCGTCCAGCACACGTACGTGGGCAGCCTCTTCTGCCAATTTGACGCGCAATGCCTCCTTTTCCTGCGCCATCTGCTGAAGGTACAGTTCTTTGTCTTGGCGAGTGCGTTCGGTTTCCTCCTTCATGGCTTCAGTCTCGCGTTCCCAGCGAGTCATGTCATCCTTGAGCTTCTGCCGTTCCTGCACCTTCTGCTGCAACAGCCGCTCTTGCTTCGCACGCTCATTCTGCGCAGCGGTGTTCTGACGCTCCAAGGTATTGACTTCGCGCTTCAAGTTGCGACTGGCCTTTTCCTTTTCATTCACCTCAGCCCTCAGCTCATCGCGCTCTTTGATCAGGTCCTCCTTCTGCTTCAACTCTTCCTCCTCTTCATCCTTGGCCGCCCGCTCAGCTTCGTCGTTCTCCCGGCGAAGCGCATCCAACTTCTCAGTAAGCTGCTGGATGGTCTCAGCGCCCTCGGGTGCCTCGCTGTCGTCCGGCTGAGGGTCATGCTTTTCGCCAAGTCCCAGGTTTGTTGGTGAAGGCCGTCTGCCACTGACTCTTCGTGGAGCTAGGCCACTGCTGCCTTCTCTGGCCATGGGAGCCGAGACTGGGGAGGCAGGTGCAATGTCCTTGAGACCACGATAAGGCCGGATGCGTGGAACGGCCTCTTGCAATCCGTCCGCATCCGTTTCATGGCCATCTTGCTGCACGATAAAGTAATCTCCAGAAGCAGCGGGCTTGGTGCAGAAACGGATAGGTAGGCTCTTGGACCCGAACTCCTGGTTGTTCACCAACGCGACCCGTACAATGTAGAAGGTGCCCGGCTGTAGGCCAGTGATGGTAATCGCAGACTCATAGATCGAGACTGAGCCAATTGCCGCGCCATTGAGGTGGACGGTATACTTGTGCTCCTTCTTCTGACGCGGCTTTTCTGGTAGGGTCCAGTGAATGACGGCGCCGTCGGACTTGATGCCAGCAAGGTCTATCCGAGGCGTGGCAGGGAGTTCGAAGCCGAGAAGATTGGAGAGTTCGTTGAGGGGCTTATGTAGGACTTGGGTTGCACGATAGACAAGCCTATACTTCCGTCAATATCTGTTGCCGCCTTGCCGAACAAGTCTTGGGCCTACCAGAACAAAGCTAAAGCAGTGCAGAGCGGGCGAAAGTAATAAGCAAAAGGAACAGCGAAAGTCTGCAAGAGTAGAACGAAGCGTTGGACCCAGACATTGTGTGGAAGCGAGGTGTATAGGTCAGCGCCAGTGGTGGCCGCGTTGGCGAAGAAGCGCGAGGGACGGATTTGGGGGGTAGCAGCAGGGGCTACTCCGGTGGACGGCATTGTCGAGTGATCATACTGCGAGAGGAATAAGGAAATACAAAGTGGTATAGAGGGGAGAAGCGGGTGTTTGCATGTGAAGGGCCTGTTTCGATGTCGCACCGGCACTTGCGCTTTAAGGTTGCTCGCTTGTGCAAGCCTCTCCCGCTGCAGCCCGAATGATGCAAATCACCATCCTGGCGGGCATCCGTTGGAGCGTTCATGTTGTTCGATCCAACTCGAACACATGTTCCAGGTTGAATAGAACAATTGACAAGACCGACAGCTTGTTGCACATTCAGCTGACCCAGAAGTCGACATACAATATCTGTGCCTCCGACATCTACCCGGCGCATACTACCTTCCGACAGTGCTCACAGCTCGCCCTGCTGATCGTCGAGCTTCAACAACGTCTCAACATCCGTCCTTGTTCGTACAGCCACCTCACATTACTACGTTGGCATTGGAAGCCAGACCACATCTTGAAGGCCATACAGCGCTCCCTGGAGTTGACAAACATCTCCAACTCTACCCCAGCCTCCGCCCTCCGCAGTGACGTGACGTCTGTGCATTGCTCGTGATCATCCTTCCGCGGCTCAAGCACACCAAACACCCTCGCCTGACCCAAGACCACGTCTCATTCTTACCTGTGCGTGACGACCGACTGCTTGCCTCGACTGCTACTCGCATGCTTGACTACGATGTTGTAACTGCGCGATATCACCTCCCCTTGCAAGGCGGCCTCATACACTCGGCCAACCTTTTGCATCCACACAGGCTGCGCATAACTACCACTGCTCCCTGAACTGAGCGCATCACCATGCAATATGTGCGCTCCATCTCCGGCTCCGTGGGCGCCGCCTGGAACTCCATCAACCCGGCCACCCTCTCCGGCGCAATCGACGTCGTCGTCGTCGAGCAAGACGATGGCTCCCTCGCCTGCAGTCCCTTCCACATCCGCTTTGGCAAATGGCGTCTACTACGGCCCTACGAGAAGAAGGTGGAGTTCAAGGTGAATGGCTCCAAGCAGGACTTTCCTATGAAGCTGGGCGAAGGCGGCGAGGCTTTCTTTGTGTTTGAGACGCAGGAGAACGTACCGGAAGCGCTGCAGACCAGTCCGTTGGTCAGCCCAGCGGCGAGTCCACGGCTGCAGCCTAGTGCGATAGAAACACCTAGACTGCAAGAGCCCGATCCTTTCGAGTTGGAGAATGCGCTGAATGGCGGCACACCGGGGAAGAAGAAGGCACATGGGAAGAGTGCGAGTGAAAGTATACCGGTTCCAAATGTGGCGGCAGGAAGGGCGTATAGTGATGCCGGACAAATGACGCCTTCACGGACACATCTGGATGCGCCGTTCAGTCGTAGGCCGCTGAGCACCGATGTGTCGGAATACAGGCAGTCGCCAAAGCTGGAGCGCAATGTTACGGACAGCGACTTGCCCATGGCGAGAGCGGCCATCTCGAACTCGCTTGATAGCAGCAAGCCGCTCTTTAACCCGCCCGACTCACGGCAACGACCTACATCGCCTCTACGAGCGAGGACGGATCGCTCGAGCAGTCCTCCGCCGGTGAATACAGAAGAGGCACGGACACGAGCAATGAATCTGTCTAAAAAGCTATGGACATCGAACATCAGCAACCAGGTCACAGACTCCGGGGATTTGATGCTGGATATGACGGGCTACAAGAGCAGCGACGGGGAAGCTCTACACGCAGAGGCCATTGCCCGGCAGCTGCTGTCTGAGGAGATAGATGGTCCTTACGATATCGGTGCGCTGATTGGCGCGGATGAGAACGGCAACATCTGGATATACAGCAGCGAAGAGGCGAAGGAAGCGGCTGGAAACAAGGCATCGAAAGGCCTGGGCATCCACGGCTACCATTCCGCGGATGCATTGTCAGACCCCGGCTACCACAGTGACGAAGCCAACGATGCTTCCTCCGACACCAAAGTTGAGCTTTCGAGCTCACACTACCGTCGAGACTCGGATAGCGCAGTAGGCATGAACTCTGAACCTAATTCACCAAACAACGCTGCCACCGCCGGCGACCCTAACAAGAACTACGCCAAAACCCTCCGTCTCACCTCCGAGCAGCTCAAAACGATGGACCTCAAAGCCGGCGGTAACTCCATGTCCTTTACCGTCAACCGTGCGACTTGCCATGCCACCCTCTGGTATTGGCGCCACGACGTCCCGATTGTAATCAGCGACATCGACGGCACCATCACCAAATCCGACGTCTTGGGTCACGTCCTCAACACCATCGGCCGCGACTGGACGCATCAGGGTGTAGCTAAGCTCTACACCGACATCGCCTCCAACGGCTACAACTTCCTCTACCTCACCAGCCGCTCCGTCGGCCAAGCAGACACTACCAGGGGGTACCTCGACGGCGTGGCACAAGATGGCTATCGACTACCCAAAGGCCCCGTCATCCTCAGCCCTGACCGCACGATCGCCGCCCTGCGACGCGAAGTCTACCTCCGCAAACCCGAAATCTTCAAAATGGCCTGCCTCCGTGACATCATGGCCCTCTTCTCCGGCCACGGCGGCTCGAACAACACCTCCGCCTCCGCAGACGCCGGCCTGCACAACCCCACCCGCCCCGGCGCACTAGGCAGCGGACGCGGCCGAGGTGGCTCGCCCTTCTACGCCGGCTTCGGCAACCGCCTCACAGACGCCTTGTCCTACCGCTCCGTCAACATCCCCTCCACCCGCATCTTCACCATCAACAGCATGAGCGAAATCAGCCTCGACTTGCTGAGTCTGAACAACTACAAAACGGCCTACGGCACCATGCGCGAAATTGTAGACCACTATTTCCCGCCCGTCGGCCTGCTCGTCAAAGGCGGCGGCGAGGAATTCACGGATTTCAACTACTGGCGCGAGAAACCGCTCGATATCGTCGATTTCACGGACTCGGAGAGCGAGGACGAGGATAACGCTATCCACCACTCGCTCGCCCGCAGGGCTGACTCGGGGGGGTTGAAGCAGAGCTTACTCCTTAGCGAGGACGAGGCGGCGGACGAGATGTTGGAGTCGAGTTATTTTGATGGGAGAGGGAGGATGAGTTTGGAGGAGAGCGTGGCGGGGGAGAGTGTGGCGGAGAGTGAGGTCGAGGGGGAGGATGATGAGGGGGAGTTGATGGGGAGTCTTGTGTTGGATGAGGAGGAGGAGGGGGATGGGGATGATGAGATGGAGGAGGAGAGTGGGGATGAAGAGGGGAGTGCGCCGCGCACGCCGGAGAGGACTCCACGAGTGGGGCAGGAGGATAGGGAGGCGACGCCTAGGCGGTCGGAGGACTTGGTGGGTGAGCGAGGGAGTGGAAAGGGGAGGGGTGTTGGGTAGAGATGGGCAGCGTCAAGGGTGTCGTTGATGTTTTGCGATTCTCTGGTTTCTAGCAAGCGAGCGAGCGAGCGAGCGTCTGTCTCTTGATTGATTGCCGATTCTTCAAAAGTTCTCTTCAACTCATTGCACCTTACAACCTCACCTCCCTTCTCCTATTCGCACAAAAAGGCCTCTCGGTGCTCGAGAAGCGCCTCCTCAGCCAGGCCACAGTCGAATTTCGGATTCTGAGCCAGCCAGCCGGCTGCCGAAGCTCGCGCGCCTCTTCTCGAAGCCCGCAACGATTCTCGGCTCTAGACGGCTTGTCAAGGGAGGGAGAAAACGTGACATGCGTTAGCGTGGTTTGCGAATGGGCCAATCAGAGGGAGGTTGGGCGTCTGGTCCTGCTTGACTTCGATGTCTCTGAACTTCGACTTCTAACACCCACGACATTCTTGTGACAGCGTAGGCGAGGCTAGTGAGGATGTAGCGATGTATGCTATGACTGGTTCGGAATGCTTGCTAGGGGATTGTTGAGAGCACGGGTAGGAGTGAGAGGTAGCGGGCGCTGCGATGGATCACTGGCGTCTGGTATCCGACTCTGGAAGTTCGAGCATGGCTGTCACGGATTGATCGGCGTTCAAGTCTGGAGAACACAACTCAAGCCATGGCCACAAGATCTCCATATGCAACGGCGCGACATATCGGCAACAGCAATCGTCACGCCACCCCTGATCTTCGCAGGTCTGGTGCTGACACTATGGACATGGAAGTGTTTGATGATGGTTGTCTTCCAGGACAAGATCATCTACATGCCTAATATGCCGCCTTTCTCGCGTTCGGAGACGATGGAGGAGTACTTGCCGCAATGCCAGCCGGTTGACTGGAAGATGCAGCATGTTAAATCCAAGGATAGAACGAAGCTTGCGGTCTGCTGTGGGAGTATGGCGTCCACCTCTAAGACGCTGGATGATGCGAGCCGAACAAGGGTTGTTATATGCTACTTTCAGGGCAACGGAGGCTCGCTCCCGCCTCGACTACCGATGCTTTCGGCTGTGCTTAAATCTATTGCAGCGCAGACGTACGATTGTGAAATCACGATGCTCTGTCTCAGCTACCGCGGCTACTGGCAGTCCTCCGGCCGCGCGACTCAGTCTGGTATCGAGCTAGACGCGCAAGCTCTCCTCGAGCACGTAGTCGAGCACTACGCCTCCTCGGGCGAAGACGTCAAATTCATCCTCTGGGGCCAAAGCATCGGCAGCGGCGTCGCCACAACAGCAGCCGCCTCTTACCTCACCCGGCCCGGAAGCGCAAAACTCCCAATATCAGGCCTAATCCTCGAAACACCCTTCACAAGCATCAAATCCATGCTCGCGGCCCTCTATCCCCAGAAATGGCTCCCCTACCGCTACCTCTGGCCGCTCCTCTGGAACCACTGGGACAGCGTTGCCGCTTTGAACACAATTGCGGATGCAGGTCATAAGCCGAAGATTCTGCTCCTGCCTGGGTCGAAGGATGAGGTCGTGCCGGCTGAGGAGGCTGATAGGCTTGAGCGGGCTTGTGGGGGGCTTGGGCTCGAGTATGAGAGGAGGGATGTGCTGGGGGCGCTGCATCATGAGACCACAACCAAAGCCCCTGGGCGACATGCTATTGCGGCGTTCATCGCGGAGGCTGGCACACCCACTTCGCCATGACCTGGTGAGTGCTGGTCCCACCCCTCAGCACGAGAGCTGACGGGGTAAGCAACTCCCAGGTATCAATAGACAAGCCTCCCAACACAGTATCTCACACTCTTGCCGACCGCAAACCTATAAATCATTACTTTACTTACGATGGACAACATCCATCGTTTCCCAAGACTTCACCACCTGCCAAATCTAGCTTAGCTCCTGGCTCCACTTCACTTCCTCGATCTTGCTGTGTTGTTACACTCGCTTCTTCTCCGACCTGCTTATATATCGAGAAGAACAAAATTCCATACGAAGACAAGCTTGAGCACAGAGAACAGTACGATGGACGTTTCCAAAATTCGCAGCCATTTTCCGGCGTTGGACCAGAAGCAAGTGTTCTTCGATAACGGGAAGTTCGAACGTCGTTCCATGCCTTAACGACTTACTGACACTCTCGTAGCTGGAGGTTCGCAAGTACTACAAGAAGTCATCGACTCGTCAGGGACCATCATTCCATCCCCAAGAAACAACCGCTCTAACAGACGACAGCATCTCCAAGTACCTCGCAACCAACAACGTCCAGCTCGGCGCCAGCTACCCCATCGGCCAAGCCTCCACCAAGCTCGTCGACGAAGGCACCAAGGCCGTAGCAAACTACATCAACGCCTCCCCCGAAGAAGTCGTGCTCGGTCCCAGCACCACCCAACTCTTCCGGAACCTGTCCCAGTCTTTATACGATTACATTACGCCAGACTCCGAAATCATCGTCTCCAAACTCGACCATGAAGCCAACATCGCCTCCTGGGTCCAGCTCGCAAAGGACAGAGGCGCGACGCTGAAATGGTGCGAACCAGAAGACAAGACGAACCCGCAGATCGCGCCCGATGTACTTCGCAAATTGATGAGTGACAAAACGAGACTCTTCGCCTGCACGCAAACCAGCAATATCCTCGGAACGATCAACGACGTCAAAGCCATCGCAAAGACAGTCCACGAGGTTCCCGGAGCGCTGTTCTGCGTCGACGCCGTAGCGTACGCTCCGCACCGCGCGATCGATGTTCGGGACTGGGGCGTCGATTTCTACTCCTTCTCCTGGTACAAGCTGTACGGCCCACACATAGCATGTCTCTACGCTTCCAAACCAGCACAGAAGCACATGCGGACGCTGGGACATTACTTCAAACCAACCAACACGCTTGAGAATCTGCTAGGACTAGCGGCAGCGAACTACGAGCTCACGGCTTCGATACCGGAGGTGGTGAAGTATCTGGAAGCGGTGCCTTGGGAGGAGATATCGAAGTATGAGGAGAAGTTGCAGAAGATTCTGATTGATTATCTGAAGTCGAAGGAGGAGATTCAGATTTGGGGTGAGCCGGTGGCGGATCGGGGGAAGAGGGTGCCTGTTATTAGCTGGAGTGTTAAGGGGAAGAGTAGTAAGGAGGTTGTGGAGGCTGTGGAGGGGAAGAGTAATTTTGGGTTCCGGCAGGTTTTGCTTTCCTGTGGTTGAGGAGTATTTGCTGATACCTCGCAGATGGGGAGCGTTCTACAGTAATCGACTTGTTGAAGAAGTGCTTGGTCTGGATCCTGTTGATGGTATTGTCAGGGTATCGATGCTACGTAAGTTGCTCCCGTGCCTTCAGTGTAATGAAAGGCCCATGCTGACGTGGCTTCTCCAGATTACAATACCGGTAAGTCTTCACCACTGCAGCCGAGAACTCTCACTAACAACCATGCAGAGGACGAGATTCGTGAGTTCGTGAAGGTGTTTGACCAGGTAGTGTTCCAATAGGTTGCGACTGCCGGAGCACGCAATCACCAGATGACCTCTCTTCCTGTCCTCCCTGCTGGCATCCTCGATCAGCTCTGAGACGTGCTGTTGCCTTCATCCCCAAGAAGAACCGGATGTTTCGCTGCCTGCCCCCATGACATCCCGTATGTCCACTCAAAAATCTGGGCGTACTCGGCCATCTTGTCCATGATGCTTATATCACGCTTCGCTGCCTCGACCATCGCGTGCGCATACACCATAAATTGCGTCTCATGCACAGCGTCGTTCCTTGCCTTGCGCCTAGTCGTGTTCGTCAGAATGTCGAACTTTTCCCCGAAGCCAAACTTTGTCAGACCGCGCTCTTCAACAAACTCTTTAAAAAAACGTTTGGTCTTCTTCTGGACAAATCGATCGGTTCGGTCCGACGAGCTGTAGGAGGCGGCGACGTCTTGGTTGACTTCTGCCGGAGCGAGATCTTGGTGCTGCCATCCTGACGGCATCTGTTATACGTTAAATCGGATATGTAGGAAAGACTTTGGTAGTACCTACACCATTATTTGTCTTGGCGTCGACCATCTTATCAACCCAATCATCAATCATCTGAGCTTCTCCAACGATTATCTGCCAGGAGGAGAAGGCGTTCACACTTCCCTCCAGATTAGAGACGCGCTTCTCGAGCTCTTCGAATCTTTGTTCGACGCTGGCCCTAGTGTTGCTCGCCATCTGGGTAGTACGGCGTGCCTTCTTAAAAAGTGCGTGGGCGGTTTGAGGGGATATGATAGCTTCAGTCGCAGGATCGATGTTCTCCTTTTCAGGATCCAGACTTGCGTTGTCGTAGGTCCGTTGGATGTCGTCGACCGGAGCAGAGAGCTGCTCAAGGATGTCGTCGAGTTGGTTCAGCGCTTTGCGCTTAGATGAACTGCGGGAAGCCATCTTGTTAGCTTTGTCGATGTATAAGAAGAGAGGCTTTACCTTGGTCAGGTACTCTTGACGACAAGTGCACGTTACTCTGTGCAACTGTGTGCAGGCAAGAGCGAATACTTATATAGAAATGGCCACCTTTTGGCCATTTGAGTTTAGCAGACCCCACAGCTGATTACCTACGGAGGGTATCTCCTGCACTGCATACCGCACAATCCAACAGCATCGGTAGTCATGATCTTGTGAAGAACTGTACGGAGAGTGTGCAGGTCATGCAAGCGATTTCGCTGCTCTGGCCACTCCTCAGTCTTCTTGCAATTGCCAATCCCATCGCGCAGACGTTGGAGCAGTGGGTCGACATCTGCATCATTCTTGCCTCGCGTGTTTGGTCTCGGTGTGATCTTGTACCATTGCGGGGGTCTTCCGATGGCTGTAGACGATTGTTGTTCTGCATCGCCTGCTGGCTCTTCTGTAGCTGGCTGTGGTGATGCCACACTGGCCCTCTTGGAGACCTTCAGGCTCGACATGTCTCTCCCACTACCATACACGCTGCTTTGCGAAGGACGCTTAGCAGGTGCAGCGGAAGTTGAGCCTGCTGGATCGCGGCTGGGCGCCTTGCCCTTGCCACCCTGGGCAGTCGTGCTGGGGGTGGAAGAGTGTCTAGCGCTGTCAGCAGGGACATCTTTCTGCTTCGCTGCTCCACGGATCTGATATCCAATGGAGCCTCTCCTCGCCAACCCATCAGCTCGTGCAGCCAGCGGGTGCTCACGGCTGGTGAATTCGTCCTTCACCTGTGCTTGTGCGGGCGCCTCACGGGACAGTGGCTGCTTTGTCTGGGGAACATCACCAGGTGCCGCTGATGGGTTTACAGCTGAAGCAGTCCTCTCTGTCAGATGGCTAGAGATGGCTGTGGTTTCGCGTTCAGGCTCGTTTTTGATCTCGTGGGGTCTAACATTGGTGTTGGTAGCAGGTTGCTGGTCGATCTCTGCACGCTGCGCTCTCTTCAGCGCTCTCTTCGCTTCGATTTCGGCTTTGAACCTCGCCTTGGCTTCGGCTGCTGTCTTGTTCATCTGAGTCCCGGTGTCCTCGCGAGCTTTACGGCGACGTTCTTCGAGTGCCTCCTCGGACGCCATGTCGGGCAGCGGGTGAGCGTGCTGGGCAGGTGTTTGCTCCGTACTGATGATTCCACAAGTAGTGCATCCGACTGGAGGCAATCAGATTTGTCGGCGGTACACCCCACCCTCGTGGTGGGTAGCGACCCGTGATCTCCTTTCAGTCTTTGCTGACATCACGAAGGTTGTCCTGGCAGCCTGAGCTCCTGCCACGAGGACACGTTGTTGCAGAGACAAGCCTCTAATACCTCCGTGGGTTTAGCAAACGTTGGTTGCAGACCTGGTAAGGTGCGTTAGCTTGGGATATCGTAAATCGAGAAACGTGCCAGTTACCGCGAGGGTCCTCTTAGCCCCGCAGAGTGACAGACCGTCAAAGGTATAAAGTGGTATTTCAAAGGAGGAGTCTTTGGTGGGCGAGCTGTCAGTGAAGCCTAGCCATGGACTGTCCCACGAATGTCCCGTGTCTCGTCAATGCCGTGAGGTGCAAGTGCAGCTGTGCGTCTCGATGGCGCGTCACTGAGGTACCATTTGCATTGCTCTGCAAGAGACGCAGCTTCGAGGTGTTTCTTAAGGTTGCTGCCGTCTTGTTGGAAAACTAAAGTTGTGGTTGTGGAGGGGTCCATGGGTGGAAGTAAAGTGAAGACTGAAGCTGAAGTCAAGTTGGTGTTGTTGAGCGAAGCCGTGACATGTGACACGTGCCCCACTTCGATCAACATTGTTTGAGGAAGGAGCGACCGGTGGTGAAGCAATTCATAACTTTTCTGTCAATTCGAAGTCTATACAATGCAGGTCCGCCTCTGGCTCCATAATAGAACTCCCCTAGGTCTGATAGCATCGCTTCTCTCCTTGATGCTACGCGCGAGACTACTCCCTCGCGTCCCGTCGTCTCGTCATACCACCAGCCACGATAGACATGCTCCCATCTCCGCGCCTGTCCGTCTCCATTGGCCTGCTGATTTACCTCGCCTTCTTGTTGGAGCCGTCCTGCTGCGTCATCTGGTCGCCAAGCTTGTTGTACTCGTTGCTCAAGCCTTGCGACTGCTTCTTCATGGTCTCGAGATCGCGGTCTTTTTCAGCCAGCTCCTTCTTCAGGCGGCCAATCTCGCCGAGCTCGCCAGCCTCTCCAAGCTTCGAGGCGTTCTTGTCGTTCTGTGGGGACTCGCCGCGGAGCGTCTTGACCTCTTGTTCCAAACGGAGGACGTCGAGGATCATAACGTAGGTGCGGTTCAGGATGAGGGAGAGGAAGAGCGTGAAGCCGCAGAGGTACATGTTGCGCTGGGAGTAGAACTTGCGGGCCTGGACTTCCATGCGTTCGCTACCGGCCACGCCGCTGGATGGGGATCAGTATGGGACTTGGAGTGGTCTGCAAATGCTTTGACTTACGCTGCGGCTCCGCCCTGGAACTTGGCCTGTGACAGCTCGAGCTGAACGCGGTACACCCGGTTGACGCTGTCGATGAACAGGATGAGGATGAAGATGAACGTAATCTGCGCATACAATCAGCACCAACGCTAAAACATCCAGGGCTGTTTCCAGCTCACCTTCAACCCATATTGTAACTTGGCTATTATGGGGCTCTCCGAAATGAAGGTGAAGAGGCTGCGCTTGATCTTGAAGGGCAACGGGATGATGAGCGTCATAAACACCACCATCTCGAAGACGAGAAGGGCGAAGACCTGGTTGCATACTTGTCAGCTTTTCGTTCTCTTTGCACGCGGTGGTACGAGGTGGTTGAGACAGGTGCGTAGATCAGGCTGGGCATTTTGGCGGTTGCTTTGCTTGCAAGTCGTGATGGCGTACGGTTGGAGGGGCAAGAGTGGTGGATGGTGGTTGTTTGTTGGAAAGTTAGAGAGAGAGAGGGGAAGACCTACGAGACTGTAGTAGAGCGTCATGGCTGCGGTTGTGCCTTGTTTTGGTGGTTGGTGGGGGATGAGGTGGAGCTTATTTGGCAGGTCCCGCTGTGGTGAACTGCACAGGTGGTTGGGTTGAGACCTTCGTAGGTCTGAGTGTGCGTGCGTGAGGCTCGTGGAGAAGAAGTTCCTTCGAATGTCTGTAGAAGGTGAAGATAAGGCAGGGAAGGAGGGAAACAAGTGATGTGGCCTCCGTGCCTGCCAAGTTGTTCCGCGGCCGACGTCAGCGGGCAAGAGCGGGCTCGTGCGCAAAAGCCTAAATGGTGAAAAGACATGTGAAACTTCACCAAGTAAATTCGTTAGCGAGACTTCATCCACAACGGTGAAGGCGGTCACGATAATGGCAGCAGACGAAGTACCAGCGATGCCCCCATCATCTAGTGATCAAGCGAACGGTCACACAGAGGCCAAACACAGGCAACGGGATGAACAGAACTCTGGTGGCGACGTGCAAGAATCTCCTAGGAAGAGAGTGAAGCTCGACCCGGACACGACATCAACAACCGATGAAGGCCAGTCAAAGACGGATGGCGAGCCACGATCGGACCGCCAAAAAGGCATTGCTCCAATCAAGAAAGAATTCCTCGTCGACATCTCTACTCTAGACCCAACCGCCCAACAGGCAGACGATGATGCGGCCGAAGCATCAGGCAGAGGTCACGAAGACAAACTCGCTGCAGGACGCGGCGGGAAGAAGACTCAAGGTGGGCAGAACCACGCTCGCCAGTACGGGCAGTCGAGGGACGCCATTCAGCTCTGCAAGTCTCGCTCCCTCGCTAATGAGTTCGACGAGCTTAATTGCTCGTTCGGCACCAAGTGTAAATGGGAGCACGACATCAGAAAGTATCTCAAGGATGGCAAGCGTGAAGATCTGTCAACCTTCGATGGAGTGTGTCCGATCTACGAAGTGAGAGGCAAATGCCTCGCCGGATGGCGTTGCCGCTTTGCAGGGAGCCATTCGAAGGAGGTCGAACATGAGGATGGTAGGAAGGAATTGGTGCAGACCCAGAAAGACGTGGGACAGGATTTCGGGGCTGCTAAAGATGCTGACGAAGAAGAAGGGGTGGGCGTCGGGAATGTGGTCAGTATCGGGGACAAGATCAACTTGAGAAAGCGCAAATTCCCACTGCCAAAGTCCGACGGGTATCTACAGTATCTGGAAAGAAAGCGCAATAATGGCTCTGAGAATGCCAAAGCACCACCCGTTAAGGCTGAGCCAACAATGAAGACGGAAGATGAAGAGACCAACGGTGTCCACGACGCCAGAGCTAGCTACACCGAGCCTCCGCTCAAGCCCTCAGAGAAGCGGCGTATCTACTATGGCGCAGAAACGCCAGTTCTGGCACCACTCACAACGCAAGGCAATCTACCGTTCCGCCGTCTCTGCGTGTCTCTCGGCGCAGAAGTCACATGGTCCGAGATGGCCATGGGCTTCCCGCTCATCCAAGGCGAGAAGCAGGAATGGGCGCTGGTGAAATGCCACGAGTCCGAATTGGCGCCTCCAAAGTACACACCGAAAGGCGTGGTCCAGAATTACGATAACGCCAAAGACCTCAAATTCGGCGCTCAAATTGCTGCCAACAAACCTTACATCGCGCTCAAGACCACGGAAGTCCTCACCGCACTGTGTCCACACTTGCGCGCCATCGACCTAAACTGTGGCTGTCCAATCGATCTTGTCTACAAACAGGGAGCTGGCTCGGCGCTTCTAGACGCCCGCTCGAAGCTGGAGAACATACTGCGAGGCATGAATGTCGTATCAGGAGAAGTACCCATCACCGTAAAGATCCGCACAGGTGTCAAGGATAAGCAGCCCACAGCCGAGAAGCTGTGTCGTCGGCTCGTGCTAGGCGGTGAGGAGGCTCAGGATTCTGGCGAAGGACCATCCGGTGTAGCGGCAATCACGCTCCACGGCCGCAGCAGACAGCAGAGATACACCCGTAGCGCCGACTGGGAATACATCGCTGAATGCGCCAACCTCGTCCAGAACCTCCGCTCCGACCGCGCAGAAGTGACAGACACCGTCCGTGAACCCGACGCTCGCGACCTCTCAGCCTCCGCAAAGCCAGACGGCCTACCCTACTTCATCGGCAACGGCGACATCCTCTCCCACGTCGACTATAACCAGCACATGGCCGAAGGCAAAGTCGACAGCTGCATGATCGCCCGTGGCGCCTTGATCAAACCCTGGATCTTCGAGGAGATCGCCACGAACCAGTATCTCGACAAATCCGCCAGCGAGCGTCTGGGCTACATCGAGCGCTTCGCTCGCAACGGCCTAGAATACTGGGGCTCGGACGAGATCGGTGTGGGCACCACGCGGCGGTTCTTGCTCGAGTGGTTGAGCTTCAGCTGTCGTTACGTGCCGGTTGGGATTCTGGAGCACTTGCCGCCGAGGTTGGGCGATCGGCCGCCGGCGTTTAAGGGGAGGAGTGATTTGGAGACGTTGTTGAGCAGTGCTAACTACAAGGACTGGATCAAGATTAGGTGAGTTCTTTTCTCCCTGCGTGGCAAGAGGTCCTCTTTTCTCGGGAATGACGGCTAATGCTTTGAAATAGCGAGATGTTCCTCGGTCCCACGCACAAGGACTTCCACTTCCAGCCGAAGCACAAGTCGAACAGCTACGAGATCGAGGCGGAGGGTTGAGGATGGTAGGTTAGGCCGACCACTCGCTGCACGCGGTGGGAGACCTCAAATTTGCCTCCCAGCCGAACATGTCGTTGTTTACTGCAGACCTGAAGGTGTCTGGCCTCATTAGAACGTCGTGATGAATCTCACTGGCATTGATGGCTCGGCAACGCTTCACAGCAAGATGATGTTCATGCGATGACCATGACTCGAGAGGAGCTGAAGACCACGAGACGTTTTTGGCAGATTGCATAGCTCCTCCTCCGCGGACAGAATCTCGTGATACCGTGTGCCCGTCTTCCCCAGTCATCCAAAGTTCTACAAGGCGCATTCTAGACTCCGCTTCCCTCCACATCGTCAGCCCTGTCATCCTCAAGCCAAGATGTCCGTCTGAAGAACCAGCATGCTCCATCCCGTTTTAAGGCAAGCCACGCAAACCTACCGAGCAGAAGTAGTATAAGGTCTAAAGGTCCGTCGGCCGTTGATTACTGATTACTGTACAGCGGGCGACGGCAGGATCGCATCAGAACTACGGGTTGTGCCGCCAAACTCCGCTCTCCAAGCACGACGCGCAATACTTTGTTAATGGGAGGATGTTGAGAGTTCAGACATTAAATCGCCACGCTGATCGCGCAATAGCTGTATCGAGCAAAGCGACCGAGCAGACGCGACACCTCTCAGCTCGCATCTCGATGCGCACACAAGTGGCGTGCTCCTGGGTGACAAAAAAAACCGTGACAGCTAAGCGGGATCTTGGCAGAGAGCTGTCACGGCTTTTTTGTCACCCAGGAAGCGTGGTAAGAACATTAAATCACTGGAACACAGCGAAGCGCGGCGACAAGTACCGAACCGCCTGCGAGCGATGCGATGCCGGCACGACGCCGAATAACCTTCGAAGCGCCTGGAGCGGGATGGCTGCGCGCTGCACAACCCTCACTCCTGCATGTCGCCTGTATGCATGCCTGTATGCGCGCAGCGGGCTGCAGTCCGGGGGCGGCCAGGATTGTATGTAGACAATATAACCAGTCTGCGCGTCGGGGGCGAGGTACGTACTGTTTATCGTAAGAACTATGCAGTGGGTGTCGCTTATAAGGAGTGGTGATGCCATTGCTGCTCTTGGACGACGAGGGTGATTGTTGATGTTCTGTCGAGGCCTGAGATTGAGGATGACGTCTGTTTTTGACGGCTCGAGATGCCGGAAGGAGTAGATCTCGTCTCGTGAGTGCCGTTGCCTCTCTCCAGGCCACTCTTCACTTCTCGTGAAGGTGGGCACGGTGGCTCTGTTGGAAGACGTCGACCTCGGTAGATACAAGCTCCCCAGCATGCGCTTGTAGGGTGGGTTTCTGTTGAGACAACCTAGTGGCCACGAGTCACGGACATCGCCATCGTGGAGGACCAAAGTCTGTGCGACACGACAAGGCGACCCAGACGATGCTTCCCGATGGATTCTCGAAGCCAGCTGCAGCAACGGGATGGCTTGAAACTCTACCGCGCTCGATTGGATGTCGCTGCTGCGGCGCTCGTGGAAGATGGCTGGCAAACTGGCAGATTCTCGGAGAGCGCTGTCACTTTCTGACGACCGTTTGCAAGGGCTTGGAAGCTCACCCGGACGTCTGGGATGACCCATGGCACGGCGTGAGAGGGAAAGCGGCTTCGGTTTGATTGGATAGATCTCCCACGTCGGCTCCTGCAGGCCAATGTCATCGTCTGCACGTTGCATAGGCATATCGTCGACCGCCTCTTCGAGAGGGTTACAGTCACTCGGGAATATTACCTCTGCCTCTACCTCACCCTCGTCCTGACCATCGTATCGTAACTACCCACGCATCTCTATACCGTTACCAGTCTTCAACAACGTGCCAGACCTCTCGGATCCGTCAGATTGGTCAGATTGCCGGACTGATTAAGCTCATCGATTTAAGTGGAGTCACATCACCCTAACAGCGAGGCGGACTGAGGACTCGACACTCGCTTGACCGTTGCCCAAGCTGGCTTCCTCATCTCAAACACCGCCGCCTCTTCACTCACGTGGGACGAGTGTAGAGTCGACGCCCGTCAGCACTCCCTTGTCCGCTGCGTATAGCGACCACCGGCGCCACTCGAGGGAGGCCGACCTACTTCACATTCACAGTTACGGCAAGCAGTCTCACCATAGCCTCGCCGACGTTCACTTCACGAGCGACGAGTTGCTCTTCGGAGGAGACGACGACGACGACGACAATTCCCACATTCACCTCTTCCCGACCGCATTGCCACAACGCTCGGCCCACGAGATGTCGGGCTCAGGCACGGCGTCGCCGATCAACATTTTGCCTTCACGCCAAAGCTCCCACTCGCCACGCAACCAACATTCGAACCTCACTTCACAACTTCAACAACCCCGCATCAACGTCGACCACGACATGAGCATGGACGGCGCAGACGGTGCTGACGCTGCGCCGAGACCAAGACAAGAGTCGGTGAACATGCTCTCCACGACACCCTTCGGCGCACAGTCGATCCCTCTCAAGAACGGACAGCGGCGTCCGAGCAATACCAACGGGCAGTCGGGCAGCTTCATGGGCGGCATGAGCTGGGGCGGTATCTCCATGGGCAGTTTCATTAGGGATGACATCTTCATGGGCACATCACCATACAACTATGGATCGCCGTCATTTCACTCCTCTTCGTACCTGCCGAAGATGGAGGCGAACTACATGCGCGACTACGTGTGCTGCGACATCCGCCTCGATTCTATGCATGAGCTCCTCCAGCATTATGAGGAGGCGCATGCGGCGCAACCGACTCAGACCATGGGCCGCACCCCACGAGACCTGCAGTTTCCGAGTGGGAGAGCGGCCAACGCCACTAACACCGCGCATGCGGTCCAGCAGCAGGCGCATCCGCAACAGGGTCTCCCACAGCAGCCGATGCAACCGCAGAACTACCCTACCCAGTCTCCGTTGTTCGGCGGTCAATCACATGATCAGATCGGCACATTCGACAGCCTCGATGACATGGACATGGATGACACCACTCCTCAACTTGCGCAGAGAAGCTCACAGTTCCAGCCACAGCCTCAATTTGGACGTCAGCAACCTCGTGGACCCACTGTCAACGTCAACCTTGCCAACGCTTTCCAGGGGCAAGGCTTGAACTCTGCTGCAACACCAAGCACTCCTCACGCCAGCCAGCAATCTTTCCAGCACGACCCTACCGTATCTTCCGTCAACACACCGACCATTCACAATGCCAGGAGCGCATCGCAGCAGAACAGCACCCCCGACTCTTCCATGCCCGGCACCCCCGCCGAGAACGACCTCGACTACAGCTCGCAGATGGCTAGCCTCAACATCGACTACAACCAGCTCATGCAGCAGGGCGGCATGGACATCAACAGTCTGAGCAACGGTGCGTCTGGCACTATTGATGATCCGGCAAAGCGCCTGCTGAGCAAACAAGGTCACGGCAACAAAGCGTTCGCAAATCAATCCGCTAACAACAGTGAGCTCGCCAAGCGCGTACGCGAACAGCACTTGCTGAACGGTCTCGCAGGCTCCGGCGGCTTCATCACCGAAGAAATCAAGCCATTCAAGTGCCCCGTCATCGGCTGCGAGAAGGCCTACAAGAATCAGAATGGACTGAAGTACCACAAGCAGCATGGTCACCAGAACCAGCAGCTCAAAGAGAACCCAGACGGTACGTTTTCTATTGTTGATCCCACTACATCTGTCCCCTACCCTGGCACGTTGGGCATGGAGAAAGAGAAGCCGTATCGCTGTGACACGTGTGGCAAGCGGTACAAGAACTTGAACGGGTTGAAGTACCACCGTCAGCACAGTCCGCAGTGCAATCCGGAGAACAAGATGCCGTCCAATGTGCCGGGCGTGGGGAGCAATTTGCAGGGGGTGAACGTGGCAGGGGCAGGCTTGATGGGCATGAATGGCGGGATGGAGTATTGAGCGAGGGGATGGACATCGACTGCGCTCAACAGCGACACACATCACAACACAGCACTCATTTCTGGCGAACGATGCTTCTTCCGAACACCTACACACGCGCGGCAGACACATGTACACCAACACGATCATCGAAAACCTCTTCACACGGCGTTCGGCGGCACATCAAAAATCGGAAGCATTCGCTTTTCCATCACCATCATCACGACGGAAAATCGATTTCAGCGCGGAGTCCGGAGTTTCTTGGGATGATTTCTCTCACTGGGTCGGGTCGGGCAAAATCAACATTCGGTCTTTGGAGAGGATAACCTGGGCTTCTGATTCTTTTGCTGCGATACCCACCCCCTTGTTGACTGCGCTGCTTTTTCTACACCCGGCATTCGCTCCAGCCTGGACTTTATCGTCCGGCGTGACTTTGTTGTCTTTGGGAGCTTTGGGCGGGTCGTGTTCATTTCATCGCGAGTGTTTTAGTGCGGAGCATGAGTTTATGAGTATGGAAATTTGGTACGGCTGGGAGGGGCAAAAGTATCATGGTGTCGCGAGCGAGTCGGCGAGGAAGCAACTGGGGGGTTAGACATAGAGGGTGTTGGTAGTGTGTTTATACCAGACTGATTGTTGATGCATCTCGCCTTCCCGTTCGTGTGTTGTTCATCCTTCTTACATGGTCGTGTAATCGATGTCAGCGCCAAGCGAGAGTCATCGACCTCACCTTGAACGTTGGCTTAGATCGGGACAACAAGGGCGTAAAGTATGGCAGACGACAGCATATATATCAACCGCCCAACGGCGAAAGCATACGACGTCCCATACGAACCGCCACCGCCGGGTGCAAACCCAGTGCTGCGAGGTCTGCCTCTTTCAATCGCCGCCACGATGTAAGCAGACCAGAACCTCAACATTTACCTAATAGTAACCCGAGGCAGCATCTCAAAGACGCCTTTTCTCCAACGGTTCCTCTGGTCCAACGCTGGCTTTGGAAAAGTGCACGACATCCCGGAACTGGAGCATATAGAACCTCGCTACGACCCGACTGTGATCAAGACCAGCCGCAGTAACATCACTGGGACCGTTCGGTCCAATGATGAATTCCTCGCATCGCTCTCTGCGGAAGACTGGTCATCGAAGCGACCATTTAAGTCGGTGTACTTCTCTTCCCTGGACTACCATGAAGCCTACAAATCTGGACGTCTCACGCCGACACAGGTCGTCGAGACGCTTTTGCCGCTGATTAGGAGAGATGTCGAGGGCGCGGAGCACTCGGTAGCTTTCCTCTCGGTGAAGGCGGATCTGGTCAAGAAAGCGGCAGAGGAGAGCACAGAGCGATATCGAGCTGGCAAATGGCGAAGTCCTATTGACGGTATACCCATGGTACGCCCACTCCCCAGCCTCCCAACATCCTGACAGAACCACCACTGACCTCCCCAGGCTGTCAAAGACGAAGAAGACCTAACCGCCCACCCCAAATCCCTCGGCTCCCGCCTCTCCTACACCCACCCCTCGGACGCCACCTCCCACGCCGTCCGCCTCTGGCTCTCCGCCGGCGCCCTCTGCCTAGGCAAAACCACCATGCACGAACTCGGCCTCGACACCACCAACTGCAACCCCGTCCACGGCACCCCGCGCAACCCGCACAACCCGCACTACTACTGCGGCGGCAGCTCAGGCGGCAGCGCGTACGCTGTGGCGTCCGGGATCGTGCCGCTGGCGATGGGCAATGATGGGGGCGGGAGCGTGAGGATCCCCGCGGCGTTCTGTGGGGTGTACGGGTTGAAGACGAGTCAGGGAAGGGTGGGGATTGGGCCGACGGCGAATTTGGCGCGGAGTAATGGGGTCGCGGGGCCGATTGGGGGGTGTATGGTGGATGTGGAGTTGGGGTATAGGGTTATGGCGCAGCCTGATCCCAACGATTCGATGTCTGCGATGTGGACGCCGCCAGCACCTACCCCTATGAGCGCCGATGGCAACAAGAAAGTCCTAGGCATATTCCGCCCCTGGTTCGACCGCGCCGACCCTGAAGTCCACTCCCTCTGCACCACCGCCCTGGAACATCTCACCAAAACCCTAGACTACGAATTCATCGAAATCACCCTCCCCCACCTCCCGCACGGCCAACTCGCCCACGCCCTCACGATCCTCTCCGAAATCGCCACCGGGGTCCCGCGCTCCACACTCCCTTCCCTCACAGCGCCGAATAAAATCCTGTTGTCGTTGGGGCACACGACGCCGGGAGTGAGTTTCTTGCAGGCGCAGCGGTTGAGGGAGGTGATTATGCGGCATTTGAGCGCTTTGTGGGAGGAGCATCCGGGGATGATTTTGATTACGCCGACGACGCCGAATGCGGGTTGGAGGATTAATGAGGCGGATCTTGGGTATGGGTGTTCGGATGGGGATAAGGTGAGTGTTTATTCATCTCCGAGAAGCGTTCGAGCTGCATGCTTGCCGTCATCTTCGTGATGCCGAGCCGTTGCTGACCCTTTCGTACAGAGTATACGCAACATGGAATACGCCTGGTTAGCGAACTTCTCCGGCTGTCCGAGTATCAGCGTTCCTGTGGGGACGGTGGAGGCGGAAGGGGGAGCGGTGCCGGTGGGTTTGATGGGTATGGGGGAGTGGGGGGATGAGGAGGGACTGATAGGATGGGGTTATGAGATGGAGAGGTATATTAACGAGGTCAAGGAGGGTGGGAGGGCGAAGCCGGGGAATTTTGTGGACGCGGTGTGGGCGGAGACGGTGGGATAGAGTGCCGCGATGTCGAGAGCTGAAGTCTGAGAGGGAGAGAACGTTGGATATGAATTGTGCATATCACGGCCAATTGCCTGAATACACTTTAACTTGCTAGCTTGTGAAGAAGCTGAGCTGATAACCGAATCTGATGCTCGATTGAAGCAGAGCGGCCAAAACCCATCCCAGACCGTTGTTGCCCATACTCCCGCTAGTACGAGCACACACACGCAAGCATCCCTTATGTACCGCTGTCCGTTTTGTGAAAAGCAGTACCCGTATCCGTATCAGTGTCCGTGGAGGCGCCAGCCCGCTCGCTGAATTATGAGCAAGCACACCATCGCCGCCGCGCCTTCACTCTCCTCCCACACTCTCAGACACCATCCAATACACCACCTAAGCAGCCGCTCTCCCACCACTACTCCCTCCTGACTGTGCCACAAACTCATCCATCCCACGCCTGCCCATCAGATGCGCCAGACTCGGATCCCTCACTCCACGCTCACTTTCCAGCTTCAAGAACTCCTCGATCTCCGGCGGCAAACGCTGACCAGCCCGATACGCGGCGCGGATGCGCTGGCTGATGCTCGCATCGCGTCGGTGCTGGAGTTGGGAAATGTGTTCGCGTCGTGCCGCCGCTTCCGTAGGCGTCTCGTCACCGTCCTCTTCCGCTGGGTCCGCAGACGTAGCATCAGACATTGGTTCATCCTCCTCACTCTCTCCCTCTTCGATCGCCTGCTGCCTCTGCTGATGTGCACTCCCCGTCGCATCCTCCACCACGATCTCAATGTCCGTCTTCCGCGTGATGCTCCTCCTTCTCCCCTCCTCCTTCGCCCACACCTCCCTGCGATCCACAAACGGCCCGATCTCATCTCCCGTCGTATCCTTCACCTTAATCCCCTCATCCTTCTCATACCGCTCTCGTGCCCACTTCGTGCCCTCCCAGCAGCAGAACTCCTGGATTTCCCCGTGCGTCAGCCCGAGCGTGTCGAACGCTTCGAAGAGGCGGCGGTGGTGCTTGAAGCGGCCCAGGCGCATGCGGTGGGGTGGATGGCAGTAGTTGAGGCCAGGGTAGCGGGCTTCTGTGCTGTTAAGGTCGCCGTAGAATGTTTGCACTTCGATGCGGACTTCGGGAACGAGGTTGCGGGCGAGGTGGGCGGAGAAGGTGGGAGGGTCGGTTGGGGAGGGGTGGGGGAAGAGGTGGTGGTAGAGGAGGTGGGCGATGGGTGTTTGGCGGCGCATTGTGTGGGTGTTGTTGGGGTTGTTGTTTCCGGGTGGGAGTGTTTCGTGCGGTGTGATGATATAGGCAGCTGGTTTGTTTGCTGACGCGTGACGGCGGTGGTATCAGTGGCGTAGGTGCCTGGCGGGTGAGGTGAGGCCGTATGAGAGACGAGGAGGCAGTTGTGAAGAGAGGCTGTTGGTGCGGCGTGGGTAAATGAAGGAAGGAGTGCAGGTCAGTGCAAGGGATAGTGACTTGGCGGCGGGTGGTAGGTAGGTAGCAGTTGACGAAGAGCGGAAGAGGATGGATGGGAGTGGAAGGAAGGAAGCAAAGACGTACAAGACCTACCTGCTATTGCCGTCCGCTAGTCATAAGAACGGGTGCCAGCGGCGGTACCGTGTTGGCGGCTGACGAGAATCTTGGTGTGTTTGAGTTGGCAAGCAGCCGAGCCGTCAGACTTCGCCAGCACCTCACACGCAACACTCCCGATCAAACCTTGCAGTCCGGCGCTGCACAGACGCCCACGCCCACGACATGCCCCGACACCGACACGATGATGGCATCCCGCCAGCCCCCAACCCACGCGGACATGCCTGCAAAGGCTAAAAACAAGCGACGGACCAGCATCCTGCAATGCATGAAATGGGATAGCGGCTGCTCATGGCTGCTCATGGCTGCCCCAGCGCAGCAGACGCAGGGACGAAGCGCCATCTGCATGTATGGTGTAGGTTAAGATTCGGGCATGGTGTCACTGAAGTCGCTTCTCCTCGACCACTCAACGTCTGCAGATGATGCAGCACAAACGAGCCAGACTTCGACACGCCCGCCGACGCCATCGTCCAACGCATACCGCAGAAGGGAAGTGATACATCGTGCATGTGGTGGCTGCTACGTGCTGCTGTCTCGTGGACCGCCATCACACCGCCGTCCCGAGTGGAAGTGCCAATGTTTCACCCACACACTTCCTCCACATCATAAGACAAAGTATGTCTGACCGCCTGAGGTACCAAATACGACACGTCGTCCAATTTTCGCAAGCTCCATTTGCATACTGACCGGCAGTTGGAAGATCTTTCGTGCTCGAGGTAGAGGCTTTGAGAACTGCTGCAATGTGATTGGACAGGTAAGCGAAAAGGCAAGTCGATTTCTGACTTCACATTCACTTCTACACATACATCGTGTGTCAGAGACGCTGTGACTTTGCAACCCGCATCACTTCGGTTCGAGAGTCGCGAAGTCCAGCAGAGGCCAGCTACACTTGAGTGCCATGGTCTATCGCAGCATCTGATTTCAGCTGGTCTTTCAGCCATCAGGAACCTTGCGGAGAATCTCCACCAGCGACTACCATGGCACGTAGTATTGCTGAATCCTCCCTCAGCACACCGTCGGACACCTATCTATACTCCCTCGCACAGAATGGCTCTACCTTCGCAACCATCGGCTCAGACGACACTCTCCGCCTCTTCGATCCATCGCTCAAACTCCTCCACAAAGCCCCCTCGGCTCACACCGGCATATCGTGCCTCACAACATTCTCCAATGGTTTCGCCACTGCCGGTCGCGACAGCTTCATTCGTACTTGGGACGCCCGCGCCCAGCGCGCTGGCAATCAACTCCTGGCCGCGGTGAATGGCGCTGGAATCTCTGCGTTGGCATGCCACGATCACCTCATCGCCGCTGGGACGGAGAGCGCGAAGGAAGGACTGGGCGATGTGAGCGTGATGCTGTTCGATACTCGGAATCCAGGAGCGCCGGTCAGGAGTTACGTGGAGTCACATACCGACTCGATTACGCAGCTTGCGTTCCATCCTACTCAGCCGAACGTTCTATTATCTGGAAGCACGGATGGGCTGATCTCGCTGTTCGACGTCAACATTGAGGAAGAAGAGGATGCGCTGCAGCAGGTTCTCAACCCGAGGTCCGCTGTCCACTGTGCCGGCTTCCTAAGCGGGACGGAGGTGTATGTGGTTACTACGGACGAGCACTTCTCCGTGCACTCCCTCAGCGAGAACGTGGCCGAAGACAGCAAATCCGCGCTTGATCTAGGCGATGTGAGAGAGCGGCTGGGATGCATGTACGTGGTGGATCTGATCCCTGGCCCGCAGCCGGTGTTGGTGTGTGGGCACAACAACGACGAGAAGTTGTCGATTGTGCAGCTGCAGGCGCAGAACGGATGGGGTTTCGGGACGGCTATTGACCTTGTCGGAGCGCATGGAGACGATGTGGTGAGGGATGTTATAGTGTTGAGTGAGGATATGAAGGCGGTTAGTTGTGGTGAGGATGGGAGGGTGAAGGTTTGGGACCTGAGGAGTGCTGCGCCGAGGACTTAGGAAAGGTTTGCATCCATTCTCTTGCCACCATTACCTTAAAAGCTGTACTCACGCCGTGGACCGAAGAATAAAGGTCGAACTTGAGTTTCGCCAAGACTATGCCATGTGCGCGCTGGATGAGGAAGGAGCGACCTAGAAGCCGGCTAGCGCGGGTTGGCGGATTGGTCCACCTGGCTCGGTCAAACTGCTCGCGGCTCAAGCACTTCTCCCATCACGACGGCCTGAACACCCACAACGGTCGAAGAATTGTGTGATAAATGTTCTCACAGTCCTTGAGAGTCGGAGAGAGCTGCTACGCACGGAACCTGAGCTCAACGTTCGCTCGCCTGCTTGAGATCGAGACGTGAAGCTTTGTTGTTGGGCCGCGAGCAACCTGAGGAACCCTCGCACCACCCTCTTGACTTGACGAAATCGCGGACTCGACCACCCGCCTCCACCCAACTAAGAGCAGCGCATCAACTCAAGATCTCCGGCGACGGTGCAGGTCTCAGCATGGCGCTGCCTGCACGCTTGCGCCTTCTTCGTCACGGCCGTCGAGTGATGTTCAAAATGGCGCTGTCCGCCCGCGTTGCGCATCTCCTCCGCAAGGCTGTTCGCATCTCGGAGTATCGCGAACTGTTGATGTCGCAGCACCCGAGGGTAGCAGCCTCGAAAGCAGCCTCGAAAGCAGCCTCGAAAGCATACGAAGTAAGCACCAATGTCCAGCGTCCGGCGCTCGCAGCACCAACATAGCCCACAGATCCTCGCAGGATTCCCCGATCAGAGAAAGGCCTACAAGATGTCACTGATCTGGAGAGCTTGGCAGCAGTCATCGCCCCTGCTCAAGCTCCCTGCCGAGATTCGCAACACAATCTACTCGTTGGTCCTCGTCGAACCGGAAGGTACATTGGCGGTCACTTCAACTCTGAAACATCTGGGCTTGTTGAACGTGTGCCTCCAAATACGCACGGAGGCAACCCAGATATGATGCCAGCAAAACCAATTCCTCATCACTATCATCGACTTCGGCGCTTCCTTGTGGGACAAGTGGTACAGACATCAAAGGTGGTTGGAAGCAAATCTACACGTGCCTCAGAACACCTTCGCCCTCTACGCCATCTGCGACGGACTCGCGGGTTGGAAGAATCTGAGGCTGTGGCGGTGGTACCGATTTCACGACAAGTGCAAGTTTGAGCCAGGACAGATGCCGACCTTCGTCCGAGCCCATCTTTGGGACGAGGCGTGCACGGCGTTCTTTCGAACAGCGCACACGCTGCTCAACCATTTCTTGGACAAGGAGTGGCGTGAGTTCGAGGCATGGTGTATCAGGTACGAGACATTGCGCTTCTGTGCGATGACCACTGGAAGTGACAAATAATGTACGTTCTTCCTGCTGGCGTAAGGTATGGGCAGTGCAGACAGGCGGAGGGATGCAGTGGAGAAATGGAGCGAAAGGCTGCTTGGGAAGGTGCAGTCGCAAGCAGATTTGAGGGGTGAAGAGATGCCTACGATGTTATGTGCAGCGTGAGTTGCTCGCAGCGGCTCTTCTAGAAACACGGAATAATCACATGCGTTCACATGCTGGACTCTGGTCTGATGCCATTGGCTGTCGCTAGGTGAGTTTCATTCACAAGTCTACAATAACATCTCATATCTCACTACCTCCACTTCACACCTCCAGCTTCGACTTTCATCGACTCAGCAAGCCTCTTCTCCGCTTCGATGACAGTCTAAAAGCACAACAGCACCCGCAACGACAGCATCAAATATGGCAGTACCAGCGCGACTTCGAGAGTACCTTCGCAAGAAGGGTGTCCGTCTTTCCGAAGTCCACTGCGATAGCCGCAGAGCAAGCAAGAAGGCCAAAGTGGGTGACCACTGCCTCTTCTTCAAGACACGATCTAGACGCTGACCTATTGAACAGCTCGTCGAGAGGTCGTCAGCAACTTCGAGACCCTCCTCAAGGTAGCCGGTCGAGAAGACCTCCAAGCTCCTCACCCTCGCTCTCCCCCACGGCCCCATCACCGTAACATCCCACTACCACCCCCCGGGCCTCCTCAGCACCTCCCGCCAGCTCCAAGAAGAAACCTACCGCCTCTACTTTCACCCGCAACAGCTTCCGCATGGAAAGCCGCGACTGCGCCGGCATCCCCTGGTCCCGCTTCGACACGCTGGTGAAAGACGTGGAAAAGCGCCTGCAGCTCGCGCCGGACACGGTCCTGTTCCTGCGCTCCTTCACTGGAGTGCCTACGTGGCAGAACTTCAAGGCGTGGTTGTAATTTCGCTGGACGAGGAGGTTGGGGTTCCAGCATACGAATGTTTTGCTGGGGAATTGTGTGGCGGCGAATATTTTCTATCGTGTCGCGCATGATTTGCTGGCGCATTTTAGGGGGAGGGAGTGGGTTGTGTTTGATCTGGCGGTGGGGTACATGAGGTCCCTGCTGTTGTGCTATGACGGCACGTGGCTTTGGTGAGAGAAGGGGTAGGGTTGATCTCGTTTCTCCGATGGTGAAAACGGGTGAGTTGGTAATGGCAGTCGCTGTACTGGCGTTGAGATGATTGCGGCGCTTGAGAAGAGCAGTTGCATTCGATCGTAGTAAGAACAAATATCATACCAAAGTGGCCGCCCCTGACTCTTCTAACGACATCACTCCGGCCTCACCTTCCCCCTCCTCCTCCGCATCTCCTCCACCTTCCGTCTATCCTCCTCAAACCCCCTAACAAGATCCTTCGCCTTCTCCTTCTTCTTCTCCCGCACCTGGAACCGGTAAAAATCATCCTTGACCCTATTCTTCTCCCTCTTCTTGAACTCCTCTTCCTTCCCCTTCGTCTCTTCCTCCCTCGCCGGCCCTGTCCTCCCACCCCTCGTCACCGTTATAAATCCATCCTCATCGGGCTCCGCCCGCTGACTCGCCAACAACCTCGCTTTCTCCTCTTCCTGCGCCGAGAAAGCCTCCATGAACCGATCCACGCTCGACTGCAGAACCGCTTGATCGGGGTAGCGCAGCTTATGATGCGCCGCATACCTCTCCTTCCCCAACAGCGGGACCTTCCCCTCCACACCCTCACCCCAAACAATCTCCCTCCCAGTCTTCACAGCCTTCCTCGCCTCCCGTAACGCCATCTCCGCGCTCGGACGGTCGACACACCGTATCACAGCCGTGCTGCCACTGCGATGGACCTCCCGATCCCATGTCTTCGGTAGCTGGCCCACCTCCTCCGGCTTCGCATCTTCATCGTCCGCGCCGCGTTTGCGCTTCTTACCCTGCGCTGCAGGCGCGCGAATGCCTTTCGCGACTCTTGCGTCTTCGAAGTCGACGTTTTCTATTCTTGCGCCGCCTAGGTTGTCTGCGAAGAGGGCTTTGAAATGTGTTTCTGTGGCGTCGATTGGGACGTTCTTGACGAAGATCTCGCGGGGGGTGTCTTCGGTTGGTATTCTGGGTGCGTTGGACCGGATGTAGAGGTAGTGTGTCCTTTTCAGTGGGTAGGAGGGGAGAGCGGGACGGTGGAGGGGGAGGACCGTGAAGTCGAGGACTTGGGAGGGGGGTCTGGATTTGGGCATTGGGACCATGTCGGGGAGGTTGGTGTGGTGTGTCCTGGCACAGAGCGATGCTCTTGAATGCGTGGAGTCTAGAAATCAAATTTGGTAGTGACTGGTCATTGGCTGGGAGTATCCGCCTCTAGCGTATGTTCAAAAATTGGTGAACTCAAAAGATGAATTCTCGATTTTGGAGAAGAGGCGCTTGCCAGCAGGCCGTCGTGGGTAGCTCAGAGGTCAGTGGAAATGTTGACATGGCCTGACTCGCTGTTGCAGCCATATCCGTCCCCGCCAGAAAAATCGTGCCGCTACCGTCGTTGCTCAACCCTTGCAGTCACCTTTGAAGTCGGAGAACAGGCAGCTCCCTCTGATTGGTTGAACACAGGGCAACGCTAGTGGATGTTTAGATTCTGTCAATTCCTCTAAGCAGCTCTCTGCTTTTTGGAGATGCGGCGCATCGATCGACCAGGTTCTCAGTCTTGCTGACCCGTCTGGCGAGCTGGCCGGTCGATGTTGGCAAGTTGGAAGTTCTCGACTTTCGGATCAGAATTGGTGCAACCGCAGTCACTGATCAGCTCATCAAGTTTCACAAGCATGGAGAACGAGTAGAGCGCTGTGATTGGCTGTAGAAAGCACGGCGCTAGCTCATGTTCAATTTTCATCAATCGGCTCCGATGCTGTTGCAGTTTTGGAGATGAGGCGGATCGACTGCTTGACGGCTTCGACGCTCGACGAGCTGGCCGGTGACCTTGACCTAGCTGCACCGGTCTGGAATGATGAGTTTGCCTCTTCTCCTGGAAGCTGATGTGACCATATCGTCGACTTGTGTTGAACGGATTTTGGGCTTGCGGAGAAGAGGCGCTTGATGTATGCTTTGTGATTGGCTGAATTCAGATCAACGCTAGCTCACGTCAAGATTCTGTCAATTCATCTCATCAACTCTTCGGCTCTTGGAGAAGAGGTTCGAAGCAACCTCGACGGCAAGCAGCTGGTCGGCATCGCCAGCTCTGACAAGGACTTTGCGTTCTGGAAGCGTTCTCCGAGTGCTGGATCGATCTGCTGCCACTACATCAAGTGATCAACCGCTCGGCATCTGTCTGTTTCACGGAGAAAGAGGCCGTCGACGAGTTCATTGAAGAGGTTCTTCCGGACGTTCACCCTCGCGAAAACGCCTTTCTCCTTCAAAACCAGAGCCTCTGTCTAGATCACCTTGTACAGTGCGGCGAAAGAGGGCCGGTTCTTGCGCATAAACACTCTTCTCTAGTTGTAGCCCTTTGGACTGACGGTATATGTGATCCCGTCCAAGACCTCCATCTTAACTTTGTCGTAGAGACCGCGCTCCATGGTGAAGGCCTGTGCCCACTCGACCAGACTAACGGGTGTCGAATCAGACCCCTCTGTGCCGAGCACGACTTGGAACTTCTGGAGCTTGTCGAAGTACGGGAAGTTGCGATGCCGTACAACAGCTTCGGTAATGGGCGTCGACCAAAGTGCTGCCATTGGCTGTAGATATACCGACGCTAGCTCATGTTGCATTTCTGTCAATTCACTCGTCAACTCTCCAAACTGCTGGGTGTCCTTGCAATGGCCGCCGCGACTGTTGGTGTTGGCGACTCTACTGCTATACCACAGGTAGCTGTTCCGCGTTCAACAGACATCTAGTGCCCCTACTTTCACTGATCAGTCGCTCTGTTTCTTCCAATGTATCGAGAACTCATGATTGACTCTAAGTGCCGTGCAGTGTAGACTTTTTTGCGCCGATGACGCTGCGTGGGCTGCACTTTCATCCCAGGGATCCAAACATTTCTTTGACCGAGTCACCTCTTCTTTCAAGTCAATCCATACCACTACACAATGGCCTCTCCACCCTTCCTCACGGCCATTGACCTGTCCAGTTACTCCAGTCTCTCCCAACTACCGAAAGAAGCAGCACACGCTGGCGGCATCTTCGCAGTCATCTCAGCTGGCAACATCGACAATGCATTCCAACTGCTAAAAGACACCGTCGGCCGCCACGCCGTCCACCTCGAAGTCTCCAACGTCCAGTCGCAGGAAGATGTCGTAGACCTGCTTGACGCCGGTGCAGCAAAGGTGTTTGTGTCAAGCACCCAAGCATCCGGCTTCGACAAAGTACCCAATCTTGACGCGACAAGAGTGGTGTACTGTCCAACCGGCTCCGCGACTGATACAGCAGCACTTGATGGGACGTCTTTTGGGCTGTACTTGCAAAATGTTGGGAGCGCAGAAGGTGCTGGGAAATTGTTGCATGAGCTGGGGAAGAACCGTCCGCCTGTCTTCGTTCAAAAGGCCCATATGTCCGAGGAGGAGGCAATACAGCTCGCCAGACAAGGCGCAGTACCGATCATTCCGGCACTGCAGTTGACGCTGTCTGCTGAGGCCGCAGAGAATGCGATACCGGTGGCTAGCTTGCTGTTGGCGCGGGCGAAGAGTGACAGGCCTGATGGGTTGTTCACTACATTGGTCACTGATGAGCGAGGAATTGCACTTGGCCTGGTCTACAGCAATGAGGAGAGCGTGGCAGAAAGTTTGCGGGCAGGTCGTGGTGTATACCACAGCCGGAAGCGTGGGCTTTGGCGGAAGGGTGACACCAGCGGCGACTGGCAAGAGCTGATACGGGTGGAGCTGGACTGCGACCATGATTGTTTGCGATTTGTGGTTCGCCAACAAGGGAATGGCTTCTGCCACCTCCAGACGGCGACTTGCTTTGGAGAGTACCAGGGTCTATCGAAGCTGCAGAAGACACTACAAAGCCGGAAACGCTCGGCACCCGAAGGCTCATACACTGCAAGACTATTTAACGACTCCAAGATGCTCAACGCGAAGATCATGGAGGAGGCATCCGAACTCTGCGAGGCCACCAACAAGGACGACATCGCGGCTGAAGCAGCAGATGTGCTCTACTTTGCTCTTACCAAGGCCACGGCAGCAGGAGTAAGCTTAGAGGACATTGAGCGCAACCTGAATGCCAAAGCTGTCAAGGTCAAGCGGCGGAAGGGTGATGCCAAGGGTCCTTATGCAGCGAAGTTTGGCGTAAATGGTGCTTCAGCAACACCGAATGGCGAGAACAAGGAGATGGTGCGAGAGGCTGCATCCGTGCCGAAGAGCAAAGAGGATCCTGCTGGTGTGAGCAAAGACGGCAGGATCAGAATGCGCCGGCTGGTGACTGCTGAAGAGTCGCCGGACGTTGTTCAAGAAGCGCTCAAACGACCTTCGCAGCGGTCTACTGAGAAGATTATGGGTATTGTCAATCCGATTATTAAGGATGTGCAATCTGGAGGCGACAAAGCTTTGCTCGGATATACGCACAAGTTCGAGAAGGCGACAAGTCTGACCAGTCCGGTACTGAAGGCACCCTTCCCACAGAGTCTCATGCAATTACCGCAGGAAACCATCGAAGCTATCGACATCTCTTTCGAGAACATCCGCAAGTTCCACGCAGCACAACAGGAAGAGCGGCCGCTTGAGGTGGAGACAATGCCTGGTGTCGTCTGCTCTCGATTCTCAAGGGCGATAGAACGGGTTGGTCTCTACGTACCGGGCGGAACTGCTGTGCTACCATCTACTGCCATGATGCTGGGCGTGCCTGCCATGGTGGCCGGATGCAAGAGGATTGTCATCGCTTCACCACCTCGCGCAGACGGATCCTTAACACCCGAGATCGTCTACGTGGCGCACAAGGTTGGCGCAGAAAGCATCGTCTTAGCAGGCGGGGCACAAGCTGTCGCAGCAATGGCATACGGTACGGAGAACGTCAGCAAAGTCGACAAGATCCTCGGACCGGGCAACCAGTTCGTCACCGCAGCAAAGATGATCGTGAGCAACGACACCACCGCGAACGTAAGCATCGACATGCCCGCCGGACCGTCAGAAGTCCTCGTCATCGCCGACGACACCGCCAACCCCGCCTTCGTCGCCAGCGACCTGCTCAGCCAAGCCGAACACGGCGTCGACTCCCAGGTCGTCTGCATCGCCGTCGGCCTCGACGAAACCCAAGTCCAAGCCATCGAGGACGAGCTCCACAAACAAGCCACCGCCCTCCCGCGCGTCGACCTCGTCCGCGGCGCCATCGAACACTCCACCACGCTCGTCGTCCCCACCATCGCCGAGGCCATGGCCCTCAGCAACGCCTACGCGCCCGAGCACCTGATCCTGCAGATCGCCGACCCCGTCGGCGCGCGGAACATGGTACAGAACGCAGGATCAGTGTTCCTGGGTGCCTGGACGCCGGAGAGTGTGGGCGATTATTCAGCCGGAGTCAACCATTCGCTGCCGACATATGGGTATGCGAAGCAGTATTCCGGAGTCAATTTGGGGAGTTATGTGAAGCATATTACGAGTTCGCAGTTGACGGAGCAGGGGTTGCGGAATGTGGGGGGTGCGGTGATGAGGTTGGCGGCGGTGGAGGAGCTGGAGGCGCATCGGAGGGCTGTGGCTATGCGGTTGGAGTTTTTGGATCAAAGGGGAAGGTAGTCATGCCCAAAAGTCTGGACATTGGTTGATTGTGCCGGCTCAGACGGTATATTGGAAATCGTGGAAGTGCTCACGTTGGTTCTCCCAGAGTACCAAGAGATGAGGAGCATGTTTCGCCGTCCTCCGACCGTCACATCTGTTGCATCGACAAATGCAAACGACGGTCAGGAGACAAGCTTGCATTTCTGGTGTTGTTTCGTTCCTTTCGGATATCTCATGAGTCAAACAGCAGTCGAGGCGGCTTCGCCTCCCATTTTGCAGGAACTGGGGCTGTCCTTCAGCTCTCCTCGTCAATCAAACCATCTCCGCCATCACGGCGAGCCCGATCACCGGTATGGAACGTCTCATCCCTTTTTAGCATCGAGATCCTTTTCATCGATAGTCTCCGTCGGGAGATGTTCTAGCGCCGTGATGTGCCGTCGTTGGCGCCCGCTTTAGCGCATCTCGAGCCCGGACAACGCCAAACTTACTCCTATGAGCGAACAAGAATACACTTCCAATGTCTCGCGTGTCAGGCGCCACATTCTACTCTGCACGTGGGAAAGTAAGGGTCTGGACTTCTTCGACTCCATATACCCGTTTGCTGTGGCTACAAGGAGGACGATGGCTGGCTGCGGAGCGCTTGGCTGGGAGCTACTTTGGCCTGGTGTCTTGAGCATCCTCCTGGAGACGACGTCCGCTCGGATGGTATAAGTATGGGCAAGTCTTCGTGCTATTGACACATCTTCCTTCTGCACCGCGCTCCTCTACCACTCGTTTTAGGGGACCGTTCATTTCGTATTACTCTACTGCACACATTCGTTCTTGATATTCATCAACATGAAGACCGTCTCCAATCTTGCGAGCGTCTTCGTCTGTCTCTCCTTGATCCCGCAGCTTGCTCTCGCTGTCCCTCATTATGAGAAGCGTCAGGCCAGCGCGTCTGCCACCGTCGACACGGCTGCCGGACCGACTCTCGAGCCCGTCCTTCCTCCCCAACAGGACACCAGCGACCTGAACATCATCAACCCGGACAAGGCCGTCCAACTCGCCTATGCCGGAGTCTCCACTGGCCCTCTGACAAAGCGTGACGACTCCGTAATCCTCGTCGAATTTGACTTCACGTTCAAATACCCGACCGTCGCCCTCGACCACTCGGACTACATCACCAGCGTTTCCTGCTCCAGCGACGGCGAGCTCACTGCTCAAATCAACGACGCCGATGCCTACGCACTCGCCAAGGAGTCTTGGGGCCCTCTTGGTGACTTGATCCTCATCACTGCCGTTGAGGCATGCGGCGGTGATGCTCAGAACGACCTCTTCCTTGCCACTGCTGTCGATTTCGACGACTCGGACAACTCTTTTACCGCTTCTGGATCGCACGTTACTTTCCACGATGCTCTGAGGACCATGGATGTCAAGTGGGGCAATGCTCCGTCCGACACCCTCACCAAGCGCTTCGCTCACCAGCGCCGCGACGAGCCAGATGAGACCGCCACGGCGACTTTGGACATCGGCTACATGATCTCCGAGCAAGTATCTGCCGCCGAAGACGCTCCGTGGCCTGGTGCTGTTCTGCTTGCCTCCTGGGGTCTCGATGACAAGGAAGAGGGGGAATCCAAGAAGCGCGACCTCGCCTCCACCACAGAGCTTGCCGTTCGTGGAGAGGATGAGGGAGGGTTTGATGCCGGCCTGAACATCTACTGCGTTGACTGCGGTGTCAAAGGCTCCATCATCGTCACGGGCATGTTGTCCTGGGGCTTCTTCGACGGCATCACCCTCGCCCAGGTCCGGATGTCCGGTAACATGTATGCTGGAATGTACCTTGGTCTGGAGATGTTCGCTGTGTACAAGAAAGAATACGAGAAGAACTTGATCAAGAAGTCGTAAGTCTAGCTCCGCTACAGCTGTCACGAGATGTACTAACACTTCTACAGTCTCAACCCATGGACCGTCCCTGGCCTGATCGACTTCGGCCCATACGTCCGTCTCGCCGTCTCCGCCGGCATTGAGATCAAAGCCGAAGGCACGCTCCTCATCGGCGCTTCAGCAACCTGGGGAAACTTCGAGGCCTTCATGGATCTCATCAGCGGCGAATCCAGCAGCTCCACATCCGGTTTCACTCCCGTCATCGACCGCAAGGCCGAGGCTGAGGTCTCTCTGTCCGCGGAAGCGACGCTCGGCATGCCGATCGGCATTGGTGTCGGAATCAGCATCCTCGACCTCTTCACGGACAGCTTGAGCATCGGCTGCGAGCTGACTGACACGCCTGGAATCAAGGCGGAGGCCAGCTACTCGTTCTCCGTCGGCAAGGATGAGGAAGAGGAGGAAGAGGACACTTGCTCGGGTATTGATTGGTCTATCAAGTTGGAGAACAAGCTTGGGTTCAGTGTTATCGGTGCTTACAATGGCTACTGGGATCTGATTGAGCCTTACGAGTCTGAGCCGCTGGCTGATGGTTGCATCACATTTGGAGATGACGATGGGAACAACGACGGCGGCGACGACAACGACGATGGCAGTGACGACGGCAGTGGAGACGACAATGGAGACGGCGAAGGCGACGATGATGACGATGGCGAGGACGGCGAAGACAACGGCGACGATGGCGACGACGACGGCAACACCACCCCAGGACGCGGACACGTCTGTGTCTCCAAGAACGAACGCATCCCCGCCTCCCTCACCTGCAAAGCCATCACTAGCGGCCCGAGCGACAAGACCTCCACCCTCCTCGGACCCTCGCAGGCCAAGAAGCGTCGTCGATGCGTCAAGCGCTGTCTCGCCAACAACCAGTGCCAAAGCATCGGCTGGAACCAGAGCACGAAGGTGTGTCAGATGTACAGCGCGTCGGTTGAGAGCCTCGGGATGCCGCTGGCGAAGGGCAAGGCCAAGGAGATCTTTGGTGATCGGTCTTGCTGGAGGACTACTCCGTGTGCTAAGTAGGCATGACTTTCATGCTTGCCGCTGGGACCGTGGAATCGGTTGGTGTTGGCTTCTGACTATATTGAGTGTTTCATACCGCAGTTCAGCGACATTTCAAATAGAACCACCATACATCATATTTCTGGAGCCGAGAGGTTTTCTTTGTCATCGTCCCGGTTACTCGAATCAGTTCAGGGAGATGTTCGCACCATGGAACAAAGAGTATGCGTTGAGACCGGATCCGGCGTCCTTTGTCCTGAGGTCGCTGCAAAGGCTATTGTACGAGCTGCTCCCTCGAGATGCAGTCTGTTTCTCCGTCGCAACGATATCACAGGTGATCTTGTCGTTGTTTCGACTTGGAGTGGCATCATGTTCGGCTCAGGGAGAAGCAACGCAGCGTCAGCAGACGGAACGGAATACGACGATGGTCCACCGCCGTTTTGGACACCAAAGAACCCTGCGGATGATGATGGATACGATCCCGACGACAGCAGCGATGAATCGTCCCAAGGGAACACGCGCGCACCAGTTGATAAATACGCAGATTTGAAAGCTGATCTGCAGGAGAAGTTCCGGCAGCTGAATACTTTTGAACAGCAGTGCAAAATATTCAGGGACGGGGACGTGAAGCGTGTGGAACATTTGCGGCACTACCTCGATGATCTGAAGGATATGGAAGAAGAAAAAGCAAAGTACTTCAATCTCGACCGTTTAGTCTCCCTGGATGCACACGAAGTACTCAAGATGATCGCAGCAATGAAATCGCGGTGGGAGAAGCTCGACATCCCGCGGATCACCAAAGACTTGCGAGCAGCGCTTGATGAGATGCGACACCAGCCATTCGGCAATGATCGCAAGATTCCTTTCGCTGAAAAGGAAAAGACGGTCCAAGAGCTGTTCGACGGGGTCATGCAGCAGCCGTTCGAGCCCGCAGGCACTGCACTCGACATACCAAAGGGATGTAGGTGGTTGCCGGCAATGAATCTGAGCAATGGTATGGCGGCGGCGGCGCTCTGGTGTCTTGTCGACGAACACGAGCGGATCCAGTATAGAGCCGCCAGAAAGGACACGCACTTCAAGTGGTACCAGCTCGTGGACGCTACATTCTGGGCCGGGGACCCGAAAGACCCTGCTGGTCGTATACCTTTGGAATACCATTGCCAGTCGAAGGTGTGGAGTCGACCTGAAGCACTCAATGTGGTGGAGGCGCTGAAATGCGAGGTGGACACCAAGAGACTGGTGTATCGATTGTACACGGAATTCTGCGCATATGGCGACGTGGGAGGCATTGTCAAGCAAGCCCGAATGATGCAGCGCCCTCCGCCCAAAGCGTGGATCTGGATGGTCTTCTCCAAGCTAGTGGAATGCGGACTGATCCTGGAGAAGGGCTCAGTGAGTAGCGAAGGAGTCGAGGGCTGGAGGGAGATTGTCCATCGTGATCTGAAGCCGGAAAATATTTTCCTGGATACCGAGCGAAAAGACTGGCCTCAGTATCCTCAGCCGATGCTCGGTGACTTCGGCCTCGCCTTCGAGGCGTACCCTGACGATGAATTGAACCCGGAGATCTATCAGGGTTCCGGAACAAAGGGTTACAAGGCGCCAGAGCAGGACGTTTACATGGATTCCGAAACTGGAGAGCTACTGGACGCTTATCCTCTTTACGCGCATACCAACGTTTGGGGAGTGGGCGCGATCATTGCCACTCTTGTCTATGTCCAGGGCGATGTTTTCCAGCGTGGTGACGAGCATCATCGGGATTCCCCAGAGTTGATGGGCCTGGTTGGAGCATGTCTCGAGAACGTCCCGCAGGACCGGCCGACGTTCGCGGAGCTGCAAGAGCACATTGACGCCTTCATCGAAAGCGATGGCGATCTGCAGCGCTACATGAAGGCAGCCCGCAGCGGTGTCCAGCCGGACGATCCCTTCATTGATTTGTTTGTAGGCGGAAAGTGCAGATACCAAGTCGGCATGGCGTTCGGGCTTGCCAAACGGGGGTTGACGGTTCGTAATCCAGATTTATAGTCACATTAAGATGTCGAGTTACTCCTTAGCCGTATCTGCTCGAACTCTTCGTCCTGTGGAAATCCAAGATGTAGCCTGCCGCACTTTGTCCACTGCAACGCCGCGCCCTCGCCTGTCTCAAAGTCCAGTACACGTCCGCCCTTCTGCTTGTCCGCAGCCAAGAAGCAGCACTGTAGGCCTTCGCCACTGATGTCTTTCTGCCATGCGGGTATGCTAAAGCCAAAAATTGTGCCGTCAACGTCCCAGTACGTCGCCTGCTTCGTGGAAATGTAGCCGAACCGACCGCTCAATTTGAACGCCAACGGTGTGTTCTTGCTTCTTTCGAAGACCTCCTTGACCTTCTTGCTTGTCGTTTTGATTGGCGGTTTGACTTGCTGTGAGGGCTGAAAGATGGTAACCATGCAGAACGGGAGCTGGTCTTCTTTGTCTGCTCTTGTAGCTTCGCCGTCCTCGTCGAAGGTGTACATGGCCGAGTCCACTTGTATCATGTCTCCTTCGCCATCTTCAGACATCCCGATGCCGTGGGTGCCATGGTTCAGCAGAAAGCCTACCGGCGGTCCGCCGTCTTTCAGGCCGCCCTCGAACGCCGAGAGGAGGGAGAATTGGAAGATGTCGTTCGGCAGTGTCTTCGACATGTTGACGTACACAAGGATATGAGCAGAAGTAACGTACAGTCCGGATCAACTTAAGGAAGGCTGGGTTGTACTGGCTACGCTGTCATGTCTCACGCCGATGCGGTGGGTTGTTGCACCTGAAGTGGGCCACCCAATGCCCGATCAACAAGCCGATGTCGTCCGGACTCGGCTAACGATAACGATTGGTGAACACGAAGGCTTTCGACCTTGAGGATAATACCATGAGCAGAGGAGACATTTAGAAGTAAGCGGTCGCTAGTTGGAAAAGTTGTCAAGACATCCAAAGCCGTGGTTCTCTGGGACAGCAGGAACAGCATCGTCTAGCAGCAGGAGGCTTCATAGCGGGCGATGGTGTTACGGACAAGCCAAAATCGAACTGCCACTTCTTCTGTTATGTAGCCTGCCAACCCACTCAATGCCCAACCATCGCCTGCGACCTCTCCGAGTATCGATTCCCCACTGGCTTGCTACTATCCACAATCTTCCGCATCTCTTGCCTTTCACCCTCACTCAACTCCACATCCCTCGATGCCCAGTTCTCCTTCAATCTCGCCACTTTCGTCGTCCCTGGAATAGCGATCATGTTTTGCGCAGCGACCCACGCCAGAGCGATCTGTGAGAGGGAACACTTCTTGGCGGAGGCGAGCTTCTTGATCTCCTCGACGATGGCTTTGTTCTTGTAAAAGTTCTCGCCTTGGAATTTAGGAACTAGAAATGGTACTTCTATTAGCGTCCTTTCATTGTGGAAGTCGAGAGTCGTGACGAGGGGGCCTGGAAGTGCTTACCAGTCCGACGGAAGTCGTCAGGGGCGAAGTCGTCGGGTGTTGCGTAAGGGAAGTTGTCGACGAGCCAGCCGTGGCCCAGCGGGCTGTAAGCGACGTAAGCCACGTTTAGCTCTTTGGCGGTGTCGATTAGCCCGTCGGTCTCGTGGAGCGTTTCGAAAGCTGAGTACTCTGCTTGCACAGCATCGATCTTGGCAACTGCGAGGAATTAGCTGACGGCAGTGTTTGGCGACAGATCTTTCGTTGCTCACTGGAGTCCGCTTTGCGGAGTGTTGCGGCACTGCATTCGGAGAGACCAATGTACTTTGTCTTTCCCGCCTTTCGAATCTCGTCGAGCGCCGGGATCGATTCCTCCAAGGGCGTATCTGATGCAGTGTGGTCAGCTTGTGCCGTGTGTGGCGGTACTGGCTACGCACTTGGATCAATGCGATGGAGATAGTAAAGGTCCGGGGCGAATCCAAGTCGCTCAATCGTGCCCTCGATGTATTGCTTGATGTGGGAGGCCGAGTTTGTGACATTCCCATCGCCAAAGCAATCGAAGCCGCATTTGGACGCAACTGAAGCCATCTGTCAGCACTTGTGAAGGCTATGCAGAGACGCGAGACCCACTGAAGACTCTGTCACGGACGTTGTGCTTTCGGATGAAGTCTCCCAGAAGCTTTTCGTTCACGCCGGCCTGATACACAACCTGCAGGACGTCAGCACTAGCGTGACAAATGCTTCACCGAATCGAGAATGCTGCTACTCACAGCAGTGTCCCAGAAGGTACAGCCCAACTCAATGGCTTTCAACAGCACAGGCTCGGCTTGCTCGAGCGTGAGGTTGTTTCCCAAGCCAAAGGAGATGCCCATTGCACCAAAGCCTGGGGAGGGGACCTGGATATCGCCGAAGGATAGAGTGTGTACCATGATGTCTGCAAGTTCAAGTCAATCTGAGTTGTGCTGGAGAGAGTGTCGTGTGGTGTCGTGCACGGTATAAGTAGTTCAATGTCCCGGAGAGTGACGGCGTTTAGCGGGCGTAAGTTCATTTAAGGTTGCAGCTCATGGGTCCGAATCATGCAGCGTGGCGTCTCCACTTGATCGGGGCCATGTGCGATATTCCTCCACGCGCAGCACCGCGAGCGGCTCCTCACCTCTGCACTGGCGCCACTTGTTTGTCGATGCCCATAGTTCCCAACAACCTTCGATCAGCCACGACCAATGCTTCGAGAAATCTTGCGTCATTTCCCAATTGGACAGTACCCAAGGGTCACCCCACACCAGCAGGCCAGCCTCCTTCAGCGTCGAGGCGCTAAAGATACCAACGAGGTCGCCGCATAGCGCCATGTCGTCAAAGTTCTCGGCGCGCAGAATGTTGTCCCGCATGTTACTGCATGGTAGCAGGTCGATCCTTGAGACAACTCATCAGTACATGTTCAGAAAGTAGACCGAGGAGCGGAAACAGGAAAGCATTGACAAGTATGTCGCTTTCAATACAGTAAGACAGTGTAGAGGAGGGGTGAGGTCTTGGTCATGAGGCACTTACCATGGATGATGGTCGATCTCGCGTTGTAGCCGAGTAGGGAACATAGATACCGGAAGCGACGAAAGGTCGCGGTGAGATTGTGATGAGTCGCAGAACGGCGAGGCTGCGTCGTCGTCCATGCCGTTCTCTGTCGCAAAGCCAAGCGCAAGTGAATTGGACATCAGCGCGCGGAAGACGTTGAACTTAGCTAGTACGAGGACTTGATCCGCATACGGTGACGCACAAGCCCGCAATCCATGAGTCGGACCACGGTGAACACTGTTTTGCCAGGCTTGGAAGTAGGATATCAGGGCCTCTTCCGGCACCAGAGTGGCGGCCTTGCTGAAGGCCACTGCGCCTGTGCACTGACGAGCGTCGAAAGGGACGCCTCCAGCTGCAGCATCGAACATGCGACAGATAAGTGACTGCAAGTCTCGAGCTTGTGCCGGGTTTTGAGAAGCGCGCCTTGTCTCTGTCGTCTTCGTGTCTCTTCGCTTGCCTGTATGCGGAAGAAATGGTTAGCAGCTTAGCTGAGTGGCTTCCCAAGAAACGTTCCAACACGCCTGACTTACGGTATTGTCTCTGGTGGATACGATTCTGCAGCTTCCGTCTTACCAGAGGGTCCGATACGCCACTCCAGTCCTCGTGTTGGCCGACGATAATGCTTAGCTGCTGTGGCATCCGCGGCGGACCAGTATCTGCGTGCCGAGGGTCCGCCATTGTGTCAGGGTATGAAGGTGTATGGAAGAGCTGGCGTGGATGTGAAGTAGGTTGCCGCAGGTCCTGGTATGCAGCCTGCTTATTCCTGCAGCAGTAGCGCGAAGCTTGTTGCCCGCAGTGGGCTCAACCAACATAGAAACCGTCTTGCTTGTACTTTTGGAAACAGCATTTGAAGCACGCTCTAAGCGAGTGAAAGTGGAAATACCTTCTGTCTCCGTAAAGTCCGCTCGTGTCAATGCCAAAAAGGACGACATTGCGTACTGACCTCACGTGACCATGTAAACGTGACGTCTCACTCCGAAGGCTGAGCAGAAACTGCGTTCGGAGGGCAAGCGGTGCTGACGTCCTGGCCTGTATGTGTGGAATAATTTATTGAGCCTTCAAAAGCTGCGATCGCAGGACAGCACCTATATAAGCATTTAGATCTCTTGAAAAAGGGCAACAAGGTGGGGTTCACGTAGCCGAACTCACCTCCAAACACAGCACTGTGCGAGCGGTGCGTTGCTGATCAAACCGAGTCTTCGTTGCACCCACCCACTGAAGCATCGCTGCCGCACCGTCGTCCAAGCTACGAAGAACTCATCGCACGGAGTTAGTCCAGCATACACTAACACGGGAGCAACCACATGGTCGTCCCGCGATGTCATCACCGAGGATACTGCTCCACGGCTCCGGAGCAATAGGCACCATCTACGTCTACCTCCTCTTGAAGGCCGGGTACGACGTAACAGCCGTGTGCCGCTCCAACTACGAAGCCGCCAAAGCCAACGGCTTCCTGATCGATTCCGATCGGTACGGCAAAGGCATACGAATTCATCCCAAAGTTGTTTGCAGTCCCGGAGAAGCCGCTGAAGCTGGACAGCTGGATTTTCTTATCGTGACCACCAAGGCTTTGCCGGACGCTGAGACGAGCAAGGTCATTGCTCCAGCCGTGACTGAAGGCAAGACAACGATCGTGCTGATCCAGAATGGTGTCGGCATCGAGGATGAGTATGCTCGGATGTTTCCGCAGAATCCGATATTGAGCTGTGTCGTCTACCTACCCACTACGCAGATCAGACCCGGAGTCATCCAAATGGGGACGTTCGAGTCGCTGGAGCTTGGCACGTTTCCGGCATCAGCATATAGTAAGAGCACCGAAGTCAGAGAAGCTGCAGACATGTTTATGGATATTATGCAGAAGTCTGGCAGCCAAGTAAAATGGTACGACGATATCCAAGAGAAGAGATGGAACAAACTCTTACTCAACGCCCCATGGAATCCGATATGCGCTCTTACCTTGTCGAGAGATGCTGCTTTCTTAGCTTCAGACTCTTCAGCCAACAAGGTCATTGAGGATGTGATGCTCGAGGTTGTCGCCGTCGCTCAGAAGCTCGGATACGGCAAGATCAGTCCCGCGGCTGCAGGCGAGCAACTCAAGCGCGCTGAGGGAAGGGTCGGTACAAAAGGCATCGAACCAAGCATGCTTGTCGACGTCCTGAACGGCCGGCGTATGGAGGTGGACGCGATACTCGGCAGTCCGGTGAGGGTGGCAAAGAGCGTTGGTATCGATGTGCCAAGGTTGGAGTTGCTGTACGGCCTAATGAAGGCACTGGACGAGTCGATGGCGTACAAGCAAGCTGGCCAGTCGTTGGGCGGGGATGAGACCAGGTTAGAGAGGTCGAAGAGGGGAGAGAGCGTGCTGTGACAGCCTCGTTACTAGCAAGCTGCACATGGCCAACACACTTCAGCCGGCGTCTTGTTGCTCCTCTTCGTTTTCTGATTTTCGCTGCTCTCGCCTCGTCTTCACCCACTCGCCGAAGGGCTTCCAGATCGCTTCTTTCTCAGCCGGCTTTGTACTCGCACTCAAACCGCTGGTGGCAGTAGCAACAAATACTCGAGCGCCATCCCAGTCAGGCATCTTGCCCATCCGCTCTTTATCGTCTTGCCAGCCATAGTGGAACTCATGATTCTTGATCTCCCGCTTATAACGCCACCTCCAGATAGCCTCCCAGATACCTTTGCCCACAATGCAGACGGCTTCGGGTCGACACGTGCGGACCTTTTCCTCTAAAATCGGCGTCCCGGCAGCCATCTCAGCCTTGCTCAACTCGGCAGCATCCTTTGACGGCCTGTCGACTATGTTGGTGTTGCCGAGCGAGCACAGCCGTGGCAGGTCGACATCCTGCTCAGGTCGCAGCTTGACATCTGTGCATCCCGAGCTGTGCAACAGCTTCCAGAACAGGTTCGAAGGATGAGCGTACGCATGGCCTGCTGTCGCCGTGCGGACGCCAGGGTTGAAGCCGACGAACAAGGCGATCAAGTTGGGCTCAAGGATGTCGGTCAGCTTCGACAGATGGGCGTACTTGGACGGAGGCGCGTAGCGGGAGGACTGTCGGCGTCGCTTTGCTGAGGACGGGGAGGCCTTAGGTGATTGCTGATTCTCGACGACCTCTTCTACTGTCCGTTTGCGATTGGAGCGCCGTGGCCCATTTGAGGCGTCGGGGTTCTGAATGGCATCCGCAGAGTGACGGAAGCGCTCGAGGTTGGACTTGAAGAGCGCTGTGCTTGCGTCGCTGACGGTCGTAGTCAAGTCGGGCTCCTCATCCTGCATGTTGCCTCTTGAGTCCTGGATGGGAGGGGGGTTGTCTTCGTCTTCCGCCATCTTCATCGATGTTGTGTTTTCACGACCGCGCAGAAGGCTTCGCGTGAAGTGACGCGAGATCCGGTTAGTCAGCAGAGGACCGACTTCTTCGAGTCGGCCTCATCTCTTTTGCTTCTTCTCCATCATCCTGCCTTGTTTCTCTACTTTAAGTCTGTAGACGATATCACAACGAGACAGAAACCGCCGCGAGAGCAGTAGCGCATTGATGTGGAGGACTCATGTTGGAGACCTCGTACATGGCTCATCCCTGGCCTTCTACCTAATCATGATTCCTTGCACTGAGTATCTACGCTGAGTACATACGTTCAAATTCGAGCGGTACTGATGCACCTGAGCAGTCCGGAGTCTCTGGGGACAATGCAACAGACACCACCAGCTCAAGAAAATCTCTTCTTCATCTTCGCCTCCTCTCGAAGCTCCTTCGTCACATTACTCCAGCCCTCGTGAGAAGCATCAACTCTCATGTTCACAATCTCGAAGCAATGGCCGGCCCAGCTCCCTTGCTTCAGGCTTTTCTCGGCTACACTCTCATCTCGACCAGTGTAATCGTCCTCATCCGAGTCATCTGCCCAGGTGACTCGCATCAGCAGCGCTTTGTCCACGGAGAGGAAAGGTAAGCCGGAGATATGGAAGTAATTGCGCTCGCTGCGGTAGATGTGCGCTTGCTTGAGTACGGCGTACTCGCGTGTCGTCATGTTGCGCAAGACCCAATGTGTTGGTGTAGGAGTTGGCCTGCATCGAGCAGCTCTGGCCTTTTGAGCCCGCTGCTGCTGTTTACTGAGGGGCTTGGGCACATCGTGAGCCGACAATGTCCACTCTATGGTGTGCCGCAAAGTGGCCAGATCGACAGCGCGGATGTTGCTCTTTGGGCTGACGGCGATGAAAGCGCTCACCAGCTCATCTTTCAACGACAGCTTCGATCGTTCCACGAACTTATTTCTCGCATTCCAATTCCATTTCCGAGCAGGACACATCCCCCTGCATGGCGCACCTCTTAGACCTCTACCGGGACGGTTGAAGAATTCTTCTTCTTCAGTCTTGAAGTTTGGGAACATCGTATGGATGGCCGGCGGAACCGACATGAGATAAGTGCCAGTGCATAGCAGTGGTTTGCCAGCCCAGGATTGCATCCGCCGTATTTGTTGGGCATGGGCAAGAAATAAAACCCACAGTGCATTCGAAGCGAGGCCGAGAGACACGATGTCGTTGGAGGAAAGGTCTGGGTCCGAAAGCACCATCGACATGAGCTCCGGAGGCAGGCGCTCGATGGCAGAAGACGACGCGGACGAGCGCCTCGTATGGAGATTGCGGTACGACTCTGTCGGGTCTCTTTTGGTACCAGACTCGTGCCTTGCTAGCCGGTCGAAAGCATCGAAAGTGAAGTCTTCCTTGAGGAACTGCAGTGACATGGTGTAGCTGTTGCGGCAGTCGATGACTTCTGTTAAGTCGTACTGTTCTTCCAATGTGGGGACCATCAAAGTCCAGCGTTGCATTCCTCGTGTCGTCTGATCGGTACCTGGAGGACACATGGTGGGCTAAAGAGTTGCAGATTGATAGAAGAAGAGTGGGATGAAAGTATGCTGGAGAAGGAAGGGAGAAGGACCAGGGACGGGGAAAGGGTAGATATATGTAGGTAGCGCAGGGTTGCAATGCCAGGTTTGAGATCCTTCGCTGGCTGCCTCGCTGCTGCGGCTCTTGCCTTACTCGGCCAACCTGCATGTGATGCACGTGACCATGATCAGTCAGATACTGATGGTGGATGCCGTCCGCCAAGCTTGGGTACTAACCTGGCTCAAAGGAGACTGCGATATTCTTGACACCAGCTACCAGCTACCAGCTACCAGCATTCTGTAGATCATTCCACGGCATGTTGGCATATGTAGCATGAATGTGACAAGCTGATTGGAGCGCATCTTGAGCCGCCAAGGGATCTGGAGAATCGCCTTCTATGAATTTTCGAGACTTCTCATCTTGACTACCCAAACCACTGCGATGGCGACAGCAACAACACTACTCGACACACTGTCGAGCTTCACGGCAGCCGCAGACTCTGCGTCACAAGCTCTGCCCGATGTAGATGCTCTTCTACCGCCTACGAACGGCATCTCACTACTGGATGCGAAGAACGAAATCTTCCTATCCTATCTCCAGGCGCTCGCCCTTCGTAACCTTAACGTCATTCGGTCGCTGAAAGATGGTGCGGACGTCGAGGAGGCACACAAACTCAGCAGCGACATCACATCGAAGCTGGTCGAACACAGAGTCTACCTGGAACGAGGTGTACGGCCATTGGAGCAGAAGATCAAGTACCAGACGGACAAAGTGGTAAAGGCAGCGGATGACGAGGAGAGGCTAGCAGCGCAGAAGGAGAAGCAGGCGGAGGCTGGGAACAAGCAGACTAATGGCAAGGCGGATGGAAGCAGCGAGTCCGAAGAGAGATCGGAGGAAGAAAGCGATGAGGACGAAGACGAAGAGGTCGAGCAGACATCCTACAGACCCAATCTCGCAGGCTTTGGCAAAAGTAATGGTCCCACCTCCGAGCAGACACGCCAGTCCAAAAGCAAAGAAGATGGGGTCTACCGACCTCCACGCGTATCAGCCACCTCCATGCCCACCACCGAACAACGGGAGAAGAAGGCACGAAGACAGCCTAGGTCAGCTACGATGGAGGAATACGTCAACACGGAGCTCTCGAACGCTCCTCAAGCTGTGCCGAGCATAGGCAGCACGATCGCGCAAGGCGGCCGCAAGACAAAGGACGCAAGACAGATGGCGAAGGAGCAGGAGCGGCGCGATTACGAGGAGACGCATCTTGTGCGTTTGCCACCGGAGTCGAAGAAGGAGCTGGCGAAGCAGCGGGCGAAGGAGAGGAGAGGTGGGTATGGTGGCGAGGAGTGGAGAGATCTGGGGAGTGCTGTTGATCGGATTGGTGAGCTGACGAGACGGAAGGGTAAGGAGGGGGCGCTGGAGAAGAGTAGGAAGAGGAGGGCTGTCGAGGATGGGCCGAGGGGTGACGGGATTGGGGATGCGTTTGATGTCAAGAAGAGACGGGTTATGAAGAAGATGCGTCGGTAGACGATAGGCAAGAGGTGAACCGAGCTATTGTTGCTTCTTGCCTCCTTGCTCCTCGGCTTCCAAGATCGACTTCAGCTTCGTGATCTGCGTCTCCCGAGCGAACAGCCAGTCAAGCAGCCAGATCGGCATCAGCCAGCTCACCCACCACATTGTGGTCGCCAGAAAGCCACGGTAGATGTGCGAAGGCGGGTTCGACACCAACAGATCCTTCGCAACACCTTTGGCCCACTCGGCAGGCGAGCGAGCACCGCCAGGCTTGGTGGTGCCCCGCAGCATCGCATTCACGTGGTCCTTGATCGGCTGGTACGACGACGATTCCGGAATGCCAGCACTCCCTCCTTCGACGTGTCCCCAGAACTGCGTGTTGACATCGCCAGTCACGAGCGTCACTACCTAATTGCAAAGTCAGCTCATATGCGGAGAAGTCGCTTCCGCCAACACTTACTCTAACCCCAAACGGCACCAACTCAACCCTGAGCGTATTATTCAAACCCACCACCGCTGCTTTACTCGCCGAATAACTCCCAATAAACGGCTGGCAGATCCCCGGCAACCCCGCAATACTCGCCTGATTCACCACCACCCCCTTCGCCACGCGGAGCATAGGGAAGAAAGCCTGCGTCACGGCGAGCAGGCCGAAGACGTTGACGTCGAAGTTGTGCCTGATTTCGAGGATCGAGGCGTCGAGGAGGGGGTGCATGTAGCCGTATCCGGCGTTGTTGATGAGGTAGTTGAGGCGTGAGTTGGTGAGGTGGCGGACGGCGGTTGCGGCGGCGGTGATGGAGGTGGGGGATGTTACGTCGAGTTCGAGCTTCTCGAGTTTGGCTGTATTATTGGCTTTGGGTTTGAGGTAGTCGAGCTGGGCTAGGGTAGGGCCTGTGGCGATCACGTTGATGTTGCGAGATAGTAGTTCGTGGAGGAGGGCGTCGCCTAGACCACCTTTTGACACGCCCGTGATCAGCGCCCATCTTTCTGCCATATTCTGTTCAAGTCAGATCATGCTGAATGGCAAGAAATCATTAGAGAAGTAGTCGAGCATCGGAAGGCTTTATCAAAGCTACAGCTGCACAACGCCCAACTTTGAAGTTGGTAGGAGTGAAGGATGCGAGAGCGAGCTCTGTCGAACTGTATACTACATCGGGACATTAGACAGTGATAGTACTGTAAAAAGGTCTCGGGTGTGTCAGTCGTTTGATTTATTGTTTGATGACTCGGTCTCTATATCCTTAGGATTTGGCCATTGATTCTTTCAAATCGTAGCTCTGCGATTGGATGTGGCCTCAGCCTGTGCCTGCAGCCTACACGTGACCTTTGGCAGTAGCAATTGCCTTTCCTGGCCGAGTAGTGGGGCCGCAGTCGTGATACGCACACTGCAATATCAAGACCTATGCGCTGCATCTCGGCAGGCTATATTCACAGCAGAGCTGCAATACTGCGGCCAGAAGGCGCAAGTTTTGGCTTCTTGGGATCGTCTGGGGTCATCCGTCATCGAAGCAGGTCTTGGTCACGATTCAAGCGGCGGCTCGTCCTTGCTCTTCGAGCATAATCGTCATTTGGCCGGATGTTGATCACAAAGGTACGAGATGACATCCCAGTAGCCCACGCCCTCCCCAGTCTCGCCGAGGTGTCAGCCGAAGGTCGACCGACCGAGAAGATGCATTGCCGATAGTGTCTCTCAGCACTCTCACAATGATGGTTTGCTAGATAGTTGTCAGTCGCATCCGAAAAGACTATTTAAGCAATTGCAACATACGTTCTCGTTCTGCTGCACCACCTGCGCGACCTTGCTCAATCTCTCATGGTTCGTGTAGTTCGCCGCACCGAACTTCGTCACTCTGTCGCCTGCTCTCATGCCAGCTTGCGCGGCCGGACTGTCTTCTGCCACGGAATTGACCTTCGCGAATGGAGGCTCGATGGTCGAGCTTGAAGATACGGTGCTGCCATTCACCTCACCTCCTGCCCTCTGTTGTGAACTCTGCCCGTTGGTCATGGGCACAGCTTTTCCGGCAGCAAAGTGCTCCTCCACAGCAACTTCAAGCTTCTTCATGACCTCCTTTAGATCGTTCTTCAGCCGGATGATCCTAGCACGAGTCGTCCTGATCTGTGCAACATCGATATCTGCTCGTGGGTAGCCGTCGAAAGTGGTCAGACCAGTGTTCATGTTGACGCCGTGCTAGACTGCCTGGTCAGTACACCGATCGCTGTCCGAGGGGTATCGCGGATCATACAGAGTCCAGTACAGATCCCAGCGCAGACAACTCGGCCTCGAGATCCTCCTTCTTCGCCATCAGTTCCTGGAAGGACTGCTTCTTCTCTATGCCATTTGCGGTGGGCTGCGATGTTGGGCCGGAGCCCACAGTCGGGGCGTGTATGTCGTCCATTGGGAGGCCCATCTGCGCGATGCTAGAGGTTGACAGCTGAGGGTTTTGATGAAGGCGTCTCCAAGGCAAACGACGTGGACGACGCCGCGGGGCTCTGCGCTTAGGGCTCGGTCACCGTTCGGCACAGGAGCCGAGGGGCTAGGCTGGATAAGACAACTAGAAAGTGTAGAGTGACCACAACGCTCGAGATATGAACAAGATACATCAACCTCATCTTCGTTGCTTCGCTCGTGCATGACCGGAGTCGCGGTACCGCGTGCGCGGCATTGGTTTCAACATGCCTTCCCCTTCCGACCCGTCCGCTTGTGCCTACATGGATGTGTACCTTACATGTACGTCGGTGGTACGAAGCATCACCGTGACGTCCATCTATCTCGACCTTCCACTCTTCATTCGCTCGCCTCCGCTCCGTTTGGCTGCAGGACGTCGTGAAGAAACGCGTTGTGGGCCGGTCTTCACTTCTGTCCTCTTCTCATTGGAAGCGGACTCAGTGATGATATCCGTCAAAGTCCAAACGCGTAGTGGCGTTCAATGAAGCAAGAGCTGCCCTGCTTTCCACGAGTTCACTTATAAACCCTTTGCCTTCCTGATCCTACTTTTTCCTCTCTTCCTGCCTCACTACACACATCATATCCACCATGGCACCAAGCGTTGTGTCTTCCGGCTTGGAGAAGCTTCAGGAAACCCTCGATGGCTCTCTCGAAGGCCGCAAGGTGGCGGACCTCTCGAAAGACACCAAGAACTACCATGATCCGAAGAACAGGATCACGACCGACTATGGCGTGAAGCAGGAGAACACTGGTACGACTTCTCGCTACGCAAGTCGCCATTGAAATACCTACTAACTCCATCACAGACGACTGGCTGAAGGTTGCCACCGAGGACAAGACAGGCCCTATGCTTCTGGAAGACCATGCCGCTCGCGAGAAGATCAACCGCTTCGACCATGAGCGCATTCCAGAGCGAGTGGTCCATGCCCGTGGTGCTGGTGCCTTTGGTACCTTCAAGATGCACAAAAGTCTGGCCGAGTACACCAGCGCTGGCGTGCTCTCAGACACCTCTCGCAACACACCCCTCTTCTTGCGCTTCAGTACGGTCCTGGGTAGCCGCGGTTCCGCCGACACCGTACGAGACGTGCGCGGCTTTGCCGTCAAGTTCTACACAGACGAAGGCAATTGGGACATTGTCGGCAACAATATTCCCGTCTTCTTCATCCAGGATGCCTTGAAGTTCCCAGATCTCATCCACGCCGGCAAGCCGGAGCCAGACAAGGAAGTCCCACAGGCTCAGTCAGCCCACAATAACTTCTGGGACTTCCAGTACCTCCATACCGAGGCCACTCACATGTTCATGTGGCAGCAGAGTGACCGCGCCATCCCTCGCTCCTACCGTATGATGCAGGGATTCGGCGTCAATACGTACACCCTCACCAATGACAAGGGCGAGCGCTTCTTCGTCAAGTTCCACTTCGTGCCCCAGCTGGGTGTACACAGCTTCGTATGGGACGAGGCACTGAAGCTTGCGGGCCAGGACCCAGACTTCCATCGCAAGGATCTTTACGAAGCCATTGACAATGGATGTTTCCCGAAGTGGGATTTCGGTGTTCAGATCATCCCAGAGGGCAAGGAGAACGATTTCGAGTTTGATATTCTCGACGCCACGAAGATCTGGCCTGAAGAGCTGGTACCCGTGCAGATGGTTGGCGAGCTTGAGCTGAACCGAAACGTCGACGAGTACTTCACTCAGACAGAGCAAGTCGCTTTCTGCACGGGTCACATGGTTCCTGGCATCGGCTTCTCCGACGATCCATTGCTCATTGGACGCAACTTCAGCTACAACGACACTCAGTTGACTCGCCTGGGCACCAACTGGCAGGAGCTGCCGGTCAACCGTCCTGTCTGCCCTGTGATGAACAACAACCGTGACGGCAAACTCCGGCATACCATCACCAAGGGCTCGGTCAACTACTGGCCCAATCGCTTCGAGGCAACCCCGCCTGCTAAAAAGGAGGAGGGCGCATACATCGACTACCCTGAGAAGGTCGAGGGCATGAAACAGCGTCTCCGGTCGAAGAAGTTCCGTGAGCACTTCAACCAAGCCCAGCTTTTCTACAACAGCATGTCGCCACCGGAGAAGGCACACATGGCCTTCGCGCTCAGCTTCGAGCTTGACCATTGCGACGATCCGTGGGTTTATGAGAAGATGTCCGAGCGCTTGGCAGACATCGACCTCGGGCTCGCTCAGTCCGTGGCCGAGATGGTCGGTGGTCCCATCCCACAGAAGGCAGGCCGCCCCAACCACGGCAAGACATCCATGCGTCTCAGCCAGACTGAGCTGCAGCCCAAGAACCCCACTATCGAGACCCGCCGTGTCGCCATCATCATCGCCGACGGCTACGACGCTGGGGCCTACAACGGTATCGTATCTGCTCTGAAGGCTGCAAAAGCCATCCCATACACCATCGGGACCCGCCGCTCTCCCATCTTCGCCGCTGGTGAGAGCAAAGAGTCTGGCAAAGGCGTCAAGCCCGACCACCACCTCGAAGGCATGCGCAGCACCATGTTTGACTCCGTCTTCGTTCCCGGCGGCGCGGACAGCGTTGCTACGCTCCGTAAGAACGGCCGCGCGCTGCACTGGGTCCGTGAAGGATTTTCCCATCTCAAAGCCATTGGCGCGGTCGGCGAAGCCGTCGAATTCGTGCGCGATGCTTGTTCCTTGCCCGGCATGGACTTCAGTACGTCCTCGGATGTCGTGGACAGCTTTGGCGTTGTAACGGCGGCGAAGTTGAAGCCGGAGAGTTTGCGGGAGACGGTCAAGATGGTGAAGGGGGCGACGGATTTTGTGGATGCGTATACGTATGCGATTTCGCAGCATAAGAACTTTGAGCGGGAGATGAAGGGGTTTCCGCAGATGGTGGCTTACTAGAGAAACGACGCCGACATGGGAGTATGGAACTAACACGATTGATGAGTGTGAAAATATGTTGAATGCTAAGGTTTGAACACAATGATAACATGGAAGATGGTCCTTCAGGCTTGCTTCTCCACCCTTCTCAAACCGTCCAGCGTATTATGCGCTTGTCGAAAGCATCCCCGACGCCACGCCTGGTCATTTACTTCGTTAAGCAGTCGTTATCTCGTATCGTCACATCGTACTGAAATTTATTCTTCGCCGTTGGATCGCCCATCACTCAGCGTTCTCATCCGGACCTAATCTGAGGAATCGAACAGACTCCGTCGAAGTCGTGGAGCTGTCGCTTGATCGTCGTGCGGCGACGTTTGCATCGACGACTGGTTTGGCGATGGGAGCTGGAGTTGCTTTCGTCGACACGGGAGAGGCTGGTGGTGAGGATTGGAGGGGCGAGAGGCTGAGGAAGGTTGATGGGAGAATGACTGTTGACGGGGCCATTGTTGTTGTGTTGTTGGTGGTCTTGTTGGTTGGTGGTGGGGTTGGTTGATCGATTGATCGTTGTCGTTGTTTTCAACGATGGTAAAGACGGTTACGATGTAGCGATTGTTTCGAATTGGATGGAAATTGTCTTTGCGTTGCGTGTGGCCTTGTACCTCGAGCTCGTACACTTCAGTACCTAAGGTAGGAAGGAGGCTACTACCTATATAGGCCAACCCATCCGCTGCGACCCGAAAACAAGCCATGTCCTGCTGACTCGTGGTGTGTCACAGCTCTCCAACCTGAGGACGTAATGGCCTATGAGCGGGCCTTCACATGTGAACTAACAGCCATCCGCTGGTCCAGAGAGCTATACCACGAGAACTGCCCGGACATGCTTTGATACTATGCTGTCTTTGAGCCAATCATGACGGAGCGGGATGGTTGAAGCTACCCCGGGTTGCCTCGGGTCAAGCGTTTGGTGTGGTTTGGGCGTGGGATGTTGTTTGCGGAGAAGGACGTCCGCGGTGAATCGTTATCAAGGTGTTTTCGTGTCTCCAAATTCCCCAAGAGTGTATCGAGCAAGAAAACACATGCTGCGAGGCGAATGCTCAATCAGCAGGTTCTCAAAAGCCTTGAACTAGTGGTGGCTGACAGCACCAGATCCGACCAGCTCCGTAATCCTTACAGTCTTCCTTGTCCTGATCAAAGCTGGAGCAAGAGCTGCGCTTATCGCGAGATGTCTTCGATGCTCCCGAGGCGTCGTGCCGGTGGGTTACTGTCTGGGTGACGAGCTGTGACGTCCTTTCGCTATGTTACGACTGTCCGGCAGGCAATCGTGCCAGCTCCTGTACTCCAGTGAATGCGGGCAACATGAAAGTCCATCCTCAATTTGGGAAGCTGTGGTCCGTGGAGGATGTCGTGAGACTCAGTGCTTGACAAAACATCGTCAAGTGATCTCACGTTTGTTCGTCAGGATCCGCCGAGTCTTTCGAGAGTCAGAACACAATGCGGTGTGGAGTACGCGACTACCCATCGGCGCGCTGTACAACGCCGCTGTCACAGCTGTCGAGCAACCATGGGGCAAAGGTCTTCGACGTCCCCACTGCTTCTCCCGCGCGTATGTTGTGCAATCTCGAGCTGGTGTCAAATGCAAGAACGTTGGCGCCGCCATGGCCCGCTCCTCCCCGGCAGCCGCGAGTCATCAATGCAGGGGTATGTCGACAAGGCCTTTCTAATCATGATCATCATGAACTTGCATTGGCATGCGTATCCACCAAGCGGTAATTGGAGCTTTGGATCACGACGTCGAAGTACGGCAGCAAGGGGACTCGTGTTGCCGACATGTCAAAGCAGGCAGCCGATTACTGTACCACTATCTCGTTTGCTAAGAGTCGTGGTACCAGGCAATGCTGCTCTCGAGCATCATAGGACGGGGAAATATGCGACATTGATGGGGACAAGCGCGATGAGAACGTCTCACTCAGACGACTGAGCACGCCCAGGATATCCTCGAGAAGCGACTACGGCCCGAGGACGACAGGGACAACCGTGAGATGCCGACTGCGATTGCTTGAATAGTGATCCAAGCAAGGGGCTCACGTGGTGTAGAATGACATGCGGCGGCACCTTGCGACGATCAGAATAGCGCGACCATACGGGAAGCCTTCCGGACTTGCCCTACCGTGCGCGAGTGCACCGGTTCGCTGCAGGCCATTCCATGGGGGTCTATATGTCAACAGGGAATAGAGCTTTCATCATAGCTCCCTCCTTACAGATGACTTGGACCCGCCATTGCACCACGTTCGACAGGACACGTAGGTGTTGGACATTCATCGTAAGACCTCACCACTATTCACCGCAAGATCCTACCCCGACAGGGCAACATATAAGGTCGTCGTAGACACCCTCAGCACATCCTCCACTCCAACTCGACTCCAACATCCACAATCTTCTCTGCACATCAAACTGCCAACAGCTTCTTCAGTCGAAGATCAAACACAACAACCACTCATCATGGCCGAGTAAGCCGACCAGCCGTTGGATGATGATCATCTGCTAAGTCTTCAAAGCGAATTCCTCCGTCCCAACCCCAATCGCAACTTGGTCAACCACTGCACCGAGGTCACCCACCGCTATCGTTGCGGCTGTGCGAAGAAGGACGTCGCGCCATGCGCCAACTCCAAGCGCCAGCCTTGCAACAACCTCAGCAAGCGCACCGTGACCCATGAGACCAAGTGCTACAAGTGCGGTGGCAATTGAGTGGTAAGTACTGGCTTGCGGTTTTCTATTCGTACTTTACTGATGTTGGCTAGTCCGGGTGACGGCCTTCTAGAAATGGTCCATGGCGGCAACGGATTGAGTGTTTTTGGCGGAGTAATCGGAGGATGATGGGGCAGCGCGCAAAGATAGAAGGCGACCTCGCGGCAACATCATGACTGAGCAGCTTTTAGACTCTGATCGGGGTATTCGTTCGGGAGCACAAGATTGAGCAATGAATTTTTGATCACTGATTTCGGTCTACCATTCTTTCGTCGTTTCTCGTCTGTCCAGAAAGAAGTACTGCGCTGTCCAGTAGCAACCCAGTAGCAATCCAGTAGGGAGCCGTCAAAGGCGATCATCAACCATGCTTCTCAACGGCCGCAACAGCAATGAAGCGGAGCCTGCTCCCCGCATGACCTGACTCTCTCGACTCTCTAGAAGTAGTTCGGCAGGCCGGTGACACATACAGGGAAGCGAGATGCGCGTAGGGTTCCGCAAATGACTTGCATGGGTGTCTTCGCGTGGCAATGTGCGGCCGGTGGTCTCTAGTTGAACAAGGCTGAGGAACGATGGAAGCATCTTACGCAGTATATCGCGGTATGGCGACAGTCATTGGCATCGCAGCCAGTGTAAAATAGGTAGGTCGACGAACAAGTTGGTCGTCAGTGTTCGTTGCCGATTGAGTACCTCCTAAAGGCAGAGCAAGGAGAAGTCGAAAGAAGGAGGTTGGTCCGTTGAGCCCTCGGCAACTTCCGACGACCTCACCTCTTCATCCTTGCCGTCTCGGTCTTCTTCGTCCGCCGCCATCACGCACGCAGATGTCTGTAGACATCAACTGGGACACGCTCACGGGCGGTTCAGATGGCGAAGCACTGGCTGAGACGATCAAAGACTTCATACACGAACGCTTCCAGCAGATCTCATTCCCCAAGCTCATCCGCTCAGTCAAGGTCCATTCTTTTGACTTTGGCACGGTAGCACCAGCTGTGGTCCTCAAGGACATCTGCGAGCCCTTGCCGGACTTCTACGAAACTGAAGACGATGATGGGAGCTCACACTCAGTGCCCGCACACGAACAAGGGTCAAGAAGCGCCAAACAGAAGATTGACCCAGCGAGATCTGGTCAAGACAACGCGACTGAAAGGGCAGCAAGTCCGACCTTGACGCGAGGAGCTCTCCTCGGAGGAGGTAGAGGACTGGGTTATTTCCACCCTGCGTTTGCTTCGGGCTTCTCGGGCACCAACACACCCCTTGCTGCTGTTGCTGGAGCTCACTACCACCATGGCCCACCGACTCAAGGTAACTTTCACCATCACCACGCCGAATCATTCGACTCACCTTCACCACTGCCAACCGCCACTCCACCTTCACGGCCCGTGTCAGGCGAACAGTCGTACTTTGACTCACGGCATGCATCAGGTCTCCACAACGGACAAGGAAAGGATGACCACACACAGCAACAAACTCACGAGCCCAGCCCGGACGATCTACAAGTCGTGTTTCACGCAACGTACTCCGGCGACGTCAAGCTCTCGATGACAGCGGAGGTAGTGCTAGACTATCCAATGCCGAGCTTTGTAGGCATACCCTTGAAGCTCAAGATCACAGGCATGAAGTTCGATGGAGTGGGTATCCTCGCATACATCAAAAAGCGGGCCCATCTGTGCTTCCTCAGCCCTGAAGACGCTGAAGCTTTGGTGGGGAGCGAGGACGCTTATGTTGCACCAGACGAAGATGGGCGCTCCCCTGGTCCTGGGCAGGCGCAGAAAGTCGGTGGACTGCTGGAGGAGATCCACATCGAGAGCGAGATGGGTGAGACGGAGGAAGGAAAGCAAGTGTTGAAGAATGTTGGCAAGATTGAGAAGTTCATTCTTGAGCAAGTGCAGCGCATTTTCGAGGAGGAATTTGTGTATCCGAGCTTTTGGACTTTCTTGGTCTGAATGAGGATGTTGGATTGTAAGAGGGCCGACACCGGATCGGTACACTGCAAAATCAAATTACCTACAGCCCTGCGAAGCTCAGATCACCACCCATGCCGACCCACAGCCCTGTACCACCTTCCAACGGGTCTTTTGCCGAGCCTCGTGGATCCACCGGATACCCGCATATTTTGACAGCTGCAGTACGTGGTTACGCAGCATGCCGGCAAGCGCCAGGTGGCTTTCGCCTTCGGGTGTAGCATGGTTGTGTGCAGTTTGCGACTGCCTCAGCAGTATCACAGCTTGGATCCACAACTTGCGACGAGGCCTTTTAGTGAAGCTTGGGCTTCAATCACATCACCACGCAAGATGCCGACGTACTGCGATCATTTGCCATGGTGGTATCGTTGGCCGGACAGTCTGGCGCATGTTGCCGTCGTGACCACCATCCGAGTCTTTGCTTTGGCTGCTGTGCGGCATCTTCAAGGGGGCGGGAACTTGGTTCCATTCCCAGCGGCTGGCCATTGTTGCAGAACGTTGTTGCACCTCTGTGTTGGCGAGGGAGATGTGGGTTGTTGCTTCCGTTCTGGTCTCGACCGCTGCGTCTGCGATGGTAGAGACGTCGCTCGTCCCAGAACTCGCAGCCACATGTCTTCCACTTCTGGCCGCAGACATAGCAGAATTGTGCTCCACAACGACATCTTCGACACTGTCAAAAACCTTGCGCGAAATGGGGTTAGGCGGCACTTACGTTATGTGATTGCAGCCGGTCTCCAGTTGAATGTACGCTTTGCAAGCGTAGCACTGCTGCCACTGCTTACGCTCTGCCATACGCTTCAGCTGCAGCGATTCCGCATCAGTCGGGCAGCCACCAGAGTGCGACTTGCTCTTGCAGAAGGTACAAGTCGTTGCGTTGCATGCAGTGCACCTTCCCACGTCGTCATTTATTTCACTCGGCGGAATGAACACGGCGCAGAAGGTATTATGGCAGTAAGTCCTGTCATCGGCCTTCCTCTCTTCCAGCTTGTTCTCGTATCTTCTCAGCAAATCCAAGGAAAGAAAAGGTCGGGCGCTGTCGATTGGTACAGTGCTGCCATCGCATCGAGGAGGGAACAGAGAATCGTCTTGGATGGCGAGCTCGAACAGCTTGACGATGCAAGCTCGACAGTACTGGTGTCTGTGTCTGCATGGCGCTGTGACGACCAGCTGTCTGTCCTCTTTGCAGGCTACGCACTGATGGCCCGGGTATGCTGGCGGAAGATCCAACGGTACCAAGGCAGACGCGGCGACGGTCATTCCTGGCACCCTCGAGATCTGCGGTATGCCCTCTTCGAATCGTACCCTCCGTCGATCTCTGCCCGGCAAGTGGCTCGCAGAAGACTTCTGACCTACCGACAACCGCTTGGCAAGCCTTCGGTCCTGAGCAACTTGCAGCTCTTGCTTGCACAGCTCCGCAACAGCTTGTGCGGCTTCACGGTTCGTCATGGTTGTATCGCAGGTCTGGAGGTCTTCGATGTAGATCTGCATGGCGACATGAGCGTCGGTGGTGGTGCCTTCGCGCTGCTTGCCCTTCGATCGGGAGGCCAGTAACTCAAGGTCTTCTAGCTGGAGTTCCATGATCGTTCGAAGGGTCTGCTGGTCGATATCCGAGGAGGGTTGCTCTGGTAAGGCCATGATGTGGGATGTTTCTTGCTTGAGCGGGAAGGATAACACTGACAAAATAGAAGAACAAGGAGTTCGAACAACTCAGGAGAGCATTTCGAGTTCTGGTACAGCTGCTGTCTAATGCAAAGAAGCTGCCTAGTCGTCCATTGGCTAATATGGAAAAGCCATTGGCGAAAGCTGCTGCCTTGAAGCTTCGTGGCTGCAACGATCGAAGCCCTTTCTTTCTAATTTTCCTCGATCATTGCCGGGAGCTACTCAACTACTGCATCCATCGGCTGCTTTTACTTATGCTGGTGTGCCGAGAGATGGATGGAAGGCTGGACGATCTGCTGAAGTCGCCAAATGTTGAAGGCACCTGCTTTTACTGCACAGAATCAAATGACTGTCTCCAAGTCTTTTCCCACGCCAACGTCGGCATAACAACATTGCTGCCCTATCGAGTTTCTCGGGAGTCACCATGGCATGAGTGGAAGTAAATTGTACGTTAAAAACGAGCATGAATTAGGCTCTTATACACCTGATCAACCCCGAACTTCAGCCGAGCAATCCTCCCCTCAGATCGTCGCTGCGCCACGCGTTTGGATGATCTGGCGCGTGCTGCGACAGGAACCTGAGACGGAGTCGCGGATGACTGCGTTCTAAACATATCTCGGACTTCACCTGTCTCAAGTGTTCTTAACGTGCTTTCAGAATGACAAACACTCTCCAATATCGATACAACAGCAGAAGTGCGACTGTCGACCAGTCCGACTGCGCAACTAGCATCACAACGAGACAGCAACCATGAGCCTGACCACCGCTCAGTGCAGCAATGCACCAGATACTACTACCACCGATGCAGGCGTCGCAGGTGCCGGTGTAAGCATTCACACCTGAATTCACGACAATCCTTATACTGACAGCATAACCTCAGGTCCTCCTAGCCTTCGTAATAACCGCCGGCATCACCCTCATCCTTAGCACCTACATCATCCTCGGCGACTTTCGAACTGGCGCCCCAGTGACGCCGAAGATCATATCGCGGAAACTCGTCTCCTCCTTCTCCGACCAGCAGATTATCGAAGGCATCGGCATCCAAGCCGTCGGCCTGGCGAAGATGCGCACAATGGTTCCATATCATTTCTTCGTAATCTGGCTGCTTGCCCTTCTCTCAACAGCAACACATCTGGGCACGCTCCTAGCGCTGGTGCAAGACTACAAGCGCGATTGGGTCCTGAGATGGCTGAGACAAGGCTTCATGTTCATCAATCTAGCGCTGAATGTACTTTGCGGCGTCTTCGTGCTGAAGAGTGTGGTGGATGGCATAGCGCCTACGCTGCCAATTGGCTGTGTATGGGTTGATGGGGCGGACAGGAGTGGAGATAGAAACAACAAGGCTCTCAGCGTCGTGGGCACGATTGTGGTCATTGCGGTTACGGTCATCTTGTTTATCTTCGCGACCTGGTATCTGCACCTGCGCCGGAGCGCCAAGTGGGCGAAGTGGGTGCGACTGATTGGCATTATCCTCCTCTCCGCCATGGCCGTGGGAGCTGCGGTGAGAGTGATGATGGTAGCGAGCGCCTTTGGAGGGGACAAGGACGTGTCGTTGCGAGGTCCCAGTGAGAGTTCGTGGAGCTTCGGTCAGTTGTTGACCTTGCTGGTGTTGATACTGCCGTTTATTTCTGCGCTGGAAATCTTCAGAGGCGAGATTGGGGTCAGCGCAGAGCAGGTGGAGGACGATCGGCAGCCGCTGAATGGGAATGAGTTGAAGCCGCTGAACGATCGGTATGATTATCAGGACAACCCGTTCAAGGCTGGGTCGAAGAAGAAGACTACGAAGGCTTTTAGATCTCCAGGATAGATGATTTACAAGAACTGTCTTCTCACAACCACCCTTGTCTGCCTCTTCACACGGTAACTTGGTCGGCTGGCAGTGCGTCTATCTCAATATCCAACAGCACACGTTGAGGTGCAGTTCTAGAACACGCAAGTTCTGCGAGTTCATCCCAAGGGAGGCTGAGATATATTTGGACGGGCATCACACTGTTTGAACAGATTCGCGGGCTATGTGAAGGCGACTCAATAGTTACGACGCAACCACTCCAGCAAGAGAGATTCGACGAATCCAACAAACCCATTCGTATGTTCTATCGTGGCGCAGCCTTGTCCGGCCAACCCATGGCTTCGTGGCACACAGCCCCCACACATCGAGAGGCATGGACTTCATCTTCAGCTGCTTCTATCAGCATGGCTACGGTCTATACATGTATCTCTCAAACTTACCCATGGACTCTAGGCAGGTATATATACTCTGATTGACTTTGCATCACCGTACGAGCTTCCATCTTACAGCTTCCATCCTACAGCGTCCATCTTACAGCGTCCATCTTGTGCATAGCAGTTGAACAATTTGTAGCTCTCTGGACGGTACCCCCTTCGGTACGCGCAGAGTATGAAGCTCTCAAAAGCAAAATCAATTTTCACGAGACGTTCTCGCCGCGATGAGAGACAACCAACAGCAACGACTGATTCCCAGCTGGATCCGACGACACCCAGGACTCTTGAGGGCATCTACCAGCCATTGGATGCAACAAAGCGAGAAATCCGCCTGATGCGCATGGTACCTGACCTCGAAGGTATCCAATGCGAACTGCGAGCGTTTTCGCTCAATGACAAGCCAGTCTTCACCGCTCTGTCATACTGCTGGACCAAGGAGCCTCCCACCGAGACGATTGTGCTGCAAGGGAAGCCCTTCCCTGTAAGGCCGAATTTGTACAACTACCTCCACGCAAGAGCGCAGGAAGGGGACGCTTCCGAGTGGATCTTCATCGACGCCCTTTGCATCAATCAAGAGAACGTCGGTGAAAGAAGCGAACAAGTGGCGTTGATGGGTGATGTGTATCGGGGCGCGAAAGAAGTTGTTGCATGGCTTGGGAACGAGGCTTCTATGACCGAGGAAGAGCTACTCACATGGCTGGAATGGTGCGACCTCTCGGCGGATGCGAAGCAGAAAAGCCGTAGTCCAGGTGACGTGCGGCTTCTAGGCTCCAAGTTCTTCGAGACTTTCGCCCCTCCGGCATTCTGGCTCCGGGTTTGGATTGTGCAGGAGATTGTCCTGGCTCGGCGCCTGCTGTTTCGATGCGCGAGCCTATTCCTTCGAGCAGAGCAGCTGCTTCAAGGCTTGAGAAGACATCGCCGGGTCATATATGGGTCCGACGAGGCTGAAGATTTCCTGGAAACCCCGAGATGTTTGTACGGAGAGGAGGACTCGTGCGGCATGATATTACTCATCCAGGTGCCCAGTATTCTGACCATAAGGGAGAGAGCAAGAACCCACCCTATGATGCTCGGCGAGGCTGTGTACCTGTTCGCTTCGCAGGGGTGCAGCGAACAATACGACTGCGTATTCGGCCTCTTAGGCATGTGCTACACTGGGATACATCCTGATTACTCAAAGCCAAAACTGGAAGTATTTCTCCCCGTCCTCTCGGAAAGCTACATCGGAATGGACTCATTGAGAACTTCCAGTAAACTATTGACCGAATGGCGGCTGCATTCCGGTCACATACTGTGGTCTGCTGAAGTTCTGCTACAGGCGCTGGAGCTTCACCCAAAGCACCCTCTCGTTGCACTGATCTTGATAGAGAGCGTCAAGTGGTCGAACGGATTCGATTTTGGAGGCACATTCTGGTACAGGTCAATACTGTCCATTTATTATGAACAAAAAGGCCCTTCCAATGCGCCGATGCACCGCATACTCCGTTTGTATGGCTGGACATTGTCCCACGCGGTGATGCTGGGACTCCAGGTCTACAGGCTGCGGAACAGCGTTCTCCACCACCCCGACAAAGCTCCGGAAGCAAGAACTTATAGTGAATGGGTGGAGCACATCCGCGAAGTACATTGGGCCACGGAAAATGTATGCGCGGACATTTGCAAGACGTTAGCAGAGGAAGAGGACAACCTGGTTGAACAAATTGGAAGGGAAGGACGGGTGGGGACGATTGGCCCTTGAGCTGATGTGCACTCCTTGGATCACTCCAAATCTCCAACGCCCATATCAAAAGGTCGAAGGGCCTCCAAGACATTACCCCACCCCTACCTCGGGCTCCACCGCTTGGAAGCTCAAGACTGGTCCTTCCAGACCCAGAGCGAAGGCAAAGGAGCCTTGTGATGGTACGTAATCGAAATCGCGGCCTCTACTCTACGTGCCTGGCACTAGATCGCAACAGACAACAGTAAAGCAACCGGAGATTTCGTTCGCTTCTGGAGAAAGGCATCTCGACAAGTCGTCAATTAACCCAGGATATCGGGTGCACATAGTGGCTCAATGGCATCAAAACTCCGTTCGCTTCTCCAAGATGGACACTACGCGTATAGGGACGTTTGCGGCGTAAAAAGCAACAACGGAGACCAGTCCGAACCGGCTCTCCAGGCGCTCGCCTTAGGTGACGCCGTCTCTTGGGCCGTCGATGGTCTGAAATGGCCATTAATGTGGTGTTGCTTCCGGCGTGTCTTGACCTAGTACCACAGGGGGCGAGCAAAAAGGCCCTGGCACCGACAGCAGTATGGAGAATACCCTTCAACTATAGCGGGTTGCAACTCGTTCCACTCTCCCACATGCCAACAGCGAGATCGAGAGTGTTTGCCGCCATCTAGGATGCCTCTGTACGCGATGCTGCGTGCGCATTAGCCCCTTTTTTGTACAGAGACTCATTTGCTTCTTCGAGGGCTTTTCATCAGGCACTTCGACTACTTGTTCTGACTAGGTGCTTGTTTCTCAATGACTGGACTTCACCTATCTTCTCACGTTGTGTAAGAACGGCGTTGCCCTCTTTAGTATGATGATGTTCAGGTGCGTCTACTCATATTAAACCACGATCGTAGAGGCACGGACGCTTTCATACCACTTAGGCGAAGACACCTCTGTCGTCTCTATTTGAACATCGACACTAAGCAGGAACGCAGTTGAAGCGCCTTCGTTTTGAGCGACCATATCTTACATTCTTCAACAATCATCTGGTGCTGCCCTTTCGATGCTTGTCCCAACATCGCCACTTAGAACCTCCGAACAGTCTCATCAAACTGCGCGCCGCAATCAACGTCCATTCTTAAATCCGTCCATCCCATGCCCCCCGTGATAGAGACCTCCCTACCCCCTCCCCAAATAACTCCTCCCAAACCCCTCCAACCACTGCCCCCCGCCCAACCCTGCACCCTGCCCCACGGTCCTCGCCTCCCTCTGCGCCACCTCCACCCGCTCCCCCAGCGCCGCAGCTCCGCTATCAATCGCCTGCAACTGCTGCAAATGACTATTCAACACCCTCACAATCTGTGCCAGCGGGTCAGCGGTCGCCTGGGCCGAAGCGTTGGCGGAAGCAGAGCTGGACGAGAGTTTGGAGGAGGCGGTGTTGATCTCGTCGATCATGGAGGAGAGGTTGTGGGACATTTCGGTTAGGCGGGTGGAGCAGGCTTCTGCTGTTTTGTACCTGGTCGCAAAGTCAGTATGTAGGACATATGAAACGTAGGGGTGGGTGGGTGCAACGTACGTCCGCTCTCTCTCGCCGTCCACGCCGCCCGCGCCATCGGCACCACCGACGTCGCTCTGCTCGATCATCTCGTCGATCCACATCTCGTAGCGCTCGAGGGCTTGCTCGAGATCTACCTGCCCGTGCTCAACCACACTCAACTGTCGCTCGACCTCCGCCACGTCGCGCTCGGCTTGGAAGCAGCGGCCATAGAGAGAAGTGATCTTGCCCATGTTCTCGACCAGCATGCGGTCCCAGGAGGAGACTTGCGAGGCGAGAGTGGAAAAGCTCTTCTGGTGAGTGGCGAGGGAGGTGGACCACGTTGTCAGGATCTCGTCCATAGTCTTGGAGGCGAGGCGAGATTGAGCAGGAGCCGTGGGGCCTGCAGTACTGGTAGTGCCGGCCTGCTGAGTCTGCTGAGATGCGGCAGGGGCTGCGGTTGTGCTGCCGCCGAAGAGACCGCCCGAAGGACCTGCCGTCGTCGTTGGTGCCGCGTTTGTAGATGTCGAAGTCGAAGCAGGAGCTTGTGAAGTATTTGCGCCAGCCCCACCGAACAGTGGCGGTGCCGCCGTGGATGTGCTGGCAGGCTGCGATGTAGCGGCCGATCCACCAAGACTGCCAAACAGCGGAGGAGCCGCAGTCGCGGTGGTGGCAGCAGGCGTTGCGCTCGAACTCTGCCCGCCAAGCGAGAAGCCTCCTAAACCTGAAGCTGGCGCCCCAGACGTTGCTGCCGTTCCGCCTTGAGATGTGCTCGAACTGCCCTGTGCGCCTGCGTTTTGGAAGAGATTTGTTGTCGATCCGCCCGGAGTTGTGCCACCAGGCGTGCTAGAGCCAGCTTGTCCCCCATCGAGCCTACCGAAGAGACCTCCTTGAGGAGCGCTTGACGTGCTACCTTGTTGCGATGCTTGCGTCTGGAACATTGACGGCGTGCTGTTTCCACTGCTCGCGGTTGGCTGTGCGCCAGCGAACAGAGATGGAGTCTGACCGCCCGTCGACGCTGGCCTCGATGCACCTTGTTGTCCGCCGCCAAGAAGGCCACCACCGGATTGACCACCAGCTGTGGGAGTGCTGCCGAATAGGCCTCCAGAAGACGGCTGCGTGGCCGCGGGCGCTGTCGCACCACTAGTCGTAGTAGCTGATGAGCCTTGCTGAGCGCTCGATGACGTCGCCGGAGGGAAGCTGAAAGGTGAAGATGCTTGATTGCGATTGACTTCGCCAAACAAGCTGGGTCCACCGCCGCTGGTCGCTGTCGCTGGCTGTCCGCTTCCACTCGCGCTTGAGGCGCCTGTCGACGGCATCCTGAACAAGTTGCTTCCGCCGCCGCCTGTACTCGCTGCTGGGGCCTGGTTCTGGTTCTGATTCTGGCTTGCGGGTCTGGCACCAAACAGGCTAGTTGGGGGGTTACCAGCTGGTGTGGTCGAGAACATGGATGGCTGGCTTGGGGTCGCTTGCGGGGTCGTGGAGCCGCTCTGCTGCTTGCCCATGTTCGAGAAAAGGCCGCCACCGCTTGGTGCGGATGATGCTGGTGTGCCGCCGCCACCGAACAAGCTGCTCGTAGGCTTGCTCTGGCCGCCTGGAGTCGTGGCACCGCTGGCACCCGCGTTGCCCGCATTGCCGAAAAGTCCGCCCGAGCTTGGTGCTGTTGGATTCCCACCGCCAAAGAGACCGCCCGAGCTGGGCGCAGATGATCCTGCTCCGCCAAACATATTGCCTCCGCTTGGTGTAGATGCGGGCGCCTTGTTCGCGAAGCTAAACCCACCGCCGCCTCCGCCAGCTGATGAGGCTGGTGTTTGTGACCCGAAACCTCCGCTTGTGGCTCCTCCTACGTTTCCGAACAAGCTTCCACCTCCTGATGTAGCTCCTGCGGTGCCGCCAAATAAGCTACCCGCTGTCTGTCCCTGCGATGTGCCTGAAGACGATGTAGTCCTTGGAGGTCCGAAGTTGAAGCCACTACCGCCGCTGTTGTTATTGTTGTTGCCGCCTGTGTTCCCTCCACCGCCAGTATTGCCTCCTCCGAACAAGGACATCGTGTTTGATGAGCCTGCTGGCTAGCGATCAAGGTTGCTGCCGTGGAATGCACTCGGAAGAGTAAGAGCGATGCGAATTCGTTGCTCGTACTTGCGTTATGTGTCGAGTTTTTGTTCCTCACTGGATGAGCGTGTGAGAAAACGTGTGCGCCAGCTCCTATTGTCGAGCAACGTGGAGGTCGTATTGTCGTGATGTGGCGAAGTCGAACTTTCAGTGCCGCAGACGCGTTTGGGCGACGTGAAGCTGCAAGAAGCTGCTCTTTTCGCGGACCAATGAATTATTTGATTAGCTGCTAAGTATCAGCGGAACCGTCAGCGGTCCCGAAGCTACACTGAGGCTGACACCTGTGAAGCAGGGCGCAGCAGCTTGCTCCTTCTAAAGGTCTAGAACCACCTCACGCCTTCTTCTCTTCCTCCCTTCTCTCTACAAACACCACTCCCAACATGTCCGCCCTCCAACCGCCGCGGATCAACACCGAGGACCCTGGAGCGCACGACGTCTCTGGTAAGCTCTCCAAACCTCCCCTGACCCTCTATCTCACTAACCCAATGGCCCCCAGATGCCTCCGACGACCACTTCTCCTCCGCCAGCGAAGGCGACCGCTCCCCCGTCCCCATCACCCGCGTCGAACGTGTAGACGACCGAGCCGCCCACGGCGAAGTCCCCGGCACCCCCGCCTACAACCTCCGCACCCAGGACGCCGTCCCTGACGAGATGGAGATCGTGCCTGAAGGCCGCCGTGCGCGCTCTGGCACCTCCCCGGGCGGTAGAGGGCGCGCGAGCTCAACACTGAGTGGAACGGGCAGTGCGTCGGGTTCGAGGGCGGAGACGCCGGGTGGTAGTCCGGTACCCAAGACTATTGTCGACAAGGTCGATTTCAAGCCAAGTCATGGAGAGGTTGACGGGACGCCGGCGAAGGAGATGCGGATGGCGGATGCGACTCCGGATGAAGTGAGGCAGGCGCCGGCGGAGACGAGGCAACGGCTTGAGGGTAGGTGAGTTCTGGTGTAGTCACACAAGAAGAGTACGTTGCGCTGACACGCCTTGTGTAACGCAGAAATGGACCAGCAGTAGCCACTGAAGCCACGGACGAGACCGAGGAAGGGCGGCAAGCTTGGTTTCGATCAATGTGGGAAGCGGATGTACAAAGTCAGCCAGACGACGTGCCAGAAGACGATGACGTGCCAGAAGACGAACCACCTCAAACTACCACGAACGACGACGACGACGACGACGGCGATAACGACGATTTTGGAGACGACTTCGACGACTTTGCAGAAGGAGGCGAGGGCGACGCAGACTTTGGAGACTTTGACGAAGCAGAGGATGCACCCCCAGAGCCCGAGCCTGAACCTTCACAAGCAAAACCCTCAATACCCCCTGCACCAGACATACTAGCCGGCCTTGTAAGTAGCATGTCAATACTGTGCCTCCCCACTCCAACTTCCACTCCCTCGTGCTGATTCCCTCCCAGCCCCCTCTCGACCTCACAACCCTCTCCACCCCCACCGAAATCCAATCCGCCATCTCCCCCTACATCTCCGCCGTCCTCCCACCCAAAATCACGCCTGCATCCCCTCCACCACCACCCGCTCAACCCTCACCCTTCCTCTCCGACCGCTCCCTCTCCCTCTGGCAACAGCTCGTCTCCCCCCCGCCAATGCAACCCCCCAACTGGACCCGCTCCCGCATCCGCCGCCTCTTCCTCGTCTCCCTCGGCGTCCCCGTGGACCTCGACGAGATCCTCCCCCCGAGCAAACAGAAACGCCTTATTTTACCCTCCATTGGCCTGGACGGAAGTCCGCGACCTAGCACAGCAATCGACCGCCTGCGCGGCGAGGAGGGAGCCAACGCCTCCACCACCTCCCTCGACTCCAAAACCGGCGCTTCCCGGCCGTCAAAGCGAAAACCAGACGCGCGACGCGGTCCGCCTGCGCCGCCGGAGTGGAACGCGAATGCCGCTGCTTTACTGGCGGGAACTACTGTGGAGAAGTTGCTGGGCCTGGAGGACGGGGAACTGCAGGCGCATGTGGTGGGGCTGGGCGAGGAGAATGAAAAGGCGAGTCGGGTGCTGGAGTACTGGTTGGAGCGGCGGGATGAGGGGTTGAAGGAGAAGGAGGCGCTGGAGGGGGTTATTGAGAATTTGGTTGGGTGGGTTAAGGGGAGGCGGAAGGGGGTGTAGGATCAAGTCATGTTTGAGGGTGGGGCGCTGAAATTTGAAGGCAGCAGAACTGGTGTATGATACAAGGGCATCATGGCGGTGCCTCACTCCATTATCGGCCTCCACATCTTCCTCCCCACAAACTTCTCCACCCCCTCATCCTCCATCACTTCATCCGCGGTCCGTCCTGTGACGACACTGCGCTCATACTCTCGTCCCCGCACGAAGAACGCCTCCCAATCGCCCACCCAGCGATTGCTTTTGCGATCTTTGCGAAACCCAGAGTTCCGTCTATCGAGCGTCAAAAACCAATTCCGCTGGTGCACGGAGCCGATGGTGTTGATGGCGCCGCTGTATGCGTTGTTGGCGCGGATGGTCGAATCCTCGTCCTCGTTAGATTCTTCTTCGGAGGCGAGGGCGGCTGCTGCGTCTTCGGTGAATGGCGTGGTGACAGAGAGGGCGAGTTCGGAGTCGCTTGCTTCGCTTCCGGTCGAGTCTGATGGTTTTGGTTTGGTGGGTTTGGAAGGGTCGACGCGCCGGCGTTTCCGGATCGGCTTCTTCGGCTGGCCTGAGCGGTCGTTTGCTGATGGGAGGCGAAGGGCGATGGTGTAGTTGTGCGGGAGTCTGCTGCCGTGGAGGCGGAGGCGGATGTGGCGGGATTGGAAGCTTGTGAAGAGGCGTTCGCTGTGGGTGCGGGTGTCCTGGGTTTGATCGGTGTTGTCGTCGGAGAGCTCGTCGTCAGTGCTGCGGGTGTTGTGCTCCTGCTTCCGCGGCAGGACCTCGTACTCGCCGGTGTCCCAGATGAGGAGAGAGCCTGTTGCGTGGGAGGCGGATTCTATGAGATTGTTCTGGTCTGGTCAGTTGGCAGGTCATGATCAGGAAGAGGTGTACGCATGGTGGGAGAAGCAGCCGAAGCAGAATGTCAAGACCTTGACATACCCAAATATTGTGCACACGAGTCTCAATAGCCATTCTGTTCGGCCGCTGAGAGTTGGAATTGCCAGGTAAACCGTATGGAATTGCGAAAGAGATGGTGCTGGTCTCGGAGAACTGCAGTCTGAGATCGTAGTGAACGCCTTACCTTGCGTCAGCCTACCTGGTCGCTGTTTTGGACCTTGAGCTAGGTACCGGAGATGGGATGATCGTGCTGATGAAGGACGAAGTGGCGACCATGGCTGTGCTGGTTGCGCAAGTACAGCTGCCGAAAGTCTTCGATACTTGGACGTGGTTGAGATGTTGGTCGGGCTACTTGGGCAAGACGGTCGGCGAAGTAGGAGAGGTGGTCACGGATCTGAGCCTGGCCAGCTTCGATGGCAGCCAGTGATGGACCGCTGACAGGTTGGCTGGGTTTTTGGTTCTTCGTCAGGACCTCGTTGTCTGTTTGTTCCGATGCCGTTGGTCGTGTGCTTGTCCTGCGTATCTTCGGCGGAGAGATGCTGCGATCGAATGTGGTAGGATTTGCCGCCATGTTACAGTATGCCAGCTTTGCGATCTCGTAAGCACAAGTCTATATTCGCCATCTGGTTTTTGTCTGGCTGCGAGACGTGAGGTCAATGGAATCGAGAAACAGCAAAACACACTTCGGGAGAGCACCCGCTAGCGCAACTCCATGATCGACCAATCAAAGATGGCGACCAGACTTTTGGGCTTCGAGCTCGACTTTACCTTACTCCAGCACGAGCACGAGCACGACATCGCATCATTGTCTTTACCATCGACGAAGAGCATTATTCTGAGTCCAGACGAGCCACCTCCACTAGCGACATCAGAAGCAAGAAGGCCGCCTGATCAATCTCTTCCATCCTCGAATCTTCCCCAACAACCGCAACAATGTCCTTCCTCTTCGGCGGCCCACGCCCCCAACCCTCGTCCGCCGAGAAGATCGCCGCCGCAGAAGCAGAGATTGAGATGGTGTCCAACATGTTCAACCAGTCCGTTGCCCCCCCTCTCCCTTCCCACCCTTCCTTCCCACTGTCTCCCAATAGCTAACGTTCTTCCTGCACAGGCTAGTCGACACCTGCACCCGCAAATGCATCCCCTCTCAATACCGCGAAGCGGACCTCAATAAGGGCGAGTCGGTGTGTCTGGACCGCTGCGTGGCCAAGTTCTTCGAGGTGAATGTTAAGGTGTCGGAGAAGATGCAGGGGGAGGCGGCGCAGAGGGGTGGTGCGGCTGGTGGTGGAATGTTCGGCTCATAGAAGCGGAACGGAGATGGTGGATATGATGCAAGGGTTGGGATGGTGGCGTATTGCGAGTTGTAGGTGGGCATGCGCGAGGAGATGTACATCGATGGGGTCCAAGGGCAGGCGATCCGGTAGAGACGGCCATCCACTGCGTCGCTGGCTGGGTAAGGATGACGATGTGCCTGCACAGTCATATCATGGATGGCGAGAGGCATTGTATAGGGGCAGCGGAGCTGGGATGTACAGTATGGTGAGTGCATTGTAAGATACAAGAGTACGATACCCACTCCTCCAAACTGGATCTTCACACACCATACAAAAGTCCAAATGCATGCCGTATACCTGCGACCCGTCAAATGACTTCACACTCAGCAAAAGAAGAAGCATCTTACGTGGCAAGGAGCTGTCATGTTATTTGTACATACCAGGTTCGTCCGCTTCCGTACGTGTCCTCTAGCTCTTCTAAACTGTCCACCTCCTTCAGTACTCAGGTCAAATTCGATCGAACCCCTTCAACTAACCTCCACCTCCACCCCAGCCCTCGCCAAAAAAAAGGACCCACATTTCCCTACTACACGGCCTACGCGGACATCACCAAAGAGAGACACAGAGGACGCTGATACGATGCAATCATGCTGATTCATAAAACATGCTATGCGGACATCCTACCTCAGAAATGCTCCTTCCAAAACTTAAACTTCACCTCATCCACCGTCGCCTCCTTACACGCCCTCCGTATATCCCGCGCTGCAACATTCGGCCCGCAAAAATACACCCCCACATCCGTCCGCCCACCCCTCGCCAACCCAGCCAGATAACTCTGGTTCAGAATCCCCTCCCGCATCGCCACCAACAACCGCCTGAAATCCGGGCGGCCGAAGTTCGTCCGACTGCTCAACTCGGTCAGGGGGTCTTTATCCATGCCGACGGAGTTGAGCACGATGTTCTGCGCCGTGTCGACGTCCATCTTCTGCGTGAGGTAGGTGTGGATGCGTAAGAACTCGGCGTCGGAGCCAGGGCCCGTCATGCCTAGACTCTGCGCTTCGAGCGAGGAGAGCAGGGCCTGGAACCACTCGAACGAGGTCGTGTCCCTGCAGACCCAGATGAACTCGACCCGCCGCAGGCGCTTGGGTGGGTTGGGGGATAAGCGCATGTGCCAGATATTCTTCAGGATCGCGGCCCAAGGCGTCACGCCTATCCCCGTCCCGATCAAGACAGCGACTTCGTTCTCAAACACATCTTCCGCGGGCGCGCCGTACGGCCCATCGATGCGGAGTTTCGGCATCTCCTGCCCGTTGGCGAGCGCGACCTCGTACATCCCCATCGGGTCCAGGTCGTCGTAGAGACCGGCCTGTTCCGGCCCAGCGCCGAGCGCGGAGGCGAGGGCGCGTGTGAAGTCGCCGACTTGTCGCACGTGCACGGAGATGTAGGGGTCGAAGGGGCAGGAGGTGATGGTGAAAGGGTGCCATTGGTGGGCGGAGACGGATGGGAGGTTGAGGAAGAGCCATTGCCCGGCTTTGTAGCGCATGCTGGGTTTGCGGAATTGGATCTCGACGGCGTCTATCAAATATCATGAGCGGATGGCATGTGTGGTGTGAGGTTGATGGGAGGCTTACCGTACGGATGACGGACCACTTTGATGATCTCCGTCTGCCGTCTTGACCGGATCTCCCGGTATATCCTCTCGCCCAGATACAGCGCTCCAGCAACCAACTCCCACCGCCACCCCTCATACCCAATACAATGATTCCAAAACGGACTGCCCGCAAATGGACTAATCGGCGGCACCGTATCCCTCACAAAACACCCCGTCGCATGCGTATACATCGCCAGGAAAAACGGTATGAACAAATGATGCGTATACCAAAACGTCTCGTAGCTCTGCTGCCGGATCTTCGCATGCGCCGTCGTGTACATCAGCAGCATGCACAACAACATCACATGTCCCGTGATCCCTCCCGCCTGCGTGTAGTGGATCTGCACCGCCGCCTCCGCGCGCACCTGCGAGCGCTCCACGTTGAAGAAATTCACGTAGTGCGAGGACGTGTGCACGATCGTCCAGATGAGTATGCTGTACGCCACTTGTCGGTGGAACCACTGGCTCTCGTCGAGCGGTAGCCATCGGATCTTCGGGCGTATGATTCGAAGTAGGTTCCGGCACATGGGGAACAGGATGAGGGTGACGTCGACGGCGAGGTTGAGGCCGGCGCCGCGGGAGAACCAGACGCTGAATTCGAGGGTGTTGAGGGGCGCGAGGCGCTCGTCGTTGGCTTGCACGTACCAGCCGATGATGAAGAGGGCGATGTGCAGGCCGTGGAAGAGGGTGTAGAAGATTATTTTGCGCGCGGTGAATTGGGAGGCTAGCCATGATTTGGGCTTTGGGACTGCCATTGTGATGAAGGAGGAAGTGTTGGTGCGTTTCGGGAGAAGGAGGTCCTCGATGGGAGTCCGCAATGAAGGCGGTCGCTCGGTACGCGCAATGCGCCGGTGCTATCGCAGCATACCCGTCATCTGAACTGAAGTGGTATATGTTCGAGCAGTTCCGTCTCTTCCCCAGCTCTTGAATCCTGCCTCTTCCTAGGACGTTGCCGTGGCTTTGGACAGATACGAAATAGCAGAGAGACTCCCCGTGTGACAAGACGACCTTACAGGCCCATCACAAGAAACATCAAAGAAGAACAGTGACCTAGCGAACTACTGTACCTCTCTGCCCACACGATCGCCATGCAGCCATGCAACCGCTCAAGCGAGTCAGACCGCTTCTGGGCCTCGGGTCACGCGAAATGCAGGTGCAAGAGTATTTCCAGCCTGTCAGATTGGCGAGGTTCTGTTCTTGAGCAGTGAGTGGTCGTTCATGTTTCTCGAAGCTGGACCAGTGCCTGCAGACGGGGCGATCCGATCGTGCCTTCCTGCTTTGCCGCCGAAGCTACTGACTTGGCTCGGTGTTGGAAGGTGATTGGCTTGCAGTGGATGTCGACCAGATACGCGATGTGAATACGGAGGTACTTCTCACAAGACCATACTCCCGGGAGGAGTTTGTTCATCCCATGAAGAGGCACAGAACATGCGACAAGCTGGAGAAGGTCCTGTTCCGTTCTATCATGTGCAATTGCATTCACTTCCATCTCATCCAAAAGAGGCATCTGCTCAATGGCACCTTCCCCACAATCACCACGCGCCAACCAGCCTTCGAGGCCCGCCCCGCACAATGTGTCTTGTCTGGGTTTGTGCAGCTCATTCGTCACACACGGCGCTTACACTCCAGCACTCGCCTGCACCGCGCGGTATCCTCTGCACCGAGCAGACGACATGCGCGCACTCTACTGCCTCCAAATCGGGTTCTTGCCATGTGCCATCGCTTCTCCGACCGCATCTTCCATGCCCAAGCACTTGGTGGCGTAAGTTCTTCGTCTCTTTCAATATCACTTCTCGCTTCTCGTGCGCCTGCGTCCCTTCACATACAACACCTACGGCTAGACCGACTCCAAGACCTGCTATCTGCTCTTCTACCTTTCTGTCACATCTTGGTCTTGCTGCTGCACGTCTTCCTCTCACTGCAGCGCTTCTTGCGCTCTGGTATCTACCACCTTTGCTTCCATCCCATCTTCGCGACCCGACCTCAGATCATGAAACACTTATCGCCCTCACGGTAACACTCGCCGGCCCTCATACTGCGCTCCGGCCTCCTCCAGCATCAGGCGAGAGCCTGCGCGCAGCATGGGTAAATTAATAAAGAACCACTGGGCCCGCTTGATCTGCTTGACAGCAGCAGCATGTACATCTCCCACTTCCGACCCTCCTCCCGCCATCCTCCTCATACTGACGCACTCTCATGCAGACCAGATCGCAGCCGCCCTCTGCGCCTTCTTCTGGCCCAAATTCTTCTTCGACTTCTACACCAAAAACTTCGACGCCGCCGTCAAGCCCATCCCCATCCTGCAAACCGTCAACCTCGTCCTCGGCATCATCTCGCTGGCCTACGAATGGCCGCTCAAATATTTGGCAGGAACCGCATTACATCGGAGCATGGAGGCGAGAATGCTGTGGTTGCCTCTGGTGAGCTTGAGTAGCGTGTTGCTGTACCAGGCGACGAATCCGGCGGTGTATTATGCGATTGGGTGCGGGGTGTATTTTTGGGGGTATACTGAGGGAGAGGTTAGTGTGGACAATCGTTCAAGCTATGTGAGGAGTACTGATCTGTTTCGCAGGTGATATGTGCGGTCCCGTGGACGCTGCCTAAACGATCGGAACGAAGGGGTAGGGTGGAAAAGGCGTAGAACATAACGCTCTGGGCTTGCGGATCATGATGTTTACGAACCTGCATCCAGGCATTTGTTTTTGCATAGCGTCTTTGGGCATGGGTGCTGATCGACATTGCATGACTGGAGATCGTCCTCTCGGACTTTGTATATATGTACACTTTGATCGTAGTGTGTCCGCGACGCAGCCATGCTGGTCCGGCGAAATGAACATTTCCAAAGATCATTAGCAGTCACCTTCTCATGTTCTTGTAAACAACCACCGGAAAGGTTGTTATCACCGCACTGTAGCAGTATTAGCCTCCACCACCTCCTCCAGCCCCGTCCACCCCTTCCCGTAATGCTTCCTTAACAGCGCCTCCGCCTCCCCATTCGGCACGACACTCATATCCCGCCCCCCACCCTCCATATCCGCCGGAAACTCCCTGCCGGGATTCTGCTTCCGCAGCACCGCTAGGATGTCGTTCCAGGTGAAAGGTGCCGCAAACGCGAAGATCCGTTCTCCGTTGCAAGCGGGGTCTATCATGGCTATGACGTGTAAGCGAGCGGTGTCCCGCACGTCGACGAAGTATTGGGGAGGCACGGAGGTCGTGACGGAGGTATCACCGTTCCACAGCTGCAGGGGCCAGGAGGCGGTGGAGGAGGAGTTTTCGGCGCCCGGTTGGAGGATGGGACCGAGGTTTGCGTTTGGCAACACGGCGGCGACTTGCTGTTTCGGCGGTTAGTGGTTTTGGGGGGCAAATTTGGGGCAGGAGACGTACGAATGGTGGCGAGGTCTCTTTGACGGCTTTCCAGATGGCGCGCTCGGCTTCAGTTTTGGAGGCGCCGTAGACGTTCCAGGGGTTGGGGGCGGTTTGGGCGTCGTGGACTACTTGGTCGTTCCAGGTGTCTTTGGTGACGTGGATCTCTTTGTCAGGTTGCGGCATCAGGGCTGCGGTGCTGCTTGACGTGTAGACGAAAGACTTCATTTTCGGTTCTTTGGTAGCGGCTGTCAGAGCGTTCAGCGCGCCTTTGACCTGTGTATTCTCCATTAGCACATCGCTTCGTCCCCCTTCTCAAAGTAAGTAAAGAAATTCGAACTCACCACCGCAGGCACAACTTCATCATAAACACCACTAAACTTCATCACGCTCGCCGTATGACACACCCCCGCCACCCCTTCGACCGCCTCGTCGAACGCCCCCTCCGCCATCATGTCCGGCACTACGACATGCTCGAATTTGCCTTTGCCGTACTTGGCGTCGAAGAGCGCGTACAACCACTCGACCTTCTCCTTGGAGCGCACGGTGCCACGGACGCGGTAGCCGGCTTCGAGGAATTGGTTGGCGGTTTGGCTGGCAACTGGAAAGAGAAGTTAGTGAGTGTTCGAGGGGAGGGAGGTTGGGACGAACTGTAGCCTGAGCAGCCGGTGATGAGGACGAGGTCGCCCTTCTCGATGGTCGACATGATGACTGAGGTGTGCTCTGCGTCGTGCTCCATCTTTACTTGGAACCGTTGGTGGGAGATATATGTTGTTCAGTCTCGTCCAGTCGATCTCGAAGGATGATTCGTAATCGAGTTGACTGAGCGGATGCTACCTCATATTAGGGTTGGTCAGCGATGTGCATCAAGTGGCTTGGTAGCGACACAGTTCAGGTACATGTACTCGAGATTGATGTTGAAGCTGGGATGGTTTTGTGATCGTGCACTGCAGGAAGATACCGAATTTTGAGGCAGGAGGAACCGTACGCTAACCTAGTTGGGAAGGAGCAACGACCTTTGGTCGACTTCAGCTCCATGTCCTTTCAGGTTCTGTCAACCTCAGTCTAACTCACGGATGTGGAAGGTAACAGTGTTTGACATACATACTGCCCAAAGAGAATCAAAACACTCCATGATATGGAAGACACTCCCAAAGAGGAGTAGCAAAACTCAAAGCATGCCTACCGCTACCCCTTCCTGGTCCAGCACATCTCGGACTTAGAGACCATGCCGTGACGCTGGAAGCTTTCCCAGCATACGAACGCAGTCCTTCGTAAGAGAATCGTTCTCGCCGCGACACAAGGTCAGAAGCGGCAGAGCGAATTCCAACCACTTCTTTGCTAAGGCCAGCTCTTGCATCTGAGAACACTGCTTGCCTAGCTTGTAAGCCCTGCAGACTGTTAGTGGCTTGCAGAACGCACTGCAAGCACATTGCAACTTACGTTTCTCCTCTGGCGACCTGCATTGCCGGCTCGCCTTTCATCAGCTTCACCATTAGCGCCAACATGTCTGGTATATCTTCCAGCGATGGAGCTTCGGTGTCGACAACAGCCTCTTCATGTTCCGAACCCTCAGAAAACTCCAGGGTATCGATCTGGCTTTGAAGCTTCCAGAGCTCCTTCCTACGGGCCTCCGTCCGGTTCGCGTAGTCGTTCTCGCCACACGCAAGACAAGTACAGGTGAAGCCATATGGTTCCAGCTTTAACGCTCTGACGTTCTTGGGCGCGATTTCGGGAACGTACGAGAGAAGGATCTCCTGTCCAGCCGGTATGTCTCGAATGGCACGGACGACGGAGCGCTTTCTGGTCTCGTCAAAGATGTGTGCAGCATTCGGAACACACGAGTGGTTGAGACGTGGAAGGTCCTTGCCAAAGCCACTGTCAAAGTTCCCGAAGGAAGCGGCAGTGTTGTAGAAGATCGCAAAAACCTTGCCAATCTTCAGCTTCTCCTGCTTGGTCGGGAGCTCCACATTCGCTGCTGCTGTGTACGCCGTCGCGTAATCGAGAAGCTTGCGCTCATCTGCCACGTAGGTATACCTGTTCAGGTAGTACTCCTGACGATCTGGCCACATGTCCGCAAAGGCGTCGACAATGCTCCGTGGCGACGTATCATCACTCCAAAGAGTCACGTCGGCGGTAAGGAGTGGCTTCTCTTCGATGATGACTTCGCCGGCTTTGATTCTTTGCGAAGCGAAGGCACCGAGACCCTGCCCATTGCCTGCTGTGACGAGCGGAGACACGGCGAGAGTCAACATGGGAGTGGGCGGAGTGGTTTGACGAGAGCTTGGTATCGACTCGGGTCTGGAGGTTGCTTGACTCGACTCTCGGCCACGATCCTTTGAGGAACCAGGGTTACCAGACATGGTGGTGGCCCGTTGAATATCAAGTGCAGTGGGGAGTGTTATAACCTAACAGAGGATATGTTGGGAGTGTTCGCTGTGGTTGAAGATATCGGTGCGCAAGTGTTGCACCCAGGAGCGAGGACGGCGGGACTCCTTTTGAACCATTTGAGGGCGATTCGATTGCTTCATTGATTGCGCATGATTCGACTGTGAATGATGAACACACGACTGGCGCGGAAGCTCGTGAATGTGCCATGTACTCACCAGCGGCTTGACTGTGCGACACGCAACCGAATGGCAAACAAAGATGTCGCACAAGGCATCCAAGGAGCGACGGATGGATTCACTTCGAAGGCTTCCGACATTGAACACGTCCAGATCGCGAAGTGGTCGTTGCGGGCATTTGTGGAGCCAATTTGGGAAGCACTGGAAGATTCTGCGCCTGGGAGTGAAGGTAATGGTATACTGACTATGTCCTAGTTCAGGAGTTGTAACAAACACAAACAGGAACAGATTCTCCAGGGCAGACAAGTAACACCAGAGCCATTGAATGGCACTCATCTACTTTATCCAAGCATCCCGACATGAGAGCCGCCTCTGGTTCTCGAAGCTAAGGCAGAGTGCTCAGCAATTTCTCACTTGCCTGCGTCACGTGGTCCTCCTTGCCACGAAGTATCCGGAGCAGCGGAAGTGCATATTCCAATCTCTCCTTTGCCTCCGCGGTTCGGTGAGCGTTGGCTTATCGTTGGGCAAGATTCCGAGCACTGCAATCACACCTGGGTCAGTATGTCTTCAAAGCCAGCAGACCACAAGGATGGAGGTAATTGCAAACTCACGTCTCCGCTTTATCAACTAGCATGGCCGGTTCTTGCTCCAGGATCTCCAGCATTCGGACCAAGGCTGCCGGTATTCCTTCTGGTTTCAGCAAATTGGCACACCCATATTCAGCAGTATTCGGATATTGCTCGACGCACTCGGCACTCGCAACTTGTCCAGCCAGGTCTTTTAGCTCCCGCCTACGAGGCTCGGTCTCTGCACCGTATACAGGATCCTCGCATGCAACGCAAGTGCAGGTGAAGCCATACTTCTCCAGCTGCGACTGCCTGTCCGCCTTCGGCTGCATCTCCGGCACATATGACAGGAGCAGCTCTTCTCCCTCGTTGATCTCCCGGGTAGCTCGGACGACGTAACAGTCGTTCACTTGGTCGTCGACGTGCATGGCGTTTGGGACGCAGGAATGGTTGAGCCGGGCTGCGTCTTTGCAGAACGCAGTGGCACCTTGAGCGATAGTGAAGGCGTTGTTGCGGAAGATGGCGACGACCTGGCCGATCTCAAGCGCCTCCTCGCGGGACTCCGGCACATTCCCGATGTCCTGCCCATACTCCCTCGCCAGTCTGAGTAGGTCTGCTTCAGACTTCGAGTGCGTGAATTTGGAGAGATACTCCTTTTGCTCCTCCGGAGACAGGTTCCGGAACCCATCTATGATATACTCTGTGTATGAGGCCAGACCAGGCATGCGTTCGGAGACTATCAGTGCCTCGTCTTCGATGATGGTCTCTCCAGCTTCGATCTTCCGGGCAGCGAAGACGCCATAGCCTTTGCCGTTTCCATAGAGCACCAGGTCCGAGGGAGCGACGGTCCAACACTCGCCGTGAGCGTATTCTGGCGACTGAGATCGGGTCTGTGGATCTGGTTGGGAAGATGCGGCACCTCCACGATATGCTGACAAAGTCGGCTTGGGAGCCATTGTTGTGGTTTGATGGAAGATGTTTGACTGCAAGATCGTTGTGGTTGATGAGCGGCCGGTGATATACTGGGAAGATCAAGGCAGCAGTTTCGGGAAGTGGTAAGGGTTGTTGGTCTGTCGAAGAAGGATTCGAGCCGGGGCTTAAGGCACTCAAAGGCTCGAGGCTACATTGACTGCTGCTCGACTATCCATGATTCGGCTTGGGAGTGGACGGTAAATGGAGGCCAATAACCACCGTATGAGCTTGTGGATGTCCTTTTCGCTCAACAGCAGTGTAGCCGTGCGACACAAAAATGCCTGGCAAGCAAACACCTTCGACGAGTATTGTACTCGCCGTAGGAGGTAGAGCAGGTGATTATCCATGTGACTGACTGCAGGTGAACGACATAGACCTTTGTGACATGACGTTCTGGTCAACATTGCCGACGTGGGAACAGCTGTTGGGAACAGGTCAGGAGAGAACACTGTGGGGAGGTACGATGGATAGTGAAGGCTTCTTGATTGTTGCGTTAGATATGTAGTACAACAAGCTCCCGCATCTCACTCACCCACTCACTCACCCGTTTCTGCTCCATCTTTCGCTGACATGAGAGGTGAGCTTAACAGCGGACAGCGCTCGAAACTACATTCTTGGGTCCAACTTCAGAAGGCTCAAGTCGATCAGACATGCACACAGATGCGTGCGAGCCATAGCCTTGCAGCAGGAGAAGTATCCCACGTGCATCCTCTCCATTGATCATCACTACGCTCTTCAAGGTCTGTTGAAGTCCCACCTTCTAGGTTTCCATTCCGGCTGGGGCTTGCGCTCCAGACGACCGACCGCATCTTTAATAGCTTGAGCGTCGCCCGCCGCTTCTGAGGGCAAGCGAGCCCGCGCTTCTGTCAGCTCGTCGTTTACGAGCTCGAAAACCTTGCTCTCAAGACCAAGACGTATGTCTGTGCGTCGCTCGTCATGCCGATGACGGCTGCCATCGCAGTTACAGCCCTTGAAGTGGACCGGTATCCTGCTGATACAAGGAGGCAACATTCGCAAAGCAGCCCTCAACGCCCGTCGTTCGGCCTGGAACTGGATTTGCTCTATGCGAAGCTGTAGGACCACCGTTTCTTCGTGAACAGCACAGTCCTGCCACCCGCCCGACTCATACTGGGCGACGAGTTCCAAATGCAGCTCTCTGAGGCTCGTACACTGTTGCAACAGCTGACCATAGTCAAACAGCAGCACGAATTTGCCAATGGAGATGGTGACTTTCTCGATAGCGGAGAGTCGCATGGTGCCAACATCACGCTTCATCCTGGTGAAATCGCTGTCGTGGAGTTTGAGTTGGAGATGGTTGGTTTGGTAGAACAGGCAACAGGCCTCAGAATTGATGAGCCGGCAAGTCTGGAGTACTGACAAGACAGAAGGCCCCGCTGACCTTCGTGCTGGCCATGGCTCATAGCGGGTTCGAGAGGGCGGGGGGTGAGGGAGACGGGATGTCCGAACAAGCCTGACCGTGCCATCTTCGTTTGGCGAGACGGTCAACACCGCAGTGTAGACAGCATTTCGAAGTTCGGCTGGAAGATCGAAGATGCGGCATTGTGTCTGTGGGTTCATGGCAGCCATGTTCCCCAAGTCAAGAGGTTGCGTCCAGGAAGTCCGTGGTGATACTGGAGGGTAGGCGTTCTGTGGGCCAGGAGGATGGTGGAAAGACGCAAAAGGCGGAGTTTAAAGAGGGTGCAATAGGCGACATCGTGTCCAGCGAAGCCGGTAGTTCAGTCCCTAGGTGGCCATGTTTGCTTGAGTAAGAATCAGAAGATTCCAAGGCAGGCCAAATTGTCTTGTCTTGTTCCAGGTTTGCGGTTAGGCCTTGCCCAGAAAGTTCCATTTCCACCTCAATGATTCTGGTGAGGCAGATCTGCCTGCCACAAAGCAGCCGATTGTGAGCTCATCACCGGTTGAGCAGTAGAGACATTCGCTGTGGTGGCAGTAGGATCCGTTTGCTATGGTTCCGTTTCGTTGGCACTTACTCTGCTTGACGCTGGCCTGATGGTGGTAGGTTTAGTATAACGTGCCGGAACCATTCCGTCGTCGATGAGAAACCGAATAGTGGAGTAGGCATAGTAGGCATAGGCCATTTCGGAACCACAGATCTCATGGGACATATCTCATCTGCTCGGTTGTGGACCGACCGTGGCAACCGAGATGCGCTCGGCTTCACGAGCAGTACCACTCCGTCTTCGTTGACTGGCACACCCAGAACGAGTGCATAGATCCAATTGCGTAGCTCGGCTGGCAGCCTGAGAAGACAGTTGCGCTCTTCTGTTGAACCTTCGGGACTGTCTTGTATGATGATCGGTGCTGTGGGTGTATCGCAAGTTGGACGCTGCACGTCACCAGCGGCTCGACTCCGACAAGCAAATCTGGCAGCCATATGCAGACGATGGGAGAAGTTAGGAGACGGTATGGGGGCAGTTCCTAGCAACAAGGAGATATTATATGAGGAGAGGTGGTTGTGTCGATGAGAATTCATGGATTCGCCCTGTTCATGCCAAGTCAGAAGTGTCCAGTGCAATACAGCATGATGGTAATCATACCTATACTTACTAAGCTCTATTGGGCAGGGGTCGTTGCTTACCTCCTGAAGGCATGTAGTTGGACAGCCGAATCGTGGCTTGCTGCCCCTCACCGCATCCTCTCTCCATATCCGTTTGCAGTGGGCGACACCGGCCTTTGCTCTCAGACTGTTTACGTAATTCTGTCGCTGTCCTGCTGATGGAGAACTTTGCCATAAGCCTCCCGATACGCCTGTGCGATCCAGCCACACACTTCGCGCTCTAGGCTTTCGTACTCCTGCTGCCACCCCGCTCGTATGGCTTCGGGTAGCTCGAGAATATCATGGCGCTGTAAAGATACTTCGATCAGTCGGAGAGACGATGGCAGTTTCTGCGCTGCGGCCTGGAGACTCTTCTGATCGTCCAAGAAGACGATGCGGAGCCTTTTGACGCCGCGATCCAACCCGAATGCGTCGAATAACCGATTGTTGCGGAGCTGTAATTGTAGCCGCTGGAGGCCGGAACACGAACGCAGCTGGCTGCAGGCCCAAGGAAACTTCCAAGCAGCGTCCATGACTGCGGTGACCGTTTTGAAAGCCGCTGCACTTATCGTCAGAGCGCCCGCGCTGTAACTGCGGACCAAACGCACGTGCGAATAAGGGGGGCACAGCTGGAAATGATTGATCGTAGAGACCAAGCCGCGAGCCTCGTGATAGACCGCCTGCCAAGTTTGCAGGATGCTGAAGAAGGACGGTTGCCGGTTCGTATATTTCTCATACATCGGAATGGTCTCCACGCAGCCAGCGTCGTTTGCAGGGAGCGTAAGAGCCAACGCGTAGATCTTGTTGCCTGCGAGCAGAGGGACAGAATGGTCAGCCGTGTTACATGTCATTGTGAACTATAGGTTCTCCTTTTCATGAGTACTTACGCAGCTCTGCGGGCAATGTGAAGAAGCCTATTTGCGTCTGCGGGTGTTGAGGGAGCTTCAACTTTTTGAGCGCCATCATCGGTGCGCTGAATCCGAGACCTCAGAACGCTGGGAGCCGAAACCTGGCTTAATGTGGGTGGTTTTGCTCGATGATGCGTGAGGTTGGATATTACCGAGGGGAGATGGAATGAAGCAGACCGCCCCGGCCCGGGGAAGGAGCATTGACTCGTTAAGATGGCATGTGATCTTAACAACATTTCGACACACCATGTGAAGGTATCATGTAATTCGTTTGACGGAATCCGTTTCAAGAGTATCGTCATCGATCACTGACAGATCTAGAGCCACAATCTCCGTCTACAGAAGTCGCCCTTCTGCCCCTGGGAAGCCGACAGCCTGCTGGGCATCGTCGCCTTCTCAAAATCACCCCCATAACACCAGAGAGCTAGCTGCAACACGGAAGCAACCGTCAAAGCATTGTGTGGAGGTGCAGTCGTTAACGTCCTCCCTCACCTTCTCCCTCACCTTCACCCCACTCCCTCGCTCCGGCTCGAAACAAACCACGACTAAGCAGTCTGCTCGTTGTCACGAACAAGCTCAGTCCCATGCGCTTTCCTGTGTGCCTCCTTGATCCAGCCGCTCAGCTCGTCCGCAATCTTCTTGCACTCCTTTTGACACACTTCGTCCAGTTCGTTTGGGGGTCTGAAGATCCCAGGTATTGGGAGAGGAACACCGATGGTGTGTAGACTGCGAGACAAACCGCTTGCCGCTGCTTCGATGTCGGATCGCGCCTGCAGAAGCTGCTCACGTAGCTTGCAAATTGTCAGTGGGTTGGATCCCCAGTAACGGTCACAGATCACCTCCAACCGCAAACTGTTCAATCCTTTGTTGAAGCGAAGACTTCTCAGGCAGCTGGCTACTCCATCTGCTGTCATTCGCCCAATGGTCACCTTTTCAACTTCAGCTACCTTGAGGATGAAGCGGCGCTCCCAGTCGCAAAGTCGCCCTTCGATATCGGCGTCGCGCAAGTAGAAGAAATGCATGCTAAAGTCGTGCATGGCGGAGAACATGCCGTAGATCTCGGTGTTGACTAGGCGGCATGTTCGGCAGATGGAAAGGACCGACGTTGGCGGGATGTTGTCTCTCCAGAACCTCTCCGTGACTGGGTGGAGCTCAAACCTGCCGCCATGGTCTGTCCGTACGTCGGAGAATACCAGGCTGTAAATCTCGTTGCGAATCTCTGGGGGCAGGCGGAAGAGCGGGCTCTGAGTTTGCGGGTTGATCGTGGTGAAGGTGAGTTGCGGCATATTCGTTGCGCAGCCGCAGACAGGCTCCGGTGGAGGGCTTGACCATTTGTTGTGTGCAGGCGATGTTGTAGAGGCTGTTGGAGGCCCGTGGTCGAATTTGTAAGTTCGAGAAGGTGTGGATTCGTGAACTTGTGAAGTTGTGAAGAATTGAGAATTGAGAATTAGCTTGAAGTCGCAAGTCACTGAGGCAACGATATGGCCCACGCCTCCAACAAATGGAGCATGTGAAAGCACATGGCAGACAGTGGCATGTGGTGACGTTCGAGAGAATCTTACCAAAGCGGACTAACACTCCTTCCACTGAACCCTGCTCACTCATCCCAATGACCTCCTCACCCCCACCTCACTCACCTCCGAACCACAGCAAGAATGTCCTCAGCAATCTCCTTCTCCAATTTCCTCAGCCCCAGCCCCCACTCGAGCTCCTTCTGCTCCTCGAAATGTCGCTCACTTAGACCAGCCATCATATGCGGGTGCATGTGACTCCACTTCGGCATCCGCATCGTCACAACCTCCAGGCTCTTTGGCAAGCTCAGCGCACCGCTCACCACCTCGTCTCGTCTGAGCACATACTCATATCGCACCTCTGCAACCGTGGGGCCGGGCTCGTGTTGTGGTAGCACGAAGTGAAGCTCCTTGAGACGAGGGCAACCGTATAGGAGTGTGCAGACAGTGGCGAGGTCTAGGGGCTGCCTCTCAATCTCCTGGATGTCGTGCCAGTCGTCCACATTGTCAATGAGGTGCGGATCATCGCCGTCCACAACGACGGTGAGTCGCTCGATCTCAGCAGCCATCAGGGTAGCGCTCGCGTTGCGGCGAAGAGCGTAGAACAAGCTCTAGCATTTCGTAACCGTCTCTCTGAAGCGGCATTGGAGATGATTGATGGCGTGGAACAGACAATACGGCTCGTTGTTAATCTGCTGGCATGTCCGGAGTATTGACAAGACTGACGACTTGGGGGTGCTTGATACGTGGATGAGCTTGACGGTGCCGTATTTGTTGGTCGGGACAGTCAGGAGGTGTTCGTAGACCGCATCTCTGAATTCCGCGCGGAGTTTGAAGAGGTTACTTCGCTTTTGCGGGGTGGGATCTCTCTTGAAGTTGCGTGTGGCCATTGTTGATGTCCGATTTGGTCGCAGGACGTGGTTCTGCTGGAAGTGGTGTCGCTGGAGACGGGTTCGCTAGAGATGATTTTGCTGAAAAAGGCTCTGCTGTTCGCTGGAGGCGTTTGGTGTCGCTGCGTGCCTTCCAGGACGTTGAAATATGCTGACGGAGCTCCGTGTGATTAATGTGAATACCGAAAAGACAATCCAGCAAAGGTGATAAGAGCGACCAAGCTGGCAAGTCGGAAGGACAGGCAGGCCAGTTGAGAGGAAGACACCAGGACGTCTGAGAGCAGCGGACGCTTTGTCCGACTGAACCACTGAGCCAGCTGTGGTGATATGTTTGCCAGCATCCACGCTTGCAGCGCTTTGATGAATCATCTCGAAGAGTCTCATCCCCCGACCAATGATTGTAGAGATGCAATGGTGAGAAGGAGAGATTGAAGGAAAGACTGTCAGATCTCGAAAGCACTCGCCACCTGCAGAAAATCCGAAAGATCCAGGAAGCCTTCATGCAAGCCATCTTTGGTTCATAGTAGAAGATACAGGTACTTACGATCCGAGGAAGGAAAACCAGCTCAAACAAGTCTCGGGAGATCTTCCTTCCGCCTCGATCGACTCCTCCTACGTTGACTCAGCAGCAGCCAACCCAGCAGCGGCCAACCCAGCAGCGGCACCAGGCCCCTCGCCGATCAAGCCATCCCAGCAGACCAGAATTGCCAGATCATCGAGTCCACCCTATCGCTCAACCGCAGCAGTAAGTAATCTCCCTCTGCTCGCCCCTGTAAGAGTACAGGTGGTATCAGCATCCATTTAAACAACGCAACAAACCAGAAACTTACGGCAATTCCACACCATGCCAACTGAAAACAAAAGCTCCCAAGAACGCCCCGATCAGGATCGAAACGATGATGTAGCCGTTGAAGTACATCGCTAGCAGCATCACCTGTCACCCTCATATCAGCCTTCATAACTTCGTCCCATACCTCTGAACTGTCGCGGTAGAGCAGAAAGGGAGAGGGAGAGGGACAGGGGACGTACGAAATACGCAACAGCAAACTGCAGCATATGCAACCCCGCCCTCACAAGCTGCTGGAGGAGTGTCGGCTTGAACCTCCTCGGCGCACACGGCGCTGGCGCACCTATCCGCACCCGCGCGTCCTTCTCACCCGATTCAGAATTGCTTCCTCCCGCACCAACCCCGACGCCACTGTACCCAGCGGAAGTGGCGGAGGTAGTAGTAGTAGCGGCGAAGCTGCCCACGATGTAAGCGTCGTACTCCCGGCTCCCGCGCCGGAGGGCTTCGAGCGCCATGACGAGCAGGATGACGCCGATGCAGGAGCCGGCCATCATGCCTGGGGAGGTGATGTGCCATTGGGAGGAGAGGAAACCTGTTGTTCGCATCAGCATCAGTTCGTAGCCGTCCCTCCTTCGCTTCGCTTTTCAGCCGCAGAGACGGTTCAGGGATCAGACACTCCGGCCTGAAGAGACTGTTGGCTAGGGCCGTGAAGGGGGATGTAAACGTACAGGCGTCGACGGTATACCAATTCCACAGCATCTGCCATAGGCCCTTCCATCAGCCACCCATTCATTCGTGTCATTCACTCCCATCACTCATTCCCAGTGTATCGAACTTACCGAGATTTTGCAGTCGTTGCTCATACCCATCCCCTCCATATCCATGGCCCCTGAACTCGCCGCAGCCATCGGTCCAGTCATGGTGGAGGAAGAGGACGGCATCGTCATCCCCGCCATGCCTGCCATTCCTCCAGTCGTAGTAGTCATGGTTGGGGATGTGGTCATGCTACTCATGCCACTCATCGCCATCTTGTACTGCTGTCCAAGTCGGTGTCGGTTTCCAAGGGCCGTTTTTCTAGTGTTTGAGTGGAAAGGGCGTGTGGTGTTATTCGCTTAAAGACTGTTCAAATCTTTTTATCGGAGCCGCAAGAGCACGTTTGAGAAGTCCTTCGCAGCCACAATATGGACTAGAAGCCGATCTGCGAGCTTTTGAGCAAGTTACCTGAGTACCCCATGTCCGCCAAGACGGGGACACGTGAGGTGAGATCCCAATGCGAGCTCAGGTGCCCTGAGTGAATGGAAGAAGAATTAAGTCGAGTTCGTTTGAATACTCTCACCAGCTCATTCCGCCCTCAAACAAGCGCTCAGCCCTCGGCACTCATATCCAACTCTCCTTCCTCCCAGAAAGCGATCAAATTCCTCCCGTCTTCCCAGAGAGCCTTCGCCCGCCCTCCTCTCAGGTAAAACGATCATCCCCCCTCCTCCCCCTCCCCAGCCTCCGCCTCCCTTTCCACCCGTTCCAACCTCCTCAAACTCCCCTCATCAAAAACCGTCTCCCCCTCCCCAGGAATAGGCGGGCGGCCCCAACCCACCACGGGCCCCACCATATCGATCCAATCCCTGCGCTTCTGCATCAACGCGCGTACGCCCTCGCTCACACCCCTTCCGCCTCCTAGCCCTACGCCCGCGATGCCGGTGGCTTGGGTTCGAGGACGTGCGGAGGAAGAAGAGCCGCCTTTTTTGGAATTGGGTTTTGCTAATGAGCGGTTGCGTTTCAGGTATGCGGCGTTGACTTGGTTGTCCAGGTCGTCGGCGATATTGGCGTATTCCTGCATCGCCATGCGCTCCTCTGTCAACTCCAGCACGCGGAGTTTGCGAACGTTGTTCGCGCGGGAGACGCGTCGCAACTCGTGCTGTAGCGTGCGTAAGCGGGCGGAGACTTCGTCGTCGGTGTGGGCGGGGAAGTCCGGGGTGTCGGTCGAGGCGAGGAAGCCGATGTGTCGGAGTTCCTGCAGGGCGCGGGCGTCGAGGGTGGCGTAGTCGGAGGGGTGGAGGGGGGTGGGGCGCGGGGCCTCGGGGGGCAGGTGGGTGGGGGGTTTGTAGGTGGCGGATTGGTCGTCGGCACCGGCGGAGGTTGCGGGGTCGGGGGGTGGGTCGTCCGGGTCGAGCATGGAGGTGTCGCCGCCTTCGGCGTCTTCGTCTTTGTTCTTGTTCTTAGATTGCAGACTTGGGCCGGGGCGGAAGATGGACATGAGGCGATTCATCACGGGACCCATGCTGACTTCGTCGGTTTCGGCGGTGTCGGTGTTCATTTCGTCCATGCTTCCTCGCGCTTCGTTGGGGTTTGCCTCCTGCCTCCTAGGAGGTGCAATCCCGTCCATGCCGTCTTCCGATGCCCAAACTTCTTTGTACGTCCTCGCGCCTCGCTGCGGTATGAGATAAGGAGTTGTTCGATCTGCTCGTTCCTTCAAGAATGCGACATCCTCTTCTGTAAAGGGTCGAATGTACGGCTCCACATATGTTTGGAAGGTCCCAAAGTGAACCTGGTTGGTAGGCTTGGTGGCGCTGTAGAAGTCCATATCCGGAGGATCACCAGCAGTCAAGTCCTTGAGATCGCTGCCCGGCCACTGCGCTACGTTCAGTATCCCGCGCTTCTCCTCGTCCGTCATGTCGTCTGTCAAGTCTTTGATGTCGTAGACTGTTGGGTCATCGAATAACGTAGGGTCCTTGCCGAATGCTCGCTCATACAATGGCGCTGTCGAAGTGGGTGCAGTAGGTTGAGAAGTGTCAGACTCAGATCCAGAGTCAGCAACATCCATGAGGTCTGCCGTGTCGGTCTTGGGTGCGATGACGGGTGATGGTGGCGCCGGAGCTCCTGTAGTGAATGTGTCAGCAATCTCTCGCCACTAGATAATATCTTCCCCCGTGTGATGTGAGTTTGAACGCGCGTAACATTTTCTCCTGGAAGATTAAGCTGGGCATCACCTCCTTCCACAGTGGGCCAAGTTTTGGGCAAATTCACTACCCAAAACAGCGCGCGCGTTACTTGGTCAACTCACCTTGATGCACGCCCACCCCATCCTGCCTCGCCAACCCATGCGCACCCACACTCGGCAAACTATCCCTCCTCTCTCCCTTCACACCCCCACCTTCACCACCACCATCTCCCTGCGTTTCCGCCCCCTCCATCATCTCCCCCGCACTTCTCTTCTTCCCACTCTTCTCCTTCTTCCGCTTCTTCTCCTCGCCCTCCTCCTTCACCCGCGCCGCGTCCGCCATCGCCTGTTCGTTCTCCCGCTGCGCGCGCTCTTTCCTCTTCTGAACCAACTGTCGCATCGAGCGATCACATACCTCACTCCTCTTATTCGCGGTCTTCAGCACACCGTCTTTGATCCTGTCGTGCAGGTTGTGCAAGTCTTTGGCGGAAGGCGGGTTGGGGCCGGTACCGAATTTGTCGATGAGCGCTTCGATGCTGGGGTCGGTGGAGACGAGCGAAGCGGTGGAGGTGTGCATGTAAGCTGTTTCTTTCGGGAGGCTTGGCGTTGGTGTGATTGCGGGCGCGGAGGTGGTGGGTGTTCCAGCAAGGGGTGTCGGAGGCGCGGTGTTGTCGCCTGGAGTGGAGAGTGGGGTGCTTTGGCGGGAAGAGGAGCGGCGTTCTCGGGGCGCAGAGGCCTTGGCGCCTTTTTTCGAAGCTGAAGGGGCCATGGTGGAATAGATTGCGGGAGTGAGGTTTGTGATCGCGCGCAGCGGTTGTCTTGGAGGGAGAGGGGGTCGGCGGAGGGTGTGTGGTGCTTGCTAGGCTAGTTGCATGCTGGCATGTGCTACCGATACAGCTGGAGTCAGTCGGTGGGTTGGGTGCTGTTTCTTGCTCGGCGACAGCGGCGTGGTATGGCAGTTGTCTGGACTCTAGCAGATGTTTGTGAGCGCTGATGTCTCTGGAGACGTAAATCACGCCAACCCCACACTTCCGGCCCGCTGCCGACGCCGTCTTTCACGTGCAACGAACATGAATCAACCACGATGCAGCTGTCAAACAGCCAGATCTACAATTAGTCAACTTCGATTCTCGAAAACGGAATAACAGGTCCCATTATGCTGTGATACCACGCTATATCAAGGTACAGAGTGTAGCGTGATCCACCTCGGCGGAGGAGGGCGGAGAGGTAAGCTTTCCTAGCACGCGGCGCCGAGAGCCCAAGCGTCGATCGGCGTGTGGGTGGCGCACTCGAGACCTGCCACATCCGCCTTGCGCATACCACCTCCACTCCACCCTCTTTCTTCGCCCGTTGTCACTCCGCCTCTCCTACACCCCCTCTCACTCTCCATCTCCGCCATCTGCGCTCCCGAGCAATGTCCACCACCCCCTGTTGACGCCCTTCCTCTCTTACTACCCCCTCCTGGGATTATAAAAGAAGCGTCGTCATCGATCCACTCCCCAATCGCATGCCCGCCCCCCGCCCACACCAACGCCCACCGCCATGAGCGCCACGTCCCTCCGCGTCGTCACCGTCGACTTCCCCAACCCCGAATGGGTCCTCGGCAGCAACGACCAGTTCCACCAAGTCAACACCTCCATCTCCTACTGGGCCCTCGGCAGCCACACCCCCGTCACCCTCTCCTCCCACAACGCCCAGCCCGGCAACGATATCACTGGCCTCTTATACGTTCCTGACTTACCCTCCGACGACGCTTGCAGCGATGCCGCTTCGCCCTACGTGCCGAATAATGTCACGCGCCGATCCGACCTCCCGGATGCTGGTTACGACCTGATTGCGATTGCGCCATGGCTGAGTCCGGATTGTGTGCAGGAGTATCTACGGTCGGCGCGGCGTGATTCTGCGAGGGCGTTGATATCGTTTCTGCCCAACAATTCTACCGCCGCACCTCCCAACGCGGACGACCCGAGCTGGGCGCTGGGAGATGGCGAGGGTTGGAAGAATCAGAATCAATATCCTGTCTATGCAATATCGGGAGCGGAAGGGAATGAGCTGATGAGATGGAGTGCGCAGTACTCCGGGAATGTGACAGATGCGCCGTGGGGGCATGATCTGACAGAGTCTGGAATTGATTCGAGAGACTACGTACGGCTGTTCGCGGACATCAGCACAGGCGGAGGGACAGCATTACCAAGCCTGTGGGTGTTCTTGCTGGTGGTGTTGGGAATATTACTTGGGATAGTAGGCTGCACCTCCTTCAGCATGCACATCCTCCAACGACGAAGACGAGTCGCCCTACGAAGACGCATCGCATCCGGCGAAGTCGACCTCGAAGCCCTTGGCATCAAACGCCTCACCGTCCCGCAAGAAGTCCTCGACCGCATGCCCCTCTACACCTACGGCACCGGCGCTCCCGTCCCCCAACCCAGCACCGCCCGCGAAGCCTCCAACCCCGACAACCCCACCACTTCCACCGACCCCCTCCCCTCCGTCGCCGAAGACAAACTCTCCACCTCCACCGCTTCCCGCCCTTCCTCCCCCGACCCTAATATCCGCCCCACCCCCGCCTTAATCCGCAACCACAGCTACCGCCCCACGCCCCTCCAACAACCCACCTGCGCCATCTGCCTCGACGACTTCGTCCCGGCGTCGGAAGAGACGCCTACCGGCACGATTGTGCGCGAATTACCCTGCCATCACATCTTCCACCCCGAATGCGTTGACGCTTTTCTACGGGATTCGAGCAGTTTGTGTCCGATGTGCAAGAAATCCGCGTTGCCGAAGGGGTATTGTCCGCGCGTCGTGACGAACGCGATGGTGAGAAGGGAGAGGATGATGCAGGGTTTACGGCCGGAAGCTGGGGATGAGGAGGACGGGAATGCGGAGTCCCCCTGGCGGAGATCAAGAGTCCGCTCCTGGGCTGTCCGGCGAGATGGCGCGGGGGACGGGAGGAGGGGTGTGGGACGGTTCTTTTCGGCGCCTGTTTCTGGCACCTCTACCACCACCGCCGACGCAGAGCGAAGGGGGACGGCTGCAGACGGAGGGCAAGAAATGCATCAACTCCCTCCCCCCACTGCACGCACCCGCCTTGGAACCTCCCTCGCCCGCGAACGGCGGAGCGTCACACAACCCGCCCGTACCCCCTCCCATTCCAACTCGCAGGGTCAATCGCGAGATCCCCCCATCCAACCCCCCGCGACGGCTAGTAGGAGAGAATGGGCCCGCGAGCGCGCGGTCGCTATGTTAGGCCGTGAACGGGCACCTCTGGATCCGGATGCTGACGAGGCGGAGAGGACGAGTGGGTGGCGGAAGGTGGTTCGGGGGGTGTTTCCTGGGTTTGGGCGGCGATAACCCGCACTGACTTTTTGTGGATGGGTATGATTTGTAATGCGAGATGACGAATACTGTTGGTTTTTCTGCGAGGGCGTTGGGGTAGGTGGGTGGGTTTGCTTTGGGGAGAGCGGGGGTTGGGATGGGATGTAGATACCCTTGCGGTTCTCAGGTAGACATGGAAGCTCTTGGGAGGATTTGTACATAGCAAGCATTTAAGCGTTTGGCTTTGATGCCTACTACCGCAGACCTTGTCGGTCTTTTCCTTCTGCTTATTCTTCTCTTTCGTGTTGTTCTCTTCCTCTAGTGTTTGCTGTTCTGTCTGTCCGATTTCCCGGCCCCACAAAAAGGCTGAACTGTGGATGGATGCCTTGGATGGGGGATTGCTGCTACTGCTGGATTTGAAGACTACTATCCACGCTGAGCTCGGCCCTCTCGACTTGCGGCATTTCACAAGGTATACGCTGCATTTGGTCTTATACTCGCCCATCTTGGACTCTATACCGCCTACCTGGACCTTTTACTGGCCGCGAACACTGCGCTCTTATGGGCGTTACTGCGGTGCGCCCAGGAACGCAGGCTACGAGACTACACCGACAGAGCAGAGTTGTTGTCCAGTCGATGTTGAGAGATGCCCTCGACACTCCTTATAGCAGCGGCGGGAGGACTGGCGCGACGTCCCGTGCGCTTTCACCGCGTCACGTGAGACATGTGAATCTTGGTTGCTTTTTGGCTTGGTCCGCCGCGCGTCTGGGCGTCAACATTCTTCCGCCATACTCCTCCACATTCCTTACACACAACACCGCGGCTGTACATTAGCAACTGTACACCAGCAACATGCCGAGACTCTCGATCGCGGCGGTCATCAGCAGCGGCGCGGTCGATCCACAGAGAAGGTGCCGCCTCTTCAGCCTTCCACCTGAACTGCGTAACTGTGTTGTGTACGAATTGGTTCTCACGGTGAAGCTTAGCATCGATAGCGGCAAAGTGGAGATTGCGGGACGGGACGACGAAAGCATCGCACCGGGCGCCCTCTCGCTCCTCCAGACATGCCGCGTCGTGTACAGCGAGGCACACGGGGTCTTCTACAAAACCAACCACCTCAAGATCGAGTACAGCTGGGGACGCGAAAGCCACGGCTTCCGCGAGTTCGTCCGCGAGCTCGACGGCAGCCGACTCGACGCCATCGAAGTGCTCACCCTTACCGTCACGTCGCTAGAGGCGGCGATCGCGGCAATCAAGCGGGTACGCCCCTGCCGACGCTTGAAGCACCTCTCGCTGCATGGGGAGTGCGACATGGGGGATTTCCGGGACAGTCATGGCAACATCCAGCGGGAGCGTGGGTACCTCAAGAAAGCCATCGACGAGCTTCCATTGTCTGTACAAATAATTACCTACGACAATATCCGGTTGGTCGGCTCGGCCTGTTACCCTCAGGGTCAGCATAAGGCCTTCGAACTCGCGACAAAGATCTCGGATGTGTTGGCTAGTCTTCTCAAAGGTCGTGCCGTTGGGTTGCGGACGGAAAAGAAGGGTCTGATGAGAGGGGACGGCAGGACGCCAGCGAGTGCCTGAGGGCTCAAGGCGACGGATGCGGCGGAGGTGATGACGCGGAGTACCTCACATTGTGTAGCGTGGGTGGTAAGCAAGGCGATCGACCACCCGCGCTCAGGAGAGACGTAGATACCTTACGCTTGAGACCAGGTGAGAGACATGTGCAAGGTACGGAAGCAGCAAGCGCTTGGCATAACTGCCTACTACTGTTGGGCCCTGTTGGTCTTCTTTCTCTCCTCTCACTTCCCATCTCTATTTCATCTCTCATCTTGTGTTTGATACTCTCGTTTCTCTTCTTCTGCCTCCGCCATCGCATTGGTAAGGTATGTTTTTCGACAATTGTGTTATACTCTACCTTTGACGCTTTGTATCGCTGGGCATTGCTTTCGGGGAGAAGCTAGCGAAGGGAGTTTAAGGCAGGATCGGTCGGAGAGGCGAGGAAGCATTGCAGCCAGCGGTTCACGAAGACCGAGGCGCCTGGTCGTCGAGACCTCTATGAAGCAGCAAGGGGGCACCGGCGGGACGTTCCGTGCCAGTGGGCTGGTACGACATCACGTGGGAGACATGTGAATTTTTCCTGCATTGGACTGGTCCGTGCGGCAGAAACATCACGCTTCTGGCTGTCAACATTCCTTCTCGAATTCTTCCGCATTCTTCACCTACACTGCCTTGGCTGACCTCAACATCAGCACTATGGCCAAAATATCCATCGCGGCGGTTATCAACAACGGCAGAGCGGGCACGATCGATGCGCAGACGAAATGGCGCTTGTTCAAGCTACCACCGGAAGTGCGCAACGCCATCTACGTGCTCGTGCTGGCCTCGAACGCTACTAGTGACGACGGCACGGTCGCGATCGCGAAGCGGACGGGCAGGGATCTCGCACCAAGTGTGCTTACGGTACTACAGACATGCCGCCTCGTCTATAGCGAGGCGTACGGCATCTTCTATAGCGGCCAACACCTCGAGCTCAACAACAACGACGGTTGTGCCAATAGGGGGCAAAGGAGCACCATCATATTCAGTAGCTTTGTGGAGAGACTTGACCGCAGCCGCCTCGCCGCCATCGAAAACCTTACCATTAGAGTCTCCTTGGTAGAAGACATGACCACCGTCATCAAAAGCGCACGTCTCTGCGTGCGGTTGAAGCACCTCTGCCTACAGCTCGACCACCAAGTCAACTTCGCTTTTCGCGGTCCCTCGGTTGAGGACATCGTGCCCCCGGCAGCAATGCGACGAGAGATGCCATGGCTCCGGAAGGCCTTCAGAACACTGCCACGCTCGTTGGACACCATCGGGTGCCAGATCTGTCTTGTCAACACTTCGTTGAATGGGGTTGAACCTCAAGAGATGCTGGATGCGCGCTCGAGACTTGAGGGGGAAGTCACGGATGTGCTGGTTACGCTGCTAGCGAACGCACGCGACTTAGACTAGATGGTGACCACTTTCTCCGACGGAATGAAGTTCTCAAGTGTGCACATCAAGGATGATCGAGCAGAATAATCGATCACACAGCTGCGGAGAGATGGTCAGCGAACGAGGATCTGCGAAGCTTAGGAAAAGATCCAGAAAGGCGATCACCTGCATTCGAACTTCTGGAGAGGACCTCAGGATCTTCGATCGCAGCATATTGGGTCGGAACACAAAGATCTCACACCAACCAAAGCATATCACAAGCACAAATGGACTCGGTACCACCATACCCAAGCAAGAGTTCCCTTCTGATCCAACGCAACTTAACTCCGGACACAACACCACTCTCGTCCAGCCTCGCCGCCACCGACATCATCTTCTGCATCGCTCCAATCGCTTCTATCGCCTTCACAATCACAGCAATGTACTATACATTCATCTTCTTCAACTCCCCTCCACCTACGCCAGATTCCGACCTCGTCCCCTCCAACAGCTCGACCTCCTACGCACTAATTTCCACTGGGCTTCATCTCTTCTCCGCCATCATGCGGAATTCCGTTCTGAGAAGCATCGACGGATCCGTCACGGGCTGGCCAAAATCGGGGATGGCGGTGATGAGGCGATGGTGGGGAGGGTCAATGGTGGCGGGTGGGTATTGGGCTTTTGTCGCTTTGGCTGGGGTGATGAATGAGGTGTGGTGGGCGCTCTGAGGTTAAGCATTGGATAGAGAGCGGTGGGATGTCCTGGATCGAGGAGATGGAAGGGAGTGGGTATCGTGAGGAGCGTTCTTTAGAAGAGGAGACATGATACCCCCGGTCTGCATCGAATCGATTTCTTTGATGCCCAACCTGCAATATGCTCTATTCCCGCTTCACAAGCGTAACAGGTCCGTGATACTCCCTCCTCCCCCTTGCAACATAATACACCGCCGCCACGATCAACACACCCCCACACATAGCTATCGCCCAATTCCTGCTCTCTCGTCAGCATCATCCTCATCCACGTTCCTTCCTCCTCCCTCTCATAAACAGGGTAGTACTCACATATTCTCCGCCGTAACCGGATAACTCAACGGCCACACGTACCAAAACAGCATCGGCGTCGTGAAGCACAAACTCACCACATTCAACGGCAGTCCCCACTTCCCTAGCGACCAGCGTCGGGCGGGTAGGGGATAGGGGGAGAAGCGTCGCCAGATTAGCGTGCAGATTGTGATGTTGTAGGAGGCGAGGAGGGAGGTTGTGCCGAGGGAGTTGAAGGCGTTGAAGGCGGCGTAGGAGCCGATGTTGATGAGGGAGAGGAGGGAGGTGATGACGGCGGAGACGCAGATGGCGTTGATGGGGATGTTCCAGCCTGCAGGGACTTGCGAGAGCCAGGATGAGCCGGGGAAGCCTGGTATTTATGTCAGTATATAGACCCGTGGTAGGATTGATGCTAGGACCTCACCTCTGTCTCGGGCAAACGACCACATCTGTCGTGATGCTGTTGCTACTTGACCGACGCAGGCGGAGATGAAGATGACGATGAGGACGACGATCATCACGGTGGTGCCCGCTTTGCTTTTCGTGGCGTTGTAGAACACCTGGATTACTGGCTGGTATGTCGGGGTGTTAAGGACGCTTTCGAGGTCACCGAGGCAGAACTGTGGTATGGGTGGTCAGCAATGAATGGTCGTAGATATCCTCCAATTCCCAACTGAGTCTCCACCGACAGTAATCGGGCATTTAGAACCTATTGCTAGGCTGGGAGCTGCGCCAGAAGACGAGGATGGGAGAGTAAGCGCACTTACTATGTAGGTGATGCCAACAAGCAGCAGCATCACAGCGTTGGTACTGACAGCCCACATCACAACATTCGGCACTGTCCAGGACGCGTCATTGACCTCTTCGCTCATATGGACAGTACAGTCGTATCCCTATCACCGTCAGCCTGCTCAACACAATCCAAGGACTCGTTCAACATACAATCAGCATGCCAATCATCGGTATCATCCCGATAGTCGAGGACAGCCCAACATTACCCCAGCCCCCGTTGTCCGTAAAGTTGAAGATGGTATCGTGAGCGTTGCCCCGAGGAGCCATGACCCATAATGGGATGATAACCACGAAGACTCCGAGGACATGGAGAACCAGGACGAGAACCTCTACAAGCGGCAGTCGAACTGTCAGGAAGATGTTGAAGAAGACGCAGAAGAGGACAAGGCCCATCGTCATGAGTGTTTGGTGCCAGCTTTGTATTTGGTAGGTGTCGTTGTTGAGTTTGATGAGGCCGATGATTAGGCCAGCCTAGGTATTGAAGTCAGTGTTCAGCAGACCAGGTCGGGGCGAGACGTGGTAGAGATGACAGGGTCCTCTTGACTTACGGTGGAGTAGGCGACACCACACAGGAAGGTCTGCCAGCCGATGCTAATGAGCCAGCCTTTGGCGGCGTCAGCATCTCTGCCGTAGCTTTAGACCGAGGAAACGCCTACCAACACTGTAGCTCAGGCCTTTTTGCCAGTTGGGCGAGGCCAGCTCGGACACCCAGTGATATTGACCTGACAAAGATCAGATGAGTCCCAGAATCAAGAACCTCTGTGAAAATCGTACCTCCAGCTGTCGGCGCCCTGCCAAAGAGTGATCAGTGGTGGAGCGTCATACTTTCTCGAGATTTATTGCACTCACATCGAAGCCACCTCCGCCAAACTAGCATACATCGGCATCATCACGAAAGGACAAATGATGAGTCCCCAAAACACGCCCGCCGTTCCACCATCCTGCAGCGTGAACGGAGACACGAGAAGCACAAATTCCCAAGCAACCATGACCGTGCTCGCAAACCCAAGCATCGTCGAGAACTTGAACTGCCGCCGTAGGACTTGCTTCTTGCCCAGAATGCTCATATCGTGCCGGTCATTGGCCGTCCCGGCGAAGCGGGGGGCAATGGTCCTGCTGACCACGTCGTCGTCGAGGGAGACGGCATCGTGGGTTATGTTGTATTCTTCAATCTTGGACATGGCGAAGAGATACGAGATGTGATGGGAAGGTAACGATCAATGAGATGAGGTGTGATTAGAGGAAGGGAAGCTTCGACTGTGCCACATGCAGAAAGAGGTGCGGTCGGAGAACCAGAAGGAGATTGTACCTCTAGGGCTCGCGAGCACCAGCAGGAGGGGGCCGGGTGGATTCCAATCGCGAGGACCAATGTGAGTGCATGGCGCAAGCAGGCATGCTAGCGAGCTCGCGTTGCGACCAGGAAGAAATGCGAAGTTTGCAGTAGCGAGTTGTACACAGACGCACGCTTGGATCTCTGGTTGCATCTGACGGAAGGCCAGCTCCGCTCCTCCCCGCCCCTTTCGTCCCGCTTTCGAGCCTTGATTCAACCTGAGCTCGTGCGTCAACCACCACCTCATTGGCCCCTTGCCGCTTCGAGCTTTGGGATGGCTTGTGCTAGGACGCATAGGGGGCTTGTGGTTGACGTGCAGGAATGCGCTACAGCACCAACCCCGGGATATCATGCACGGCACGGCGCTTGCTGTCGATGGATAAGCAGACGCGATGGTGCGTGCTCTCTCGTACCGCATACTACAACGAGTGACGACCCTACTTCATTTCTTCCGCTGGGTTTCCTTTGGGTGTGTCAAAAAGACGGGCCCCGTCGCCGCACTCACAAGCTCTTGAGCTCCGAGCCAGGGCGCAGACTGTCTCATGGACTGAGCATGTCAGCCGTTCCTCTCCAGACGGCCGTGCCGCCAGGCCAACATGCACCGTTTGCGACGGTCAGCGAGAAGGACCGTACGGCTTGGATTCTGGTTGCGACGGCGATGGGCATCGCATTCACCACGTTGTCGTTGTTAACGAGGCTGACCATTCGGGCGTTCATCAATCGAGGCTGGGGGTGGGATGACTTGATGACAGTCGTAGCGACGGTGAGCTGATATCACAACTCTACATCGTTCTGCCTGACATCTTACTGACACGGGAGTATTGCAGGTCTTGACATGGATCCAGTCCATCCTCATCCTCGCAGCGACAACGAATGGCCTCGGAAAATCGATCACTTTGATCCCTCCCCTATTACAGTCGCGCATCGAACAGGTCAGTACCCGGTGCAGCTTCATTGCTACGTGTGCCAACAGCGCGCGATAGTTATACTACGCAAGTAGCCTGTTCTACGTTTCCGCGCTCGAGCTCTCCCGGATATCGACCGTGCTGTTTCTCCGTCGATTGCTGGCGCCGAACTCTCCTCAGTTGCGGTATAGCACTGCTCTGCTAGTACTGGTGCCAACTTCGGGCTTTGCGTTCTTCCTTGCTGCTGCGCTGCAGTGCAATCTGTCTCAACCGTGGGCAATTCTCAACGGACAATGTTCAGCACCGGGATGGGTGAGTAGCACGGCGAGGGCGGATGTACGGAAGCTGACTCTGGGCAGTTCCTCAAATGGCAGGTCCACGGGGCGTTTTCGATGCTCTTCGAAGTCGCCATCTTCGTCTGTCCAACCTGGCTGGTATGGCAGCTACAGGCGGGCAAAGAGCTGAAGGCAGAGGTGATCTCATCCTTCGCTCCGAGACTCATGTACGTGCATCCACTTTTCGGCCATCTCCAAAAGGCCACTGACCTTTATCAAGCACCCTTGTCTTCACGGCACTACGCCTCACGAGCTTCAAGGCAAGCTCCTTCAAGAGGGACACGACCTTATCCCTAGCCCCCTACATCTGCTACACTCAAGCCGAACTAGCCTTCGCTCTCATGGCCGCTACGATCCCTACGGCTCGAAAACTGATGCTCAGTTTCATTACCTACTACAACGGGCGCGGCTACAGCGACAGCGTGTCGGGTGGTGGGATCTGGGATGGATCCGAGACGATCAAGTCTCAGACTACGCGGACCTCGAACGGTGGAAGTTATCAGATGGACTTTCTGAGGTCGGCGGCGAACCGTAAGAGAGCTGTTGCTTATGCTGGGGCGGACGAGTTGGGAAGTGGAATTGGCAAAGGCGGGAGCGAGGAGATGATCATCAGGAAGGAGACGATTGTTGAGATTGCGGTAGATGAGCCGGGCTGAGCAGAGACTGGCTTACTGGCACAAGGGCATGAAATGAACGTGCTGGATGGGCCGCTTCACCAACACGATAAAACCGGAGTGCTAGCATTGCACTTCGCTCCCGCCGGTGTCGGTCGTCCGTGGACGCTGCAACCTCGACTGCACACCCTGGGTCTTGTGAAGATACGGCGTCACAGGTGATCTCAGGGACGCGGACAGAACCGAGACGGCACAAATCCAGGATCACCGCATCTCAACAACGAATCAATACAACCCATACCGATCTCTGACCTCCTTGGGAATCGCCTCCACCCACGCCTTCTCCTGCCCCGGCTCCGGCAACACACTGCCAAACTCGGCCGTCTTCTCGGCATCACAGATGTAAGCCCACACGAAACTCGGATCGACTCCCATAGCCTCTGAACATTCGCTCATGATGCGCTTCACCATGGCGGTCTTCTGGGCGTCACTTCTGCCCGCCCGGATCAAACCGTTCACCCAGAGTTGGTCCTTGGGTACAAGACGCTTGTTGATGAAGTGGTTTCCGGGAGCGAGTTCGTTGAAGACGACTTGGACGAGGTATTGGGGGACGTTGCCACCTTCTTCGGAGTGGACTTTGGTGATGCTGTTGACGATGGATTGTTTCTCGGTGGGGGAGAGGCGGCCTGCGCTGCATGTACAGGTGTAGGTTGGCATCCTCACAAGTCAAACGAGAAACAGAGGATGTTGAAGGATGATGGGATCACCGTATGAATATGGCAGAGCGCTGATACTGCAATTACGACAGTTTGAGCGTAAATGTACTTGTGATCGCTTGGGAATCGGACAGCAGAGCTCAAGGAGCTTGTAGCTCGAAAGTTAAGCTTAGACACCTACCTATCCACCCGAGCGAGGGACAGTGAAACCGGCCTGCTAGGTCAGAGCGGGAGACGTAAAGAATCTTCTCACAGACAAGAAAGGCTACCTACGAGACTGATGTGGCCTTTTCGGTTACATCTAGGTCCTGGAGAAGACTGCCATATATCCCAGTTGGGGCCGCTTTCAATGTCCCTCGCTTGCCACCTACTACCTACCGGCTCCGCCGGACGAAAGAAGTCGGAATAGGCTCGCTGTAGGCAATGAACCAAGTCACTGTTTCACAGCGGTTTGAGCCCGTAAGGACTCAAGCATGTACATACGCACTCGATGTCTGGAATAGGATTGTGGTGGTAAGCACACCGGATCGACGGCTCAAGGTTGTTTGATGGTAGCAATCACGGGAGTACTTTCGATACTATTACTTCATGCAAGCTATTCTCTGTGGTATTGAACAGTGCCGTTACATCTGTCGCTGCAACATAGGCGTCGCCGAAGTACATGGAGTAGAGGCAACCCGGACATCCGGCTAACAAAGGGACAAGGCAACGCGTGTGGGCAACCGATCCGAGAGTGTCGATCGCAGTACCTGGCGAATGCTTCGACGGACGTCTGCTCCAAAGCGGTTACCTGGCCGGCCTTATTCCTCGGCCCTTCTCAGCACTCTTCTCAGCACCTTCTCGGCCAAACCTCGTGAACAACTCACAGTCGGCCCTACGGCGGCGGCAAGGTCGTTTCAGCCCTCTACGCCTCTCGGAAGAAGTAGGAGAATATCGGCGCCTGCACCTGCGTTCTGTGGTTGACAGGTAACGCAAGGTTCAACTGCCGACCTTCTAGAAGAACTCCGCCGTGGGGACGTGCTGGGCGGGCCATCCACAATTGGGAAAGATGAGCCACTGACGAGATCGCGCCAGGGATGCCAGCGTCAAAGAAGACACTAAGAAGCGCCCAGCTGCGCGAGTCTGGAAGGATCGATCGAAGATCAGGGTTCAGTAGAGCGTCCTTTATCCGGTCGCGATTCGTCTTTTGCGAAGCCATCGCTTGTCGAGAACTCGTCGAGGAGAGCGTACGAGCGCCATCCAGGATCTGGACTGTCCACGAGAACGACACCTGAACAGCCCCATCCCCAGCACCGACGAGTCAGGCCCGTCGTGTGAGCAAGCTTATTCCCGCCTCGACAGCCTTGTGGGTACCCGACGGTTTGCCTCGTCCCTGTTAGCGTCTGCGGTACTCCTCACATATTACGTGCTACCTCCTACGGCCCGCTCTTGAAGATCCAACGCTTTTACATGTGATTGACATATCCTGTTGATCTGCTCCGACGTACAAACACTAAGGACTCCTCGAGGCCTCCTTTACGGCAGCCAAGCACAATGGCGAACATGTTCGACGAGAACTTCTCCTTCGAGTCCCCGCGGTCACCGTCGACAACATCAAGCTCAGCGACACGAGAGTCGTCTCGTTCCGTCTCGCCTTGCTCCGCTGCATCGCCGTTCCCTCCACCCAGGCTATCGGTCACCGATCTCGCCGTGCAGTTTGCTGGACAGCGATTACGGAAGGAAGCAACAATTTGCTACGAACCCTGCGACGCTTACGCGAACACCGACGGAGATGAAGATGGCTGGGCCATCCCCTCACTCGAAGACAGCGATGGGAGCCGTCTGCTCTCACGATCGAGGACGTATCCACGACGAGCACAATCACCTTCGCGACGAATGCAACGACAAGTCAACACGCGCCTGCTCTGCTCAACTTCCCACCATCGAGACATCGCCGCGCTGGTATCAAGGATGGTTGAGTCGAGCGATCAGTGCTCGATAGCACCTCCCGGCTCATTGACACCGACACATGAGGATGAAGGCTACAGCAGCGACAATGACGAGCAGATGTCCGGGTTGTCTGCTTCGCGACGGCCGAGCTTGGCTATGTCGAAGAGTCGATCGGATCTGAGAAGGGGAAGTCGGGCGAGTGTGAGTAAGGATGTGAGGTTTCGAAAGAACGAGAAGTGCAGGCGGATACGCAGTTCGGAGGGCAAGCAGTGATGCTGCCATTGACTTTGGATGGACTAGAAGACGCTTGATTGACCTTTTAGCGAGGCGCTGGTGGTGGCTTTGGTACGCAGCAATTTACTCCGAGGTAGAGGAGTTTTATGTTGGCATGCATTGACAAGTGCTGTCGTGCATGCATACAACTGGAGAAGGAAAAGGAAAAGACTTGTAGATATGAGACATGAATGATGCCCGCCAGGGCTGATTTGACAGCCGTTCAATACTGTTTGGCGGAATCTTAAAACTTGATGCCGCTTGTGCGCCGCTTCATACGCTCAATGGTTTTGTTGAGATGGACAAATACTCGCTCAGTTATACCGAGTAGGCAACTTCATCTACGAGATGATCTCCTCCGCTTCCTCCCTTCGGCATTCTTCAAGAGCACAACCTCCCGAGTTGTAGCACCGCCATTAGTAACGTATTCACTCGTAATCAACGGGATGGGATCACCCGGATATTGTCCCTTCTTGACCTGCACAGCGTCAGTCCACCATTCTCTTGTAAAAGCACTAGACTATAACTTACCTTCGACCTTCGATGGAAGAAGGTCGTACTAATGAGAAACCCGTGGACATGTGATGGTATGACGGCGAGGAGCAGAAGGACGCAGTTGAGGGCGAAGTCGAAGTTGGGGCCGGTGAGTAGCAGGACTGCTAAAGGTGGGAAGAGGAAATTGAGGATGAGGATTGAAATCCGGTAGAGCATGGCTGTTCAATCCAGTGCCGTTCAGCCAGGTTGGTTCTTCTGCTTGAGATGGTGGGTGGAAGGAGGGGTTGGAGTATCAAGGTGGCTCGTTCGGAGGAGCACCGGAGTCAAGGCGCTTTTCGACAGTCTTGTCGTAGGCCATTGTGAAATGGGTGTATACCTGGCGAGCCTGGCCTGGTTATTAGAAAGATTGAAACCTGATGTCGGATGATCTACAGTGTGAAGTCATGCCGCAAGCCACGCGGAGATGCGTGCTCGGGGCCAGATGAGATCTGGGAGATGTCGGAGATGAGATCTCGTTTTCTTTCATGACTTCAATATTGTTGCATCTAACAAGTCGGCATTGTAGCACTGTTCTTGACAGAGCCTTCGACAGCGAAGATGCTGTTCAGGGTGTTGTAGCTGAATGAGTTGAGTATCTGCTGAACGACGATGCAAGAGATGCGGCTTCCGGCCCTCCTCTCCACCTACCACTTCCCTTTCTGATCCTCTCTCTTCAAGTCATTCTTCCATCCGCATACCACGAACTCTAATCAATAGGTGTCCTTCAACATGACCACAGATGTGCCAACAGTACGGTGGGGCATCGTTGGTGAGGATTGTGCCTCAATCACAACAAAAAGATAGCGAGCTGACAGTCCTACGTTTAGCCACCGGTATGATATCCAGCTGGTTCGTAGAAGACATACTCCTCCCTGAATGGCCTCACAAATCTGCCAATCACATTATCCAAGCCATCGGATCCTCATCCCTCGACAAGTGCAAGAAATTCGCAAACGACTTCGTGACACCAACCAAACCAAAGGTCCAACCATCCCTCTACGGTTCGTACCAGGAAGTCTACGATGACAAGGACGTCGACTGCGTCTACATTGGCACCCCTCATAGCTTCCATAAGCAAAACTGCCTCGATGCCATCAAAGCCGGGAAGAACGTGCTTTGCGAGAAACCCTTCACTATGAACGCCGATGAAGCCGAGGAAGTCTTCGCTGCCGCGAAGGAAAAAGGTGTTTTCATCATGGAAGCTGTATGGACGCGCTTCTTCCCCGCCATGCAAGCGGTGCAGAAACTGCTACACGAGGACCAGAAGATCGGCCGTATCATACGGATGTACTGCGACTTTGGCCTCGACATTGACATCGCCAGCTTACCTGACTCGAGCCGCTACAAGGATCCAGCGCTCGGTGCGGGTTCGTTGCTGGATATTGGCATCTACAGCTTAACATGGGGTCTGGTCACCTTAGCCGGTGCGGTCGGGGACAAAGCAGAGGAGCCCGAAGTCAGCAGTACTCAGACTCTCTCTCACGGCGTCGACACATCGAGCTCCGTGATCCTGAAGTACCCCTCCACCGGACGCCAGGGCATCTGCACCTCCACCACCGACTTCAACCGCGGAGGAGTCAGCTTTGCGAGGATTGAAGGCAGTAAAGGCCACATCGTCGTCCATGGAGGAACTGCAGCTTCACCGAGCAAGATCGAGTTCTTCCCCAAGGAAGAAGGAGCAAAGCCTGATGTCTGGGAGTTTGAGAAGCCGGGGAGGGGGTTCTATTGGGAGGCTGATGCGGTTGCGCATGATTTGAAGGCTGGGAAGGTTGAGGATGAGAGGATGCCCTGGAAGGAGACGCTGAGGATGATGGAGATTATGGATGGAGTGAGGAAGAGGGGTGGTGCTAAGTTTCCGGTTGATAAGTGGTAAAGCAAGCATATAAGTCCAATGCTCAGCAACTGTGTCTGGCCGAGCTCTCCATTCGTTGTGCGTACCTTCCCGATTGGGCAGTCTCGTTATGTTTAATCCTCAAGCTCCATCTGTCGAACCTACCGCGACTGAGCTGTTCGAGAGGTCTTGCAAAGCCATCGTTCTGGACAACTTCGCATTGCCTACGGCAGAGTTTCTACATGTATGACGCCGAGGCTCTCCAAACAGACATGACTCGAAGTGCACGTCGAAGTGAGACATCCCGCACTGCAGTTCTTCCGCCGCTTGCCCCACCACAGCCCACCTCTGCCCATCAATGGCGGAAAAATGTCAACAGCGAAGTGCCAAACCAAGCCAAAAAGTACCGGCTTGTGGACACCCAACGACCTTTAGTTTGCACGCGTGACATGCAGAGACTCGAGGTAACCAATTTCCCATAATCAGGAGCAAGAAAGGACGTCAGCTCCGTATTCTAGTGTGCCTGGTGCCGATCGTTTTCCTTGCGTTCGTTCCATCTCGTCTTCCGTTGGATTGAGACATTCACTGTACCGATCACATGCTCTGCGACGCTCCTTGCTGCGCCAAACCAACCATGTCGGCCACCACCACCTCCACGACGATCAAGCCTAGCAAGGCCAACATCGGCGTCTACACGAACCCAGCACACGATCTATGGGTAGCTGATGCCGTGCCCTCCTGCGAAGAGGTCGAGAAGGGCGAGAGCCTGCAACCGGGCGAAGTCACCATTGCGATCAAGAGCACAGGTATCTGCGGGTAAGCTCCACCACTTCAACAATCAGATGCTACCAACCTGTACTTACAAGATGGCATACAGATCAGACGTCCACTTCTGGCACGCCGGCCGCATCGGCCCCATGGTCGTGGAAGACACGCACATCCTCGGCCACGAATCCGCAGGCATCGTCGTCGCCAAACACCCTTCCGTCAAAACGCACTCGATCGGCGACCGCGTGGCCGTCGAACCGAACATCATCTGCAACGAATGCGAGCCCTGTTTGACGGGGCGCTACAATGGGTGTGAAAGCGTGCAGTTCAGGTCCACGCCGCCTATACCGGGGTTGTTGCGGAGGTATGTGAACCACCCCGCGGTCTGGTGTCATAAGATTGGGGATATGAGCTTTGAAGACGGGGCGTTGTTGGAACCGCTCTCCGTGGCGCTGGCGGGGATGCAGAGGGCGAATATTACACTCGGGGACAGTGTGTTGGTGTGTGGAGCTGGGCCGATTGGCCTGGTGACGCTGGCTTGTGTGAAGGCGGCGGGAGCGGAGCCGATTGTGATTACGGATATTGACGAGGGGCGGTTGAAGTTTGCGAAGGAGTTCTGTCCGAGTGTGAGGACGTTGAAGGTTGAGATGGGCGACTCGCCGGAGCAGTTTGCGGAGAAGGTGGTGAAGCTGGCGGATGGGGTTGAGCCGGCGATTTGCATGGAGTGCACTGGTGTCGAGTCCTCGATATCTGGAGCTATTCATGCGGCGAAGTTTGGAGGGAAGGTGTTTGTGATTGGTGTCGGACGGCCCGAGATCAAGGTGCCTTTTATGCGGTTGAGCACGAGAGAGGTGGACCTACAGTTCCAATATCGATACGCCAACACCTGGCCACGAGCTATTCGGTTACTGCGAGGAGGTGTGATAGATCTGACGAAGCTGGTTACGCATCGATTTAAGCTGGAAGAGGCGGTAGAGGCGTTCAAGGTGGCAGCTGATGCGAAGCAAGGCGGCATCAAGGTGATGATACAGAGTATGGAGGATGGGGAGAAGTGAATATCGATGCTCATTATCATAGCTCATCTTAGAATCTAGACTACTCCTTGTCCGCCGCATACTTCTTCAAGTCGTCCATGTTGATCTTGCCCAGCGCCTTCTCATTCCTGTATACTCATTAGCCCACGTCTCTCATTCTCCGATGGTACACTCACGTAGCCTTCAAAAAGATCTTTGGCACAATCTTCTCCCCCTCCTTCTCCCGTCCCCTCGCCTCAAATGCCTCCAACCACCTGCTCGCGCACAAACACCACTTGCACCCACCCTTCATCTCTGGAATCACTCTGAGATCGTTGCCCTGCCGAGCAGAGAAGTCGAGGAACTCGTCTGTCACTTCTGCTGCAACGCTGTGGTTCCCAAAGTCGCCGGCGGGGACTTCGCAGTAGCCGTTGCGGAGGAAGCCGGTCATGGGGGAGGTGGAATGGAGGGCGAGGGGTTGTTTGAACACTGTACAATATGGGTTAGTCGTGGAGGTTAGGGGTTGGGAGATCGGGAGTTACCATTGAGTGACTTAGACATGGCTGGCTTCGGATGTTGGTGGTCTTTCAAGATGTGTTGATGATTCGATCCAAGGGCAAGCTGGGCAATGCACAGGAGGATCAGTGTGAACGGGAGATTGATGAGGTTCATCCGCAGTTGTTGTTTGAGGAGTTATTGGAGATGCTCAAGAAGGGAGGAGTTGTGTTCAAAGAGCTCCTTCCGTCTCGTCTTTGACGTCGGATGACGCCAGAATTTCATGTCGATCTGGAGGATGTCATCTGATGAACTTCATCCGCATATCAGGTCTACGGCAACGCATCAGGATCGATGGCACGGGGGAATCTCTTGGTGCTTCGCGGGAATCAGATGATTGAAGGCATGAACGCGCGCTACATCTAGGTCCGGCCACTGTAGTGAAATCCAAGAATCCCCCTACAGGAGGCAGCCTCTTCTCGTGGTACACGCTGCTGTACGGGAACCAGACGATGAGATGAAGGCCATGGCACCCGACCATTGAGCGCATGCTCGATGCCGACGAGTTCTCCATCAGCCTGATCATGCGCCGGGAGACCGCGCCTCCGCCATCTCGACCGTGCTGTAACGGCTCATCCCAGGGGGCTCGTTGGTTGCTGTGCATTTCTGCGCCCGCGAGCTTTTTGCCATTGTGTCATTCAAGGCAACAGCAATAACAGGAGTATACGCCAGTCCTCGTCCTGTGTACAAGGCGTCCAGCGCTGGAGTGTCACGGCCCCATCATGAATCCGTTAGTCAGCCAGGGTGACAGGTACATGGGAGGGCCTTCGCCCCTGTGCAAGTCCTACACTAAGGCGAGATCGCCTTGTTGGCGCCTGGAGTATGCATGTCAGGCCTGATGGACCGGAACTCGCCCGGACGGCAACAAGTATTGCATCCAGTTGAGGAGGCGGTCTTCTATGATGACCAAGGAATCTGTCAAAAGCCAATACTCTGGTTGTCGTACAAGACTGGGGTCAAGTCTATGTCGGAGAAGTCCTGTGGTACCGTTTACGAGAAGGGAATGTTGAAGAGGGTACGCCTGACTATGCGTGGATGTATATGTATGGGGTGTGAATCTTCCTGTCTCCCGCAAAGAGTACACCCATCGAGATCTGCCGAGTCGAAAAGAAACGTCAAACATACCAACCAGAACCGCCAAAGCCCCAACGAGCAACCCGTTCGCCATGCAGTAAGATCTAATGGAGCGCCTCCATTCACATCCCTTGACTAATAATACCACCCACGATCCAGTCTCAGCACCACCGTCCTCACGTTCCTCGCCATCGGCGCCAACTTCTCTCTCGCCTCTCCAGCCCGCGGCGTGGAGAAGCACCTCACCAAACGCGATACCTGCACCCTCGTCGGATGGGTGGACGTCCAAGGCGACTTTTCCAACGGCCGAGCGCCTGACCCCGGCGATGTGACGAGTGGATTCGACCTGTACTATGTCGGCGGTGTGCAGATTGGGTCTTCGTCCTTCGAGAACGGTGGCTCGAGCCCCATCGGCATTGACGGGGTGACAATTCCGCAAGAAGAAATCGGAAGTGGCGAGTCTATTATGGTGAGTCTGATGGTACCCATCGGTCAAACTCGGACCTGTCTCATAGTGTCCAATGAGCAAGGACGGCTAACTTGCGGACGACAGTGGTGGGCAAACTACTTTGTCGGCTTTCAGAGCTGCCGTATCTCCTATGAAGGTATCGAGTACGAAGGATACATGAATGGCGCGATCAATCCGTGTGCGGGGAGAGGCGACGCCGGAGAGGACTGCTCGTACTGCTCGGCCGACTTTGGCTGCGAGAGCAATCTCTGAGGGTTGGAAAGATCTCTAGACAGCAGGAAGGTACGATGAGGTCTGCCTGTTGAAGCTGATTTGGTGGACCCAGACACTTTGCGGTCTGGAGGTGCAAAACTTGCTGGGTCTCCCTCGTTTATGGCTCAGCTAGGTGTTACTGCTGCAATTGAAAGGAACAGCCGCATTCGGGAGCGGATCGGAAACTCTCATTCTCGAGCACGTAAGTACCGGTCAACTGAATTGGCTGGCATTAGTGCCGATGTAGGATTTACGGTTACGATTGACTGAAACAGACTTGAGAGGACCATAATCGGTCTCGTCAATGCACTACACCTTCACCACCTCAACGATGCCTTCGCCCTTCATCTCTGGAGCCTGCCAGAACTTCCGCACCTCCAGGCCACCGACCTTGGAAATCAAACGCTTCCACATGGTTTCACTCCGCTCTTTGGCATTCAGCTGCACGAACATACAGAGATCGAAGGCGGAGAACCTGAATGGAATCAGCTAGTATTCAGGAGAGATCAAGATGATCAACTTACAGCAAAGGACTGCCCTGATCAGGCAGGATGCAGTCGTTGATGAAGATGCGCGAGTCCGCAGCCATTGCGTCCCGGATATGCGTCAGAATCTGGACGTCTTCGAAGTCCGGCCAGTCGTGCATGATTTTGTGCATGAAATACTGGTTTACCATTAACAGCTGGCCGAACCTCGACTCGGCAGCTCACTTACGATCTTTGCACCCTTTATTGGCTGAGCCTGGAAGAAGTCATGCTCAACGAGCTCTATCCGGCTGTCCAACTTCTCCTCGCGGGTCTCGGCAATCACACTTGGAAGGTCTTCCGCAACAAATCGAACCTTCTTGTCCGGGTATCTACTGGCGAGACCCATCAGATCATGGGCGAGGCCTGCTCCTACGTCGACAATAAACGGCACATCGCCGCTCTCGCTGCCTTCGGTGAACAAAGCGTCTGCTGGAAACCACTCGCTCCAATTCAGTCGATCACGCTGGATAACCTTCATCAGCGCACTGAGCCGTGATAGCTGATGCGGTTCGCTCTGCACCCAGTGCCGGAACGTGTTCGTGCCTACGATGCCTCGCGCCTGCTGATAAGGGCCGTTCGCCGCTCGCTCGGGTGCCGTCCAGCCCTTCTCCTTGCCCCAGTCGGTCATGTGGCTCAGTGTGCTATGCGGACCCAGAGCTCCATCGAAGAGCTCGCGAATGCCCAGGTCGAAGCCAGGATCCGCAAGCGTGTGCGTCAGCTCGTTGGCCTGATACACTCCTGGTTCGATTTCGTCCAGCAGGCTCATGCCACCAACCGCTCGACACATGCGAATCACGTATTCTTCCCGGTCCGCTTTCTTTTCGTCATCCTCGCCCCCCGAGACGTCGTCAAGACGGGAGGACAGGTCGCTGGCCTTGACTGGGTCTTTGGATGCCGAAAGTACTCGGAAGATGCCTGATTCAACGGCGATGCGAATTGCTGCGTACAGGTTCACCGAGTAACCCAGCAAGATGATCAGATCGGCTGGCTGCTTGAAGGTGAACGACGATTGACGCATGTCGTCCATGATCCGGTCGAAGGAGCGTCCACCATTGTTGGCTGTATTTTCGGGAGCCATGACGAGTACACAACAGGAAATTGTGCTATTCGATTCAACAGAAGGGTGATATCAGCAGAGGAACCATTTCACTCGAAATAAATCAATGTGTTGACTCCGATCAACACGAGCTCAAAGCTTCCAATGCATCTATGCAACTACCTCTGCTTCGAGCCGCTTTCCCCACCGGTCGAATCGAAGCTTGGCCTGGGAAGCGTGAAGGAGCTTGATGAGGGTGAACACGCCGATGCAGCTAGTTGAGAAACCTGCATGACTACTGTACGGACCTGCATCATGCAAACTACAGAGCTTTGTGCATGCATACTGCCATTGCAAGCATTGTTGGACGCACTCGCCAAACTCCTTACTGAATGCGAATGCCGGCTTCCGGTTTCTGAGGTGGCTCTGACCTGAGAGACTCGAACAAGGATTTGCAACCTGACAGCCTTCGAGACGGCGCTCACCCACTATGTTGCTCAGTCTATGGTACAAGACGCTGGATTTGTGAACGAATTTACCGTTCACCAGAATCGCCAATCGACGCAGCATCGATCTCAACGCTATGCCGTACCATGATGACCTCGCTGCCAAAACTCCTACTGCTCTGGTGGTCGCCCTTCACCGCAGTGCTATGGTGTATGATCGATCCATCAATATGTGCCAGACCCGGGATTGCAGGACTCTTCGCCCTACTAGCCGACTTGCGTTTGCTACGATCACGGCCTCCGACAATCGATCGCAGCCCGTAACTTTGACCAACGGAAGCTGATCTGGAATCTTTCGCGGTTTCAGCAATGAGGAAGCCAGTGCTGACTTGATTGAGGAAGCTGCGGATGCTGGGGTATGCGGCATTGATGATGGCGAGGTTGGATTCAACAAGGGAGATGATCACCATATTGGTGTCGTTCCAGGTGAAGTTTGCTGCGAAAGCTGAGGACGGTATGTGGGTGAGGCGGACGATGGTAACTGCGACCACACTACCGCGCACGTCAGCTCCTGGTCATCAAGATGCCCCCGTAGCAGGACTCACGGTAGAGCCAGGCTAAACCACAGCGAAAGGCCGAGCTTTCGCGATACCGGCATCTGCAGCGGCCATATGGTCGACAGAGCAGATCCCATCAGACTTAATTGAAACATAATGCTGAAGGCCGCAAACACAATCCATGTCCCTCTCTGCACCCAATTAGCAATGAGGCGTCGGCGGGCTCACTGTCATACCTCAGGATCCGACACCATCGCTGCGGCAAAGCGTATGATCCCAGCTAACGACCAAGCCGACACCATCGCAATCAGCACGAACATGGCTCTTCGAAACCACTTCTTCGGGTTCATGTTGTACAGCAGACACACAAAGGACACTGCCGACAGACCTTCGGTGAGGAAGGTGATCGCGAAGCTGGCTGTCAGTGCTTGTTTCGTCTGTTGCACCTCTTCGCTCGACAACCGATCTTCGGGTTGACCGAGTCCAACCTGTACTGCGAGTCCAACGGCAGCGACGTTAGCGATGTCGGATAGCTGTAAGGGTTGTCAATATTCTCATGTTCGAGCTGGTGTTGAGGGGAACGTACTGTTGCCAACACCAGCAGTATGTCTTCCAGCTTGAAGAAGTCACTTCGAGGCCACCTTTGGGACATTCTCATCGCGAGAGCGATGATCGCGGTGCCCAATGAGACGCCTGCAGCAATGACAACGAGCGCTCCATGGTTATGCTCGTTGATAGCTGTGCTCGCTGTTGGTCTTGATGATAGTAAAGTGGATTTCGGTTCAGCTGCTGCGACGACAAAGGTCGACATCGATTCGCAACAACAACACTTGTTGCAAGTCTCTTCTCACAACCAAGAACGAAGTTGACTTTGAGCTTCCATACGCTGCAGCAAGTCTATCATGACCTTCAAGAAGAACTATTGAGTCAGCGGCATACCGCTTGATAGACATCACATCTGCCCGCTGATCAAGGGGTTGAGTCCGCAGGAGCTGCTGCATCGAGCACGACCATGTCTCCAGATCCCAGATCGTCGACAACCTGAACTGATACTGATCAGCAGGGTTCGCCTGCTAAGCAGACTGTCCTGCCGAACGGCCCTTGCGGCGGCACTGTGGACCGCTCACCGCGGTGTCGGCCCCAACTAATGCACAATTGTTGCGTAGAGCTTGGGGACTCGAGGATGGAAATCCTTCTGGTGTCGTCCAGTCACCGCTGTAGAGCTCGCGAGCCTGCCGAGGCTTGCCATCCAGACGGTGAACGAGTGGCATCGTATTGATGTCTTCGGTTAGCTCCTCCGTCTGACGAAGCAGACTTGCAAGGTTGGGTGCAGGTCGAGATAAGGGTATGTCTGTGAGTTTCGTTAGCTGCTCGCGAGGAAGTGCCACTCAGATAAGCTAATTTAGTCAAGACGGCTCGGATGTCCCCCACGCCGGAAGCTCGAGCTTAGTGGTTCTTGCTTTACAGACGACGTCTTGATTGGTGTTCGGCAGATGCTTCAGTGCTGCCGCCCGCTTCGATCGACATTGCGAGTGAGGGCTCGAGAGCAACCTGGACCGGAGGGATCCAGGTGTATGAGGAGAACTGGACGCATCGTAGCGATGCGGCCTTGTAATGTCCGGGTCGCTTCCGTTCGATGAACCAGGATGCGGTAAGTCATGGCCACGAGGCGAACAACGTGGTCAAGCTGGATCGATTGCTTCAACTCCTCTGGCTGTTCCTGGTTTCTGTGCGATCTTGAAACGCAACTCCTTCATCTCTGTCTCACCTGTATACGGTTTGTTCAACTTTTTGCGGAGCGATAGGGACTCCATTGCATCGCAGCCATGTCGAACGATCAGAAGTTTGCAGAGGTCGAACTCACATCCTACGGGCCCCAACAAGATGCCTTCAACGATGCTGCCGACATGCAGCGCATGGGCAAGAAGCAGGCTTTCCAGGTATGATCACAACAAGCACTGGAGAGCCAGTAGTGGTACTAACACTTTGTTCCAACGCAGCGTAACTTCCAGTTCGTGTCGATCGCAGCATTCTCGGTTGTGGCCATTGCTGGGTGGTGTTACGTGCCAGGGTTAGTTGGGTTCCCCGTCGAGGGGCAACTGTACTCGTGGAAGAGCTGAGAATTGGACTAGTACATCGACACCGGCACTTTCGAATGGTGGCACAGGCGGGATCATTGTGATCTTCCTGATCAACTGGGTGGGATTGACGTTCGTTGTCGTTTCCCTTGCCGAGATGGCATCGATGTAAGAGACGACAGCAACATGCCCAGCTAAACCTCCCAGACTTCTGACAAAATATCTAGTGCCCCTACCGTTGGTATACCCTGGGTTTACACCCACTTCCTTCGTCGAATGCCGTAAGCGTGCTTTTGGAACACGTGCTGACAGTATCTGCTTTTCTGTATCCAGGCGGGAGGTCAATACCACTGGTCGAGCGAATTTGCGCCTCCGAGCATGCAGAAGTTCATCAGCTACCTGTCAGGTAATCTCAGGCACACCCCGGGCTGCTTCAGGCATATCTTGCTGACAGACTTTGAAAAGGCTGGCTATCCTCTATCGCCTGGCTCTCCGGCAACGCAGGCGGCATGTTCATCTCCGGCTCAGCTATGCAAGGCTTGATTGTGGCAACACAGCCGAACTACGTTCCTGAGCCCTACCAAGGCTACTTGTTCGTTGTTATGGTTGCGACCTTTGCGCTGCTAGTGAACACGCTGCTTGCGCGGCACCTGCCACGTCTGGAGGGCATTGTGTTTGTCTTCTTCATCCTCGCGTTTATGGCAACACTTGTCGTGCTCTGGGTTCTGGCGCCACGTTTGACTGCTGGTGAGTCAGCGCCTCGGGTCAAGTGAACAGGAAGAGATGGTTCTGACAATGAGTAGCTGAGGTCTTCACCACATTCACCAAAGGAGAAGGGTGGGACAGCTTGGGAATCAGTCTTCTGGTCAGCCAAGGAGCCATCATGTTCCTGATCGTCGGTAAGCTTATTTACACCCAATCTGGAAGTTGCGTGCTGACCCTCTCTTCAGGCTCGGATGCTACAGCGCACATGGCAGAGGAGACGAAGAACGCTTCCACCGTCGTGCCCAAAGCAATGATCACCAGCTATTTCGTCAACGCTGGCCTCGGGTTTGTGATGACGGTCACTTTCTGCTTCGTGTTGAAGGACTACGACGCTGCCGTTGACTCTCCCGTTGGTGCCATTGGACTTCCGTACATACAAGTGTTCATCAATGCAACAGGCTCGGTTGCCGGAGGGAGCGCTCTAATCGCCATCCTCACGATACTCCAGGTTTTGGGCATCGTCAACTGGACAGCATCTTGTGAGTCCTCGAATTACCCACCTTGTTGAGTTTTTGGACCTTTGTTGACATTCATCTTCAACAGGCGCCAGACAGATCTTTGCTTTTGCCCGCGACAAGGGCTTTCCCTTTGGCAGCTGGATCGCCAAAGTCAACGAAGCCGGCACATACCCCATCAACTCGCTCATCGTCGTCTGGGCATATGTCGTCCTGATCAACCTAATCACACTCGGCAGCATCGTCGCCTTCGAAGCAATCGTCTCCCTTCAGATACTGGCCCTCATGTCGACGTACCTGGTCTCGCTCGGCTGCATCGTCTGGCGACGACTCTTCGGACTACCGCTGCCCGCTAGCCCTTGGACACTCGGCAAGCTGGGATTACCGATCAATATAATCGGTATTGCCTACTGCCTGTTCCTGATCATATTCCTGCCGTGGCCTGGAGCTGTGCCAGTGACTCCGGACACGATGAACTGGGCCTCCGTGATGTTTGGCGGGATCATGCTAATCGCGGGAATCTACTATGTGTTGCATGCCAGGAAAGAGTACAAGGGGCCGGTGATGTATGTCAAGACACGGGAGCTGTGAGATAGCACCATGCAGCAATCGATAGCTCTTAAGCGTTCGATCTCCGGGTCGCTGAGGAGACGTCGTGCCTTTCAAAGCTGCTGGAGAGTGTGGACTTCAGATCTCGTCAAGCATGTGAAAGCTGACGTAAGTCAACATCTGTCCTTTTGAGTCATCAGCATTCTTTTGACCTCACTTGTCACGCTTCCACAACGCTTCCACGCCAACCAAAGAGTCTTGCTGCACAATATCGGCACTTGTGCGAGCACGCACTGCTCTGCAAGCGCGGAGCCGTCATCAACTGATCCCACACTGCATCGATTATGGCATCCTCATCCGTCAGCCGCCAGCGTCACGCACCTTCGCCACAACCTCGACTACATGCTCACTCCCCGTCAAGCTTCCGCAGTCACGCACACGCCAACGGCTACGCTCCCTACCACTCAACAGAATCTTCTCGGCACCATTTACGCTTCCGCGAGACGTCAAGCCAATCCTTTGGACAGGTACCGGCAGACAGATCATGATTGTGCAAATCAACCCCGGGAACCGGCTCGTCAAATCGAAGCAAGTGGAACGTCAACTGGATGCCCTCGTCAGAAACATCCTTGCCAAGCACGACGAGGCGGTGCGTGAGAAGGTACCTAAGATGTTGGCTTGCCCCTTGGCGACCGCAACTCTGCCATCGAGACACAAGGCTTGCTGACACGGAGCACAGCTGCATCCGGAACAGATTCGAACCGCGAGTACCGTGTCGAATGACACAGAACGCAGAAGTGTCCACAAAACTTACGAAGTCGCTTTCTGTGCCTTGGATGCTGGAAAGGAGGGCGAGAACGGCGGGTTCATCGTCATCCGTGCCGGGGAGGAACTGGACTTTCAAGGGCTGTGCGGGGAGGTGGGCATGATGGTCGAGGAATATCCTGGCGTGATTCGCGGCATCGGCCACCAGGACGGACGCTCTGTTGAACTTTGAGGGTGCAAGATGGAACGTGAGAGGGGCTATGCTTCAGTAACATTGGCTTGAATGGTTTATACTGGCAACACTTTAACTCACAATACCCCCAATCGACACCACGCTATGCCTCCCCATTCCCCTATGCATAATATCATACATCCCATCGCATCCCGCCCCTTACCAGGGCTTACCGCTTCCTCCCCCTATCCCTGCCCTTCCGATCCCTCTTCACCGGCTGGGGCGGCACAAACTTGACCCCCTCCAGCAACCGCTCCATCTGCCGAATCATGTACAAGTCCACGTGTCCTTGCCTCTCTTCTTCCCCTTCAACGCCTCCAGGCTCGCCAAGAGTGTCCCCCGGCGTCTGCGCCCTCGAAGGCCCCTTGGAACTGCGATCCGCGAAATCCACATCGTCCTGATGTTCCTCCTTCCTTGCATTATGCGCCGCCGCGACGTCGTCCGCGTCTTCCACCGATTCCAGCGCCTGCGTTCCTTTCCCATCGTTCCCATCGCCGAGGAAACGGTCGATGGCCGCCGCTACGTCCTCATCCCCTTCCCCTTCGGCTTCGTGCGCGGCCTTCGGCATCTCGTAGTCCGTAGTGAAATGCCCCTCCTGAATGACCGTCTGGTCCAGCAGACTCTTCTGTTGCGCTCGGCGGAGAATATTCTCTTCGACCGTCTTCTCGCTGACCATCTTGAACACCCTCACGTCCCGCACCTGCCCGATGCGGTGTGCGCGGTCCATGCACTGGCGGTCCATCTGCGGGTTCCAGTCGAGGTCGTAGAAGATGACCGAACTCGCACCGGTCAAATTGAGCCCGATACCCCCCGCGCGGGACGAGAGGATCATGCACTGGTACTTCGAGTCCGGACGGTTGAACTCAGCGGCGTACAGTTGGCGGCGCTCGACGGGGGTGCTGCCGTCGAGGCGCAGGTAGGGGAGGTTGAGCAGGTTGAGGAATTGCTCGAGGATGTTGAGGGTGCCGGTCATTTGGGTGAAGATCAGGGAGCGACTGTTCTCGAATTGGAGTTGGCGGAGGAGGTGGGTGAGGCGTTGCAGCTTGCCGGAGTCGTAGATGAGGAGTCGGGAGTCCGGGAAGGCGATGGCGGTGCGGGTGCGGGATTCGTGGGCGTAGTCTGGCTGCAGTGGGTAGGAGGGTGATGCTCGGAGGACTTGTTGCGTGCGAGGTGGGAGAGCTTGGTTGAGGACGGGAGCAGTGACGACAGGCGTGACGAATGCGAAACGCGCGATCGTGTCTCGCAGAGTGTCCGCATATCGCTCAGCCGTCTGCACACTCCGCTGTAACATGCTCGTCTTGCTCAGCGCCCAGTCGGAGGGATGGTCGTTCTCAAACCGCAACGGATGTCGACCTAGCTCCGGCCAGCCACGCAGCGCCTTGCCAATGATACGTCCGCGAATATCCCGTACCGGGACCCGGTAGCACCGTCCACTCTTGATGGTGACGAGCTCGCGGAGGTCAGAGCCGTACATCGGCACAACTTGCAGCGACTCCTTGGAGATGTCGATGCTTGATCGCAAGTGATCCAGCTTCTCCCTCCTCTCTTGAACACGTCGAAGAGCCATGCAGCCGGCAAGGGTCCCTGGATCGGCTTTCGCGTCGCTTGCGTTGCTCGCCTCCAGGCTCTTTCTTTCAGCTTCAAGCTTCGCGCTCGCATGGAGTCGCTGCGACCTCTTCACCTTGCTACTTCGCAGCCTTTCCTTCGCAGCCAGCCGGAAGCAGTGAGGCACCTCTTCCCTCACTCCCAGCATCTTCCTCACAATGTCCTCTGTTCCCTCAAACTCCAGTGGCACACTCCCCTCCATCGCCCAGCTGGTCTCAATAGGCCTCGGATCGAACAGATCAGGATGATTGCACACCCTCCGCAGACTCAACAGCACTTTCCCAGCAGACACAGCGTTACCATGCGCCAGACTCCTCTTCGTCTCAGCCAAGCCCATGTATTCCTGATAAAGCTGCCGTTGCCGCTTGCTGAGCTTGCACACGACGACCTCTTCCGTCTTCTTCGGAAGTTGCTTCTCGACCTCGCTCTTCAGGCGGCGGAGCAGGAATGGGCGTAGCGAAACGTGAAGCTGGTCGACCACTCGCTGGGACTCTGTGGAAAGCGTGGAGACGCCTCGGTTGAAGATATCGTTGACGGGTTCCTTCCAATGACTCAAGAACTCTTCGAGGTCGCCGTGGGCCGGATCGTCGTCCAAAGCAGTGAGGAAGGTGAGCAGAGACCACAGTTCAGTCAGTGAGTTTTGCAAAGGCGTGCCGGTGAGCAGAAGCCTAGCCTTCGTCTTCAACCGGATCAGGGTCTGCCACTTGTTCGATTGGAAGTTGCGAATATTGTGCGCTTCGTCCAGCACGAGGTAGTGCCACTTAACATTCCGGATGGCGTTGATGTCCTGCATGGCGATGTTGTAGCTTGTGACGATGACGTTGTACCCGCGTTTGTCTTTTTCCACGTGATGAGGGTCGTTCACCCAGCGTCGCCTCTTGACTTGACGTTCTTCGGATGGACCGTAGTAGGCTAGGACGCGGAAACCGGGAAGGAACTTCTGGAATTCCGTGACCCAGTTCAGTACGACGGACGTGGGCACAATGACCAGGTGAGGCTCCCAGACCTCATGCCTCTCAGCCAAATGTGCAAGGAGCGAGATGGTCTGGATGGTCTTCCCGAGACCCATTTCATCGGCCAGAATGCCATTTGTGCCTTGACGGTAGAGGGTGGCTAGCCAATCGAGACCGGCATGCTGATAAGATCGGAGAGTTCCTCTGAGCAGAGCTGGGTGAGAGACGAGGTTGTTCGACGGAGCATCAACGGACGTCTCTGGCTCGGCACTGGGGCGCGCCGAGTGCAAGGCTTCTGCTGCCTCCTGCTTCGTAGTGTCCTGGATAGAGTCTTGCCGTGACTGCTCGTCCACGGCGTCCAGCATGGATACGTCTTCAGCTCCGGTATTGGCATCGGCTTGCTCCTCGACCGCGTGCTCCCGTTCGTCGCCTTCAGCGCTGGTGGTAGGCGTGGGCAGACCGGCCATGTTTTTGACCTCATCCTTGAAGAGGCTCAGCAAAGAGTTCTTGGGCAGCGGCTGCTCATCGCCACTGGCCCCTTCCTCCTCATCGGCATCGTCAGCTGCGTTGTCCTCTTCACCAGTACTACTCATGTCTTCGTCAGAGTCGTAATCCGTGGAATCCATGTCAGTGGACTCATCAGAGGAGAATTCACCCTCCTCGTCCCCTGCGTCAACAGGCGACTGAGATGACCTCCTTGATCGCCGAACCGAGACGCGCTCGTTGTCGCTTTGCTCGTGTTCGACAGCTTCAGATTCGTCGTTATCAGGTTGGAACTCTTCTTCGGTTGCATCTTCGTCATCATCCACGGCATCGTCGGCAAACAAAGCGTCCATGGTGTCCTGAACATCTATGGGTTTGCCTTGCTGCTTCTCAGTCGCATCAGCCATGGACACATCGTCTTCATCTTGGTCATGCTCTGCGCGCTCGTTCTCCGTTTGATTGGCTTCTGCAGGCGTCTCTCGTTCGTCCGGCATCTCAGCCAACGAAGTGTCCGCCATCTCAGCGTCCTCGCTCGGACGATCAGGCGGCTCAGCCTTCCTCTGTGCAAGATAAGCCGCCAGCTCATCATCACCCATCTCGCCACCTCCATCTTCCTCCTCACCCTCCTTCTCCTCTTCCTCCTCGCTCGAATCGCTCATATTCTCCTCCCCACTCTCGCTCTCATCAGCGTCCTCGTCGCTTCCTTCATCCTCATCCCCCTCATCTTCACTAAGCGCCTGCAATCCACTCTTCTGCCGCGCAAGCATATGTTCACTCTTCTCCAGCTGCTTCCTCAACTTCTCCTGCCGCTTAGCTTCTTCCTGCTCCTCCCATTCGCGTAACCGCCTTTGCTGAACATGCTGTGCCACGAGATCCCACTTCGCCTTGACATCGAACACGACCTGCTTGTAGATCAATCTGAACATGCGATCCGCCTCTTCGCGCAAGTCTTCTTCCGTAGGCCCTCGCTTCTTCTTCCAAAGCTCTAGCGCCTCGTTCGCGACCTTCTTGGCAAGCTGCCTATGCGCCGCCTTCTCCCTTAGTTGAAGGTGCCGGAGATGCAAGGCATGCGCGACAAGGTGGTCGTGGTGGCCGTACTGCTTAGGAGGCTCTGGCTGCGGATCCGCATCTTGGTAGATACTCAGCCTCTCCTTGCTCAGGATCCCTCCGGGTCGCGCCTCTCGAAGTATCTTTTTCCGCATCGCAGCCTCTTCGATTGCCTGGCGCTCATTGCGCTGCAGAAACCACGCCATATCCGGCGGTCCCCGCTCGTTCTCCGTGTGAGGTTGTTGCAGCTCTTGCAATTCGAAGTCTTCAATCGCGTGAAATACACTTGGCCGGGGTGGACGAACAGGTAAAGGAGGTTGCGCATTCGGATGTGGTGGAGGGACGACACGTCGAGGTCCGTTGAAGCGCAACTTGATCTTCGGTGACGGTCGGTGAACTTCTGGTGAAAGCGTTTGTTTGAGGGGACGTGAAGCTTTGGGTGATTTCGGCGCAGTGAACACATCTTCATCGTTGGATTTCCGCTTGTGACTTCGCTTCGTTTGTTCTGGTGAGCTGAACGAACGGCTTGGCTGGAGTGCCTCAATTCGTGCGCGCAGCTCTGCAATCTTGGTATCACTATCCGTCGACTCTGATGGTCTACCAGACTCCCTTGTCTTGGACGACGACTGCGTTTGTGACATCGATAGCTTCCGTTCTATCACATGCGAATTCGTCGCAGTCTTGCCCGATGACGCAGGTCTGACATCCTGCTTTTTCGCCGACCGTGGAGAGACGCGCTTGGGTGTGTCTCCGAGCTCCCTGTTGACTCTCCCACTCTTTCGCTTACCATCTACCACCATGCTCGTGGGTCCAGCAGCCTCGAACTTCTTCCACGGCGGGCTCTCCCGTGAGCGCGGGGCCGAGCCGGGGGCGAGTGGGTTGGCAGGCGGTTGGGACAAGCTGCTGCTCCTAGCACGCGCGGCGTCATTGTCGCTGACCCCTGGAGTAGCGGTGTTAACGCGGGCAGAGATGCGACGGCCGTCCGCAGACTTGAGGGTGGTGGTGTCGGCGGTGGGAAACTGCCATGGCGGGGATGCCCCTCTCTTGCGTTTCTTGCTGGTCGGTCGCTCGCTGAATTGCGGCTGCTGGTCGGCACCTTCTGACTCTCGTCGCTTGATGCTGGGTAGTGGGTCGGGTCGAAGGGTCGTTGCTGTTGCGTTGTCGTCTCCCTCATTCAGTTGCGTGGCCTCCTCGTCATCTTCCATCTTGACATCGGCCCCGGCCTCCCCATCCCCGCTCCCGTCTCCATTTGGGATGGGTGTTTCTCCATGGTCATCATCTCCGTGCAACGCTGGTCCGTTCGTGCTGGTTGTCGCGTGGTTGATATGTTGTTGTCGTGCCGGCGAACGTGAGCCGTCCCCACCCGACTCAGGAGCAGCTTCTGTCGCGCTCATGACAGCGAAACAAGCGGCTCCTAACAGGCGACCACCCCAAACTCATCACCACGGCGCCTCTTCCAGACCCAAAACACCCATCAGCTGAATCTTTAAGATGCAGGAGCTCTCGTCGCCTACTCCGTTTCTCGATAGCTGCCTCTGAAGTCGAGTTATAGCGATTTGAAAGTTCTCGACTCTGTCTGTCTCTCAAGCGTGGAAATGTTTCGAAGATCGCTCGCGCTGGCTCGTTAAATTTGGCGCTAAGCCTCTTCTGCACAGACTGCCTCCACCCGGAGCTCCCTCTACCTCACCTCGAGATACACCGTTGGAGGAGGCGCCATTGAGGCTCGAAAACAACCCCAAGTCACCCTCCACTCACCGCAACCATGGCCGCCCTCCCCAGGGCTCTCCGCCCACTGGCCCGCTCGTCCACACGCCTACCCACCCCCCTCACCCCAACCCTCCGCCGCACCTACGCCAGCACCATCCAACCCCGCCCAGCAACCGACACCAAGCCCCCCAGCGCCGCCGAAGCCGCCAGCGAAGACATCGACAACCTCTCCGGCGACCCCAACATGAACGGCGACTACCCGGACCCCTCTTTACACTCCGCCTTACCGGTCAAAAGGTCCCTGCGAGACCCTTACGGGGGTCCTGATGGGCCGTGGTGGGATCCGGTAGAGAGAAGGAATTATGGGGAGACGCTGCACGAGGATAACGATATCTTGGGGGTTTTCACGACGGAGGAGTATAGGCATTTTTCGCCGGGGTGGGGTGGGGTGTTGATGGTGAGTTGGAAGATGCTCGGATATATGTGGCCTGCTTGGGCTTTCCGCGGCCGAAGCATGGTTGAAAGGAGAATTTTGGAGGAAAAGTGCTGACGGGGAGACTACAGGGCACATTCATAGCAACAGTCGGCGCCCTCTGCGCAGTCGTCTACCGCTACTACCCAGACAAGGTACTTCATCCTCCCCCCCTCCCTCTGCCTTCCCAAATCATCCATACTAACTTATTCCCCAGCCCTCAGCACCACGAACATTCCCTGGCGGTCTCGAAGCAGAGCTCGGCGGTCCAGGAGCCGTGCGCGCGCGGATGACGGAGGATGAAGCGAGTGTACTCTAAAACGGCAACTATACAGGAGCCGTGTTCTTTTGTCAGGCGCTGTGGCATGTAAATATCGCCGTATACAACATCACCACCACAGCGTCCACCCATGTCTCAACAACACAAACGTCCAAGCAGACAGACATTTAGAAGTGAGCCCGACACGGATTCTGGACGAGTTCGAAAATCTTCATTCATCGTAACATCTACACATCGTTCATGAAGAATCGCTAAGAGTAAGGTAAGGTATACTGCAGGGAAAGATCGAACAGAGAGAATGCGAGCAGAGAGAACGCCAAATAGCAACGCCAGTGAAGAAAGCCGTCCCGTATCCAGCCCTGTTCCTTGGGTATATTCATGCTTTCATACCCGTCATTTCCATGCTCTCGTTCATGCTATGAAGCATGTTATCCTTCGCTAAGTATACTCATCCGAGAACGCTCAAAGCACTCGCATAAGACCGCACAAGTCGTTTGAACGCATTGCAAAACAGTTCGGCTTCCCGCCACAAGTCGTTAACCACCGCATCCACCTATTCTCACCGCAGACAACACTCCTCTCACACCTGAGCACATACGCCACCCCCGTCACAGCTCTCTCTCTCCCTCACACCCCAAACCTCAGCCATCCCTCGGCTTAAACTCAACACTAACCTTCATCGCCCGCAAAATCTTCTCCATCTCCGCCTTCTTACCCTTCTCCACCATCCTCTTCAACCTCCTCCGCAAATCATTCCCCACCCGCGAGCTCGGCCTGCTCCCCTCATACCTCCAATCCGGCTGACACCGATGCTGGTCCGCGCGCCAATGCAGCCATTTGCGCATCGAATCCAACGCTCCCAGCTCTTTATCCTGCGTCGTGACGAGTGTAATGACGAGGTTCGGGTTGCGTTGGAGGTACTTGAGGTCCGAGGGCGGGATGCGCGAGTGGAAGGCCAGCAGCGGGGTGAAGTCCATTTCGTTGATTGTGCAGTGGACCGGGCAGTGTTGGTGGAGGAGGGGGATGGTTTCGTTGCGGATGAGGCGGGAGGTTAGGGCGAGCGGGTGGGGGTTGGGGTAGGTGCGTCTTTTGTCGAGGATAGGCGCGAGGGTGCTTTGGTTTGGTGGGGGTGGGCGGTTGGTCGTGAGGGATGGGGGATGGCTGTTCGGGTCGCTGCTCGTGGTGCTGCTTTGGCTGGGCGTGCGGCTGATTTGGGACAGGGGTTGGTGGAGAGCCGGGAGAGGTGGGAGGGTGCGGTCGCTCTTTGGTGAAGGTGGCTTGGGGAGTGCTTGGCCGGGTTGAAGGACGGGGGTGATGTGCAGTTCCACGTCGGCCAGGACGTATTTGTAGATGACATTGCGGATTTCTGGTGGGAGCTCCGAGAAGCGGTCGGGCTCTGCTTCGGGGTCTGGGTTGAGCAGGCGTGGTGGTGCTGGAGCGAGCGGTTGGAGGGGTCGGAGGGCGGGCATGGTCGTCGGATGCTGGAGCTTCAGAGCATACTACTGTAAGTGCTGCTCCTCAACGGATATCTTGTAGAATGGAGAAGGCCTTTGAAGTATTCTGAAGGAAAACTCGGCGTGGTATTTAAGAAGGAAGGAGCGAGTCGCAGAGACGAGCAAGGTAAGCCCCACCGTCGTGTGCTACCAACAAGCGCGCGGTCAACGTCCGGTGAAAGGCTGGCCAAGTCGTCCAACCATGGGTGAATTATTAGCCGTCGCTACACGTGGTGTCCAAGCTGAGCGAGGCCCGAGGACGCTGAGTGGAAATGTTCGCTGAATATCGCAGTCGACGTGAAAGAAGTGAAGTGGTTTGCTGGTCGCAAGAAGGAAGTGGAAGGCTGCTTGTGACATTGCAGCCGTTGTCGCTTGCCATTCAGAAGTACTCACATGTACGCTGACAATAGCTGGGCACAATGTCACGAGAAACTGAAAGCACATTGCACAACATAAACGGAGTAAGTGATACGGGAGTTGTTGTTGAGGGAAGAGGAGCTTTTCGTCGATGATCGACCTGATCACATGCAGACCCGTCGATCACTTCCACCAACCATTCAATCATCAGACACACCAACAACCTCACAACTAAGCTTCCACAGCCCTTCCTCCTTCTCCTCATCATAAGCATGTGGCGCATGCCCTGGCGCCATAAGATCCGCTTTCTCGCCGACCAGCGTCGTCTCCCCAGCATCCTCAAGATACTGCCCACCGTTCTTGCCCTCGAAATGCGGGCTCACCGCAACCCACACCGTCGTCGCGGCGCCCTGGCTCGTCGACTTGTAGATCTTCGTCATCATCACTTTCAGCATCTCCTCCCCGAACATCGCGAAGTCTTCGGGAGTCAAGTGTCTGGCGAGTTCCGTCTGGATGCCGCCGGGGTGGACGGACCAGGCGTGGATGCCCTGAGAGCCGTATTTGCGGTCGATGGCGTTGGCCATCCAAATGTTGGCGGTTTTGGCGCTGCCGTAGGCCCCCCAGTTGACGTAGCCTTCTCCGCGGTTCCAGGCGTCTAAGGTGGGTTTGTCGTGGAAGGTGAGGGAGTTGAAACGGTGTCCGGCGCTAGTGACGTTGATGACACGACTGGGGCTGCCGGACTTTTTGGCTGAGTCGAGGAGGAGGGGTTTGAGCAGCTGGAATAGCAGGAAGTGGGCAAAATGGTTCACGCCGATCTGAGTCTCCAGGCCGTCTTGAGTAGTTCCGTACGGCGCGGCCATGACGCCAGCATTGTTGATGAGAATGTTCAGCTGACCGCCGGACTTCTGCTTGAACTCCTCAGCAGCCTTGCGGACAGAGTCCAGAGAGTCCAGGTGTAGTTCAAGTGGCTGCGGCTTTGGTCCGCTTTTGTTTTCGGCGTTCTTGACAATGTCCTCGATCACACCGTCGAGCTTCTTCATGTCACGCGCCGCAGCGAACACAGTGGCGCCAGCTTCGTACATTGCCCGAGCAGTCTCAACGCCCAGTCCAGCAGAGCAACCCGTAATCAATACAGTCTTCCCTTTAAGGGCGCCAATGGCATTGCAGTCCTTGAGGATCTGCATGGAACTCGGGCGGGCATCACCAGGGCCTCCGGGATCCTTGTGGCTTTCCGCGTACGGCTGGTATGGTGTTGCTGGAGGGGCCATCGTGCTTGATTCTTCTTGCTTCTACTGTTGATGATACCGAGCAGATAGAAGCGAGACCCAGGTGCTGTTCGTTGCGGAGGAGTAGAAGGGATGAAGTGACGTGAGATGATCTGACCCGCCGACCTACCTTCCACCCAGCTTATATACTCACCTCGCTCCAATACCTAGTAAACAGAGGTACGGCATCGGGCCTATACCCATTCGCGTGTCCTGCGGCCGCGTCCAGAAGTTGCTTGATAACAATCAATGCGTGTGCGGGGAGACAACGTGAGAGGTCCCCTGGCCATGCGGGTAAAATCCTTCCAAATTCCGAGCACACGGACGACTGTGCATCTGTGCATGTGAAACCTCGCTGTCTTCTCGTCATGACCTCTGAGACGACATATCTCGCAATCACTTCCCCTACAGACCATACTTGCGAGGCATGGCCTTTCGATTCGGATTCGGTGATGAAGATGGCGCACAACCAGCGGCGGCGGCGGGCGATGGAGAAGTGCCACCAACACCACTACGGCCGGTGCATGAGCATCCGTTGCAGGAACTGGTAGGTAAGGACTCTCGCCCTATCTCCTAGTCTGCATTGGCCATCGTGTCAGCCGCCTGGGTTGCAGATACTTGCCACAAATCTCTCAACATGGGCTATCCTGGCATCAGCACCGTCACCCTAAGGCGGCGATTCCATCGTCGCGCTGACAGGTAAGCGATTTCGGCTAAGACAGCGACTGACGGAGACCAACAGCTCGATACTCTGCCGGACCAGCTAAGCTATAGCACGGTGCAAATCGAGTCGCCGACGGGGCGAACGATACACCTGCCCCGGAGAGAGTTGTACGATATTCGCCTCCAGCTGTTGTCCGAGGACGAGACCAACGACGAAGTAGTTGATCAGCTCGACAACTCTGACCTTCGATCTGGAATCTACGAGGGCGGCTTCAAGACTTGGGAGTGCTCGCTGGATCTTGCGAGCTTACTGTTAGATCGTGGGCCGCGGAAGGATATTGATGATTTGATGCGATGTGATCAAGTGGTGGAGGTGAGTGATTCCAAAGATGGGCAAAAGTCAGGCCACTGATCGATTGAACCTAGCTTGGAGCTGGCACAGCGATGCCATCTCTGGTGCTCTTCCAGCATGCATTACTCAACAGCATACCCATGACTTTCGTCTTTGCGGACTACAACGATGCTGTACTGCGCCTTGCCACATTGCCAAACATGCTGCTAACATGGGCGCTGAATACGACACCCGATGGCCCTACAAGCGACAACATGCACGTAAGCTCCAAAGGCGATCTGGGGCTAAATGAAGACATCCTCAAACGCTTCAAGGACGACATGAAGGCCAGGAACATCAACTTCATCTTCCTCTCCGGACCATGGTCACCCGATCTGGCTTCTCACATTCCAAACTCATCGCCAGATCTAGGAACGGTCATCCTAGCAGCCGAGACTATATACAGTCCCGCCTCAACAACCGCTTTCGTCGAGTTGGTAGTGACGCTACTGAAACGAGTCAAGATGGCTAAAGTAATGATCGGAGCGAAGCGGATGTACTTCGGTGTTGGTGGGAGCGTTGACGGGCTGAAGGAGGCTTGTCGAGAGCGAGGGGCGGTGGCGTATGAGATTGAGAACCATGGGGTGCCGGGGATGGACGGTGGGGTTGGGAGGGCATTGGTGGAGGTGCAGATGTACTGAGGTGGACACCGAAATGGCTCGCCAACCGACGTTAGTGATGTGGAGGCTCGAGAGGAAGCTTAACGGCCACCAGCCTTTTGGATCAGCAAGCCGTTGAGAGAGGTCTGCTATGTGCGGCAGAGATTGACTGTCACACGAAGGATGGTGGAGACCGAGACCTCGCAGGCACTTGGAATACCTCTCGGCCATGGCTACACTGTTGATGGACCCAGCCCAGGTCGTAACTGCGCTGCTCCAGGTCGAACAAAGAGAGTCCGCGAGTTAGACTTCATCTCAGCTGTATTATCCTGACAAAGACGAACACATATAAACAATATACTTGGACTGGCGAAACAAAGGTCTTGTCCTCGAGCCCCAAATTCTCTAGACTTGAGAATAGCAATAGTCATCGCTCTCCTCCACAGCTCGGTAACCGCTTGAAGACGGTAAGTGCTCTTCCTCTCCTATCCCTCTAACGACTCCAGCAGGCAGTCTGCTGGCAGACAGCAGCATCAACGGCAAGTAACCATTTCATTTCCCTTTCCTGTCAGCCTATATCGACGTTGACTACACTCACCCCAGCACAATGGCATCGCCAATATCCCTCTCTAGCTCCTCCAGCACCCGGAGATCCTCCTCCCGCGCCCTCCCCTACGACGGCCCCAAACTAGCCAACATCGTCTGCGGCGTCAACCTGAACTGCCGCTTCGACCTCCAACTCATCGCCCGCCACTGCCGCAATGTCGAATACTGCCCTAAACGCTTCAAAGCCGCCATCATCCGCACGCGCGAGCCCAAAGCCACCGCGCTCGTCTTCGAAGGCGGCAAGATGCAAATGCTCGGCGCCCGTAGCGTAGACGACGCTAAACTCGCCTGTCGCAAGTTCGCGCGTATGCTGCAGAAGCTGGGTTATGAGCCGAGGACGGAGGGGTTTAATGTGCAGAATATGGTTGCGCATGCGGATACGAAGATGGTTGTAAGGTTGGAGGGCTTGCATGCGGAGAATTGGCGCTGGACGCAGTTTGAGCCGGAGTTGTTTCCAGGACTGTTCTTTCAAATGATGCAGCCGAACATGAAGACGCTGGTGTTCGCAAAGGGGAAGGTGGTTTTGCTCGGAGGGAAGGAGGAGGGGGATTTTGAGAAGGCGATGCAGAATTTGTATCCGCTGCTTGTGCAGTATCGGAAGACGTGAGGATGCGATGAAGGGAGCGGGAGGTAAGTATTAATGAGAAGTGCTCTCCCTCGTCAGAGGAGCCATGAAGGTCTGGATGATAGCGGTATGGGTATGGAATACCTGTCTTGAAACTGGAGATGCCCTTTCGCTTGATGTCTGGGCAACACTACTGTCAACGTAGTGTAATATTACTTTCCTGTCAACATGCTGGACTTTCTAGTAGCAAAAATCAACATATCTTGGTCAGCCGTTGGTGTTAAGACATGAGTTAAAGTTGGATTTGAAATGGAGCGACAGTTTGGACCTGCTGAAAAGGCCGACGGCTATTTGCGGACTCGTGAACAGGGGTCTTAGAACGAAACTCTAACTGCGACACGCCCCAGACTCCCTTCAATGTGGCCAACCTTCAGGGAATGGCGGAACAGACAACGACATCCTCTCGAATACCACCGCACCCTCTATTTCGACTCCTCGACACTTGCGACAAACGTTCCATGTCATGATGCGCATATCGCAATACAGATCCACGATGCGCGTTCGACAGCGAAGGGGCTGAACATCGCCACAGGATCATTTCTAAGCATTCATACGGCCATTTGTCGACCTTGTTGAGGGTTATTCGGACAGGGTGGAAGAGATATACGAAGGCTTGACACCACTATTCGCGGAAGGTACTGCACCTTTGAGGCCGCGCCGGCGATCGGTCTCCCACGAAACACACCATGTCTTCCGTAACGCACTCGCGTAGCGCGCAAGCCGCACACATGACAACGACTACCTTGAGAACGTTGGGTATGACATGTGGTGCATGTACAAGTGCCGTCGAGTCGGCTTTCGAAGGGGTGGACGGCGTTGGTACGGTCTCAGTCAGTTTAGCTCTGGAGCGGACTGTCGTGACGCACGATGCGCAAAAGATTGGTGTCGAGGCAATACGAGAGATGATCGATGACAGAGGGTTCGACGCAGAGGTCATCAGCTCGGACCGGCCAGACTCGCCTGTGTTTGACCCGCGGATCGAGGACGATGCGCTAAATGAGCAGCCGAGTTCAACTACCACGATACATGTTGGCGGGATGACCTGCGGCGCTTGTACTTCGAGCGTGGAGGGAGCATTTAAAGATGTGGAAGGAGTGCAGAGTTTCAGTATATCGCTGCTGTCGGAAAGGGCGGTGATTGGACATACCAAGGACATCACACCGGCTCAATTGGCAGAGATTATTGAGGATACTGGGTTTGATGCGGAGGTGCTGGAGACCAAGGCAGCGGAGCCTGCGACCTCGTTGCAACACCAAGCGTCAAAAGAGCACCAGAAGCGACTCATGACCACCACTGTAGCCGTCTCGGGGATGACCTGCAGCAGCTGTACCGGATCTTTGGAAGAAGGCTTCCGGGAGGTACAAGGTGTTGTTCAATTCGACGTTAGCTTGCTGGCTGAGAGGGCTGTCATTGTTCATCGTCCAGACGAGCTCTCCACCGCTGCTATCGTGGAAACGATTGAAGACCGAGGTTTTGATGCGACCATAGTATCAAGCATCGAGGAAGGAGTCCAAACTTCCAACTCCAATGCAAGCGTGCAACTCAGAATTTACGGGCTGCCTAGTCCAGAGTCTGCGGCCGACTTACAGCAAAGTCTGAGGAACACACCTGGAATCACCGAAGCACGAATCGACTTCATAACTACTCGAGCCACCGTTATCCACAAGCCTGCTCAGATTGGGCTGCGAACTGTCGTGGAGACCATCGAGAAAGCTGGGTACAATGCACTGGTAGCAGAATCGGAAGACAACAACGCACAACTGGAGTCGCTGGCGAAGACCAAAGAGATTCAGGAGTGGTCGCGTGCGTTCAAGACGTCTCTGACATTTGCGATACCGGTCTTCCTCATCAGCATGTTCCTCCCGATGTTTGTGCCGTTCCTCGATGTTGGAAGCATTAAGCTCCCCATCATACCTGGAGTGTGGCTAGGCGACGTGGTGTGCCTGCTGCTTACTATTCCAGTTCAATTCGGTATCGGCAAGCGGTTTTACCGGTCTGCCTTCAAATCCATACGGCACGGCTCGCCTACCATGGACGTTCTGGTCGTGCTGGGAACCTCTGCTGCATTCTTCTTTAGCTGTGCCGCAATGATCGTGAGTATTGTTACGCCACCGCATTCAAGACCAGCTACGACGTTTGACACGAGCACTATGTTGATCACTTTTATCACTCTTGGCCGCTTTCTGGAGAACCGGGCCAAGGGGCAGACATCGAGAGCATTGTCGAGGCTCATGAGCCTGGCACCCTCGTCAGCAACCATTTATGCCGACCCTATCGCTGCCGCAAAAGCTGCTGAAGGGTGGGCCGCCCCGAGCAAGGGTGGTGAGAAGGACACTTCCGGACCTGGCATCGATGAGAAGACAGTACCCACGGAGCTGATCGAAGTAGGCGACATTGTCATCTTGAAGCCCGGCGACAAGATACCTGCAGATGGTCTGGTCACTTCTGGCGAGAGCTATGTCGACGAGAGCATGGTCACGGGCGAAGCTATGCCCATACTCAAGAAGAAGGGCTCAGCACTCATGGCTGGCACCGTCAACGGAGCAGGACGTCTGGATTTCAAGGTCACGAGAGCTGGCCGTGACACCCAGCTGAGCCAGATTGTCCGGCTTGTGCAGGAAGCGCAGACCAGCAGAGCGCCGATTCAACGAATGGCTGACATTGTCGCCGGGTACTTTGTGCCCATCATCATCACGCTCGGCCTCTCTACCTTCGTTGGCTGGATGCTTCTGAGCCACGTCTTGCCCACGCCACCGCAGGTGTTCCTCAGCGACTCCAGTGGCGGTCGCCTGATGGTCTGTGTCAAACTCTGCATTGCTGTCATCGTTTTCGCATGCCCCTGCGCGCTCGGTCTGGCAACTCCGACTGCAGTCATGGTCGGTACCGGTGTTGGCGCTGAGCAGGGCATTCTTGTCAAGGGTGGCGCTGCGCTAGAAACGGCTACGAAGATCTCACACATTGTGCTCGACAAGACCGGCACCCTTACGATGGGCAAGATGAGCGTCAGCGGTGCTGAGCTGGAGAAGAAGTGGAACGCCAGCACTGAGCAGCGGCATTTGTGGTGGACCATCATCGGGCTTGCGGAGGGTGGGAGCGAGCATCCTATCGCCAGAGCAGTGTTGATGGGCGCTAAAGAGCGCCTTGGTCTCTCGGCGAACACAGCACTTGAAGGCGTTGCCGGCGATTTCCAGGCCACTGTTGGAAAGGGTATTGCCGCCTCCGTTGAGCCTGCTTCGGCAACAGGTGGAAGGCGATATGAGGTCGTCCTTGGAAACGCCTCGTTCCTGCGAAGCAGTGGTGTCAGCGTGCCTGTCTCTCCCGAGGAAGAGTACGATGAGATCGACACCCCCCGGCGTCAATCGATCAATGTCGAGGGCTCGTCCTCCAAGCTTGCCCAGAGCGCCGGCATTACCACCATCCACGCTGCCATCGACGGCGAATACGCCGGCTCAGTTGGCCTCTCAGACACCCTCAAACCCTCCGCTCGCGCCTGCATCCTCGCTCTCCACCGGATGAACATCTCAACCTCCCTCGTAACCGGCGACCAAGCAGCGACAGCCCAACACGTCGCCTCACTCGTCGGTATCCCGCCCGAATACGTCCACGCCAGCGTCCTGCCGAGCGGCAAACAAGCCATCATCGAAGATCTGCAGAAATCCGGCCAGATCATCGGCATGGTTGGTGACGGCATCAACGACTCTCCTGCGCTCGCCACAGCGAATGTCGGGATATCACTCGCGAGCGGCACGGACGTGGCGATGGAGGCAGCGGATATCGTGCTCATGAAGCCCAATCAGCTGATGGATATTCCTGCGTCGCTGAACCTCAGCAAAACGATCTTCAGACGGATCAAGATCAACCTTCTACTGTCATGCGTCTACAACGCTGTTGGCCTCCCGATCGCAATGGGGTTCCTGCTACCGTGGGGGATCCAGCTACCTCCCCTCGCTGCTGGGGCTGCTATGGCGTGTTCGAGCGTGACGGTCGTTGTCTCTTCACTGTTGCTGAAGCTCTGGCATCGGCCGCAATGGATGTTGGAAGGTGACGTGACGTGGGAAGGTCGCTCGGAGCATCCTTCTGGGCCGTGGAGCATCGTAGGTGCAGTAAGAGATCTTGTCACCGGGAGGAGGAGAAAGCAGGCGGAGGGTGATAGGGGTGCATACGTGCAGCTGGACAGCTTTGAGGCTGTTTAACTGCATTGTTCGATTTCATTGCATCGCAGAGCAGAGCATGGCGTTGGCGTTTTTGAGCAAGATTTGATACCCAGCAATGGATGAGCGGGCCGTTACTTATGTACCAGCTACTGTACTGTACGGACATTTTTCCATCCCTCTACCCGTCGTCATACGGCCATCCTGAACTTCAACAGATCCTTGCTGACGATATCTTCCTTCATACCGCTGAGCTCTTCAACGTCCCAGTTGACGGAGAGGTAGCGGCCGCTCAGCCAGTCGCGGCGTTCTTTTGTTAGCCAGGTGAGCCAGCCCTATTATCCAAGTCAGCATCTGATCCATATCGCTGACCGAGCAGCAAGAGGAAGCGACGTACACCACACAGATCCACATCGTCGTTTAGCCCTTTGTCCCAAGCATCGCCCTTCGACAGCGAGTGGTTCTGCGTCTGCGGCGTTACGACTCCTCCGGGGTGCAGTGCATACGACAACAATCCCTCTTTGCCATGATCCAAGGCCATCGACTCAGCTAAGTGGCACGCCTGGACACGGACGCTTATTAGCAATATCTCTGAGGTCTGCTATGAGAATAATGTAGTACGAACCCCTCGCTTCGAGACGTTATAAGCAATCGGCGTCAACCCAGAGCTATCCAGATGCGCCGCAAGACTCGTGATGACGACGAAAGCTTTCGCGCCGTCGGTTTCGAGGAGAAGGGGAGTGAAGCGACGTGCCACGCGAACGGTGCCTAGAAGGTTAACGTTGATGACGCGCTCGAAGTCGAAGTCTGTGGTTATGCCTTTCGGTAGGCTACCTATGCATCACGCACCCCCAACAGTCAGCGAACCGGCCTTCACGCATCAATCACAAATGATAGCAAGAAGAGGAATCAACGCACCATCCTCCAAATACTTCGAGATAATCCCAGCATTTGCCACGCAAACATCCAACCGCCCAAACCGCTCCTTCGTCGCCTTGAACAAGCTCTCTACATCCTCATCTTTAGTCGTGTCGCACAGCTGCGCAAGGATCTCGACTTTGGAGTCGACCTTTTGGATCTCAGCGGTCAAGGCTTCGAGGTCCGATGTCGTTCTGCTTGAGATGACGAGGCCGGTTGCATTGGCTTTGGCGTAGGAGAGGGCAATTTGGAAGCCTAAGCCTTTGCCGGCACCGGTCACGCAAATGACGAAGGGGCCGGCGAGTTTATTGTTTGAGGGATCGGTTGGGCCAGTTATGCTGTGGTGGATGGTGGAGGTAAAGTTGACGCCGTAGGTCTATTGGATGATCAGCGAGTGTGCTGTGTGGGATGGAAGGAGATTGTTACGTGTGGCAACCTGCCGAAGCCTTCGCCTTTGCTCATCTTCGCGTCGCTTTGTTACTGCGGTGAGTATATAGGTAGAGTTGCTATACTGTGCTGCGGTGTTGCGTGTGACCGACCTCGGCTTGTTGGGCGGCAGATAGAGTTGATCATTCCAATGTGATGATCGTTGAGCTTCACAACTTGATTGCAGTTAGATGAGTAGGCATTGTTGAACTTATATTATGTTATAGCGTTTGCACATATCCATCCTCGCGTATCCCAGGGCGGCTTGCCCACGCCCTGCGTAAGACCTTTACGCCGACAAGGCCTGTAGACGATCGACACTCTCTCGAGACACACGCAAGCGTACGTACGCCTGCTACCGCTTCTGCAAGTTCCTCATCATCGCATTCTCCGCATCACTGCTCAAGGCCTCTCGCTGCGGTCTCGTCTTGAGCCATTCCACGACCTTCGATGCTGACTCATTCGGTGGGAAGTCAGGATAGTTGACCCACACAATCTTACCATCTTCCACCGCCATTGTAAGACGCTTGATCAGCGTATCGCCTTCGAATTCGAACGTAGGTAGCTTCAAGGCCTTGACCAACTCCAGCTTCTGATCGCTCAAAAGTTGATAAGGCAGATGGACGCGCTCCTTGATTTCCTGCTGGTACGGCGTATCTTGGGTACTGACGCCGAAGATGTGTGAGACGCCGAGCTCGAGAAACTCCTTGGAAGCATCGCGATATGAGCATGCTTGGGGTGTGCAGCCCCGAGCTCCTGGGATCTCGTTCCATTCGTCCGGGACGACTTGACCTGGAGCGCCAGTTCGTGGATAGGCGAAGATGATTGTGAGGCCGGCGAGCGTTGTAAGATCCACGTTGTTGCCTGCAGTCGAAGGTAGTTGTGTAGACGGAACAGTGGTGCCTTTGAGGTGGTTGCAAGCTCCATCGTCAACAGGCTTGGGAAGGTCTGATGGTAGGTGAGTCCAGCTTGCTTCTGCTTTCTGCGTTAGTATTGCAATCGATTCGCACTTGGGAGGTACTTACGAGCCATGGTGGTGTTGCTTCGACGTGCTGTCAAGGTGAGCGTGGGACGGAGAAGGGTTCTTGTTCTTGAGATACGTGAAAACATGATGAGTCTGATGCGAACAATCGTCGAATGGCTTTATTAAGCCAATGGTATTCGCGCTATGCCAAGATTGGCAGTTCGTAGCGCCGGAAATGGGCTTAATGGGCCACAGCGTAGTAGAGCTTAAAGGTAGGATGTTCACGTTGTCGACGACCCGCTGTGACACATTGCTTCGGCTTCTCGCAGGATCTGAGTCAAAATGCAATGCATTCTATGCCTTGCTTCCCGACTTAGGTCTGTTTCTCCTCGCCTGCGGCCCTAGATCTTTGCCAGTAGTCAGCTCATGTATGCACCGTGTGTCTCGTGCAGGTTTATTCAAGCCCCTTTCCAGAGGAAGAGGAGCAATCCCAGTGTACACTTGCGTGCTGATATCGTCTGGAGCTGTCGGAACGTCACCCGTCGATTGAGGTATATCTACAGTGTCGTCTAGAAGTCGCTTCTCGCATTGCCAGACTTCAAGCCACTCATGCCTTCGGCTGCTCCACCCGGTCTGGAACCACCGGCTTCACCTCGATACAGGCTCTCACCAAGTCATCGACGACCTTGGGACCGGTCTTCTTGCCAATCTCCTTGATTTCCTTGAGCTTCTCTTCGGTGTCTTTGTCTGCCTGCTCTTCTGCCTCCTTGTTGCCAGACGATTGCTGTGCAGTGGATCAGCATACCCCCTGGTGGTCTTGAGCTTGACAGGCTGCTGTGTTGGCGTACCTTCTTCTCGTATTCCTTAAACTCCTCGTCCTTCTTTTGGCGGTACTCCTCAATCTCCTTCTGCGCCTCTGATCGTGCGTCCTTTACTCTCTTTGTTCGGTCTGTAAAGGCAGCCGTGAGTATGCAATCACAGTGCTGATATCGTCATGGCCGTGAGCCGTGGAGGGTTATCTGCCTACATTCTCGAGCTGTCCGTAATTTAACGATAGTCCGGAGGATTGCGAATTGCTTCGGATTAGATGCTCACCTTTCTGCACAATCTTCTGTGCTTCTCTCTCCGCCTTCAAACGTGTCAGTGACCGCACGATTGAACGTTATCTCGTATACTGGCGATGTTACCTACATCTAGCAGTGTCTGTATACCGGCCGAGTTTTGGGCCGCCTAAAGATCTCGTCAGCCGAACAAGCTCTCAATTCTGAGCAGTGTGTGGTACCATCTTTGATCTGGAGACTGCTCTGTATTGCGATTGAGGTAGGCAACTGGTCTCTCGAAGCGCAGATGGCCTGGAGTTGGCTGGATCGACCAAGCTTCCTTAACGTCACGTGACCTTGGCACTTCCGAGCTCCGCAAGGTATGTGGTCGTCAATGAACGAGCCAACTTCCGTGCATCACCATAACTGAGTATAATTGAATGAAGAAGATATGTCAACCAAAGCCAAAGTAACACTGGCTACAACAACACTCGCTGCAATTGGTACAGTGGTGTTTGTACACTACCAGCAGAAGGCCGACCAAGCAGTACAGCCCTTCTGAGCAGTCTTACTTGTCTGGTATTCAATCTAACTCAGTCCACAGGCTATGCATTTGGGCGTGATCCGCGATATGGAGCAGCAGAGGGTGAAGCGAGAAAGACAAGCCGACTTCGAGATGCAGCGACAAATGGAAGACGAGTACCGGAAAGTACAGAAAGTCAGTGATGGTCAGGGCACCGGTGCGTGAGATGGGTGAGATGGACGACAAGACGCGAGGACAAGTGGCATACATCCGCCAGCCTTCTACTTCTTGCAAGCAGCGCAATCGACCGGCAGGAGATCAACTGTAGGCGCGACAGGCCCTGCGCGCCTCGGGAACTTCCACATCCCCATATTGCTCCTGGCGGGAGTACTTGGTTATCCACCCGCGGGTCCGGACCATCCCTGGATGGTCGACAAGCTTCACCACCTTTTCCGTGCCAAAGTCGAGGGCAGAAGCCATGCCTAGCCGGAGGACAACCGAGGAGGAAGACCACGGTCCGTTGGGTTGAAGACATGAGCGCCAACCAGCCGTCTCATGATGCAGCACGCTATGCGGATATGCCTCGACCCACAGGACTAGCGATTAGATCTTGTAGCGTAGCAGCACGCTGTCAGCAGCTCCGCACTCGGTCCAGACGGCTCTCGATCTACCCGTTGTGCATCAGGCCTGTGGAGCATTGGGTTGGTGACTGCTAGGCCGAAATTACGGACTTGCCGACACACGACGATCAGAACATCTGCCTATATCCGTGTCAACTTAGGGTCACGGAAACACTTTGCGAACTTCTCACAGCATCGCTGACCCAGCTGCCAACATGGGCCTAGCGCCACTCCGCATGGCCCGCTGGAGCTCAGCTTCGTAGCGAAGTATCGCTAAGAATTCGGACAACGCATCGTACATATACAACTACCTGTTCACAAAACTGCTACCTCCCGCGCTTGCGCCCCACAAACTCGCCTGCGTCGAGCTTTAATTCATCCGATAGGCCCCGTCCCGGTCCTGCGGTCCGCACGAGCTCATTCTTATGCATGAGGTCGTAGAACTAAGGTTGTCACGCCCATGCCTCTTACATCACGGCTCAATCGGCACTTGCTGTACATAGGTACGTTACCATGTGCTCAGGACTGGATTTGCTGCGCGGAAGAGCTCATGCGCAGCCGTTCAACGTACAGGGTCGAGGGCACCTGTCGGCACGCCCAACGTGAGCCACCAACGCATGGCCTAGATGATCTACGGCAGAACTACATGGGAGCATGTCCAGGGCATGTCCAGGGCCAGACAGTGATTCGGTATCAGATGTTTCTTTGCCGCTCACGAGATCCACTGCGCTTCTTGCCGTGGTCTTCATAAAATGCTAATGGCAACTTCCGCTGGAAAGACCTGCTCGCGAATGTCTAGAGCCGTCGCTTTACGGCAAAGCAGTCCTTGTGCGGTGGCATCTCGGTCGGCTCTTATCGTGACCCACCCCAGCATCCCTCAAGTATGGCCTCAATAACGTCCAGGCATTCGCTCCGGCTTCCTCGCAGCAACCAGAAACATGTTGGTCGAGCAGGTACCGCTTTCAGCCTGGGTGCTTGTCGCCGTGGTGTTCCTTGTAGCTTCGAGACTGCAGAGACCCAAGAAGTCTACCGACATCCTGCCCAAGGTTCGAGCGGAAGATGAACCACGGTGTCTCAACAGTCAGGTGCCGCTCGTCGGCCATGCATACAACTACCTCAGTCAGGGTCCGGTGTACTTGTACCGACTGTGGTATGACATGACTCAGCCCCGGGCTTCCGAAACGAGCTAACAGAAGCGCAGGAAGCAGTCCGAGGAGGCCATCTTCACGTTGAAGGTCCTGAACAAGAGCATCTACGTCTTTGCGGATCCAGAGGCGTTGCAAGCTGCCGAGAAGCACTACAAGACCATCATCAACGACGAGCTGTTCGTGGAAGGAACGTCGCAGCTGTTCTTATGGAGCAAGCGTCAGCAAGCGATAGCCCTCATTCACCTGCGAGACCCACATTCTGCTGTGCCAAGTCTGTTGAAGACTGTACGACCGGCATTGCGAGACAGTCTCCGACCTGGCGCCAACTTGGACGAAATCGGATTCAGATACCAGAAAGAGTTTGGTCGGCATGTCAATGGCCTGGCTGCCAGCGGACCGGAGAACATCATGCTCTGGGACTGGATAAGAACGACAATGACACTCGGAGCTGGCCTGGCGACGTTCGGCCCCAAGCATCCGTTCGTGGTAAACCCGTCCCTGCAAGCTGACTTCTGGGCTGTTGAGAAGGAGAACTTAAAGTTGATCTTCTACCCCTTTGCCTCGCTGGTGTTGAGAAAAGGCTTCAAGGCCCGACAGAGAGTCCTGCGAGCCATGTCGGATTACGCCAGCAGCGACGGTAGGGAGCACGCATCTGCGTTCGTCAAGGCTTACCACAAGGTACTTGAGCAGTACAAGCTCACGGACGAGGAGCTCGGTTCTTTCGACGCTACGGTCCTGACGGCCTTCATCGGCAGCCTGATTCCTCTCGGCTTCTGGGTCATCTGCTTCATCTTGGCGAAACCAGAGCTCATGAATGCCGTTCGAGAAGAAGTCGATCGCTGCGTCGTGGCACCAGATTCCACTGGTAGTTCAACTAGCGTTGACATGGACAAGCTTCGCAACAACTGCCCGACATTACTCGCCTCACTGAGAGAAGCTGGACGCATCGCCATGCAAGCCCCGCTCTTCCGGACAGTCACAGAGGATACGCGTATCGCCATCCCATCGCGAGGCGAGACACACCTCTTGAAGAAGGGAAGCCTAGCTATGATTGCGGTCAGCTGTGTCCACGGCAACGAAAAGGTCTGGGGTGACGATATCCGAAGCTTTGACGAAAAGCGCTTCTTGCCCCGGAAGACTTCAAGCTCAGACGGCACCAACTCTGACGAGCAGAGCGCAAAGGCCGACCCGGACATCGCGCGGCCGGTCTTACTCGATTCTTTTACCAAGTCGGCTTTCAGTCCCTTCGCCACAGGCGTGCATCTTTGCCCCGGTCGACACTACGCGCAGACGGTCATCATGACCACAGTGGCGATGTTCATCGCCAGCTTCGACGTGACGCCGCTGGACAGCGACAAGATTGTCATTCCGCCGATGAAGCCGGAGCTGGGTCTCGGTGCTGGAAAGCCGATCAACGACGTTGGACTGACTGTTCGAAGGAGGAGTGGCTTCGAGGGAGTACAATGGGGTCTAGATGCTTGATCTTGGTCTGGAAGGGCGGTGGCTTGTTCATTTCGATGCTAATCTTGTTGATACAGTGGGCTATACATAGGGGCGGTCTTCTTGTAGTCTTTGTACATCCTCGTCTGTTTCTGGTCTTCGGTCAGGCTTATTTCATTACCTCACTCAAGCAGCACCCATTTTTCGCCTCGTCTGTGTCTCCGAACGACAAGTACACACGCCATTGGGACCTTGCAATGGTGTGGTGCTGCTACTTCCTCATGCAGCTTGATCCTCCCCAGATTCGTCTCCAGATCTTCCCTCCACACAGGCTTGCATCCTTCTCGAACGACGCAATGCAGGGACGACATTTGATCGACGCTGTCGTGCACATGAGAGCACATGGGAGGCACAGCATAGAGCTGACCGACACTGAGATTCGACTTGGTTGTGTGCTTCGATATACGACATCTCAGCAGACGGCAGCGAGCAGAGGATCTGGGCTCTGTTCAAGACGAGTTGCAACGACGCAGCCTCCTACACGGTGTGTCGACCGTAGTATATGAAAAGTGTACCGAAGCAAGCATTGAGAGAGCACTTTCTCAACATGCTGTCGTCCAAAGCAAAGATGCGCACAACAAGGTCATCGACCGAGCAAAAGCTGCAACGGACAAGGAGCATCGAATGAGCCTACTCGAAGGCATCAAGACCTACCCTAAAGCAGTTGGATGGTCGATGCCTTCGAGGAGGCGGTGGAAGGGGATGCTTTCCGCAAGTACCAAGAGAAGACCCGGCAGGTGGAGGACGTACAGAAGGCGTGGAACGGCAGATATAGTCACCAGGCAGAGTAGATATGTCGTCCGCATGTTCGACTTCTTCCGCTGCACGACGCCTTCAAAGCTTCAGTTTCATCAATACCTTCCCATTCCCGCCCGGCCACGCAACCTCCTCCCAACCACTCGAGCATAAGATCCGATACATCTTCTCCCACCGTTCCGGGTATGTGCAGACCGTGAGCTCGCGATAGCCGCTCGCAGCCGCACGGTCTTTGACTTTATCCAGTAACAAGGGAAAGACGCCGAGTCCACGAATCGATGGAAGCACAGCCGCAAGCCAGATATGCATAAGCTCCTCTCCAATCTCAGGATGTCTTCGTGGCAGCACGAATAGAAAGCCAATTGGCCGTTCCGGATCCGAGGACTCAGTGTCTGTTGCATAAAACACAGCCGCTTTTGACGGAGCAAGGTGCTCTTCCCAGACTCTCCTCTGTTGATGAGATGGTAGGTCGTCTTCCGGGCGATGTGTAGAGAAGACGTCTATGGAGAGCTGAAGCAGATTCTCAAAGGCAGCGGGGTCTTCTTCGCTCGAATTGAGCTGATGGTATTCGAGTCTTTGCGCGAAAGTGGTTTTCGAGGGCATGCTTTCTACAGAGAACAGTTTTTGTTTGAGTTCCTTGGGGTTTGGAGAAAGAAAGAAGTTTTTCTTGCTGCAGCCCCCAAATTTGGTCGGTCGTCGAACAACGAATCGTTAATCTGGAACTGATTCTTAAAAGGGAGGATGAAGATAAGATGAAGTTGAGCATATGACTCGTCAATTTTCAAGCGTATATACACCAGAAATAACCACGCTCTGCCGCTCTCCAGCTCAACTCTCCCCTCCTCTGCTGCTCAATTCTGCTCCATCTATGGGAGGTTCTGGGGAGTGTAGCTCTGGTCTGGCTTGACGACCTTGCCGGATGCCAGCTGCTTGTCGGTGTAAGCTGGGTAGATGATTTGCTTCTTGTTGTTGTCGACGACCTAGAGGCAAAATGATCAGCAAATGTCTTAGAAATGGTACGGTATTGCTCATGAAGACATACCGCAAGGGTGGTGAAGCCGTTGCCAGCGCCGAACTGGCCAGACCAGCCCGTAGAGACGGTGTAGATGCCGCACTGGTTGCCGCTGGAGTCGGTCTGGGTGGCTGGGGAGCCCTTGACCGAGAACTTGCAGGTCACTGGGGCGGCGACGTGGTTGTCGATCTTGAAGCTCCAGTTGCAGGTGCCGGAGGCGCAGACGCGCTTCATGCTCTCGATGGTCCACTGAGGAGCGGCGGCGACCATCATGTCGACAGCTGGGGTGTCGCGGGCCTCGATCTCAACTGGGGAGGCGAAGGCGGCGGTGCTGAGGACAGCGGCCAGGATGCTGGTGGTGAACTTCATGTTGATGGTGGGTTGGAGGTTTGGTGGTTGTAAGTTGAAGGGGTGGTGTAGTGGATGTCTTGTCTTGTGGAGTTGTTGTGCTGGATGAGGAGGAAACACAGAACAGCTGGAAGATCTCACCTCTTATATACCTGGTTGCTCAGCCAGTGGTGGCCATGTAAAGTATCGTATGCACGCCTGCTTACGCTGTGGTATGATTTCAGGCTCGAGAAAGTAAGACCGTGCCCCAGGAGGAATGTATGACATGCTAGTCAACCTTTCCACCTTCTCCCAGAGGGGTTGTACCCAAAGTCTGCTCGGGGACTCGCCAAACAGCGGTGGCTCAGCTCACTGGCTAGAGAACGCATTCCAGGAGAGGAATTGCGGCTCCCGTAAACACTCGTATTCGCCATACTTTCGGCGTTGTCGAGGCACGCCGCGTGCATCCGGCCTTTGGCGGTGGTGTCCTAGACTGGCAAATATTGATTAGGTTACGAGAGATGGGCTCACAATAGATCAGCTCAGCTCTTCTCAGGCAGAGGTTGTGGTGGTGGCGGCGGTCATGCTACCGGGCCAGCAGACGTGAGGTGAGCGCGGCAGCCTTCGAAGACACCTTCTAGAACCGTGGCGCCGCCCTTCGCCCTTCTCCGCGAAGCTGTCTTCCTGCAGGTGGTGTTGAGTCTCGTGAAAGCTCCTCCAAGTAGCATCTGTAGGCGGAGAGAAGCTCCATAAATAGAGGCGGATAGGTCCGCCAATAGCTCCAGAGCTAGTATAACGTTCCTCGAAGTCGTATCCAAAGGGTTGTCGGTGGCATCGTCGCTGCAAGCTGTGGTCACGTTCGCATCTTGCCAGTAATCATGACAAACTCGCGGAACACAGCGCTCGCGGGAAGCCGGCCCTGTCTTGCTCGCTGTGTCAGACGTTCCGTGTCACCAAGAGTACCCGGGGACTTTCAGCCCTACGTCCAACGCGGAGCCATGCAGCCTTAGTTTGACCACAAAGAAACTTCAGCGACTTCTCCTCGAGAGTGACATTGAAGTGAAGCAACCGTGGATCTCGTACGGTCTCTTTCGGACTGCTGGGTCTGGAAAACCTGGATTCCCATCACGCACTGGAGTCTGGTGAAAAGACTGCTGAAAACACCCGGCACGTGTCGACATGAAGATCTAACTCTCCACGGAGCCGAGAGTACGAAGCAGCAGAGCGTTGAGTATCTCCAACCTGCTCCTAGAGCGACAAGCGGTATCTGGAACAAAGCAACTCCATCCCGACAAGCTCGGGACCGTCCCTGGCCGTACCTCAGCGAGCAGGGCCCCCTCATGGCAAGCTCCAGGAGACCGGACCTAGGCGCGTTCGAGAAGAGCGGTGGAATAGGTCGATTGGCGTTCGGTCGAGCCGTTGAATACAGCGAGGCGTACGTACATCTGGGAAGCCGCTTGGTGCACTCTTGCGTCTGGTAATCACGATGCAGGCGAATGCCAGTGATCCGCCATAAGTTTGTTGCAACCTCCCACAACACTCCCCTCCGTTTTTTGTACCAATCTCGCGCGGTGTTTCTCCACCTCATGCGCCTCTTCGATACGACGAGCGTCGATCGTTCAACCCACCGAGAAGCCTCCATCGTCCGGGATGGTGAAGCGAAAGATACACGACATTGCCCAATTCTCGACAGCAGTGGTTCCTCCACCCATAGCAGTCACTCCTCCACATGCCCCCTCTTCCCGGCCAAAACATACGGTCTCGCCTCCCAAAACCCATCCCCAATAATATCAACATGCTCAACCGCAATCCTCGCCTTCTGCTTCCTCTTCCTCTCCTTCTCCAGTTGACTCTTACTCCCCCCTTTCGCCCCCTCACTCACACCTCCACCCAGCCCTTTCCCACCACTGCTCCGCTGACCCTCGACATCACCACTCTGCCTCGTCCCCCCCTCCTCCGCATCATAAGCGCGATAAACCACCGTTCCCTTCCTCCAAATCGCCGGCTCATTGTTATAATTCACCTCAAACCGCGACCACAAAATCTCATTCTTATCGGCTGCCAACGTGCCCTTGAGCGCCTCCTCCGCCGCCTTCCCGTCCATCTCACCCTTCAGCACCAAGTTCCAGAAAACCGTATTGTACAAGTTATTAATATGACAATCCGCCTGTCGCCACGCCAAGTAGTCCCTTAGAATCTTGCGCTTAGGATACGCCACGCACCTCCCATCGAACGTCGGAAAGGGCCTGCTGAGCTGCTGTTCCGGGAAGAAAGTTGGCCATTGGAGACAATACTCCGCGGTAAACGCTGTAGCAACCGTCGTAGCCAACTTCGCCGCTCTCCGCTCAAACATCGTAGCGGACTCGTGGAAAATGAAGCTATACTCGTCACTCTGGCCGTAGGCGAGCACGATGTCCACCAGTGAACGAACGACCTCTGTAGCAGCGGCGTTCATCAAATCCAGAGCGCGTTGGTCGTTGGGTTTTGAGAAACTGTACTTTTTGCAGAGCTTGCTGAAGCCACGGCCGTCGATGCGCACGACGATCCAGTTGGAGGGGGGAATGGCGTCGTGATGCTCGAAGTGGCGGACGTATTCGAATCCGCTGTTGGCCATGGTCGAGGTGTGGGGTTGTTTTCACGTGTTTTTGCAGGACGATGTGAAGTTAAGATAAGAAGTGAGGTCCCGCCGTGACAAGCAGGAGCGACTCATATCGGGGCGAACGGTCTCTCACAGATTTCAATCTGCAGCAGAACAATTCACAATGCACAAGAGGCACAGTGCGCACTTTTCACGATGTCATATTTCGCTCCCCTACTACCCTACCATATCCATATCCACAAAGTCCACCACCCCATCCCCCAGTGCAAAACCATTCGCCCCCCAGGTATCATTCTGTTCCCGTCATCTAAAAACACACAACCACTTCCCATCAAAAACCCCCCATCTTTTTTTCTTTGATATGATGAAGGAAGCGCACTCGCATCCAAAACCAGCAGCCCGTCCTGCTCCCATCCCATAATATGCATTGAGAAAACGCCGTTGTTCCATGACCAGCCGGTCCCCCCGATGCCCGAACGCTGCAAAAACTCAAGCAAGCAATGATGTTGATACACTTCAGCAGCCGACTCGAAAAGACCAGAGATGAAGCGGGAGAAAGAGAAAGGTAGCGTGGGCTCAGCGAAGAGAACGCCTTCCTCTCCCCATCCTCTTGCGGCCTCAGATCAATCTCATCGCTGCACCGCACTCTCTCTTTTCTGGCCTTCGATCTTCCTTACGCCACAAAAACATGATAAAAAACACCACCTCGAAACGCTCAAATCGAGCTCTATTCCTCTTTCGGTGAACTGCCTCCCTGTCAGCAAACCACTCACACCCTCACGCGTGCAAAACATGTTACTCACTTGGGCGAATACTGCGGACTAGTAGGCGAGTACTGCGGACTCGTCGGACTCCTCCCGTTTCCACCCCCAAACTGCCCACTCGGACTCGTCGGGCTGTACGAGTTCTGTGCGGGGCTCGTCGGCGAGTACACGGGCGACGTGGGAGAATAGCTCGGACTCGTCGGGCTGATGCCTGTGCCGCTGCGGGTCTGCTTCGGTGAGGTCGGGGAGTAGGTCGGGGACGTCGGGCTGTACTGCGGGGAGGTGGGGGAGTACTGCGGGGATGTCGGGGAGTATTTGGGGGAGGTGGCGCTGCCGACGTGGCCGGGGGAGGTGGGGGAGTAGTTTGGCGAGGTGGGGGAGTAGGAGGGTGAGGTTGGGGAGTAGCTCGGCGAGGTGGGCGAGTAGCTTGGGCTGGTGGGCGAGACTTTGTTGCCGGTGCCGGCGTTGTAGGATGGGCTCGTTGGGCTGTAAGAGGGCGATGTGGGCGTGTAGGCTGGCGAGCTCGGACTGCCGCCGAATTGGTACGCCGGGCTCGACAACCCAGCACCAGGCGACGTTGGGCTGTAGCTCATTGAAGGCGATGTAGGCGAGTAGCCTCCGTAAGGACTGGCGGGCGACATGCCTCCGAAGGGGTTCGGGCTCTGCGGAGCGTAGCCAGATTCGTAGCCAGGGCTCATGCCGCCTCTACCGCCGTACGGGCTGAAGCCGCCGGCCATCGATCCGTAAGAAGTGAGACCGCCGGCCTCGTCTGCGCCAGGTTGAATGATGGGTGAGAACGAGGCGCCGTAGTCTTGTCCACCAGCGCCATAGCCTTCGGCGAGCGGCGAGCCCATATCGTAAGGCGTCATGGCACCATCCATCGGGCTGGCGGCCCCAGCAGCCAGCGATCCCATCGCCTTCTGCGTCGACACGACCGTCTTGAGCATCTCCTGGTCCAGGAAGCAGTCGAACTCTCCAGTCCCAGAAGGCGCCAGCTGTCCAAGAATGATGTTCTCGGAAACACCCCTGCAGTCGTCCAGCTCACCAGAGCTTGCCGCCTCGAAAAGAATCTCCACCGTCTCCTCAAACGAACACCTCATCAACGCACCAGTATCCGCACGGTTGATACCATGTCTCGTGACCGCCATCAGACTGCCACGAGCGCACATGACATCGCACAAGATGCCCATGTGGCGGTGGTTGACGTACGAGCCATCATTCGTCAAGACATCCTTCAACTCCCGCATCAGCGCCGCACGTGTCGCTTCGATCCCAAACACCTTCATGATCTCGCCGAAATGGTTGCACGTCGTGCGCGTCTCGTCCACGCCGTCCACACTAAGGACGTCGCGGAGATTCACGCCGTCGGTGTCGAGATACCACTCCTTGCACTTCTCGTCGTGCTTGCTGCGCACGAGCTCGCCGGTGTCCTTCTCGTACATGTGCAAATCCGTGCTGACGAAGGCGCGGCGGACGCCGTTGACGCCACGCAGCACGACGGTGTCGAGCATGTGGGTTTCGAGACGCTTGAGGGTGTCCTCTTCTTCCTGCCCACCCTCCTCTTCGTCCTTCATGTCGCGAGAAGCGTGTCCGGTGAGCATACGCACACGCACAACCTGCTCGTCGGCGTTGTCGTCGGAGAAGATGACTGCGACGTCCGAGCCAAAGATCTCCTTGATGCGACGGGCGACGTCGGAGACGGTGAGGCCCTTGTCCAACAGCTGTCGTCTGCCCAACACAATACGCAACAGCCACCTGCTCTGCTGGTCCATAGGCTCCGCGGAGTCCTCAGGGATAATGAAGTAAGACTCCACCATATCCTTATCAGCCTCGATGACCGTGCTGTCAATGACTGGATCATAGTAGATCTCTGTCTCGTCCGTAACACCCCGCAGACTGGTGTGCTCAATCTTCGACCGCAGATCCTTGCAAGATTCTTGGTTGAGCCGGTCCTTCTCCAATTGGTAGACCTTCATGTTGGGCGTCTTGAGGTTCTCAGCCACGTTCAAGATTTCCTTGAGACGCGGCACACCCTTGGTGGTCGTCTTGGCTGTCACACCAGCCAAATGGAAAGTGTTGAGCGTCATTTGGGTAGCCGGCTCACCAATACTCTGCGCAGCAAGCACACCGACCATCTCGCCTGGGCTGGCCAAAGAGCGCGAGAAGCGGTTCTCAATGTCGCCGAGAATGTTGTCGAGCGCAAGCTTGTTCAAGCTGTCCTCCTTGACGATCCGCTTGAAGGCAAGTCGGCTGCGGAAATTGGCTTTGGTTAGCAACATCGCGTCCAAATCAGCCTGAGCACTCAAGTCGTCGTCGCCACGCACGATCCTCAGCCTATCAAGCATAGCTTTGATCTTCGGAATGGCGTCCCGTGGGTCAAGATCGCTGCGAGCACCATCCTTGATCTTGAACTTGTCACGAGCATTCCGAATCATGCGCCCAACGTTGAGCGGCAGCTGCATGCTCTCGCTCGCGTCGTCCAGACCCTTTCGGATCTTGTCACGAGCGTGGCGGATCTCGTCGAACTCCTCGTCGAAGAGCGCCTGCACCTCGATGTCACCCTGGATCTCGTCGGCCATCTCAAGCTCATCCCTAGTGAGCTGAAAGTCCTTGCTAGGCGTGATGACGTCGATCTTGTACTTCCTCTCGAAAGCCTGCTGGCTGGACATGATGATCTCCAAGCTCTGAGGCTCAATACACATGGCGTCCAGTCCGTCTTCGCCATAGATGAACTGCAGAATGTCGCCCAGTGAGTTTCGCACTGTCCCATCGTACTTGACCATGACTTCTTCCAAAGCCTTGACGAGACGACGTTGAATGTACCCAGTCTCTGCAGTCTTGACAGCTGTATCGATGAGACCTTCTCGACCACCCATGGCGTGGAAGAAAAACTCTTGGGGTGTGAGACCACGCAGGTAGGAGTTCTCGACAAACCCTCTGGAAGCAGCCGAGTAGTCGTCCTTGGGGAAGTGAGGCAGCGTCCGGTACTTGAAGCCGAACGGCAACCGCTTGCCCTCCAGTGACTGCTGACCCACCGCGGCCGTCATTTGCGAGACGTTGGTGGTGCTGCCCTTGGAGCCACTCTTGACCATAGTCGACACGTTGTTGCAGCTCTTCATGTCGTTGTACGCGACGTCACCACCCTTGTTTCTGGCATCATCGAGATGCATCTTGGTCTTCGACTCAAACGTCTCACGAATCGTCATGCCGGGCAACTGTTCCAGCTTGTTCGTCTGCACAAGCGTCACAATCTTCTCGATCTCAGCCTTCTGATCCTGAATCGCCTTCTCAATGTTCGCAGCCATCTCCGCGTCAGGGATGGTGTCGCCGATGCCGACAGAGAAGCCGTTGTGCAGAAGCCAGTAGGCGATAATGCGCTGCGCAGCGTTGAAGAACTCGACCGCCGCCTCAGGGCCCTTGTCATTGTAGACGTAGTGGATCACCGTTCCAGGCGATGCTCCGACAATCTTCTTCGTGATGCGCCCATGGATGAGTTCGCCGTTCTGTATCTGGATGCCCTCGACTTCGTGCAACGGGAAGTCCCTGTCCTCCTTTTCGCTGCTGCGGAACATGTTGAGCCCGTTTGGTAGAGCGAGCGATACTATCTGCTTGCCCGTCCATCTGGGGCTCGGCTTCATGATCGCAGGAGGTGGGATTATTCCGTCCCAGCCAGGCACCCACATGAGGATGTTCATGACTTGCTCGCGATCGAGCATCACATCACGCCTAGTGATGAGGTAGAAGCCGGCCATGGTGTCTTGTACGATACCCATCAACGGGCCGTTCTTCTGAGGCGAGACGATGTTGAGAGGTACGGCACAGAGATTCATAACCTCTGCGCGGGTCTCGTGGCCCTGCGGGACGTGCAAGTTCATCTCGTCGCCGTCGAAGTCGGCGTTGTAGGGAGAGGTGACAGAGAGGTTGAGGCGGAAGGTGGAGTAGGGCATGACCTTGACGCGGTGACCCATCATGGATTCCTTATGGAGGGAGGGCTGACGATTGAAGATGATGAAGTCGCCGTCGACAATGTGGCGCTCGACTTTCCAGCCGTATTGGAGGGTCATCTCTCCTGCGCGCTTGGAGTGTCGCAGATCAACTCGCTCACCGTTGTCGCGGATGACGTACTTGGCGCCAGGGTGCTCGTTGGGTCCATTACGGACAAGCTGGGTGAGCTTATGGATGTTGTAGGCATTGACAGTTTCTGGGAACGTCAGCGTCTTTGCGATCGAACGTGGTACGCCGACTTGATCCAAGTCGAGATTGGGATCGCCAGTGATGACGGTGCGAGCAGAGAAGTCGACTCGCTTGCCCATCAAGTTGCCTCGCAGACGACCTTCCTTGGACTTTAACCGAGCACGAATCGCCTTGACCGGGCGGCCAGACTTTTGAATCGCCTTTGGCACGCTGGCGATGTCATTGTCCATGTACGTCGCCACGTGGAACTGCAACAGCTGGAAGAATTCCTCAACGACATGCTGGGGGGAGCCTTCCTGCTCGCAGCGACGGACGTTGGAGTTTGCGCGGATGATGTCGGACAGCTTGTAGGTCAAGTCATCCTCTGAGCGCATACCCTGACTGGTGCCGTCGACCGATATGCTTGGTCTCACTGCTGGCGGCGGGACAGGCAGCACAGTCAGGATCATCCACTCCGGCCTAGCGTAGTCGACGTTGCAGCCCAGACGATTGAGGTCATCGTTGGAGATGTTGCGGAAGACTTGCAGCGCATCGGCGGGGGCGATCAGGCGCTTCTCCGCGCTGTTCTTCTCGTCCCCATCCTCGTCGCTCTTCGCGACCTTCCACGTGCCCCAAAGCCGAAGCTGCTCTTTCCGGATCTCAGGCTGGACATTGCCACAGCCACCGTGACCCTGGTACTTCAACTGCGCTTTCGGGTCGCTGGGGTCGTCGGAAGGCTCGTCGGCCTCGCAAGTCTTCTTCATCTTGCACAAGCGATGCACGGCTTCGAAGCGCCGCTTGGGGTCTCGAAGGCGGACGGCTTGTCCGAACGCTGGGTTGCGCTGGAGGTATGTGTGTAAGCACTGATTTGGGAAAAGAAGGACCTACCTGATGGGGGTGTAAGCGATACTTACTTCATCTTCCAGCAGCTTGCCGCAGTTGTGGCAGACACATTCAAGGATCTTCTTGACCTTGTTGATGTAGCCTGGTCACGTGATGGTCAGTTTAGGCAGCTCTGAGTCAAACTTTAGAGATGACCAACTCACCAATGTGGAAGACCGGCACGGCGAGTTCGATGTGGCCAAAGTGTCCAGGACACTCAGTCATGCTCTCCTCGCACGTTGCGCACTTGTAGCCACGGTCGGTGGTGCCCAGCTTGGGGTCGTTCAGCCCTTTCTCGCGTGGCCTCTGCCGCTGCTCATCCATCGTCTCTGGGTACTCGATGTGGCACACGCTCATCGCCTTGATCTCCTCTGGCGGGAAGAGGCCGAATTGGATCTCCTGCACCGTTTTCAGCGGCGCTGAGGAGTATGCGAATGTGAAGTTCGACATGCTGGCGGATTTCTTCGCGCTCGGTTTGTCGTAGTGTGCGCGTGACTATGGCAAGTCGTTCTCTGGCGGCGAACTCGTGTGTCTGAGTTTGTCTGCTCGAACGTCGCGCTCTTTTCACCAGCTTTTCTCCGTCTCTCGCCACCACTTCACAGCAGCCCCCTGTCACCGCACCACCTCGTCAGAGGCTGCCCTCACTCCCACGACCCTCGACGCACACTCTCCAGCCTCTCCGTCACTCCCTCGCTCGATTTTGTGATGTCCGGTGATGGAAATATCGCGCGCTCGCTGCGCAAGCTGTGCCGGTAAGAATGGGAAGGCGCCCGTGTGAAGTCAGTCGGACGACCCGCGGCGACTGGCGGAAAGGAGTGGAAACCGTGCTCTTGTCTCTTCGCACGCGGCGGTGTGAGTTGTGGCAGTATCGCGCGCGTATCTGGCGATATCTGGGTGGTTTGAGGGTGGATGGAGAGGCGAGCGTGTTGGTGGATGTGCAGCGGCCTCTTCTTTGCGTTGCGGGATGCGGCTTTGTTAGCGCCTTGGCGGTGGCCCTTTCGGCTTGCAGCGAGACGTCGGCCAATGAGAGGGCGGTATGCCCTTGCTTGAGCCTCGATTCACTACACCTCACTCGAGTACCTCTATTCACCGCTGAGTCACATGCTGGACAGGAGTGAAGACGTGCGAGCTCGTTCCATAATGTCGGCGCAACCGCACCGATGACTCGACACGCCGTGACGGTACTCCCATCATGAACCTCCCACTCACGGACCCGTTGCTGCTGGCGCAAGATATTCCCGAGTCCCTCTCCGCTCGACTACGCAGCAGTGGGCAGGCAGTATGCATTCGCTTCTCGCACCGCGGTGACCTCCTAGCCAGCGGGACAGCCAAGGGGACTATTGCCATCTTCGACCTCGAGACCAATGGCGTCGCCCGCAAACTACAAGGCCACACCACCGGCCGCACAGTGCAGTCCCTGTCATGGGAGAAGAGTGGGCGCTACCTCCTCAGCAGCTCCATAGACTGGAAGGTCATTCTCTGGGACCTCAAAGACGGCAGCAGGGTGCGGGTATGCAATCTAGGCGCTCCAGTCTACATCGCAGAACTACATCCGCAGAACTGGCTGATGTGCGTCGCGGCGCTTTACGAATACCGTCCTGTGCTGGCCGACTTTACCGACGTCAAGCGGACGCACCAGCATGCTCTACCCAACCTCCCCAAACGCGGCGCGCACGAGGCTGAGGCGTCGGAAAAGGCTGATGCTAAGCACTTCACCACCGTCGCCGCCTTTACCCCCGGCGGCACGCACATCATCACCGGCACCACGAAAGGTTGGCTCAATCTGATCTCTACCTCTACACGGGAGACGGTCTACTCTACCCGCCTCTGCAGCAAACCCATCCTCCTCATCCGACTATCAAGCTCCGGCCGCGATCTCCTCGTCAACGCCTCCGACACCATCATCCGCACCATCAAACTCCCCGACCTCACCTCCCCCACCCTCTCCCCCGACAACATCAACCTCGAAGTCGAGCACAAGTTCCAAGACGTCGTCAACCGCCTCTCCTGGAACCACGTCGCCTTCTCCTCCAACGCCGACTACGTCATGGCTTCTACTCTCATGAACCACGACATCTACATCTGGGAGCGCGGGCACGGCTCGCTGGTCAAAATTCTGGAAGGCCCGAAGGAAGAGCTCGGAGCGGTGGAATGGCATCCTTCGCGACCGCTGGTGGCAGCGACTGGGGTGGAGAGTGGGAGGGTGTATGTCTGGGGCATCAACATGCCGCAGCGCTGGAGCGCGTTAGCACCAGACTTCGCCGAAGTAGAAGAAAACGTCGAATACATCGAGAAAGAAGACGAATTCGACATCCGCCCCGCCGAAGAACTCCAACAGCGTCGCTTAGACCAAGAGGACGAAGAGGTCGACGTCCTGACCGTGGATGAAGAGCAGATTGAGCGCGAGGGCGGCTTCAAGCAGGAGAGGGAAGACGAGTTCCGCATGCCAGTGCTGCTGGATATGGGGGAGAGCGATTCGGAGGATGAGATTGTGGCGATTGGGACGGGGCAGTTTCGGAGGAAGAGCACGGCGCAGGATGAGATGGGGTTTGAGGATGGGGAGGGGGAGGGGGCAGTGAGGGAGGGGGGAAGTGGACGGAAGAGACGGAGGGCGGATTGAGGGTGGTGCATGGACGGTATGATAAAGCGTCTCGCATTAGCGCTGGGCTAGCTGTCAAGATACGGAGGCGACGAGCGGACTGTGGGTTTGGGGGACGGCATAGCGGTGGCGTTAAGGGGAGGGGGAGGGATGAGATACCCATGCATTTGACGTCAAGGTCGATTTTGTTTTCATCATATTTTCCATTCGCATTTCCTACAGGTCTTAGTAAAGTACTGCTTATTGCTTTGCAGGGCTGCAGCACAATGGCCGTCGGAAGAACAAAGGGCGAAGAAGTCCGAAGCCTCTTGTGCTGTATACCGTCTCCGCATCCGGCAGTCAGTAAGTAACAAAGAACAAAGGCCTATACCACCTACTACGCGGTGGCTACACAATCGCAGCAGGTTTCTCACATCCACAACAGCCCGAAGGGAGCATTCGACATCCAGACTACCCAACCTGCCGGACATAGGATACGCAACCCAGACCGCACCAACACAACCCGCGCAAACAGGGCCAACCCACCCAACAACGCAACCGACACCCGCCACGCCCGCGCCTGGATCGCATGGCAACTCCGCAGAGGGGGACGGACACTCGCTGACATCATGGCCGACTGGCGGGGCGCAAACACGAGGACTTTAGGCTTTCGGGCGAGGCAGGCATATGCTGCTAACCAGTTGGTGGGTCTTGACAGGGAGTTGCATCGGACAGGTGGGCAGGGCCAGGCGGCGGCAGGGAATGCCGGTGGTCAGGCGCCGGCGGCGGCGGGAAATGCGGGCAACGCAGCTGGGGCGGGTCAGGGCGCTGGTCAGGGCGCAGCGGCGGTTGCCGGGAATGCTCAAGGAAATGCTGGAGGTCCGGCTGCTCAAGGAGGGGCGGCAGCAGCAGCTGGGAACGCTCAGGCAAGTGCCGGAGGGCGGGCGAACGCTGGAGCGCTGGTTCAACTCGCTGGTGCGGCGTTGGACGTAGCGGATGCCAATGCCCAGGGAAATGCTGCAGGTCAAGCCAATGCTGCAGCGGATCCCGCTCAGTAGGCTCCTCCGGCAACCATTCCTGCGATCATGGTGACGCCTGCCGGTCCGCTCAGTACACCGACTGCCTCATCGTTATCGTCGCCCGCCGCACCACAAGGTCCTGGTCCGAATGCACCTGGTCCATCCCAGGGCTCAGCCGGCGGACAACAGCAGCAAGGACCTCTCCCACCGGGTGTTAACTATGGCGATTTCGTCAACTCCAAGTACCTGCCATATGGCGAAGCGGAAGAGAGTAGACTCAAAACGTTGTTTTACCTGCTTCCGGAGGGCTGGCCGCACGAAATCTATCCGGGGGGCCAAGCGTGGATCCCCACACAGATAGGAGAAGGCGGAGGCGGGATCGCACACCTTTGGCTGAAGTATCGAGACGGGAAGATTGTTGATCGGACGGTGGTTAAGACGGTACTGATGAGCCAGCATACGCGGACGAAATGGACGAATTGGTGGGGGAATCCGAGAGATCGGACTACGAAGAGGGTTCCGATGGAGGTAAAGGTGGCAAGTACCTACGTCTGTTGCCGAGAGAAATACCTCCTCGCTGACTGCTATCAAAGATGGAGCTCCTGAGGGACAGACCGGGCTCCGCCAAAGTCGTGCACTCCAGAGCACATCACGTCGACGACGAGGGACGGTTCTACAAGCTATGTGAGTCTGCCAGGCAAACGTACCATCTTGCACACCCTGCTAATGCGAGGATCAACAGACATGAACTATTGCTTGTACGGCGATCTCTTCCAAGTTATCGGCATTGGGTACGGCTGTCATTCCCCAGAAGATGTGCCGATTCCAGAGGCAGTAATCTGGATGATCTTCAAAGACCTGACGGAGGCGTGCCTGCTGCTCGAATATGGCGACGCTACAGCTAAGACCGGAGTGCCGGACTGGACTCCTATCGTGCACCGAGATCTCAAGGTCGACAATATTGTCATTGATCAGCCTAATCCTGATGCAGACGACTTCCCAGCCTTCCCTACAGCCCGCACGATGGATTTCGGGTTCGCCGTGATGACCGACAAAGATGATCCGGAGAATCCGATAGCATACGAGTGTCAGGGGACGGCGGGCTGGTATGCACCTGAACAGCATCACTGGTTGCATCATCAGCATCTGTACAAGTTCCCCAGGCCGGAGGATAAGATGCAACTGACGCAGGCTACAAACGTATGGGTAAGTGCACGTTAGGACAGCAACTACTGTGACCGCCTTGTAGGCAAACCAACGGTACTTCGGCTAACCCTCTCGTCTTTGCAGGGATTGGGAGCCGTTGTCCTACGGTTGATGAATCAAGATTGCCTCCCCGACGCACACCTCTTCTCAACGCCCGAGCCAGAGCACATTACTGTGGACCCATATGTCGCGCCTCGCTATTCGAAGGAGCTCAGGGACCTCGTCGAGCATTGTACGCAGTACTTTCCGAAAGACCGGCCTACTCTGCTTGATCTGAAGGCCAGCATTGATCGATATACGACCCCCGGTACGGCGGATGACGGGGCGAGCGGGATGAGAACGAATCCGAATGTGCCGGCAGATCCGGCTTTTCAGTTTAGGCATATGAAGGACGGGTATAAGCTGCAATTGAGTGGGTAGATGGGTGATGTGCACGGATGGTGAGGTGGCAAGAATGGTAGAAGCTGCGGATGGGGAAATTGAAGGTCTGTGGCAGTGGACGGGTATGATGAAGAACATATCGCCCTCTCGGGCTGTTTTTCCGGCGGCACTCAGGTATCGGGAGGAGAGGTACAGGCTTGGATCGGCTGGTTGGACACGAGAATGCACAATGGAACAAAGAAATCACTTATCCGGTCTCTCTCGACGTCTTTGCCGTGGCTGCATCCGGAGGCAAGCTGGTGAGTACAAAGACACACTACTCAACCTCGAGAGAGGAGGCCTTTTCACATCTCACCCTGGCTTCTCCGCAACACTTCAATCATTGAAAACTACCCTACTGCCATCCGCCATGGATACTACCACAGACGGCGCCATCGCCTGGATCAACTGGAAGCTCCGTACGACAGGCAGAACCCGCCAGGACTTGGAGAATGATTGGGCGAACATGAACGGTAGATCCGCCGGGGGAAGAGCCGCAGCTGCTTACCGCGTGAATCGCGCAGCTGGGCTTGAAAGGACTGGCGTCCCTCTTGGTGGTGTTCCGGTCGCTGGTGGTCAAGGGGCGACCGGGGTCGCAGGTGCGAACGTCATTCAAACTGGTGCATTACCTGCTGCAAATGCCCAAGCAAATGCCCAAGGGACGGCCGTGGGTGCAGTTGCGAACGCTCTTCAAACTAATGCACTACCGGCTGCGAACGCCCAAGCAGATGCCCAGGCGAATGCCCAAGCCAACGGACAAGCCAACCCACACCCAATAGCAGATGCGGCTCCTCAAGCAAGTGCAAATGCAGCACCGTCGCCGGCCGCGCCTAGTTACTCGCCGAGTTCCCGTCCCATTGTCCCTGCACCGGGTCCCGGTGACAATGGAGACAACCGTGAAGCAGCTAATCAACCAGCGCCCAAAACCACACTCAGACGCAAGTTCAAGGGCACGCCGAAGGCCGCTGCAGACCCAAACGATATGTTCATTCGGGAGGACCGAGCAAGCGAAAAGCCTCGGGACACGCGAAAAGCAGCTATTCCCACAGACAAGCTAGGATGGCCAGACACGGTCCTCCTCGAGCCAGCTACATGGGTGCCTACATTCATTGGCAAAGGTGGAAACGGCTCCGCGCACCTCTGGCGCAAGGTTGGCAGCGATGAACTTGTGGTTGATCGTGTCATTTGCAAAACAGTCATCATGAATCATTACGAGTGGGCCATGTGGCCAAACTGGTACGGCAACCCTAGGGATCGTTCTCAAGCGAGGAAGATCATGGAGATCAAAGTTGTAAGCTCTTGCCCCAGTTTGAATATGTTACTATCTCGTAGCTGACCTTTGAGCCCAGATGGAGCTTTTGAAGGGCAAGCCGGGTTCAGATAAGGTCGTCAGGCTGCGAGCAAGCCATGTCCAGACGAACGAAACCTGGTACAAGCTTTACATGGACTATTGTCCGTTCGGCGATTTGGCTGAGGCCATTTGTGAACCCGAATATGGCGACCCGGGACCACATCATCTGGTTCCTATCCCCGAGGTAGGTTTAATGACTCAGCCCTGCAACTTCGAAGACTTGCTGATGGTTGGTGTTTCGCCGATTGCAGCCAGCCCTATGGTCAATCCTCCACGATCTGACCGAAGCATTCCTGCTGCTCGAATTCGGCGATGCGGGGGCCACGTCACCCATAGCGGGATGGGAAGCAATCGTTCACAGAGATGTGAAGACAAGCAACGCCTTCATCGACCGACATGCACCAGAAAATGACGACTGGAAAGCCTATCCAACGATCCGAGTCGGAGACTACGGCAACGCTGTGATGACTGATGCTGGTGGCCCAGGAAATCGTAAGTGTAACCGGTAAAAGGGTACCGCTGGTCTTACACACTGTCTCAAGACGAGTAGTGCCCTGACAGTACCTGCTGCCCATTCCCGGTGTGTTGATACATGCTAACCTTTATACAGCGATGAGCTTTAATATTCGACACGGCACCAGAGGTTTCCGTGCCCCTGAGCAGGCAAGGATGATCCATGTGGAGCAGTTGTACACGATGATTAGACCGGATCCAATGCAACTGACATCAGCAACGAACGTTTGGGCGAGTACACCCGTTGGCCGCAGTGTGAATGCACGGCGATCAGGCGTCGAGATAAGAGACCCATGCTAACAGTCTTACAGGGCATCGGCGCCTGCCTCATCCGCCTCATGAACCAGGAGTACGACACCAAACAGCCAGAATTCATAAAGCCGCATCCAGTCCATCTCATCGTCAATGTCGACAAGCGCCAGGAGTACTCCGCCGACCTGATCAACCTCGTCGAAAGCTGCACCCGCTACTTCCCTGAAAATCGCATCAAACTTCTAGAGCTGAGGCAACAGATTGATTATTTCACCACTCCCGGCGATCCAAACGACAGGGCGTCAGGTATGAGGAGCCATGCTCCGGTGGGTCCTGAACACCGTTTTGCTTTCCAGCATCAGGAAGACATGTATCAGCTTGGCATGGCCATGTCTGAGGACGAAGCGTCGTCAGACGACGAGAATGGTCAAGAAGGCGGTCAAGATGATGGCCAAGACGATGGCCAAGACGATGGTCAAGACGATGGTCAAGACGATGGTGAAGAAGACGGTGAAGAAGATGGTGAAGAAGATGGTGAGGAAGATTAATTAGTGGTATGGTGAAGAAGATGGCCGGGAGTACTACAGTGGTTCGGCCGAAAAGCGAGCAGAGGTACGAAGCCCACTGCAGATCCTTCTGGGACGATGAAATTTACGATTTCCATCGAGAGGTCTTTTTGTTTCTTTTACTCGACAATCACACTTTGAGCACAGTGGGTAACAAAAAACAACGCCCTTGCGGCAGAAGATCCTGAATTCCGCATCCGTCAGCAAGCAATAGCAACAAAGGAGAACAGTCAGGTCCGCCTGGCCCATCCGTACACTACCTTCGCCAGCCATGAAGACAGAAGACTGTCTCATTACCATCTTTCTTGGTCTGCCCACTCAGTAACGAACCATGGCACCCAAAGGCGATACTCTCGGCCGCAGGGTCTGGATCAACTGGCAACTCCGTGTGGACGCCACTACGACTAGACAACAGCTGATACGGAGGTGGACTCCTCAGTCAGTGGGAAACAAGAGGACGAATGCGACGAATGCTTTCGCGGCAAATAGAGCAGATGGCCTAGATGCAGAGGGCAATCCTCCTCCGCCTCCACCTCCTGCTGCCCTTCTCCCGCAACAAGCGCAAATACAAGCACAACCTCACCCACAAGCACAAACACAACATCAGCCCGCTCCTGGACATTCTGCTGCGGGCCCTAACCTTCACCAATCTGCGCAGGCCGTAGCGGCGTAAGTAGAAGACGGAAATGGTTCACCGGGAGATGCATCGAGTGGCAATGCTGGAGAGCGATCAGATCCCGAAGCGCAAGCTAGTCCGGACGAAGAGCCTGCTGAACTCCCTCCTCGGGGCCACTTTGTTCCAAAGGGACCCATTGGTGGTGCTGATGATCCTCAGGCGGTGCAAAGATCAGACGAAGAAGAACCGGAAGGGGAGCAAAGAAGTAGTGATCGCCAAGGTGGTGGTGATGCTGACGATGGAGATTTGCTGACTCGCCAATGCAGGATAGCGAAATGCCTGGGCTTGGTCCTAATCAAGGTGTCCTGAAACAGTATCGAAAGGCCGGCTCCTCCATCGACCCCTCAGTGCGCGGAGCCATCGCCAAGAACAAAAGAGGCTGACCCACCGAGCAGCTTGGAGAAGCGAGCGAATGGACAGCTGTTCGCCAACCCGTCGGAGAGGGAGGTGGTGGCACGGCAATGCTGTGGCTGAGACAACGAAACGGTGTGGTCGTTGACCGTGTTGTTGTAAAACCCTGCTTCATGGATCAAGACGACTGGACTCGCTGGACGAATTGGTACGGCGATCCAAATCACCCGGCCAACAGAAAGCTAATGTAGCTTCACATCATGGACGCATTGAAAGAAAAGCAAGGATCCGCGAAGTGTATGAGTTCGCGAGCGGACCACGTCGAAGACCAGGCGCTCTGGTACAGAGTCTACATGAGGTGGTGCCCCCACGAGACACTCCAGTATCTGATCTCTAGCGATGATCTCCATCGCAAAGGAAGTCCGAGGGTCCCAGAAGCGGCTTTGTTGAGCTTCTTCAACGATATGATAGAAGCCTGTCTCGTTCTTGAGTTCGGCGACGCAACCGCGGTTGCAAAGCTCACGGGCTGGAAATCCTTCGTCCACCGCAACATCAAGCCAAACAATATCTTCCTCGATAGTCCAGAGGAAAGCCCGAGGTTCCCAGAATATCCCAAAGCCGTTCTTGGTGATTTTGGAATTGCTGTCATGACGGATAAAATGGACCCTAATAATCTCAAGTGCAACCGGTATCCTCTCAGACATTGTCTCAAGAGTAGTGATCATGAATTTACCCGCTCCGATTTTTCCAAGTATCGTTGAGACTTGCTAACCCTTATACCAGCGATTTGCTACAATGATAATGCAGGTACACCTGGCTGGAAAGCACCGGAGATGATCAGGCAAATCCACAAGACTTCACTGAGCAGATTGGACCTGCCACGCATCAACAGACCGGAAATGAAATTGGGGGGCGCCTGCAACGTCTGGTAAGCAGTAAAAGGACTCAATGCCGGTACATCTGGTGGCTCAGTCAGATCCAAAGCATTGCTTCTACGCGGGTAACAATCGAGCTAACAGTATCGGTTCCTAGGGGCGTCAGCGCAATCATGACAAGACTGATGAACCAAGACACAGCCAACTGGAAGAAGGAGCATGCTCTTCATGACCACTACGCCAGCGCAGAGGCAAGTCGTCCAGTGCAGCTTGATGAAAAGACTGAAGGATTCTATTCACGTCAGCTCCGAGAGCTAGTCAATAGCTGCACTGCATACCTCCCTCACGATCGACCAACCCTGGTAGAGCTCAGGAGGGAGATACAAAAGTGTACACAGCCCGGCTCCGTGCACGACCGCGCAAATGGCATGAGGACTCATGTCGGCAATCTTGCCCAATGGGACTTGCTACAGTATTACAAGGATGAGTACAAGCTTAACATGGCATATAGCAGGGGATGAGCTTGGACGTTACCGCTTCTCATGGGATGGGTCAAGCATCGATTCTGTGTTGCTAAAGCGGAATTTCGGACCTTTCTTTGGTGGCGTTCATTTGTGAGAGAATGTTGTTCGATGCGGTGACGAGGTAGCTCATGAACTCATTGACAGCTTTCTTGCCTGCTCCCAAACCAAACCCATGCATCGTAGCTTCCTTCTCGACATTACAAACCAGGCTCTGATGTCGTTGGAGTTCTGCATGATGAGCCTTCACCGGCTTCGAAAAGATGAATTTCACGACCGTCCTGTGTTGTCAGAGAGAAGTGAGGTTAGAATCAAAGAAGCGCCTGAGGAGGTAGCTCTCGCCTGTCTCGCCTGTCTTTAGGTGAGGTCGAAAAGCTCTCCGTCATTGGCGCCACCAACACGTCTTCCCAGACGCGTTTCATTTTCATTTAACACACTTCCACAGATATGTCGTCGCCGTTGACAGCAAAGCGGCGCAAGCTCAACGAGACATCAAGAACACTTGCGAAACCGTTCGTCTCCCCACTGAGGACCTCAAAGCCGGACACAGCACCGCTCAAGCCGAGCCACAATGCGGCCAACATCCAGTCATACCAACCGAGCACGCTTGCCCATACTGTGAACTCCTCGACACCTTCAGAATCCAAAACCAAGGCACCCTCACGTTCGTTCCAGACGCCCGCAAGATCAGCACCCGTCCGCAAAACCGCAGCCTTCACCACATCTACCGGCCGCAACAGAGATCCGGCCGAGCAAGCAGCGCAACGGGCCAACACCTCCCTCGAACTCCAGATCCGCAACATCCGCAACGAGATCGACACCCTCAACCAAGCCATCCGCCTCACCAGCTCCACCACCGACGCCGAGCTAGAAGAGCTCACTCAGAAATGGAAGCTCGCGACGCAGACGGCGGCAGAAGAGCTGTTTGGCACTGTCAAAGAGCGCGTCTGCCGGATGGGAGGCGTGCAGGCGTGGAGGGAGAGCGAGAACAAGAAGGCGGACAAGATGAATGAGTGGTCGCAGCAGGATGAGGGCAAGGAAGACGATGATGCGGATTGTGAGTTTGATGAGGACGGTGAGGAGTTGCCGGAGGAGGAGGCGGAGTGGCGGAAGAAGGAGAAGGCGAGGATGAGGCAGGAGGCGCAGGATGCTATGGAAGATGCTGGGGGTGGTGACGAGGTGGAGGAGATGGGGCGGGAGAAGCAGGTCTGGCAGGAGGACGGGAAAGAAGACGATGTCTGTCTGGCATTGCATTCGCATGAGTGACTGAATGCTAACAGTGCTATAGGACTTCACGGTGGACATGATGTTGCGCTCGCTGCATATCGATTTAAGCGTGATCGGATGGGACACTCAAGCTCAGCGGTGGGTCTCTTGATCGTGCTGCATGCGGCGTCCAAACCCCACGAATAAGCTCCAATACGCACTTTGCTACGACTATGACGACCTCGCATGGCTATGATATACGAACGAGATACCCAAAGATGAACGGCGATGGAATATCGTTGCTGCTTTCACATGGTTACGAAATGATTGGCTGATGTCAACGCCAAGCGGGCTTCAAGCTCACTTTCGACCTCACCTTTCACATGTTTCCGTTGCTTGACACGCGCAATGCCGCGGCCTTGATAGCTTCTGTATCTATACCAATCTCAAAGTCAGGTAAAGGCTAGTGCTAGTCCGCTCTTCACATCATGCTGCCATAGTCGTCTCACAACATGGCCTCCCCACCACCAGGCGGCTTCATCCTCTCCCCCCCACCATCCTCCATCGGCTCATCCTCCCTTCAGCACGGCGCGGCCTCCCTCCCCCATCCGCGCAACTCGCCCCTCCGACCCGGCGGCACCAAAGAATCCACCTTCATCCGCTACGCCGACACCCGCCTCCTCCACATCCAGCGCCGCTTCGCCAAACGCACCACCCTCTCGCACCCCAACTTGAGCGACGAAGGCCGCGAGAACGCAGACGCATGGGGAGATGTGAAGGGCTACACGAGCATGAAAGAGGCGTGTCGCGATATCGCGGATCTGGCGTCGGTCGTCTGGGTGTCTGGGACGCCGTCGTTGCAAGTGCCGTATTTGCTGAATCTGGGGCTGTTGCTGAGTTCAGTGATTGCGGCTATGCCTCCGAGTCCTAAAGCGCTGTTTAGACTGCTGGGGATGTTGGACCGGGCGTTCGCCGGGTTGTTGCAGGGACGCGATGTTGAGACGGGCGAGGCGCTGCCGGGGTTGGAGGCGGGGAGGAGGGGGGTGAGTGGGACGGAGAAGGTGAGGGTTAGGAGTTTGGTTGAGAGGACTCGAGTTGGGGTTGTGGAGGCTTTTAAGAGGGGAGAGTTTGAGGAGGAGGAAGATGAGATGGAGGTTGATGAGGATGATGGCTTGGTATTGGAGGGCGATGCGATGGAAGAGGAAGAGGAGAGCTGGGATATGTTGATTGCGAAGGTCTATGATCGGACTGTGGTGGAATTGGGAGATAGTTTGGAAGGACCAAGTATTGGCATCATTACGGAGGGGAGGGGGTAGGCAGAAGAGGGTGCTGCTAGATTATTAAAGCACAGCTCAGCGGCGAGGCTGTGGAGTCTGGCCGAGGAATGACGGAAGAAGAAGGGGTTTCGGCGGCTGCTAATGAAGATGCAACCCTTACGCCATCCTGTTGCCAGAAGTGAGTGAAGTGCCTGTCCAGCGACATGTGATCGAGCTAATGTACAGCAGTCCCGACTCAACTCCAGAAAGCTGGTAGTTTGAGGGATGCAATATCGTGTTCTTCGATCTCATGGCTTATGCAAGTCGATGCTCAGTGAGAGGAGAAGACGTGCTGGTTGCGTCCGGAGGACATTTGCGAGGTCGCCCCTCGCTCCTTCCTCATGGAGTGTTATGAGACTGCCAAGAAACTCAAACATTAGACCCTTGTGTCACCGCACAAAGCCCGTCTGGCTCCTCAGCAACCGAAACAACAACACAGCGCACTCATCGCGTTTTTGCTTGCTGGTTCATGTTCGCGTTCTCGTTGTAACGCTCTCTCACTATCGCTCGTTGCAAACATCTTACCACACAAGACGACCCGGATCGGGTGAAACGGCACCATGCCGACCTACTATGCGCGCGGCGTCAAGGCCACTCTGGCGACCTGTGACCTGCACCCTACGCTGACGAATGATGTGAAGTTAACGATGGGCGCAGCATGCCGCCAAGAGAACGAGAGAGTCCAGAAGATCTTTTCCGACGCGAAGGAGAACGCGAAGTTGGACGAGCTTCCGGTCGGCGAGGATGGGAGTGCGCAGGGCATTGTGCAGTTCACTGGCGTGAACGAGGACATGCCGATGTATGTCGTTGAAGCAGGTAAGAATGTTCGACAGACGTGGGTGGATGGCAACGGCAGCGGCGGCAGCGGCGGTGGTACGGTGGACGGCATGGTGGATGGCAGCGGCAGCGGCACGGTGGATAGCATGGTGGATGGCAGCGGTGGCAATGGCATGATGGACTGGGTGGCGGAAGAGACTAACCAGCAGAATCCCTTCTTCGGCATGAGCGACGACTCCACGCTGACCTCGCTCGGAGAGATGCCTGAGCCTTATGGCTTGGGCATGCTGGATGATTACGGTTATCCCACCGCCTACCAAGCTTCACCATACGATTTGGCTCAGCCCGACGATGAGCAGACGCTTGTCGACACGCTCACTTCACCAACCAACAACGCGGCCGAGCGAGGCTTGATTCTGGACATTGACCTGTCGTACGACTCTTTCCTCCCCGCACTGGTCGCTGGCAGGAGGGCTGGGACTACCGAATGCAAGGACCTGAAGGTCGAAGTCTTCCTCAACGGCGAGCTCGTAGAGGTCAGATACCTACCAGGCCGCAATGCGAAGACCGCGAAGCTCCAAGAGAGTGTTCGCTGCACAGGCACTAGAGTGCACCGGCAACTTGAGAAACCATGGGTGTACAAGGACGGTCTGGCCTCTGCTGCACCTGCGTACGAGGCGACGACACGTTGGGACGCCATCTCAAGAGCACTTGCCAATGAGGCTGAGTTCCGGGGTCGCGATAGCCTTGGTTACATGCCACCCTCCGCCGAATTCTTGGATGCTTTGGCTGCGGTTCAGCTGCCGCCAAGATGCCAGTCACATCACGGATTCGCGATCATCGACGTCGTCGTCACAGCAGGACGTGGCAGCAAGTATGGTGCAGACACAGCGTACATCCTGGTTCCAACCAGACTTGACGACTTCGACTACAACACGGTCTGTATGAACACGGCTCCTGGACGGGGCTCGGCCTTGCCAGAACACTGCCTCGGCAGCATGACAGATCAGACATTCGAAGAATATCTCCAGCAGAGCTCTCCAGAGGTATAATACCAATGTGCAAAGTCCCACCATCTCCAATACGTCCGCTAACTCTTTTACCCTTTTGTTCGTAGGTCCCACTCCGTCAAGCGCGCATGGCGCAGATGTTCTCCCCATCACCGCCGAAGAAGACCACGAACGAGCTCGCGAAAGAACTCGGGCTGGATGAATCTCCCGACAAGGTCCTTTTCGATGGCTACGAGAAGACGAGTGGACGTGTCGGCCACGGCGGTCGGACGCTCAAGCAGATCCTAGGCGCTGTCGGAAAGATGAGCCCAGCTAATCAAGCTAGACAAATGGCGAAGCTGAAGGCCGATCTAGGCACCAAGGGCACTTCGCCAGGCACCACTGATGACGGAGAGCGCAAGAAGAAGAAGAAGACGAAGCTTGATCACAACATCGACCCGCAGCTCTCGTCGCCATCCGCAGCCCAACCACAAGCACTCGTCATCAGTGCTGACCCGTTCGTTGACAACGACGCCACGATTGCGATGGAAAACAAGACCATCCGTCCGGTGGAGTTGTTCAGGGAGTGGCCACAGCAGTTCCAAGCTCCTCCCGCACCCATGTACACGCAGCACGCTGAGGCCCTCGCGGCCAACCCAGATGCCGTTCTCGCACAGACCCGCATCGACATGGCTTTGGACGCTGGGGCTGCCTCGGACGGAGCTCTGATGCGTCGCATCGCCGCCTCTTCGCCTTCCAAGACCCCTCAGCGCAACGTCACCGCTTCTGCGCTTTCGCACTCTCCAACCGGTACGCCAGTTAAGCCGCAATCGCGCTCCAAGCCGTCGAAGACACCAAGCACCAACAGGACGCCCAAGAAAGCCACCTCAGCTTTCAAAGCCTCCCTGGCGCCCAAGACGCCCACGCCGAAGCGCAGCCGCGGCCTCCTCGACCGCCCAGACTCCCCCTTCTCCACCAATCGCAAGGCTGCTCGCACCACGACACCGGGCTCCGGACGCTCTGTTTGTGGCGCTAACAGGACGGCCAGCAAGTGGAAGCCCAGCGAGGAAGAGTGGACGGACACGGTGCAGAAGTTCAAGGCGCCGGAGATGCATGAGGCGAGTTGTGTGACGTATGCGGAGGACAAGGAGGCGCAGAGGCAGATTGGGAAGGCAAGGGCGGGGACGTTCAAGGAGGAGAGTGTGTTGGTTGGGATGAGGTTCATTCTCGTGTAAGATGGAGGCGATGTTCAGTCTATGACGGCGAGCTTGAATGATGGAATGGAGGTGGTTTTTCGTCGAAACGAGCGAGCGCCGGAGTTGTAGGAAACGGTTGACACAGCATTGAGCCAGGATGGATGTACTTCAGGGCCTTGAAGGATGGATGCTGCGATGATGGACGATTGCATGATAAGGAATGGGAACATGATGGACAGACATGAATGATGCGGAAAACGATAACGGACTCAATGCTTGACGAAAAGGAGGATTGATGCTGCTTCAACGTACTGTGCATAGCGACGTCGCAGTGTAGCAATGCAATCAGTCTACCCTAAACAATCCGCTTGAACGCTCAAATGTCCTCCTGCTTTGCCAACGATTAAGCCCACCCATTTCCCCAAGCCCGTCCTACCTCCCTCGCCAACGCAGTCCTCAGCAACATCACGACCTCCTTACTCCCCACCTCCGCCTCGCTCGCTACGGCATCAAGACCCTTCCTCCAATCCCAACCTCTCTGCACGTCCACTGCTCTCGCGTTCTTCCCACCTTTCCTCCCCTTACTGCCTTCACCATCACCACTTTCCTGACTCCGCAGTAGTTCCCACGAACTCTCAGCCAACTCCTCCCATCCGCCACTCCCACCCAGCATTCCAGAAGCACTTAGGGAAGCGGTGCTCTTCTTCAGTTTCCCACTTCCACCCATACCGCCATCCCTGAAGCAGCCCATACTAGCCTTCAGCACAGCTTCGCCACCTTCTCGTATCCTTCCGCTAACGTTCTCGTAGTCCTCCGCCACGGCCATCAAAGCCATGACATCTTTCATCTCCATCACCCGCTGCGCTTTGCCCGTGCCGGAAGTCTGACCGAGAAGCGGCAGGACTTCGCCGAGAAGCATTAGCAGTCCTTCTACCGGGACGACGGACTCGACTTCCGGGTCGAAGAGACCGCCGCGGATACAGTCTGCTGCGCTTGAGGTGAGTGCGACGAGCGTCTTCGCCGCTTCTCGTTTCCGCATCAGCGAGCCTGTGGAGGATGTAGTAGAGTCACGGATGCTGTAGAAGCGGCGGAGTAAAGCGTAGCCACTCAGCTCTCTTGCCAGCAACTCGGCGGCTTCAGAGTCTGCACGCGCGAGATCCACAAGCGCTGGTCGGGCAGGGGCGAGTAGAGACGCTAAATGAGGGTCTAGGTTCGTTTGGGCTGGTATGGCGGCGGAGTGGAGGAGGGAGAGGGAGATTAGGAGGCCGAGGGTGTTGCGAAGTTTTGTTGCGGAGTGGGCACGAGCGTGGTAGAGGAGGGTCGTGCCGTAGGGGATGGGAGATTGCTCGGAGATGGTGTCGGCGTAGCGCTGGGAGAAGTGTTAGATTGGTTTATCTTGGGAGGAAGTGGATGGGAGACTCACTTCAGCAATACCACGTCCAAGCGCCTCGAAGCCCATGCCGCCGCACACGGCGAGTACTTTCTCCACTCGCGGCTCGTCGGGAATATCCAACGCCTCGAGAATGACTCGTATCCGGTCCTCCGCCGCCTCGGTTTCGTCCAGACGTCCGAGCACCGAGATAGCGAGCTCCCAGCCTTCCCGATCAATCTTACCGTCCGCGCTAGTGTACTTCTCCTTGTCGGCCAGCAGATCCGCATAGGAGGTTAGGACATCGTCTCTAACGACACCCTCGCCATTGTACGGTAGCTGTCTCGCCCCAGGTCCGTGAGAAAGCACCAGCAGATCTTCGGTCGAGAAGCCACGGCCGAGCAGACCTCTGCTATCCGGTCGTCCTTCCGGGATAGGAAGCCAACCTCCCAAAGCTGAGATCTCGACGACGGCGGTGGCAACCGTCTGACTCCAGGTTCGAATCATGTCGATCGTTTCTGCGACGTCATCTTCGAAGGCTGTTGCCAGTCCTACGTGTAGAGGGTCCAAAGTATCGGGCTGGAAAGTCGGCTCGTTAATCTCGCTGGGCACGATACGGAACATCTCGCCGAGCCGTCTCCTGTATGCAACCAGCGGTGCGACATCTACTTCTCGCGTTGCGCCACCAGCGCGCAAGCTCTTCTTAAAACCGTTTCTGCTGGTAGCGAGGTCTGCGACACTGACGTTCAATGCGGCGCTGCTTTCTTCGCCATCCCACCAGACTATGAGTAGCATTGAAGCTTCGACCCAGTCTTGTGCGTAGTCCAAGATGCCGTTGCCGCCAAGTAGCACACCATATATCGCGCGTAGACTGGTGTAGATGGTGGGTGGGACTCTGCTCTCCGCGCGAGCAGTGGCGGCCGCCATGCTCATGTTGTTGTTGTTGGCAAACATGTTATTCCGTGGGGGTGCAGTAGCGTGCTCGTCGTACGTAGCAGCGAAAGCTTCAAGTTCACGTATCGCGTGTCGAACTCTTTGCCGGAAGACAGACCAAGCTGGGCCTGGCACGTTCCAGTCGTCATCTGTGACAGCTGGACAGGATTCTAGCACCCGAATGCAGTTCTCAACAACCTCCCGGATATTGTGGAGCTGCTGTCCACGATAGCCTTGTGCTCTGTCGTCTTCGTAGTCCATCGCCGCAGTCGCCGCATTCTCCCATCCTGCATCTCTCAGCAGTCGTGCAACTCGCGAAAAGCGTCCTCGGATGATGTCGGCGCCCAGAATGTCCCAGAATGCTTCATGGGCAGCTGGCGAAGGGCGGTACATGTGGACGTCGTTGAACTCGTCTGGGAGCGGGTTGTGATGCGCGTTGAGCCACTCCAGAAGCGCTCGGGGTAGCGAGATCGAAGTCGACTGCTGTTGCGATCGTGACCGCAACCCCGAAGCTTGCTTTTGCGCAGGTCTCGCCGTGTGCGGATGGTGTAATTGCAGCAGCAGACTTGACAGATAAGTCGCCTTCGTCAGCGGCTCGTCGAGCTCCGGTCCCACAGCTCCAGGCAGAGTCTTGTTATCCGAATGCTGCGTCCACAGCCTCGTCAAGTCCGTGACCGCCTGCGTGACAGTCTCCTCCCGGCTCGCCGTCGCATTGCGCTGCTGATGCATCGCCATGTCCAAGCTCGCTAGAACTTCTTCGGTCCCTAACACCACGTCGTCAGGGCCCTCGACCGTCTTCGCTGGTCCCGCGTCTCTTGCGAACGCGCGCGCAATGTCCGCCATGCCGCTACTCTCCTGCTCGCGCACCTGCCCATTGCGACTCCTTTTCAACCCGCGCGGGCTCTGCTGCTCGATGGTTGACGCGACGAATGCATCCCTCTCAGGACTCAGCATCTCGCCGTCTGCGTCCTCATCCTCTCCATCCTCGAAGCCTGGCGGACTGCTTTCGGGCACCTGAAACGTGGTCCTGCCTTTTCGCGCTGGCGTGTTGCGATGTCCGAAAGTATTTGTGGCAGGGTTGTAGGAGCTACCGAAGATCTTGCTTGATCGCGGGGGCTCTCCTGCCGGCGTCGTCGAGACATTGGTGAGGTATGAGGGTGGTGGGCCGGCGGGAGTTGTTGACGGTGCTTGCGAGAAGAGGGAGGCTTTGCCTTTGCCTTTAGGTGTGGAGGGAGAGCCAGCGAAGTTGAAGTTGAAGTTGGTGGCCATGGCCGGCCTGGGATGTGTGGCGCGATCGAGTGCGACGGGGATGTTGTGCTTCGCTGTGGTTGTTGGATGGCTTCGAGGTGAGCTTTTGGGCTCGGAAACGCGCTAGCGCGTCGGTCACGTGCGGACACTCTATAAGTCAATACATTTACAACACATCGATGGAGACTGCTTCGCATGAACGTAACAAGAGATTTCGCTGTTTGGAAATCTAGTAACGATTTCACAAGCTTCATTTGATTCGTCATCGTGCTGTAGTATGAGCCATTACCGTCATTCTGGACTCGATCGTCCTGCTATGCTGTCCCCTCTTCTTGATGAAGTAATGGGTACTCGTGGGCTGAGCACGAGCTGAGCACTGCTGCATCATGAGTTGTCCTCGATGTTCCACCCTCCAGCAAGCCGCTTATGCGCGCAGCTAAATCTATCTCGAGTCTCCGAGGGCTGTGGTCCGCAGTAGGCTCATGTCAAGGCGACCGGCAACCCCGTTCAAGCAAATCAGCTCCGTCGACCTCTTTCGCATTCCGAACTCATCTTCCACCGCCCTTAGCCGACAATTTGCCCATAAGTCCACCAAACCCACCGCCGCCCTTCTTCTTCCCACCTCCACCTCCCGTGCCCGGATCAACATCCATCCCATCCCAGTCCTCATCTCCATCATCCTCCGCCTCCGCCTTCTTCGCTGTTCTCGTACCTGCGCCCCCGCCACCCCTCCGATCAGTCTTCTCGGCCGCGTCCGTGACAGCCTTGACCTGCTTCTCCATCTTCTTCTCCGCCTTGTCCCTCTTCACCGCCTCCGCCTTTACCTTCGCGATCTCCGCCTCCAACTCGCCTAATACACCATCGCATCTCGAGCTCCACGCTTCCAGCTCGCTGATCATGCCTGCGACGCTGCCGGGAGCGAGGTCGCGGAGTGGGGAGACAGAGGTGATGACGACGGTTTGGGCGGCGGGGTTGAGAGTACCCTGAAGGAGGTTGGAGTAGATTGCTTGGGTAATGAGGTGTTCGAGGTCGATGGGGGAGGCGAGGGAGAGTTGGGTGCAGAGGGAGCTGTAGGTGAGGTTGGTGGTTGTTGTTTTGGGCTGTGAGGCGATGGTGAGGAGGGTGAGCAGGCGGAGTTTGGTGGCTTGGGCGTCGCTCAGCTCAGGCAAGCCGGGAGTTGCTGGAGTAGGTGTGTTAGCTCATGGCCGATGTGTTACGATGCTACCGGTAATCACCATTGTACTGCTCCCACGTCCCCCATGCAAAGCACTGAAGAAGCTCGTGGTGACTGCCATATTGCTCGTTCCCCTGCAGCGCCTCAATATTCTTCTGCTGAAGCAGCTCCGCGAAGACGTAGGTGTTTGGTGCCGATGTTGCCTGAGCGATGAGATCTGCTGCCGCGCGAGGAGATGTTGCCGACTTCGCGAGCGCAAGGAAGGGCGCGAGGGAGTTGAGGGCGAGAGACTGATCCATGCTGTCCGTTGGGAAGTGGTATGGACGGTGTTTGGACGATGTCGATGTCGACATGGATGGAGAGCTTTCGTTGTCACATGTGAGCTATCGATAAGCTTTTGAAGCTAGACTACTCTGGAAAAGTGAGGTCAGTCGAGCACTTCAGCTCCTGGCTGGCATCAACCGCGCTTCCACATCATTTCACCCACTGGAACGCGAATCCCACAAAATATTAACCATTCACCTTGTTAGGGTCCTGGTGATGAGTTCAGAGTGAACGCGTGGATGCTCGGGCTGCGGGCCCACCGCAGTCAGCCTCACCTAGCTCCGAATATGACACGAAAGTCAGCCTAGCCAGTACGCATTCTGTTTCAATGGCCCAACATGTAGCCTTATGTAAGACTTGACAGCACAAGATATGGCCTTCGAGGACCGACGGTATTAAGTCTAGCTGACGGACTCTTTTCTCATTTCCTTACCTTCCTTTGTCTCCTCTGTCAACTCTCCTTCTTTATCAAAGCTGCATAGTCAGGTGTCTGCCCATCCAATATGCCTTTACTAGCAACGGAGCACATACCAATCCCTACCAAGGATATCATCAGCTGGTGCTACGACAACAGAGAAGCTTTCGATCAAGACAAGCCGGTACATGACACCGAACTGATCTTGGGGCTCAAAGTCTCGGCTGACATCCTTCCAACAGATCTACGTCGATGCTGCGGATCCGTCTCGTAGTATTTCGGCTACACAAGCGTACAAACTGATCCGCCAGCTCGTTGCGGGCTTTCAAGCAGCAGGACTGAAGAAGGGAGATGTCGTCTGTCTCCACTCGTTCAACAACGTACGATCAAACACTTCTGTTATGTTAAAACAACGAGTCGCTGACTGCCGCGCAGCTATACTATCCCATCTTGGTTCAAGGCATCGTAGCCGCAGGCGGTGCGTTTGTTGGGACAAACCCCAGCTACACTCCGTTCGAGCTCGCCCATGCCCTCAAAACCAGCAAGGCCAGGTTCGTGATCGCGGAGCCCGAGATCCTCTCCGCCCCCAAGACGGCGGCACTGGAGCTCGGCATGCCGAAGGAGAGAATCCTTCTCCTTGCGGCACCGGAAGAGTGTGAGGGCTACGAGCATGCATCCTGGATGTCGTTGCTCGAGCACGGCGAGCAGGATTGGGTACGCTTCGATGATGAGCAGACAGCGAAGGACACGGCTGCCTTCCTGATGTTCAGCTCCGGTACCACAGGTTCGTCACGTGTGCTCTCCAGTTCAATTGACCAAGCACTGATTCATCTGCCAGGCCTCCCAAAAGCAGCAGTCCAGTCCCACTACAACCTCATCGCCGAACACACCCTCGTCCACGAAAACCCCAAACACAAGGAGCCCTACCACATGAGCCGCGTAGTCTGCCTCCCCATGTTCCACACCGCCATAGCGCCCTTCGTCCACATAACAACCCTCCGCTCCGGCCGCGAAAGCTACATCATGAAACGCTTCGCCCTCCGCGAGTATCTCGAATACATGAAGCGCTTCCAGATCACGAACGCATTGCTCGTTCCACCGATGATCATCGCCGTCGTCAACGCCGCAGCTGCTAGTCCGGAGCAGGAGAAATGGGTTCGTGAGTGCTTGAGTAGCGTGGTCCATGCCGTTGGTGGAGGCGCTCCTGTGGACAGAGAGATTCAAGCGAGGCTGCAAACTCTCTTGCCCCCTGAAAGCGTCGTGACGCAAGTCTGGGCAATGACCGAAACGACCTGTGTTGCCTCTGCGTTCTACTACCCGGAATCCGACTCGACTGGCTCGACAGGCCGCTTCATGCCGAATCTCGACGTCAAGATCGTGGACCCGGACACTGACTCGGATGGACCTGAGGTCGGACCGTATGATGTTAGGGGCGAACTCTGCATCCGCGGTCCTACGGTCATCAAAGGCTACCTCGACAACCCTGAAGCCAACGCTCGGGACTGGGATGAGGAGGGGTTCTTCCATACTGGAGACATCGTCTACTGCGATTCCAAGACGAAGCTATGGTACGTCGTTGACCGGAGGAAAGAACTGATTAAAGTCCGTGGATTCCAAGTGGCGCCGAGCGAGATCGAAGGCGTGCTGCTCTCGCATCCGCTCGTCAAGGATGCGGCAGTCATTGGGGTCGTGCGGGGCGAGGCTGGAGAGCTGCCCCGTGCATACGTGGTCGTTGAAGCGGGCAAGACGCTGACCGAAGAGGAGGTAAGGAGCTGGGTTGGGGAGAAATTGGCGAGGTATAAGCAAGTTGAAGGAGGAGTGAAGTTTGTGGAGAGTATCCCAAAGACGTAAGTCGACCTTCCATCTACCGAACTGTTCGATGAGAAGGAGGCCGGGAGTCTGCTAACCAGTTCTGTAGCGTCAGCGGCAAGATCCTGAAAAGGGTGCTGAAAGAAGAGGCGAAGAGGGAGCTGAGTGCAAGCCTGTGATCAATATGCCAAGGACCGATTGAAAGAGACAAATGCAGAAGCTTAGGAGCGTGACATAGGCTATAGGGCTACTTTGGTAGCCCATAACACCTTCAAGCCCTCACATCGATGGCTGGAACATCCAATCCTCCCTCCTGCACCTCACTTCAAACTCCACGCCTCCAAAACATCCCACGGCACCCAGCAGGTCATAATCCCCTTCCAGCCCGAACACGTCCCCGCCATCTTGATCCCGATCTCTCTCTTCATGCAAATTCCATCCATCCTCTTTCTTCCCATTCCTCGTGAAGAACACCTCAACCTTGTTTTTCGCCGACCAATGGCTCGGCGGCGAGAACGACATCCCGATACCGACAGTGTCGTGCTTGCGAAATGCACCGACGAAGTCCTGCCCTCCAAAGCTGTCATCGACAAAGCGACGTCCGTCATCGCCATGCACGCCAAGGGATGCGCGATGCCAGCCCGGCTGTCTCCAGGAAGGGTACGGCGGTGCGACGAAGCCAATTGCAATCGAAGCGTCGGCTTCTTCGTTGCGCGAGGTGCCATGCCCGCCCATTGAGAGGATGTGGAGTTCGAAGTAGACTGTGCGTGGTCGGCCGGTTGTGGCTGGGTATAGTGGGATGTCGGTCAGGAGCATCGTGTCTGTGCATTTCGGGCTGCTGCGGGCACGAGTGCGGCCAATGCCGGAGGAAGAGATCTGTATGTTCCTGGTATTAGGCGGGATGGTGAGGTGCACGTCACCAGCAGCGATGCGGGAGAGGGTTTGTTGGTTCTGCCGGCGAGGTTGCCAGAGGGGGTTGCGGTGACACCAGTCGCGGGCGCGAGCTGCGTCGTCCCATGATGCGTTGGACGCTGGGCTGCGCTCTTCGTGGATGGAAGGTGGTGGTGGTAGGAGGGCGTTATCTGGGACCGCCATCCATGGATCGTAGGGAGGCGGTTCGGGCTCATTTGAAGCTTGATGCGACGGTGGTGGACCGGGAGGCGGAGCATAGTCATCATCAGGTGGAGCTTTCTTCTCGTCCGAGTGACCGGGTGGAGGGCCGGGAGGTGGTTGGTACTCAGGTGGCGGCTCGTAGCTAGATGGAGGCTGCCCCTGTGATGCGTTCATGTGAGCAGCATGGAAAGAATTGCTTGATGCATGCTCACTGCTCCTGTTCGTTTCTCCCCACGATACGTGCGGCTGCGATTGACCTTGCGAGGCGGCGGGATTGCGAGCAGCATAGCCTGGTGGCGGGCCCGGTGGTGGAGCATATTGGTCGCTCATCGCAGCTTCGATGGTGGTGTCTACTGCAGGTGGCGCTGTCCTAGTTGAATGGAAGCTGTGGACACTCCTCTTCCGTCGTCGTAGACCGGTTATGAATATTCCGGGTTGGAAGGTGTGTCGTCGTCTGAGTTGTCGCTTCGGCTTCGGTTTGCCTTTCAAGCTGAAGGTGCTGTGTATGCGTCGAGGATTGACCGGTTGTGGCCCTGGATGGGCAAAGCTGAAGTTCGGCCAGTGGAAGTATACTCGTTTCTCAATTCGCGGAGGAATACAAAGACAGGGCATGGGCTAATGAGTTGTTAGGGCGAAGAGTTGCGATGGATGAAGTCCAGATCCAAGAGCACTGCCACTTTCCCCCCACTACACCTGCACGTGGTCCTTCCTGCCGTAACGTGGCAAGCGCATCGCAACGTCGCAAGTGTTAATAAGTACGTTCCAGCTACATGTGTATAGATAGCCGCACTACAATTACAACAACAGAAAGGAGCCTTCCGCAACGGAATGGAGAATGAAGTCGTCGATTCATCATACGAATGAGTGAAATCCGCCACAACAACTGCCATCCTCTCAACTCAATGCCACAGTTCTGCAGGCTTCAGCTCATCCATGGGCTTCATCCCAAAGAACCGCCCAGCTCCACCCGCAGACATGTCCACCACCGGTTGCGCTCGCTCAAGCATCGCTTTCTGGTGGGCCATGACCACCTGTTCACCGCGACCACTGGGTTCGCTGGCGTCTCGTAGAGCGGCGAACAAAGCCGCTGAGTCCTGGAAGCCGGCGTTGGCTCCGATACCACCTGGGAAGATGTCAGCATAACATTCAAATTCATGATAGAAGCCACGCACCGACTGGCGGCATCGGATGCGCCGCATCCCCCATAAGCGTGACCCGACCCTTACCCTCCCCTGACTGAGCCTCCCAGTCCGAGCCAAAGCTTGGCGTCGAGGTCAGGAAGGCGAGCGTTGATGCGGCGTCTGGGATCTGCTCTTCAAGAAGCACCCGGAGGCTATGATGCCAGCTCTCAGTGAGCTCAAGAGACTTCTCGACGGATTGGTGGCCAGAAAGTGAAAGGAGGTTTGCATGTTCGTCGGGGAGAACATCTTTGCGGAATAGCAGCACCCAGTAGATGTAGTCCGCCGGAACCTTCAGATCCATTTCGTGCTCATACTCAGTACTTAGCGTTCGGTCAAACGCCATGCCATCGGTGAAGAGCTTCATCCGGGGCTCGTCTTCCTTGTATGCAAGCGTCAGGCCATTTCCGATCTGCTTCGGGAGTTGCGTGGTCAATGGATCAGAGACCAGAGTCTTTCCGAACACAGGACGGCCTTCCGTGTCCAGAATCTTGAAGTCGGGCAGCAGCTGGCGTCTCACGGAACTTCTCACCCCGTCGGCACCAATGAGCAAGTCACCTTCGGCAATGGACCCGTCCGAGAAGTGCGCAGTGACACCACCACCCTCGTTCAATTCGTAACGCTCCATCTTCTTGCCGAACTCGACGTAGCCCTCCAGCCCATGCAGCAACAAATTCCTCAGAACCGCACGATCAGCATTGTGAGACTTCCCAGCATGCTGTGGCGAACCGCGACCGCCAGGCAGGTGGAACTCCAGCTCGACTCCAGTCGCGGCATTGACTGCATGACCTCCGAGAACGACTTTCGCACAGGTAGCCTCGAAAGCGTCGTACAGGCGTGGCGGAAACAGCTTTTTGAGCGCCGCTGCGCCGTCTGAGCTGATGCGAATGCGGTAACCTTGGGCTCGAAAGGAAGCGTGGGTGTCGCGCTCGTAGATGCGGAACGGGATGTTGGCTTGTTTGAGGCCTTGCCCGAGACTCAGGCCTGCGAGGCCGCCGCCAACGATAATGATCATGCTTTCGTGAGAGGGACTGCGAGTAGGGTCGGCGATTATCTGCCTTTGAGTTGAATTGTCGGTGCAGCTAGTACAATGAAACCTGGTGTAGGTCCAGTAAGAAGGTTGTGGTACGGCGTGTGAGACGTGAAATTCCGGGATGCCAGTGAAGTCGTTTGGTCCTCCTGTGACGGCCAACATATATCTGGACTTGGCTTGGTAAATCCTCCACGTAGCGTGAAACGGAGCGTTTCGTTTTCGTGGGCCCGATGCGAATGTGTTGATGCTATTCGATGGATACTCGGGCGCTCGGGATTTTAACTCCGAAACCGAGAAGGTGTAGCATACCACATCCAAGCCCCTGAGTGCCCACACAAATGCGCAAATCTCCACGGCTACCGTTGAGCAGGTCGTCCATCAGCGAAAACGTCAAGCCTGCTTCATCCGCTACTACCAGTACTCGCCTGCATCGGCATTCCAGGCGGCTGCTGCATTCCCATAGTCGCACCAGGCGCCAATCCACCACTACTCCCACCATGCATCGGACTCGAAGTTTTGCCATCATCCCCACCCCGCTTCTTCTCCTTCTTAGCCCACCTAAGGCCACAAGCATTGCACAGCGTCTTTGGCCCTTTAGGCCCCTTCCTCCATTCTGGCGAGTCCAGCGTCCCGCAATCTGCGCACACATATTCATCCGCCAGCTTCTGCTTCTTCTTGTCCTTCTTCGGGCCGTCTCTATCGCGGTCGAGCAGGATGGCAATACCGGCGTCGCCGCGGATGAGCGCGGGTGAGGTGTCGCCAGTACTAATGCCATGACTTCGTTCGCCGTCGCGGTAGCGGAGGCCGGTGAGGAGTTCGATGGATTCGAGATGGGTGCTGTTGGCTTCGTAGCGAGACATCTTGTCCGCTATGCTGTCTGGTTTCTGTGCTGACAGGACGCTGTCGAGGTTCTGGCGCGTGAGGGCGGTGTTGGATATTGTTGGCTTAGCTGGTGGTGGCATTCCCTGATAGTCGGCAGGCGTCCCCAAGGCTGACTCGCCCGGCGTCTTTGATCCCGGCCCTCTGGATGCCACACCCTGTGAAACCTGCCGGCCGGGTGTATCACTGGTGCGCGGAGACATGTGCTCTCTGAACAACCTCTCTTGCTCGTCATTCTCGTCCGCCTCCTCTTTCTTCAACTCGCTTATCCGCTTCATCAGCCGCTCGTTCTCAATCTTGTGTTCCAAGAATGAATCTAGCAATGCAGCGTTCCTGGTCGGGTACGGGCGGGCCATCATGAAAAACCCTCTGCACACTCCAGCTACAGGAGGTTGGTTCTCGTTCTGGTTCGCACTTGACGGCTCTGGGGATATATGGGGATGGCCATCGCACTCGAAGATTGTAAATGTCCCGTCGTCTTTCTTGAAGCGATAGAAGAAGCGCAGACCGTTCCCACTTGCGATACTCTCGTTGAACTCGCGCATGAAGATGCCACTGTCGTCGGGATGGACGAACTCAGCAATGAACTTGCCAACAATCGCGTTTGGCTCGTGACCTGTGAGAGTTTTGCAGGAAGGTGAGACCCATAGTATCCGACCATCTGGAGTGAGAATGTGCAACAAGTCCTTGAGCTCTTCTATAATACGCTGTGACCAGTTTCGTCGCTTCGTGAACTCGGTCAGCGTGCTGCTGTTCGCCGGTGTCTGCATCCCAAACGACGTAGGAAGAGGCCCGGCGCCTGCAACCCCCGACATGTTCGCTTCCTCTTGCTGATGGTCCTGCGACGGATACACATCATCGTCCTGTCGCTGTATCATCCCCTGCTCCTGTGCCTGTGACACATCTATACCAGTTTGCTGCGGTTGGGTTGGATTGTACATATGCGCCTGCTGACTCAAATCCATGTCGAGATCCATCGGCAAGCTCATATCCATGTCCAAGCCATTCAGAAGATTCACGTCGATATTGCCGTTGGCATCCAGCATTCCACTCAGGTCCGCTTTGCCAGCAGCGCCGTCTAGGGGCCCTGATATGGCTCCATGAACGTTACCACCTGGAGCGCCAGGCACATGAGACCAGCCCGACATCTACGCTGCCGGCCCATGCAACCGCAATCGCGATCGCGCTCGAGCCGCGCCACAGGTACAAGCGACGCAGAGCCTCAACGATCGCAGATGCAGGCGATCGGGCGTCTCTACTACGGGCTGCGGGAGCGTCCGGAGACCGAGGGACAGATGGACGGAATCGCGGAGGTGAATCGGAAGGGGGATGAGTTCTTGTGCGAGGTCAGTATCGGGGGGGAAATGCTCAGGAAACAACGACAGCTCGATGTCGGAGAGCGATTGATCCCAGAAGCTGCTGTATGGCCGCGTCCGCCGACTCCGTCGGTCGCAGTTCCGTAGCTCGTAATCATCACGTGAACATGTTCTGTAATGTTCAGATGCCAGGCGTACAACTCGTCACGGCAGCATTAGGCAGCATGGCCGTTTGCCTGGACGTCGCGTCTAGAACAATTCACGCGACGGACTCATGTCTACAAAGAGAACGCCTTTCAACATTCGGACATGTAACACGACAACACCGCACCAGACAACCTTCGCATGAGTCGGGAGTACGCTGGACATTTGCAACAGCCGCCACTGGAACGGCCGCTTCTCCCGTGACTGAACAAGCCAACCGCCACCATGTCGAAGATAGAGAAGCTCTCCATCCTGGGAGTGCGCTCCTTCGACAATGTCCGCTCCGAAACCATCCAACTATCGACACCTCTTACGCTCATCGTCGGGCTAAATGGATCAGGAAAGACTACCATCATTGAGTGCCTCAAGTTTGCGACCACAGGAGATATGCCACCCAACACAAAGGTCGGAGGTGCCTTCATCCATGATCCCAAGCTGTGTGGCGAGAAGGAGGTTCTGGCCCAGGTCAAAGTCTCCTTCAAATCTACAGAAGGCCACCACATGGTCTGCACCCGGAATCTGCAACTTACGGTGAAGAAGCAAGCTAGAAGCATGAAGATGCTCGAAGGTGCTCTCAACATTGTTCGCAACGGGGAGCGTGTTTCCATGAGCTCCCGTGTTGCGGAGATGAACACCATGGTACCCCGATACCTTGGAGTCTCGAAGGCTGTTCTGGACAGCGTCATCTTCTGCCATCAAGAGGAATCGCTCTGGCCCCTTTCGGAACCGGCCAAGCTGAAGCAGCGATTTGACGAAATCTTTGAGGCTCTGAAGTACACCAAGGCCATCGACACCATCAAAGTGCTGGCCAAGCAACGCCGGGAGCAACTGGCTGTTCTCAAGGTTGAGGAGCAGCATTGCCGGGCACTCAAGAACAAGGGCGAAGAGAAGCAGAAGCAAATGTCGAAACTTGATGATGAAATCACGTCACTGCGTGCGCAGAGCGATGAGAAGAGTGCTCTCATCGAGGAAGCAGCGAGCAACGCCGAAGCGGCATGGAAGCAAGGCCAGGAGGCCAACCTCATCGTGGGCGATCTCAGGGGCAAGCGAATCGAGCGGGACACGAAGCAAGAAAGCGTGCAGAATCTGAGGAAGAATCTCAACGAGATGAGCGAGTCCGACGCGGACCTGCAGCGCATGCTGGACCAGTACGAACAGGACGTGCAGGATTACGAGAGGCGGCTAGAGGGCGAGAAGCGGAAGTGGCACGACCTCAACCAGGAGGTCCAGGCTACTCGCGGTCAGATCAGCGCCAAGGAGCGGGAATGCGGTTCCTATGAAGCTCAGAAAGACACCCAAGAGCGTCAAAAGCAGAACCGCGAGACTCTGGTGAAGGAGACGGCTCGTGCTCACAGTATTCGTGGCTTTGATCTTGATATTGATGACAAGCAAGTTCAAAACCTCATGGATCGCATAAGCAAGATGGCCAAAGACCAGAACGCTGCGTTTGAGCGGGCGAGGCGGGAAACTTCGGAGGAACTGCAGCGAGCTCAGAAGGCGCTCAGCGAGATCAACGAGCAGAAGTCGGCGCTGAACCAGCGGAAGGAGAACTCACGTCAGATCATCGCGGGCTACGATAAGAAGACCGCAGGGCTTCGCAGCAACGCAAACAGCATCAACGTGGATGAAGGAGCAATCGCCACCATGAAGTCGAATGAGGCGGACATCGAAGCGAAGATCAAGAGCGCCAGGGACGAGGTGAGCAACGCAGACTGGAAGAGCAGTATTGAGAGCCTGGAAGAACAGCTTCGCAAGCTGGACGATCGCAAGGAGAAGCTGGACGCTGAGCTCGTGGATGCTACGCGGCAAGCAGGTGACTCCGCGCAGCTCGACTTCGTTCGCAAAGAGCTTAAAGCCAGGCAAGAGAGCTTGGCCACCATGAAGGGCGCACATGGCGACAAGATCAGCAAGATGATCGGCGAGACCTGGACGCCTGGCACCGTTGAATCGGATTTCGAACAGCTCGTCAAGCAGAAAGCGGCCAACGTCACTGATGCGGAACGCCAGCGAGAGGGCACGAACCGCGAAATGAGTCAAATCAATTACAAGCTGAACAACTGCACGACGGAACTCAAGGCCAAGCGGAAGGAGCTCAAGGCTACTGAAGCTGCTATCCGGAATGCTGTTGATTGTGAGCCAGCTGAGTATCCTGAAGAGGTTGAGAAGATGGAGAAGAGCAGGGATTTCGTCAAGGCTGATGCAGACTCATACTCCAAGGTTCTTGAGTACTTTGACTCTTGCGTCAAGCTCGCCAAGGATCATAACGGTTGCAAGACTTGCTCTCGTGCGTTTGCGAATTCCAAGGAGCTTGACAAGATGCTCAAGACCATGGAGACGCAGAGGAAGAAGTTTGAGGTCAGCGACGACCTCCAGCAAGACCTAGCCAGTGTCGAGAAGGACCTGCAAGCTGCAAGGGCGGTCAGCTCCGACTTCGACACCTGGGAGCGGCTGAAGCACAAGGAGATTCCCGCGCTCGAGAAGGAGGAGCAGCAACTCAGCACGAAACGTGAGCGCCTCATTGAGCAGCTTGAGGAACAAGATGGGATTGTCAGTGAGCGAGAAGCGGCGAAGAGGGATGTTGAGGGCATGAGCAAGACGGTGCAGACAATTGCTAAATACAGCAACGAAATCGCTGCCTACGAGAGCCAGACTGAAGAGCTTGTTGCAAAGCAAAAGTCTGCTGGTCGCTCACGTGGGCTTGAGATCATCCAGGAAGACAGCAAGAAGGCCAACGAGGAGTCAAGAGCAGTCAAGACCCATCTCTCCAAGACCACCGGTGATCGAGACCGATCGGAGAAGAACATCAACTCCATGGAGCTGGAGTTCAGAGACCTGAAGAGCAAGCGGAGCACTGCGGAGTACCAGCTGAAAGACAAACAGAAGCTCGACCAGCAGATTGAGGAGTACAGGGCGCTTGGTGTGGAGCAGCGTGAAGCGATCAAGTCGATTGACCAAGAGCTTCAAGGTCTGGGACCGCAGCTATCGCAAGCTCAAGCTAAGCACGATGACATTTCTCGCCGCGGTGCTGACAAGGATCGCGAGCTGCAGGCGGAATACAACAAGCTGAACAACAGCGTCAATCAGCTCACGTCGGCGGACAAGGAGATTCAGGCTTACATCGACAGAGGCGGAGATCGGAATCTGGAGCATGCTAAGCGTGATGTTGAGAACTTCAAGAAGGAGCTGTCTCGTTTGGAGGCGGAGCAGAGTGAGGTTGTAAAGCGGATCAAAGGTCTCGACGAACAGCTGCGGAACCACTCTGAGACAAAGCGTGGCATCGAGGACAACCAGCGTTTTCGCCACGATCTTCGCGCCCTCAAGGATGTTAGTGCTGAGATCGAAGAGCTGGAAAAGCACAACGCCGAAGAGGATAAGGCGATGTACGACCGCGAAGGCAGCAAATGGCAGATGAAGCGCTACCAACTTTCGGCCGAGCACGCCAGTCTGGTCGGCTCTCTCAAGTCCAAAGACCAGCAGCTGGATGAGCTGATCAAGGAGTTCGAGACGGACTACGATGGCGCCGGCAGGAAGTACAAGGAAGCGCACATCAAGTCGGAGACCACCAAGGCCTGCGTGGAGGACCTGGGCCGGTACAGCGGCGCGCTCGACAAGGCCATCATGAAGTACCACTCGCTCAAGATGGAGCAGATCAACACCAGCATCGAGGAGCTGTGGCGCAAGACGTACCAGGGCACGGACGTCGACACCATTATGATCAAGAGCGAGAACGAGAACGCGAAGAGCAACAAGAGCTACAACTACCGCGTCGTCATGGTCAAGCAGGACACGGAGATGGACATGCGCGGCCGTTGCTCCGCTGGGCAGAAGGTGCTGGCGTCCATCATCATCCGTCTGGCGCTGGCGGAGAGCTTTGGCACCAACTGCGGGCTCATTGCGCTGGATGAGCCGACGACGAATCTGGATCGCGAGAACATTGAGGCGCTGGCGAGGAGTTTGGCGGAGATTGTGAAGGAGCGGCGGAAGCAGAAGAACTTCCAGCTGATCATTATCACGCATGACGAGGAGTTCTTGAAGGCGATGGAGTGTAGTGATTTCGCGGACAACTACTGGAGGGTCAGCAGGAATGAGAAGCAGAAGAGTGTGATTGAGAAGCAAAGCATTGCGGAGGTGATGTGAGGGGTGGGGTGGGTGATCATGTGAAGGAGCCGGATGGCGATTGCTTCAGAGGCGCAGAGGATGTTGCTCGATTGCTTGAGCATTGCAAGGCGTGGGAAGCATTTTAGCGATAGCATTTGCATGGCATGGCTGTATGAGCGTTCTAGATCCGTAATGTAGCTTGCAAGATGAGGTTAACCCGGTTCAACGCAGTAACAGGCATCATGTGGCGTCCTCTGCCGCCACTAAAAGGCCCCCGGGTAAGCAAGATCTTTGGTGGACTTTCCTGCTGAGACGTGCATCGTACTTTGCCATGCGAGCGCAGTGAATGGACAGCGTGAGTTTTTGCTGCCCGTCCCGGCATGTGGTCCTACTGGAGTAAGTTCCCATGACCTTGGGCGTGCCGTGTTGTCAACGTATCGGTAAGGTCTCATGGTCTTCTCCGCTCTACTATCCTCTTCTCCCAGCACGATGACACAACGTGCCACCTAAGCAACGATGCGCCGTCTACTGAGAACAGCGGCGCTGGCGCTGGCGTTCCTCCTTCTCCTATCTCTTTGCTATGCACATGAGGCTGTGAAGAGGGACAAGCGACCCAACATCGTCTTCATCCTTGTCGACGATCAAGATCTCCTGCTCGACTCTTACAAGCACATGACTACACTGCAGTCTGAGCTAATCCAGAAGGGAGCACTGTTTAGGAAGCATTATGGTCATGTGTAAGGCAACCACGACAGTACTGGCAGTAAGCGATGAACTAATGATGAGCAGGTCCCAATGCTGCCCTGCTCGCGCCACGCTCTGGACTGGCAGACATGCGCACAATACTAACATCACCAGTGTGATCGCGGGCGTGCCTGGTGGGGCGTGGCAGCAGATGCAGAAGAATGGGTTGCATGATAAGCTGCTGCAGGTCTGGTGAGTAGGGTGCATGCTCAAGCAGAGCATCGTGTGCTGATTGTGTTCTCTTGTAGGTTGAAGAATGCCGGTTACAAAACCTATTATTCCGGAAAGGTATCCTCAATGCCCTGTCCATAATGACTTGAGGTCCTGACTGCTCGCAGATCTTCAATGGCTTCGGCATCAAATCATACTGCGATCCTGTCTGCGTAGAAGGCTGGTCCAAAGCAGACATCCTCGTGGACCCAAGGACTTATCTGTACTACAACTCGTCGTACGCCCATTACGACGGCAATGAGTGGAACATCAACACCCGAGTACCAGGCTACAGCACTGACCAGATTGCCGACTACGTTTCTGGCTACGTTGAGGAAGCAGCGCAAGCCGATACTCCCTTCTTCGCGGTCGCTGCGCCAGTAGCTCCTCACATTGCAGCTGGCGCCACATATCCTGGCAACCGGACGAAGCTGCCCTATCCGGTGCCGAAGAAGGAGTACGAGAATCTATATCAGGATCTCGAACTGCCAAAGTCACCGAACTTCAATCCGGCGAATCGGAGTGGCGTCAACGCTGTTTGGGAGCTTGAGCGGCTTGGAGATGGCAATATTTGGTATCTTGAGGAATTCTACAGGCGCCGCCAGCGAGCTTTAAAGTCTGTTGATGATATGGTTGGCACAATCATACAGAAGCTTGACGATGCTGGTGTGCTGGACAACACCTACATAATCTACACAAGTGACAATGGGTACCATCTCGGCAACCATCGTCTTCAAGGCGGCAAGCTACAGTGTTTCGAGGAGGACGTCAACATACCATTCTTCATTCGCGGGCCGGACGTTGGCATTAATCAGACCTGGGACCTGGTGACCGGACACATCGACATGGCGCCTACAATCTTACAACTCGCTGGCATCGAGCAAGACCCTGCCTGGCAGCTCGACGGCACAGCCATCTCGTTCCCAATCCGAGACCAATTCGACTACATCCGCAACCTCGAACTCCGCGGCGACTCCTCGCACCTAGAGTTCTGGGGCCCCTTCAGGCAAGAAGGCATGTTCAATAAAGTCAACGTCGACAACAACCGCAACTTGAACATCTACAAAGCCCTGCGCCTTCAGGGCGACGGGTATAACCTCATGTACTCCGTCTGGTGCACCAACGAAGCCCACGAGCTGTATGATATGAGCTGGGATGCCTACCAGATGACGAACCTCCACCCTTCTGCTCCCGCGGAGAATGGATCGATGAATGCTTTTGAGAGGGGCATGGACACCCTCCTCGGCCGTCCTACGGAGCGGGTCCTGCATCGTCTGGACGCTCTTGTGCTTGTGCAGAAAACGTGCGTCGCTGAAGTCTGCCGGGAACCGTGGAAGCAGCTTCATCCCGAGATCAAGACGTTGAAAGATGCGCTGCACGAAGGCTATGATGATCTCTTCGCGAGGTCGTATCGGGAGGCGAAGGTTGGTTGGAAGCAGTGCTATAATGGGCTGAATAGGTATAATTCTTCGACGCTGTATGATTTGGATAATGAGCAGCCGATTTGGATAAACGAGACGGTGAGGGCGATGGTGAAGAGGAGTGCTGGGGTGGTCGAGGGACCGCGGGTTGGGGTGGTGGTGTTGGCGTGGCTTGGGTTGTTTTTGGCGGGTTCTCTGGTCTAGACGAAGCGAGAAAGGGAGAGTCGTCAGGGCGATGGCGTGAAATTGGGTTATTATACATAGAGGCTGGTGCTATAGACGTGATACCCCGGGATGCTGGCAGGTTCTTCGTACAGAGTGAGGCGTGATGTGGATAGAGCTCCAGCTTGACCACCTCATGCGCTTCCTGGCTTCTATCGATGACTTGCGATACAGTCGCATAGCACATTGTCTTGCTCCCCATTATCATGGAATTATAGTGATCCTGATATTTGCCAGTAATGGTTGAGTTGAGATGTTGTCGATATATCTGGCTATCTTCAGACTCAGGCCTAGATGTTTCACCAGGGCCTCTGGACCGTTTCAACTGGCCGCGGAGGTGGCGGTGGACCTGCTGGCGCGTCCTGATCCCAACACCCTGCGCTTAACGACACGTTTTACAGCCGCCCATGTTCTGCGCTGGCACTTCCAACGCATCTCAATGGGTCTCAGGGATGCAATAGACTGGAGAATGGGCTGTGAGCATGATAGTGGAGCATGGGAGGCCAGGGAAGGCGCATCAGTCTCCCGAAGCAACGCGTCAAAGCTCACACAACGGACTCAGTCGCGAACCCACCGCCGGGATCAACCTCAGTCCCGGACGCCGTCGAGGCACTGCCGCGCAGATCATACCGCGCGGAGTAATATGAAATCGACGGCGCCAGGAACGCGAAGCTTGATGTCGTCAAGCAATGCCGTCGTTACGCCTCACGACCACTCACATCGCTGATCCCTCTTGCTCTCTCTTTTGCGCCTGCACGACTGGAAACAGCAGTCGACGAACATAGCACGCTCCAACGTGGGCACGGCCAATGGCCCACAGGAACACGAATCTTGCCTTTCAACCGAAACTTCGGCAGTGGTCAAGTACATACTTCACTTCATAGTTCTGTTCCATAACCTCACTTTGTTGGCAGCTTCACTTCAATAGCAATTCACTTGCATTCAGTCGCCTGGTGCGCATTCACCAGCACTTGGCCTTATTTACCGCGCATTTCGACCAAGAAGCAGACACATCCAGCAGGCTTGGTGTTGATTTTATTCCAAGCCGGCATTGATTGCAGGACGTTGCTCAGCATTCCACGGGTACACATTCCAACGTCATCTACGAGGACAGCAGTGAACAACGGCAACAAACATAAGGACGATCTCTGGTTTGCTTTCTTTGGTTTGACCTCGCGATCGTGCTGGTGTGATTTCAGCAGCTGCGACGATTCAGCATAGGGAACTGGACCGAGCTGGTTGAAGTCATGTTGCTCAAATCAGCTCTGGTGGCTGTGTGCGCCATCTCCTCCGCATGCGCTCTGCCGTACGTATGCCGTGGGTTCAAAGTGGTCTCCGCTAACGTGATGACTTCAGAAGCTGGGGTCCTCCTCATGGTCCGTCAGGCTTCCACTGGGGCAACGAGAAGATCCGAGGAGTCAACCTAGGCGGCTGGCTGGTCCTCGAACCCTGGATCACTCCGTCAATTTTCCAGAACTATCCCAAGGAGAACGGCATCGTGGACGAGTACACCCTGTGCGAGAAGCTGGGCGCTAAGCGCGCATACAATGAAGTCCTCCGGCCGCACTGGGACAGCTGGGTGCAGTTCAAGGATTTCCAGAAAATCAAGGCTTCAGGATTCAACATGGTCCGGATACCCGTCGGCCACTGGGCGTACAATGACCTAGGGCCGTATGCGAGAGGGGCAGCGCCCTACATCGACAGAGCCATCGGCTGGGCCAGACAGACAGGACTGAAGGTCATAATCGATCTGCACGGTGCTCCCAGATCCCAGAATGGATTCGACAACAGCGGCCACAAGATGGAGACGCCACTCTGGACAACCGGCGACAGCGTCAAGAAAACCTTAGCAGCCTTGAAAAAGATCCAGACTAAATACGGCGCTCCCTCCTACAACGACGTGATCGCCGGTATCGAGCTGCTCAATGAACCCATGGCCACCTCTCTCGACTTTAACACAGTCAAGCAATTCACGCGCGACGGCTACGGCCAGCAGCGCGCCGCCTCCCAGTCGCGAGTGGTCGTTTTCCAAGACGGCTTCAAACACCCCAGCGACTATAACGGCTTCCTCACCCCCTCGGACCACGACAGCCAATGGGTCGCCATCGACCACCACGAATACCAAGTCTTCACCGACGATTTTGTTGCCATGCAGCCCTGGCAGCACCGACAGGCCGTGTGCAACAATGCCTGGGCCTACTCGGGCGCGGACAAGTGGACGTTTGTGGGCGAGTGGTCGGCTGCGATGACCGATTGCGCGGCGGCGCTGAACGGGTATGGGGTTGGCGCGAGGTACGATGGAACGTACCCCGGTTCTAAGCACGTCGGGAGCTGTGAAAATATCAATTTCATCGAGACCTGGAGTCAGCAGTTCAAGGACGACACAAGGGGGTATATTGAGGCGCAGATGGAGACCTTCGAGGCGCGTACGCAGGGATGGGTGTTTTGGAACTTCAAGACGGAGGGGTCGCCCGAGTGGGATGCTTTCAGGTTGATTGACGCGGGAGTGTTTCCTCAGTGAGTGGCTGTTCAGCATAATTGACCGTGATGAGGTGCTGATGTGTAACAGGCCTCTGACGTCGAGGAAGTTTGGCGCCATTTGCGACAACAACTAGGAAGTGTTGGTGCCGAATGGGCCAGGAAATGTGGGTATCAATCTCAAGAACAGCACTTTTCTTGGACACATGCTGACCGTGTCCGACAGTGGCAGTCGATCCAGTCCGATGATGACAACGATGATGGCCTTTGAGGATGAGAGCATCGCATTGAGAAGAAGCCAAAGGTCTCCTGTCTTCCTTCCACATCTCGTCGAGCCCGTATTGCTCGCATTGCTGCATTTTGAGCGATTTGCAGAACTTGCACGTACCTACTTAAGCATATGCCGGCAGTCGCTGGCTAGATAATGTCGAAAACAACATATGGTGCTCCAGCATGCCCTTTTCGTGGCTCTGGAAATTGCCTGTCGTGCTACTCTTGTTTCGCCTTGCCTACTATGTGTTCTCAATCAGCTTGATCAAGTCAGAGACCTCGTACCAGATGTGACAACTTTTGGTGAAGGTGTAGTTGGTCTGTGCTCATTCTGCAGCTCCTCCTCCTCGGCCATGCGGGATCAACGAAGTGAGGTCAACGGCGAACGTGTGCCGAATCGATTATTCAAGAGGTCATTGTATCTTCTTCGTTGCATCTGCTCTTCTCCTTTGACCTTTCAAGAGTGTTGGTGTGCAATCGCATTGGTTACTGTGTCCAATGTAGGTCCTAGGATGTCTCGAACACCCATCCCGCGCCAACTGCTATGGCAGCAGCTTCGGCAGACAACACGAAGTGGTGCTGTACGTTGCCGAGCACAGGTTCAAGGAGTCAGACACTATGCGGCAGACAACAAGGAAGAGCGGGAGTCTTTCAAGGGACAGTTATACCAAAGTACGCATGAGCGCGTGCAGCGCGAGAGGGCAGACGAGGAGCGGTTCGCGAGACAGCGAGATGCTGAGAGAGCGGCTTCGGGGAGCTCGCTGGGATTGGCTATACCAGTAGGTAAGGAGAAGCATACATTGGCGTGTGGAAGCAGATGGCAAGGTCTAACAACGTCCAGCACTACTCGCCGGCGCATTCGGAGGATGGCTCATGGGCAAGCAGACGCCCAAGGAACCAGAGCCATTGTCGACAGCTCCCCTCTCGGTCACGAAGCCACCACAACATGACACCGCGCCGGCGACTCTGCAAGCAGCATGGGCTGACCTGAAAGATGTCGTGGGCGAGGAGAACCTGTCCACCAACGCCGATGAACTGGCGTCTCATGCCGGCAGCGAATGGAGCTCATACGCCCACAAAGAGTCCGACCAAGCCTTCTGCATCGTCCGACCTTCAAGCACTGAAGAGGTCTCCGGCATCATGAAAGTGTGTCACAAACGCAAAATACCGGTTACAGGCTACAGCGGCGGAACTTCGCTGGAAGGACACTACGCAGCAACGCGAGGTGGTGTCTGCATCGACTTCAGCCGCATGGACCAGATCGTTCAATTACACAAGGAAGATCTAGATGTGGTTGTGCAGCCAGCGGTAGGATGGGAAGTGCTAAACGAGGAGCTCGCTGAGCATGGCCTCTTCTTCCCGCCAGACCCAGGCCCGGGCGCGCAGATCGGAGGTATGATCTCGACCGGCTGCAGCGGCACGAATGCGTATCGGTATGGCACGATGAAGGACTGGGTGCTTAGCATTACGGTTGTGATGGCGGACGGCACGATTGTCAAGACCAAGCAACGACCGCGGAAGAGCAGCGCTGGGTACGATCTCACGCGCATGTTCGTCGGTTCAGAAGGCACTCTCGGTCTGGTCTGCGAAGCCACCCTGAAAGTCACGCCGAAACCGCAGAATACGCGGGTAGCAGTCTGCACCTTCCCAACAATCCGCAGCGCAGCCGACTGCGTCTTCCGCGTCGTCGGCGAAGGCGTGCCCATCGCCGCGGTCGAGATCCTGGACGATGTACAGATGAAATGCATCAACGACGTCGGCCGGACTTCGCGTTCATGGAAGGAAGCACCAACGCTGTTCTTCAAGTTCAGCGGCACGCCGACGGCGGTGAAAGAGCACATCAGCATCGTCAAAGACCACGCCAAGAAAGCCGGTAGTCAGACCTTCGAGTTCGCGCGGAATGCGGAGGAAGGCGATGAACTGTGGGAGGCTCGTAAAGAAGCGCTCTGGTCGGTTATGGCGAAGCGAAGGGACGATTCGGATCATGTCTGGACTACGGATGTCGCTGTGCCCATCAGCAGACTACCTGATATCATTGACGAGACCAAGTCGGAGATCAGCAAGAGTGGCCTTACGGGCGCTATTGTTGGGCATGTTGGTGATGGGAATTTCCACGCCATCATCTTGTATAATGACAAGGAGCACGATATCGCCGACGATCTGGTGCACAACATGGTCAAGCGCGCGATTGAGATGGAAGGAACGGCGACGGGTGAGCATGGCGTTGGGCTTGTGAAGCGGGATTACCTGCCCCATGAGGTTGGGCAGAGTGCTGTGGACTTGATGCGGAAGGTGAGTGATGCTAGACTGTTGGTTGGCGCGAGCCAGATGCTGACTGCTGGTGACAGATGAAACAAGCGTTTGATCCATTGTGTCTGCTGAACTGCGACAAGGTCATTCGCGCGCAGCAGCCGAAACCTGGTGAAGTCCAGGAGTGGTGAGGAAAGGAGACGCGGTCGGCTTCTCAGGCGAGCGTAAATATGTGGATATGCGAAAGTCCTGAAATCTATTTTGTGCTCAAGATCCATCCCCTCCGTTCGGACAACGAGTGCAACGTGCCCCTCTCGGCGGTGAAAGATGCCAGGGCAACGTCTTGGTAGATATCGCTCGAGTGGTGGGGTCCCAGACACCGGAGTGCGTACAAGATCTCAAACGCGTCGTGTGATGTCGTACAAGTCGCGGTTGTGGACCTTGTACCCAGATCAATGAGCTCCGATGGCAGAGTCTCGACATTGAAGCGATGATGCTGCAACGTCTGAGTGTAAGGAAATCGATGTCGACCGAAGAAGCTGGCAAGGCAGCGGTGTGTAAGAGTGAGTAAACAGAAAAGTACAACTTTGCTCGCTGTGCTACCTACACCGGAACTACTGTGGACCAAACCCACGTCTTCGGCTGCTGTGCTACATCGATGCTTACGAGCCTACGAGTCTTTCTCGTTCTTGCACTCATTGTCCGGCTCACTCGAACAGCCGGCTCTGTCGTGTGATTTCTTCTTTCGCGTCTGCAAAGACGGTGGTGGTGGAGCGGGTCCCGGGTTCTCGTCTCCTCGATCGAATCTTCCGGGGTACCACCGCAGGTGCAAGGGTAAACGTACCGCGTGGCCCCTCGATCCCAGTGTCTCGGGGAGCCATCGGAGCGACAAGCGAAGTGCTGTGTGGCTGCCGACGACTAGGTTCGATCCGGACCACTTCACCAGCAGCAGCAGCTCAGGTGGCACGGCTTTGTTAGCTCGATGCTCTGGTTCCGCCTCCCAGGGTTTGTAGTTATCACCATCAGGCACAGATGCCTGCTTCCGCGGCTGCCACGCTGCGGTCCGTTGGCGGGTAAGAGCACGGGAAGGCAGACCAAAGAACCGATGGAGCTGGGCGTCCAACCGACAAACATGGAGACGGACATTGCTGACTTCACGGCCGGGCAGGAGTTCACCACGAATGCAACCGCTTCATGCGAACGACAAGCATGCTGGTCATCACGCTGGCGAAAGTCGGAAGCTTTTCGTAGCACATTGACTTTCAGCCAGATTCGAGGAGTTGGTCATCCCTTGCTTCGGGTGCCTGCGGGAGTCTCAGCAAGATGGGCCCGCGAGTTCATGCTTCGAGAGGTGGGGTTTGCCGGATCCAAGATCGGTCGTCTTGTGTCCATAATGTTTGTCGGACAAAGGCAGACGGTTCGCAGCGCGCATGAACAGCTGAGAGGGTTGAGCCAGCCAAGCTGTGTGCTCGTCCATGCCTGACTGTGGTTTGGACTCGATGCAACGTCTCGCTTACTGAGAAGACCTCTAGCTCCATTGAATCACTCTCCGCCATGCCAATGATGGCAAAGCGTAGTCACCTGTTGTCGTTAGAACATTGCCCGCGCGGGACCTCCACCTGGTCACTTGCAGGGGACGGACCCAGGGGAGAAAACCAGATCCATGGCATCGGGTTTGCCCAGTGTGACAGTTTTCGCTTATTCGTGATCCGTGGTCTCGAGGTCGTCATCGCGGCTCCGCTCTGGCTCGGAAGTTTCGACAGTTGTCGCGCAAGATGGAGGGAGCTGGACAGTAGCTATCAGCAACCTCGTATCTGGCCCAGGTCCTGGTCCTACCGTGCCACGAAAGATCCTGCATACACCCCAGTGGTGCAGAGCATTTGCAGTTCCTGGAGCTTGAGCAAGGGTGCTGGGCTCCAGGGTGGCGCGAAAACAGCCAATGGCGCGGTTTCCATATGCAAGTCTTAGTTCCATCCGCCAGCGTGCGGAGAAGTTTTGGTGTCGTTCATGCTGGTAGTTCGCGGTCACGGTATGGTCAGACGACAAGTGCTTGGTTTCATTGGGTCACAATAGATGTTGTCGCGATGAATGTTGCCACGGACGCCACGGGATGGAAGAGGTGAGGTCTAACGAAGTGCGTAGCCTGGTCAGCGAGTTGAGCTCGCTTGCGGGCTCCAGTCCGGAGAGCTGCCGTGATCTGCTCCCCCACCCCCCTTCGCCCACAGGCCACCACCCAGCAAGCTCGTCCCGACAAGATGGTTATGTGGTCGAGACTAAGGTCCTTAGTTTAGAGCCTAGGTACGGCTGGCGTGTAAGCCCTACACTTTCCGAACGGTCGGGCCTTGAATCTTCCATCTCGACTCCGAAGTACCGCATTCTCGCAACACGAAGCACTCGCCAGCCACGCAAGGGCTTACGGCTGTATCTCGAGGCCAGTGCCGGTCGTCTCAACTTCGTCGTACGCCCCAGCAGGCCACTTTCAACATTACCAAACAACCCAGCCAGACTGGTGGACCACGGTCTCCACAAAGCTTCAGACTTGCCGGACGGTTCATGCATCGCGCCGTAGCCCTGGTTCAGTACAGCAACTCCACGTTGGCGATAGGGTGCCTCATAAGTACATGTAGCCCGCCGTACCCGGACGACTGGTCATCCATGTACAGATCAGTCCTTTTCTGCGGGCGGTCACATTTGTTCTAGATTTTGTAAGATACCTACATGCTTGGGATCTGCATCCAACGGACGACTACCCTGTGAACGGCCGACCCTGGGCAAATGCAGGTCTTCTCGCCGCACCAGAACGGAATCGGACACCACAGGTAACCTTGGCACAACCGGAAGAGATTTGGTGTCCTCGATTAACACTCGTACAGAGATCACAGAACTCGCATCGGCAGTCTGATCCATTCCAACGGCGACATGCGGGACAGTCACCAGGCTCCTGATCTGAGGATTGAATATTATCAATGGGAAGGCCGACGATACTGTATGGTGAACGGAGGCATCGCCTACCAGTTCCCCTGGGACGAGGTAAGGCTCAACTTTCAAGTTCAGTTGGTATGCATGAGCTCAAACGCATGGCCAGATTGAGTGGGAACGGCTTGACATGATACATTGTCTAATACACGATCATGCGCTTGACAAAAGGTCTTACATCTCGCCTCTGGATGCTTCCTCGGGACGGGCAAAGATTCTCGACGTTGGATGTGGCACTGGAATATTCTGTTACGATGTCGGGGAAGCAAATCCCAACTTCGATGTTATAGGTATCGACTTGGCCGACGGTCCAAAAGGCGTCGCGATACCGAACGTCCAGATCATGACACCGGTGGACTTCAATTTGCCGGAATGGCCGCTTCGACCTCACGACTTCGATCTGATCCGCAACGCCCACCTGAACGGCAGCGTGACTAATTGGGAGCAGCACTTGAGAAAGTGTTTTCAGTAAGTCCTGATACTCTCAGCCTGGTCTCGTTGAAAAGCCACTCTGACTATCACCAGCTATCTCAAGAGCGGGGGATTCTTCGAACACATCGACATTGACTTCACGCCTCGACTACGCCTGGAGTACACTCCTCCGCGCGACGAGCTGGTCGCGGCAGGCGGCTACCAGCGCTGGCAAGAGAAGTTGATGGAAGAGATCCGTCCAGTGCAAGAGTGGTGGCACCTGATGCAGGAAGCTTCGCACCGCATGGGAAGGCCTCTCACATACCCCAGCAACATGGAGGAGATGCTGGAGAACGCGGGATTCGACAGGACGCATCACGAAACCTTCCGCATTCACATGGTGCCGCCACCTGTGGACGGCGACATCCGCGAGGAGGACGGCAACCGCGCTGAGGTGAAGATGGAGAATCTTTTCAAGGGTGCCATGTTCCAGTTCCACGCCAACCGTGCTAATCGTCCTGTGGACCTTGAAGGGCTCACGATGTATCTCCTGACGCAATACTGCAACCCGCCCCGATCGGTCGATGAGGTCCGGAAACGATGCGCCGACGTCGCTCGCATCTGCAATAGTCGAAGGCGCCCGGTGTACTTCAACCTGTAAGTGGATGTGAGCGGACCTACTTTGAGTACATGACTGATCGCAGCAGGCACGTATGGTGGGCCCGCAAGCCTTGAGTCTGCTCGACGTCGCCAGTCAAGCATCTCTTAATAGCATTCTCAAGCGATCTTGACCTCGCTCGTCGTCGCTGGGGACGACGAACAATCCGGCCCTGAAGGTACCGAAAAGTGGTTTGGGGGCGTTGGTGTATTCGCTTGGTTTCGGTCCGACAGGTTATAAAGTCCATATACCCAGGAATGATTTCGGCGCGGCGTTCAGGAATACAGAAATCTCGACATCTTGCATTCTCTCGCAAGCCATTGGTGGTCTGGCCCACATCTGCCGGCCCGTGGGCGTCCACTACCTGCTCCAGCAGCGACGAAGGATCCCATTCCCTGTCGATGGTCAGGGGCGGGTGGAAGGGTGGATGCAAAGACTACTGCGTGGTCGACAGCCGCGGCCGGGGACCGGTCCTATGCCTAGCAGTATCGTATGTAGAGCGCGAAGACACCGTTACATCGCTTGGAGAGTTTCGCACCGAAGGAGTCAATGCCGACGACTATGAAATGCAATCTGCTCGCCTCGATTCGCTTCCAGCGTTGTTCCACGGTAATGGGTCATGTTCGCACGAGCACTCGCCTTCATACCCTTGTCAGCGGCTGTTCTGCTGAGCAAGTAACGGATGATACATGCTGGTGCAAGCGCGCTAACCGCCGCTTCCTGTAAGCCACGCCGGGGTCTACAGGTCTCCGGAGAATGTGACGAGTGTGCATCCCGGGTGCTGGGTTAGGGCGTACCGACTGCTTGGGACGCGGCACAGCTCATCTTCATCCCCGAGACTCAGCTGCATGATATGGATTGAGGAAATGCAGGCAGATCTAGGCGATGCGGCAAAGGTAGTATGAATCTGTCAATGCTCTTATAACGTGAGAAGTCCCGATATTGAGTGGTGTTTCTGTCCGAACAATCTCGCTGATATTGAGGTCATTATCCTTGTTACTCCACACTGCTTCTGTACATACTCTGGTATTGTTGGTGGCGGGAAACAGCAGAAGAGGTCGAGAGCATCCTGGGTCAGTCCACACAACATTCGTCTAGATTGGAATGCTAATGGAAGCCACCAGCGCCCGAATGGGAACATTGAAGTCAAACGACCACAGCTACAACGACTCCGACCAGATGCCCAATGAGTTGACGTTCCCGTTCGCTCACTACCCGGTTCCTTACTACCTCTGGAAGGGCAACTGGCTGGCGGACTGTCGATACGAGGTAGGTCGACCTCCTGCGCATTTTCCTGAGCCAACCGCATCTTCTAGACACTGGAAGAAGAACCGCCGGAACCGCAACGGCAACAGTATGTTCACCGACTTCTGCAGACATTACTCGAAGGTGACCTCCACCACGCACGACTGCGCAGACTGGAATCAGGGGCTCCCTTTCGCGTCCTCAGTATCGGCAGCGGTACGGGTCTTTGGGCTCACGACATGGCCAGCAGGCATCCGAACGCTGAAGTGGTAGCGATGGACCTTGTGCAGCCGGCATACGAGCATGACCCACCGAACTATCGCTCTCTGTCTGGCGTTGACTTTAACGAAGGCGATTGGGGTGGATTGCAGGAGGCGTCGTTCGATTACATCCACATTTCGATGCTCTGTGGCAGGGCGACGGATTGGCCGGCGTTGCTGCGACGGGCGCTGTGGTGAGGCCTTTGAAACATCCAAGGGTGCTACTCGGACTGACTCAAGATGATTTCAGGTACCTGAAGCCGTACACCGGCGTAATCGAGATCGTCGAGATGGACTGGGAACCGCGCTCAGATCCACTCCCCTTCCCGGTGTCCGGAAACCCACTGTCGCGATGGTACACCGACCTCCGAGATGCGTCCGACCGAGCTGGGCTCCCTATTGCGTACCCGCACAGCATGGAACAATTCCTCAAGGATGCTGGGTTCGCCGATGTTGGCCATCAAGAGCTGCGCTGTCCTTACTGGGGAGGCGGTGACCCTTTGGATCACCGAGAAAGCGCCGTTGCGGAGGGTCTATCGACCAGCACGCATGTGAACTTTGAAGATTGCGGGACAAGCGTGTATACGACAATGGCGCTGCCGCACTTCGTAAAACACCTTGGCCGGTAAGAGCAGCACGCCATTCAGCAATGCGAACAGGTGGTAGCAGCTGTTAAGACACCATGCACGCCATTGTACCATAATGCGTGCGTTGCAATTTTCCAGTCTGTGTTCGGTGTAAAGGCTGATGATTGAATAGGCAATTCTGCACCGCTCGCAGACCGACCGATATGGCCTTGCGGAGCTTCCCAGTAGGACTTCGTCCCGGCAGCAGTAGATTTTGAGAGAGTGAACTGTATCGATGTCAGCTTGTTTGATGAATGTAAAGATAGGATAACAGATCGATGGGAATGGGAGCAAGGTACAGTAATGGCAATGTCAACTCACCTCAGCAAATGGAAGGCACATCTTCTGGCGTATACAGACAACTTCTCCAGTCGGTGCCTCCCGTTATGTTCAGCTTCTAGTGTGCTGGCAGTCTCCTTCGCCGAACCTTAGTACTTGTATGCCCGGTTGGATTGCACTGCACATCATTGTTGCAGGCTGGCAACAGTCAGTGTGTCCGATCCTGTGGGCCTCACACTAGTCACCCTCCTCGCATGTTCATTGAGAACTTTGACTTTGAGCGCTCCCACACAAGCCTCGAGAATTGACGTAGACCGCTCAGGTGCCGCAAAATCTCCCATCAGCGATGTCAACGAATGGCACTTTGAAGGTAGAACTCTGCGGCCTCAACAATCCGCAGATATTCTCCAGCAACTTTCCAGCGTCTGTCTAGCAGGACCAGTAGTTCCTTGAGCTCCACGAGGCGCTCGCTGCACCATGGGTCGGACGACTCCCGCACATACCACGCATCTGTTGTACGTGTCAGTCAGATCTGTCGCCGCCAAAGCTACTCTATCAAGTTGAATTGCTGTCCTCGAGCATGCGCTGGTCAAGGATTGACTTACAGTTTGCGGCAGCCTGATACACGACGTCCACGCACAATGGACTGATGGTTCCAGCTCCACGTGTATCGATAGTCCTCCTCATGGTGCGGGTGAGGATCAATGCACGGCTGCTTATCTCCTCCAGCCCTTCGATGCTGGCCTTCTGTACCTGAAGCTGCTCTTCACCCAAAGTGGCGCCATTGCCATTACCGTTGCTGTTGTTGTGTTCGGTGCCATCTGCAGCCAGATGCGCCGTTGACGCTTGCTCCGTGCAGCTGTAAGCATCGTACAAAGTCAGGAGGCCTGAAAAGATAAGTGCCATTGAAGAGCATAGGTCGGCCGTAGCCACGTCGCCGTCCAAGCTGTCGGGCCCGCATTGGTCTTGGAGTATGTCGGCAAGCGCACGTAATGTGCGATTCAATTGCAAAGCTTCGGAGAAGCGGTAGGTCAGAGGTAGGTGCTTATCGTCAATATGAGCGATTACTTTGCCGAGTAGGTGAGCAGCCTGACATGTCCTTGCAAAAGGGCTCACTTGGATGGTCTGGCTCGCGGAGAGTGACAGCGGTGCTGCGACTAGCATCTGCCCACGATCCCAGGCGGTATCGTCGGTAGGAAGATGATTGTCCAGACCTGGATCGTTGGTCGCAAATGGTTTACCACGATGTCCGATGTTGATGAAGCGGTCGAGGACGATGACACCCCACCAGACCCGCCGCCGTTCTTCTTGTTCGGTCCAAGTGGTGGCCCTGGATATCATCTGCGGTACACCTCGTGCGTGCAAGCCCATGGCATGGCCGAGACGAGCGCTGTTGCCAATCGTGAGATAAGATGCAGGGTAGATGCAATGACCGGCCTCATAAAGCCCAATGAGGCAGAGCGACTGGATCAGCTGGATCGAGAAGCCGTTTTGCGCTTCTACGTAGCCGTAGAAGGACTTGACATCCTGATAGAGCTGTGTCTGTGGCGGTTGTCCGTCTGGTACCTCGCCACAGACCAGCTTCATAGCAAGAAACAGAAGTGCGATGTCAGCACCTGGTTCATGTAGAGGGTTCGCAAGGTGCTGGTACAAGCGTATCTTAGAGATGATAGGGAAGTAGGTATGCACGGTGGCGAAGTATTGTTCAATCATCTGCCTGTTACAAAACATGAAGTAATTAGTAGATGACCACCCAAGTAGGGACGCTGCCACTAAATGCAGATTGTCCAGAACGTAACATTTGGAAAGGGATGAGGTACCGCAGCTCAGCTGAGTTTCCAAGCGCAGCCAATGCCCCGGGAGGCACCTTTACTTGTGGCGTTTGAATCTGGAACCGCTCATATTGGAAAGCATTCGAGTCCAGGAAGTACAAAGAGGGAAAGGAGACCTGCCCTTGAGAAATCCACTGTGAAGGTTGACCGGGTGAGAGAAGGAGGCCGGGACTGGTGCCATTGCTGAGCCCATTAATGCTACTGGAGCCGGTGCTACCGCTACCGCTGCCATTTGAAGTTGATGTGCTTCCGCCGCTTTGCGTTGTCGATCGGAGTAACTGCTCCAAGTGGGCCACCTGGTCTTTAAGAGCGGCGAAATCTTCGGTCGAAGGCTGGCATGACTGGCTTTCAGCACTGTAATCACAAGGCCGACCAATCCTCCGGCAGAGCGAGCAGGTCGGTAGCTGCTTGTCGCATCTTCGTTTCTGCTTCCGACATGAAGCGCACGCTTGAGGCGCGACTTCTGGGGGTGTTTCGTTCTGAGCTTCAACGTCGACCATCTTGATTCCGGTCGAGGTTATCTCGGGGAAGAATTGTTGAGATCCTGGTACAGTCAACTACCATTTCCGAGCGTGCTCTCTCAGAGTCGTGAAGGAGAAGTCAAGCGGAGACATTTCACATTGTTCCAGCCGCAGCGTTCCAGGTGAGATGTGGTTGGCGCTAATCTAGGCTAGCTCGGCACGTGATCTCGCACTTCATGTCTTGGAAGCAAAGAGTTGTCCATAAACATCAACCCCTCAAAACTCACTACCGCCCGCGCACTACGGTGGCCGAGAAGTCGCCATCGCCGCAACCACAAGAGCGGAGAACGGGGCGCAAGATGGTTCGCGTCGGCAGGCCAGAGAAGTAAGTGACAACAGCAATATTGCCTCCTACCCAAGCAAGGCACTGGCACATACTAATATTCTCCCAATCACCAGGTATGACTGGGAAGACAAACGAGAGGTAGGAGAGACTTCGAACCTACGCTGGTGAACAGAGGACTGACACGCGCCCAGATATGCTGGAAGCTCTATAACGAGGATAGGCTAAGCGGCAACCAGATCGTCGACTGGTTCGCGAATCACTTCAACATCCCAAAATCCGAACTTCCGCCTTCAAACCAGTTCCACAGGAAGTTCAAGCAATGGGGTTTTCCATCGCGACGCGCCCAGCTGTCGGCAGAGCAAGAGGAGAAATTGCTGGCGAGGATCAAAGACCTGTTTAACAAGAACCTTCCTGCGAAGAAGATCCAGGGCACCGTGAATGAGGAGGGCTGGGACTTAGACGACTACCACTTCCTTCGCTTCCGCAAGAAGCATGGGTTGATGCTACGGGGTGAACAGGCCTTCCAGAGCTTGCCTCCACGAGAGAAGAAGAGGAAGGCTACTGATGAGCCGTGTAGTCAGCAAGAGGCGACCCAGAGCACACAGGACGCGGCAGCGCCAGAAGCCGATGTCGTGCCTCGATCCTACTATTTTGCACCAGAGGTACCGCGAACCGACATCCCCCCATTGGCTCCCGAAGAAGCAGCTCGCCGAGAACAGCGTGCAAGGGATCTTGAAGCCTCAAGCGAACAGCTGCTGCACACCCGGAAGCGTCGCCGCCGGATCAGAGGATGGGGTAAGCTGCCTCCGGACGCTCCTGGTCTCGAACCACGCTACAGCTCGGAAACCAGCTTGGATGAGTGCAAGGCGTTCTTGCATCTGTCCAACGAGCTTTACAATCAAATCCGGGAGGAGTTCATGGCCATCTGCATTGCGGACGGCGTCACCAAGATGTCAGAATGCAAAGACGGCGAGTGGCAAGCCGTAAAGGACAAGCTTGTGCGTCAGAACGCATACCTCAGCTCTGTGCTACATCCTCTACAAGGGGATCTCGACAAGAAGAACATCGCAGTCAACTGCATCTGTATGGATGTGACGAAGCGTATCCGCACGTTGAACAAGACACTGGGCATGGCTGACGCGAACAACATCCTCGAGCTGGATCCATTGCAGTCCAAGGAGCTACGCCGGATCTTCTACGAGGTGCTCGAGGAAGACCACTTCACGACGGTTGCTGAATGCGGCGTCGGACATGTTGACGAGCTTCGCCAGCGATGGTACGCTCGGTCTGAGTTCTTGCAGCGCGTGATGGCGGAAGGCGATCCTGAAAAGCTACGTGCCCTCAAAGTCCTGGATCGCGACACCCGCAAACGGTACGGCGATGATCGTAATAGAGCGAACCCAGAGGCGAAGTTGGGGAGATATGGAGCCGCAAACAACTACGGCCCTGGCCCTGGAACTGCTCCTCGTGTAGTAAAGATGTAAGTACCTCGACAGACTCTTGTTTGCATCGTCCATTGAGCACTGTTCTGTGAACGAACATTCGACAGAACATCCACTGATAACACTCTCACAGGAAGCGAGGACCTACACGTACGTACGGAAACAAGGACACCGGCGCTCAGTCGGCCACGCCGCAGGCGGAACTGGAGCATTGGGAGCACAATGTCGCCACAGCTCCATCCACTACTCCCAATCAGCCTCAATCGGCTACTCCTCGCCGCACCTTGGCCCCTCCTGGCCCAAGTTGGATCGGTCACCCAGTTCCACCTTTCCACACTACGACAATCGCGAACATGGTCCCCCCTATCAACTTCGAAATCGATCCTGCACTGGACAGGCCGATCTGGCCGCCTACGGCCGCCCCTTGGGGCTCCAGTGAGCGCGACGCCGATCCGCTCCCGCTGTCAAATGGTCAATCGGTCCATGGTCCCCGTCATGCCCATAACCCTACCGGAGCAGCTACGTCGTCGAGCGCGCAAGCAACGCCAGCGAGCATCCCGGCTTACTTCCGACTCTCAGGTTCCTCACAATTGGTGGGACACCATCCGCGCGTGTGGATTGGCAAGCTTGCCAGTCGCTCTGTGTCCGCCTTGCACAGTGCGGCGACGGTCAAAGCAGGGGCAGCCAGCGTTAACAAAGTGCATGGCGTGGTGAAGAATCCTGGAGGTGACGAAGACAGTTATCTGATCGAGAACGAGGATGACTTGGAGGCATATCTGGGCGAAGCGGGGGAGAAAGCGACTTTTGTTGTGGAGTTGGCGGGAGGGTATGCCTGAGCCCAGCCTTGGGATGTTTACGAGATCAAGACTTATGTGGACGGCTGCATGTGCAAACTGACGAAAATGCGCTGCGCAGTGCTTGTATGCAAGCGATCTCAGACAGCAGCACGCATTGGAGGCTAAAAGGGAGGATGAGCGAAGTGAGCGAAGCGAAGAGAAGGATTGCGGTAGGAAGTGGGAGTGAGAAAATAGTCGTTGGAGTTGCAAAGATCGGGACGAACATGAGGTAGGCGGAGAGGACAGAGCAACGGAGGATGGGGGTTCGTACGTATGATTAACACCACTGCCAGCCCTATGAACTTCTGCCATTCTGATCGCAGACTGCCTGAAATCTTGTCTGCCAGACGAGGCTCCTGCTCTCCGACCCCACTTCCTCCAGCTTCCTCTACGATCAAAGTTCTCACCCGCAACACGACCTCGGCTTCTGCAGCTGTCGACAGCTCCACTTCACCTGTGAAAGCCTCACGGCAGTAGACAGACACGAACAACGATAACATTGGTAAGCTCAAGGGCTGCTCTTAGGCAGTAAGTGCTCCGGTACTGAACGTTCTTCGTATCCTAAAATCTCTCAACTGCAGCGCCGTGGAAGATACATTTCCTTCGTTCTCATATCGCTATTAAGGCCTCGGTTGTGTACGACGTACTTCAGTATTAAGATCTACAGCCAGCTCGCCTCTTGCTGCATAAAGGACGGACAGCAATTCAGCTTCCCTCCCTCCAATCCTGTTCAACTCACAGTCGAACACGAACGCAATGGCAGACATCAAAGACTGGAATGCCCTGGCAAAACCGGACCCGGAATGGGACCAAGTAACACTTCCCTTTCATCCTCCCGAGTGCAGACCACCTCACTAATCCTTACCAGGCCGTCAACGACCTAATGGGCGGTAACCAACCCGACCTGGGCCTCTTCCCCGGCATCCCCGAACTGCGCGCCTGGATCACCAGCACCAAACTCGCCACCGCGGCGCAGATGGGCGCAGGTAAGATCGAAGGTGTCGTGGAGGAGGAACATCAAGTGAAGATGCGTGACGGCGAGAGCATTACCGTAAGGACTTACCGGCCGGAGAAGAAGCCGGAGGGTGGGAGTGCGATGTTTGTTGTTTACCATGGCGGGGGGTGGTGTATTGGTATGTTTTGTCTTATGTCGAACGGTAGATATTGAGTGTGTATGCTAACGCAGGCTTTGTGCAGGCGGGTTGGAAAACGAGGAGTTGCTTGCCAGGAAAGTGGTGGAGAAGCTGGGTGCTGTGGTTGTTAACGTGGACTATCGCCTTGCTCCGGAATGGAAGGTGAGTGTTCTGAAAGGCGGTGACTGGTTTGTAAGACGCTAATGGTATCGTAGTTCCCTACGGCAATCAACGATAGCTGGGATGCGACGAAATGGGTACTTCTCACTCTCTCCCTACCCCACCCACAGCTAACACTCCTCCCCAGGCCACCTCCAACGCCTCCTCCCTCGGCGCCGACCCCAGCAAAGGCTTTGTCATCGGCGGAACCTCAGCCGGGGGCAACATCACCGCCGTCATCAGCCTCATGGCACGTGATGAGAAGCTCTCTCCACCCATCACCGGAACCCTCCTGATGATCCCCTTCTACGTCTCCCATCAATACATCCCTGAGTCCTGGAAACCGGACTACAACTCCTGGGAGCAAAACAGGAACGCGCCGATTCTCAGCCAAAAGGCCTGCAATCTCTTCATCGACAACTACCTCCCCGACGTCTCGAAGCGGAACGATCCGCTCATGTCTCCAGCGCTGTGGCCCACGGGGCTGAAAGGGTTGCCACCAGCTGTATTTCAGGTCTGCGGACAAGATCCGTTGAGAGATGAGGCGTTGATTGTGGAGAGGGAGATGAGGGAGCAGCATGGGATTAAGACGAAGATGTTGGTGTATCCCGGGCAGCCGCATGGGTTCTGGAGTGTGTTGCCAACTATGGATGCGAGTAAGAAGTTTGTGGAAGACTCTGTTGGAGGAGTGCAGTGGTTGTTGGAGCAGAAGTGAGGTTGAATGAAGTTGATAGATGTACACACCCTACAATCAACGCCTACGGTGGCTACACACAGTACTCGATCAATCGTAAAATCCCAACATCTTGTTCGCCCGATCCATGACTTCACGTTGCCCACTCGTAAGCCCAGGCACATCACTGTCCCATTCCCGCAAGCCGAAAGCTTGCATACCTTCGACTGGGTTGACAGCTTCAACATCCCCAGCACCTGGCCTTCCGACATGCTCGCTCTCGCCCTTGCCTCCGCCAAAGTCCGGACAAGGCGTGCCTTCAAGAAAGCATGCCCTTTGTCGTGCCATAAACTCCGCGTTGGCGACCGTGAGCGGGCAAGCAGGGATGTACATCACGCTGCTGTCCGACTTGCCAGCATGGACACTATCGACGGCGTGAATAGTATCGCAGTGCCAGCTGAAGTAGTCTCCAGGGTTGACTCGCGGTACGTGCACCATCGAGGAAGTGAGATTGAGGTGCGGATGCAGGAACGGTCGCAGTTCTTGTCCATGGCCTAGGGAAGCGCCGTGGAGCCATGAGTTGGAGAGGTCGAGTTGCCAATTGTTTGGGTCAAGGAAGGTTTCGTTGTAGGACTCGGGTGTGGTGTTCTCCGCGGCGACTTTGGGCGAGAAGAAGGGTCGAAGGAGGAAGTAGGCCGTTGCACGGTTGAGGAGAGGATTGACCAAGAGGGTACCTTCGTACGGGCCTGTGTTGCTCACTGGGCGCAACTGTCAGTACCACTTGCAGCCATGAGAGCTTTTTTCTGTACTTACTCGCCAACCACCCCTGGAACATACGAAACATACTGCAAGCTCCTACGCCCTGATACAGATCGCTGACCACGGGTAGTCTCGTACTGCTCTCCCATGGATCATACTCCTCCCACTTCCCCTTCCACACCGCATCATAGACCTTGCCTCTTCCATAACCCTCCTCCTCCCACCTTTCACACGAACCACCATCCACATGCGGCCCAAGAGCAAACTTTGCATCACCCGGCAATCGCATCCTCAACCGATCAGCGTACATGGTCGGATGGCTACTTGAGACCAAGGCGTTCGGATCTCTCGAGTGCCAAAACTCCATCAGAAACTTCTGCGCCTTGATGAGGTTAGGATGGGCCCTTGCCTTAATTTGAGCAGGCGACCAGTAGAGCTCGTAGACTTGCGGGTTGTCCGGCGGGAAGGCCTTGGTCTGCGGGTTCGCTTTGATGTACGAGCGGAGCTCATCTTTCCAGCCTAGCACTTCGCTTTCGGGGACCACGTTCCTGATGACAGCTACGCCGCGTTTCTTGTGCTCCGCTCGGAATTCGGGCGAGGCGTCGTCGATGTCTTTGAAGTCGATCTCCGGTATGACTTTGGAGCCGAGCTTGGAGATGACGGAGATCTCCTCTCGCAAAGAAGCCAACAGTCGATTCCAGGAGTCGTGGACGGCCTGCTCATGGCCGGCTATCAGGCGTGCTTTGACGTCTTTGAAGCGTGGTTCGAGGGGCTCAAATTGCATGCCACTCAAGGAGGCGAAGGCATCGGAGATGTCGCCTTCCTTCTTCTGGGCTGCGGCCGTTGCAGCGGTTCTCGAGAAGTTTTGCCATGATCGTCCAAGAAGTTGAGTTGTCGGACGAACTCTCGAAAGAACTTTTGATGCCATGGTTCAAGAAATTGCCACTCGATGCACTTTGCTAATGGCAACGTTGTATATGGAGATCTGACCACCTGCGTCCCATTTATGATGAGGACATTTAGATATGATTTCCCTTCCGCAGTCAACTTCAGCTCTCCGACAAGCTGTGTCGGATTTTCGATCATGTTGTAGGCTTGCCGCCAGAAGTGAAGTCAAACGGGACGAAATCGGAAATTCAATCCGCCAGCCTTCGTGGTAAGAAATCTCCGCGCCTCGCAACACAACGAGTACACACGCTCATCATCGGCATACAGAGCCGTCAATGGCCTCGCCATGTCATGTGTGATGGATCACGATGTGTTGGCCGTCGACCAAGAAGGAGCGCTTCAGAGTACAGACGGCACGACGGGCCTTCAGCCGAGCTCCCATGGGACTACAACGACATTTACCCACAACACCACGTAGATCAGTAGCTGCAGAATCTGCTCTCACGTAGTATATAGAGCTGCCCTCCTCCCTCTCCCTTCTTCTCGCTTCACCCTACCATCTTGAGCCCGAAGAGTGAGTTCAGGAATTCATAGAAGGACATTCCACAGCCAAAGACAGACATCATGGGTTCAGCGGGAGAGAAGGCACATCTGCCGAAGGACTTCCTTTGGGGCTTTGCCACGGCGAGGTCAGTCGAGCTTCAAGCAGGCTCAGACTCCATACTGATGTCTCCGTAGCTACCAGATTGAAGGCGCCATCAAAGAGGACGGCCGTGGTGAATCCATCTGGGACACATTCTGCCGGATACCAGGCAAAATCGCAGACGGCAGCAGCGGAGAGACCGCCTGCGACTCTTACCACCGCTACAAGGAAGATGTCGCTCTTCTCAAGCAAGTAGGTGCCATGGCTTACCGGTTCAGCATTTCTTGGTCAAGGGTGATTCCGCTTGGCGGCCGTGAGGACCCCATCAACGAGAAAGGCATCCAGTATTACGAGAACTTGGTCGATGAGCTGCTCGCTAATGACATCGAGCCCATGATTACGCTCTTCCACTGGGACCTGCCACAGGCTCTCCACGACCGGTATGGTGGATTCCTAAACCAGGAAGAGTATGTAAAGGACTACTGCCACTTCTCCAGAGTGATGTTCAAGGCTCTTGGCTCCAAGGTGAAAAAGTGGATTACTTACAACGAACCATGGTGTTCATCTATCCTTGGGTACAATGTAGGCCAGTTCGCTCCTGGACACACCTCGGACAGGAAGAAGAATCCTATCGGTGACGGATCAAGGGAGCCATGGAAGGTCGGCCACAGCATCTTGATCTCTCACGGAGCAGCTGTGAAGATCTACAGAGAAGAGTTCAAGCCCTCGCAAGGCGGCACCATAGGTATCACTCTCAACGGCGACTGGGTAGAGCCATGGGACGAGACCGACCAGAAGGACATTGAAGCCTGCGAGCGAAAACTCGAATTCTCCATCTCCTGGTTCGCCGACCCCATCTACAAAGGCCACTACCCCGAGAGTATGCGCAAGCAACTCGGCGACCGCCTCCCAACCTTCACCTCCGACGAGATCGCCCTCGTCCAAGGCTCCAACGACTTCTACGGCATGAACCACTACACAGCCGACTACATCAAGCACCTGGATTCCGAGCCAGAACCGGACAACTTCAACGGCAACCTCGAAACGCACAAGACCAACAAGTCCGGCCACGCCATCGGGCCTGAAACGCAGTCGCCGTGGCTGTGCCCGAACCCGCCCGGTTTCAGAAAACTGATCAAGTGGATCAGCGACCGGTATGGCCGCCCGACCATCTACGTGACGGAGAACGGCACGAGCCTCAAGGGCGAGAATGACAAGACCAAGGACGAGATTCTGGAAGACGACTTTAGGGTCGAGTATTTCCAGGGATACATCACGGCGATGGCGGAGGCGTTTACGTTTGACAATGTGGATGTGAGGGGGTACATGGCGTGGAGTTTGATGGAGTGAGTTGCCTGCTGCCTGGTTTTGATGATCGATTGATGCCCGGGTGATGGACAGAGCTGACCGTTTGCTACAGCAATTTCGAATGGGCTGAGGGATATGAGACGCGGTTTGGTGTCACGTTCGTCGATTACGAGGGTGGGCAGAAACGATACCCAAAGAAGAGTGCAAAGGAGATTGGCAACATCTTCAGGAACCTCATCGAGTCATAGAGGAGGTGGTGCTTGCTCCTGCTCCTGGCTGTGGTACGTACAGTATAGATGATGATGATGATGATGATGATGGTGATGGTATGGCCCAACCGCGGCAGTCATCAGATAAGGAAGTATGTACGAGCCCTGCATATCTTATAGGTCAGCAGGTATTGTGCCACACCACTCCCCACCCTGTCCTCCTTTTAGAAGTGTCTCCGCCGCTATACAGTAGTAGAAGGTAGTCGCGCTGAAGGACTCGCATAATCCGCGGCGAAACGGGTTGTTGGAACGCCTAGAGGCGCTACTGCAACCAAGTGTAACCAACAGCAGGATGCACCCTTGGGTGCCCACCAGCAGTTGCAGGGCCGGACCAGTCGCCGCTTGAAATGGAATATCCCGAGCCCCCAACAGCGCCAACATGTGTAAGGAGGTAGCATTGCAGATACTTTGGTACAACACATGCAGTGGTCCATGGAGAGCGGAAGCTGTATGGAGGACATGGATGATCGAGCTCCATCATCATTATCGAGCAAGCTGAGACAACTCGCCCTTGTTACAGAATACGTGAGTCGTAACAACAGCAACGCTCGCCCCTGCGGAGGATCACGTTCGCATGACTCCATCATCCATGCGTAGGTCTGTCGGTCTTGATGCCAGTGAAGCCAATCTTACAAGATGATCAGCAACGGCGAAGGTTCCAGGGGGCTTCTATGCATGAAGGAAGGTTCCACAAACAACCTGACTGTTGTTGCTAGTAGGAGAGTCAGTCGTCCGCAGAGGATGGGAAGTTTCTTGTCGCTGCGGCGCTACTGCTCCTGCACACCATCACGAATGCTGTTGAACAACCTCGCAGTTCGAGTCGTTGGTCTTCGACTGCAAATCTCGCGCTGAAAATCCCGGTGAGCCCGGTCTCATCAAGCGGTGCCCTAACGCTCCGGCGCCAATAGACTCTCACAGTCGAGACAAATCGCAAAGCTTGGTTAAAAGCACACCATCGATTTGCGATGTTTCGGCCGCGCCAGAATTGCGGGTGTGCTTAAGGTTCGCGCTTAATCTGATCGCACGCGTTTACCGAATGGGTCATGCCGCCGCCGGAAGGCGACGGTAACACCGTGGGAGGTGGTGGTGGTGGTGGTGGTGGATATCGTGGCTTCGGGCAGTAGTTGTCCCATTGTTTGGGCATGAAGGGACTTGGGTCCTAGGAGCGTTGTCCCGAGCCGTCTGGTGGTGCGTGGCGGTGGTGGAAGAAGCCGTCTTCAATGTCTCTCGCTTCACCATGTTGACACGGCTCGTCTACCAGTATGGTCCATGTCTTGCAATCGTGTGGATGGCTACACGGCGGGGACACGTCGGGCTGCCAACGGAAGTACACTTCCGTTGTTGGCGTGCCAGGTGAGGTCATGGAGCATGTGACACTGTACAGTAGTTCAGGACGCACATGCGGTCTGAGAGGTCGGTGAGGGCATCGTTTAGGGCAAGGCCGAGCAGTTTTGAGGTGAAACGAAATGATCATTTAGCGTTGTGCATCGAATAGATTCAATTATAGCACGAGGCGAGCGAGGATTAGCAAGCCGAAGAGATGAGGTGCGCAGGGGGCAGGCCGCTAGTCCTGCAACAAGCACGAGCTGACCTCACCACCGCTTGCGACCGTCGATGCAGCATTGTTTCCACGATGAACATACCGCTTTCTCTTTGCGGCTCGCCGGATCGACTGTATACCCTAACGTTGATCGACTGTCTTCGTTAGACATCTCACCACAATCTAACAACAAATCGGGGACGGGCTTGCTTCAAGCTCCATACCCCGATAGCCTATCACGGCTGTACCAGGATTCTCCACTCCCGGGTGCCGCATATTGGCTGGCATGCTTCTCGAAGGATCTGAGAGGGGCGCTGGCCTCGTGGTGTGCAGGGGTCTCGCGTGGGCTCCGCTTGATCCTCCCGAGCCCTGAGTGAGGCTAGTCGACGTCACGCTATCCCCTCTGCCCCTAGCAGCCAGCCGCTGTTGACATGGGCTCCGTCGTTCCAAGCGAGCAACGTAGCGAGAAGGGGAACGTGAGCTGTAGTTCGATCGGTCGATGTCACTCAGGCTACTGCCATCAGGCCTTAAGCAACATCCCATAACTGCCTTACTGTTGAAGAGCTGCTTAAGGTTTCGTCACGGAGCTCGAGACAGGCAAATCTCCGTGGTGATCGCTGCAACTCATCTAACCCATCGAACCCCAAGGTAAAACCACGGCCATGGGTTTAGCTCATTCCCAGCCCGGACTATTCCTGCAGCTCAGGCACCGTGAGGTCAGCGTCCCCCCTCCCGTGTGTCTTTCTACGGATCGAGTGTAAGTTGCCGTATACCTCAAACGCCACATCGACGAGGACGAGGGTGTCTTCGTTATTGACGGGCTGAACCCAATCTATCGATCTCTTCTTCGACAAAGTCAGTCGACGACTGGCTGCGTTCCTGGCCAGCCTATTCTTGTTTAGCTTTCGGCTCGATGCCGGTTGGTATCGGCGCACGTGGAGCGCAACCGCACTAGAAGTCTGGTGGAAGATGTTGGTTCGAAGCCAGTGCACAAGCTCTCTGCTTCCAGAAAACGCGGTAGTCGTGCTCGCCTCCCTGACCGCTGCCCTCCATCTGACGATTTGGCACGAGGCCGACATGGTTGTTGGCGACCGGGACTCTCTCGCCGTACCTAGCGCCGCTTCAGGATCTGGTCATGGACATAGAGTTTGCTGCTAACTCGCAGGCTGACGCAAGTTGGCTGGTGAGAGCTGCAAGGCACCATGGCGAAACTCCTTCTGCGTCTTCTAGCTTGCTCGAAGTGCCTCACACGGACGTCGGGCACGAACCCTCTAATGATGGAGTCGCCCTCGGTGACAGCATAACGCAATCTGCCGGTCCTTGGCCGCCTTCACCGCGAATACAGTAATAATAGGTCCCCGACCCTGTCGCTCCCATGCTGTAGTCCGTCATTGTTTTCTTTTCGCGTCTTCCTTCAAACAACTACACGTTTACAGACGATCAACAAGACATACACCCCAGAACATCAGATCCGCAGTGTCCGGCCACAGTCTTCAGCTACGCATCCCGGCCCTCAACTTCCCTGTCTATCATCAGGCGTCAATAGCGCTGGCCGTGGAGGATCAATTCCCTGCATTCAACAAAACTTGATGTTCGGCTGGACAACTTATTGAGCACTCTTTCTCGTCACAACCGCAGCTCATGACTTGCGTGGTATCCTCGCCTTGGCACTCGTTCAACAACTCGACTTATGGATGGTCGCCGATGAATCCTGAAGACAGTATCACGCCGACTTCGGCGGCGGACCGGACGCAGTATGGTTACATCTCTTCGGAATCCGAATCACGACTACACTCTAGTGGAGGCTCGAAGAAGCGGGCCTCCAGAGCGGGGACGAGGAGTGTGTCAACCCTGTCAGCGGCACAGTTGGAGCGGAAGCGAGCCAACGATCGAGAGGCACAGCGAGCAATTCGACAGAGGACCAAGGACCACATCGAGCATCTGGAGCGCAACATCAGTGATCTTCGAGCGGCCCACGAATCTAGCGAGAAGATAGCTGCAGTCGCGCATCAGCGCAGTCGGGAGCTGGAGGAAGAGAATGGCTTCCTTCGATCCAAACTGGGCGAGTTTGGTTACTCTGTGCCAGTGCCTCCTCCTTCAGAAAGTGAGTAGCTGTCAGTCAGTGCAAGCTATTGAACCGATGCTGACGTTCATCCAGGTCAGCGGCCACCAGATCAGCATATGATTCCCATGCATGCAACCTCACCTGGTTCCCAAGTTGTGGGAGCAAGCATACCGCGTCCCCCATCAACTTCCACTCCTCGAAGTGCACTCTCCGTGACGACCTCGCAGTCCTCAAACTCCCGACATGGTTCCTGGCAGCAAGGAGCCACTCATCTCGGCGTGAGCGGCGCAAGTGCCCCCGCGAGCTTACCAGCTCACTCTTCCGTCCAGCTCGGTCCTGGTCTGACAAGCTGGCGGTCACAAGACAGCACCCAAAGTGTCCACAGCACTCCCGGCGGCATGCCGGAGCAGCATTCTCTCCATACCCAGGTGCCGTACGTGAGCGCCAACCCAGCCGATCGACCCCAATGGAGCGTACGCCAGCCATACCCGTACCAGGAACCCCAACGCACACCCTCCCAAACCCAAGCCCAAGCATCGCCCCAACCCCAACCCCAATACGCACAACCGCAGGTCCCCAACTACCCACCCGGCGCCGCGCCCCAACCACAAAGCTACGTGGCTCCTCCGCAGAGCGAATTCCAAAGCATGACCGTGCAGAGTCCCGCCAACTACCAAGTCTCGCAACAACAACCCTACCCTCCCCAGCAGCACTACCAAATGGCGCCGGTGGAACAGGTCCCTCCGACCGCACCGGGGGCGCAATACGCTCCGCAGCCTGGCCAACTACATCCGCCGCAGATTATCCCTGCGGCGTACCAGCACCCGCAGGGCGAGCAAGGGTATGCGCAACAGCAGATGCATGCGTATCGAGAGGATCCGGGGCAGCAGGGGGGTTATTCGATGACGCATTATCCGAGTGGATAGCTTGCGCTTGAGGTGGACGCTGAGTCCGGTTGAAGATGAGGGATAACAGAACCTCACCAGCAGCCGGTCTGGATGTTCTATGGCATTGAGTGAGTGTGGGTAAGCAGCAATGCCGTGGCCTGTGACGACAATAACGACATGTACACATGGAGAGGGATGTTTGGATTTAGCGCTGGGATGGGCAATGTACCAATACTGTGCTTGAAGGTTGACGACGTCGGGACTCGCACTGTTGTGGCAGATGCTGAGATTGTACCAATAGATAGAGACATAGTGTGTTTGATGATTGTATTGTTAGTTGTATGATAGTGGTTGAGAACTTCGATGTTCGATCTGAAGCCTGGTTGGCATGAATACTGTCTGTACTTTCGCATGAGGTCTGCGAGATTGCCGTTCTCATTCCTTCAAGAACGCGACCAGGTCTTGATTCACCTCTTGAGCACAGATATTAGGCAGAGCATGCGGAGCTCCAGGATACTCCTTCAGCCTGGCGTTGGGCAGGAGATTAACTGCTGCTCTTGCGCTGGAATCGATAGGAACCTGTGGCATTCTTAGCAAACCACGAACGGGCACAGGTAAGGATCTCGATCCGAACATACCACCTGATCGTCATCCCCGTGCAAGACCAACACCGGAATCTGCATCTCCTTCAAATCCTCTGTCATGTCCGTCTCCGAAAACGCCTTCACACAATCATACGTCCCCTTGAAACTCGCCATCATCCCCGCCTGCCACCAACTCCAGATCAAGCCCTGACTGACCTCCGCCCCGGGACGATTGAAGCCAAAGAACGGCCCACTCGGCACATCCACAAAGAACTGCGCGCGGTCCTTCACCATTGCTTCTCGAAAGCCGTCGAACACCGACATCGGCAGACCGCCTGGGTTGCTATCGGTCTGCACCATCAACGGGGTCACAGCAGAGATCAAGACGGCTTTCTTCACCCGCTTCGTGCCGTGACGGCCACAGTACCGCGCCACTTCGCCTCCGCCCGTGGAGTGGCCGACGAGCATGACGTCCGTGAGGTCCAGGTGCTCGAGGAGTTGGTCCAGGTCGTCGGTGTAGGTGTTCATGTCGTTGCCTTCCCACGTCTGGTCGGTTCGGCCGTGGCCTCTGCGGTCGTGCGCTACGACTCGGTATCCGTGGGAGGCGAGGGAGAAGATTTGCGCATCCCAGTTGTCTGAGTTCAAGGGCCAGCCGTGGGAGAAGACGACAGGAGAGGTGCCGGAGGTGTTCCAGTCTTTGTAGTAGAGACTGCAGCCGTCTTTGAGGGTTAGGTATGGCATTTTCAGTGGTGGATGTGGTGGTGGTGCAATGGATTGGATGAGGTGGTGTTGGTGATATTATCTGCGAGTGCAAAACTCAAGTCAGTGAGGAACGAGGTAATTTTGTACCCTCATTGTCCGGTATCATGCTGTATGCATGGATGCATCAATGCTGACTTGAATCCGTCGGGCTGAATCAGCATTCTTAGCTTATAGGGCCTGCTTGAGCTCCCCTGCTGAATGCTCCCTGCATGATCTCGACACATTGGTTCAATCGCTGATAACGCCAATCCTTCGTTGAGTAGTGCTTCCATGTCGAGCCGGACTGGGAGCTTATGGTCTTGAATCTCGAGCTAGCCGCTAAACAATTCAGGCTGGCCATGTGCGAGGCTATCGGCATCGGAAAAATGAGAAAATTGTAGGAAAGCCAAACAGTGTGAGAGAGCTCAAGTATGTCGGAGGGAAGTAGTATCGTTGCTTTAGGGCAATTGATCCAGCGAGTGAGCAGCACAACTTACCACCGTTCCCACTTTACTTTCACTCACCAACACTTCGTCACTTCCTAGCTCATCCTAAGCATCATGCCCAGTCTTTGCATCCCATTCATCCATGCCAATTGCTTCTGTTTCAAACAAGACCTAAAGCCCCAGCTATACTTGAGGCAACATTGGTTGATGAACGCAGAAGCGAGCACATATCAGAGGGCGAAAAGGCTTACGCATTTTCACGCATGCGTCCACCCCCAAACACCCCACCAACACTTCACCTCCGCCAACTCCTCTTCTCCACCCTTCCCGCTTTTTGCACCCCAGTCGTCATACCCGACCTCCTCCCCCTCCTCCAGGACTCTTAGACCAAGGCCGATGAGGCGGTTTCGAAGATCCTGCCGCTCGCTTGCGTAGCCTTCTCGTAGCGGCAATTCGATCACGACTCGCGCTTCAGTATTCCTGCTCAGATGGTACGATATCGTGTTGACGAGGAGTGCTGGGTGGTCTGAAGAATAGATGGGGTCGGCTGCCAGGATGAGTTGGTAGGAATGTGCTTTGGCATTGGTTCGAGCGTCGTTGCAGATGAGTTGCTCAGGCTCCGTCCAGTCCAGCACTGCGGTCTGCAGACTTCCGCCGTGAGCGTTGATCGATGCTACGTTGGTCTGGACGTTACGTTCGAGATTCGGGACGATGGCCGGCAGATCTGTGAGTAGGACAGACGTCTGAAAGACCGCCGCTGCTGCCAGACCGACCAGACCGGTGCCGGAGCCTAATTCGAGGACCTCCGATGCGCTGTCTGATGTGAGAGCTGGCAAGGTTGCTTTCAGAAGTGGGAGGCGTTTGGCGAGCAGGTATGATGCGGCCCAGGTCTTGAGGCCGAGATTGTCTTCTGACAATGCTGGCTCGTATAGCGTGATCTCGAGAGCGTCTTCCTCAATCGTGCTGTCGTCCGATGACTTCGTCTTCAAAGCAGGGGCGGCGAGGTCTTCAAGGTTTGATTCAGGCTTGAGTGGAATTGAGAACACCCTGCTGATGTTGCCCATTCCACTGCGACCACTTCTCTCGCTCAGCCGCTGCGCCGCAGTTTCCCAAATGGCTTCCTTCTCGGCATCATCTTCAATCCAGGTCAGGGGGCTAGAAATGATCTTGGTCAAATACGAAGGCACGCCCTCGCTTTTGATCTTCTGTCTTGCGGGTGCGGAAATGCCGCTCCATGATGGCGGCACAAGACTCAAGTCGTCCAACACACTGCGCAACGTCGAGGCCGATGGGCGCTGGTAGAGCTGCGGGAGATTCAGCACTGCGACTGATTATCAGAAGCCTGCCACTGTAAGGTAGTCACTCATGTGCGAAGAGGTACCATCAACTGTCTCGTCATCATCCATGGCAGGCGTAGGAGATCGTTTGCTGGCCAACTTGGCGGCAGAGCTTTTCTGTCATAGTGCTCTGATGAAGCTGATTTTTGTCGCCTTCATCTGGAACGAATTTGAGGTTCACAGCTTGCTTGAGCCGAAGTATGCCCGAGTGTGCTGCGTCGAGGCACAACGACCGCTCATATCGTCTCGTGCAAACCTTTGGTCGTGATCGAGTACTGCGTCAGGAAACTTGTATCGAGATCATCTCTTCAATCCAACGTCTTCTTGAACCCCTCATAAGCCAGCCCCAAATCAAAGCTCAGCTCCCTCGCCTGCTCGCCACTCAACTCCTCCGCCGCGCGCATCTGGTTCAGCGTAATCAGCCATTGCACAATCTTCCCTTTATTCTCAAAGTCCCGATCCGTAACTTTGTTCACGCTCTGTATCACCTCCACCAGGATCGGGTGTAGAGTGTCTTTGGACAGCATGCTCATCTTCACGGCGTCGAAGAGGGTGATGAAGTTCTCAGAGGCGGCGACGATGTGTTGGGCCACGGGGCCGGAGGAAGAGGGTTGATGCGGTTGCGAGGTTGAGGGGAGGTTGGTGCGGTGGGAGCTGGCGCGGGATGGGGGGAGGTGGGTTGGGGTGGATTCGATGGTAGCGGGGAGGCCGATCTTGAGGCGTTCGGTTGCGCGTGGGACTTCCAGCTACAGCAGTGTCAGTACTCAAGCATGTCGCCTGAACCGATTGGCCGTGGTCTGTGTTGGTCGGGCAGAAGAAGATGGACATACATCCCACTCCCGCTTGAAGCTCTCCAAGTCACCGAATGCCGCTTCGACACTCTCGTCGGTCAGAGTACTCCTGTACTGCCGCAACAATCGATCGCAGGTCTCGGTATACTCGATCTCCTTGATGCTGTCGCGTAGGTACGCCTTCTCCAGAGCATCAAGGGTGACGATGATGCTGTAGATCTCCGCTAGAGATTCGTACAGGTCGCGCTCTGCTGCATTCTCGGCCAGGCGAACTTCCTGAATGACATCAACAATTAGCACGGAACTTAGAGGATATTGCTAAAGCATCTATATCAACGCCTGTCTGATCGACGCTGCCCACGTACTTCGTCCTCGTTGATGGTCGCTCTCAGGTTGTTGGAAGGTGTGTAGCTATAGGGGGTTGGCGCATATGCCAACTGCTTCGGTGTCTGCATCTTCGCATTGCTGGACTTTAATCTTCCGGTAAATTGATCAGTTCGTCATCTCGAAACAGCTTGATATGCGCCGGCTATACTCCGGCTATAAGGATGTGGATCTTATCTCCACGATAAGATCACTCCAAGCAAAAATTCTAAGGGCAGCCGAAGAGTTGTCTCAAGGTCTACATATCCACAGGCACAAACGGCACAATGCCTCAATCAAAGCAGCAGAAGAAATTCGAGAAGAAGCATCTAAAAGATGTGCTCGAGCGACGCAAGGGCTTGAAAAAGGTCAAGCAGCGACAGCAGATCAACGCGAAAAAGAAGGCCAGACGCGCAGAGGAAGAGGGTCGCCCTGCGCCTGGCGAGAAACATGGCGACGAGGTGAAGAAGGATGTGCGCAATGGTAAGAAGGCTGGCGAGGACAAGTTCAAAGACATGAGCGTGGACGAGTTCTTCCAGGGAGGCTTCGAGGTACCCGAGCTACCCCAGGAGAAGGGCAAGAAGAGAAAGAGAGAGGCGCCGAAGGAGCAGCAGGAGGAGAGCGGCAGTGAAGGTTCGGATGTGTCCTTCGAGCAAGCGCCTGTGTCTGCTAGACTGGCCGACGGCGGCGACTCGGGGTCGGAGGATGATGAGGATTTGGAGGGCCACAGACAACAGCTTGATGCGCTTGCGGAGAATGATCCTGAGTTCCACAAGTATCTTCAGGAGAACGAGCCGGAGCTGCTGGGCGGAGAGCTGGAAGGCGTTGAAGCACTGAGCGAGGAAGAAGAGGAGGCGCCGAAGCGGAAGAAGCCCAAAAAAACCGCTCCCGCATCAGACGAGTCGGAAGACGAGGAGGTGGACGGTGCTCGCAAGAACGAGCTGACGAAAGCTATGGTGTCGAAATGGAGGACCGCTATCACCAAGGAGCACTCGCTTCGTGCTGCAAGGGAAGTGGTGCTGGCCTTTCGCGCCGCAGCACACGTCTCGGACGAGGAAGACGATCTACAATTCAAATACTCCATCTCCGACCCTGCAGTATACCACGAATTGCTCACGCTCGCGCTCAAGCATATCCCGGATGTCTTCCAGCACCATTTGCCCGTGCAGGAGAGCAAGAGCGGGAAGGTGCACGTTTCGTTGGAGAGCAAGAGGTTCAAGACCCTCGGACCGCTGCTGAAGAGCCACGTCGCCAGCATTATGCACCTCCTGGACCACCTCAGCGATGCTTCGACACTTCGCATGACGCTGAGCTCGACGCTGCCGCTTCTCCCGTACTTGCTGTCGTTCAAAAAGCTTGTGCGCAACCTGGCAAAGGCCGTAACGAACATCTGGTCGTCTTCGTCGAACGCAGAAGCGACGCGTATTGCGGCGTTTCTCGTACTGCGCCGTCTTACCACAATCAGCGATGCTGGCATCCGAGAGAACGTGCTCAAGACAGTATATCAAGGCCTCGTCAAAGGGTCGCGCAACACCACGATCCACACTGTTCAGGGCATGAACCTGATGAAGAACTCTGCTTCCGAGCTTTGGGGTCTCGTTGACCCTGCCGTTGCCTACACCACCTCCTTCACCTTCGTTCGTCAGCTTGCCATCCATCTCCGGACGAGCATCCACAACACCGCGAAAGAAGGGTACAAGAATGTCTACAACTGGCAATACGTGCACAGCCTGGACTTCTGGTCTCGTGTCCTCTCCGCCCATGCCATCGACCCGGCCTCTAACATGCGCCCACTCATATACCCTCTGGTGCAAGTCACGCTCGGCGCCCTCCGCCTGATCCCCACCGCTACCTACTTCCCGCTCCGCTTCCACCTCAGCCGCTCGCTCCTCCGCCTCTCCCGCACCACCAACACCTTCATCCCCCTCGCGGCGCCCCTCTACGAAGTCCTCACGTCGGCCGAAATGCGCAAAGCGCCCAAACCCTCCACCCTCAAACCCCTCGACTTCAGCGTCAGCATCCGCGCTCCCAAGGGCTATCTCCGCACGCGCGTCTACCAGGACGGCGTCGGCGAGCAGGTGCAGGAGCTGCTGGGCGAGTTCTTCGTGCTGTGGTGCAAGAACGTTGCGTTTCCCGAACTCTCGTTGCCGGTCAACGTGGTGCTGAAGCGCTGGTTGAAAGACGTCAACCGCCGCGCTCCCGGGGAGGGGAATAAGAACCAGAAGGTCAACGGGATGATCCAACTCCTCGTGCAGAAACTCGAAGCGAATGCGCGGCACGTGGAGGACAAGCGAGGGAAGGTGGAGTTTGCGCCGAACGATCGCACGGGCGTCGAGGGGTTTTTGCAGGAGGTGGGGTGGGACAAGATGCCGCTGGGGGCTTTTGTGGGGACGTTGAGGCGGCAGAGGGAGGAGAGGGAAAAGGTTGCTGAGGAGGCGAGGAGGGAGGATGAGCGGAGGAGGAGTAGTGGTGATAAAGAGAAGAAGGGTGAGGAGGTGGGGAGTGAGAGTGAGAGTGAGGAGGATGAGATGGTGGATGGAATTAGTGAGGACGAGGATGAGGTGATGGTTGATGGGGTGGGTAGTGAAGACGAGGAGGAGGACTGAGCGGATGTGTATGATACTACACCATGTTGTATGCTCGCCCCAGACGGTTCGTTGTGCATTTCTCTGGTCGAATGCTGCTGCGAACAGAACTCCGAATGTCAAGCCGACATCGGCGTTCAAACTGCCGGATAAATTCGACCTTCCCCTCGATTCTTCCACGTAGCTAACGACGAGAGCTCCACCTCGGAACCATGCCTTCGTTGATTGACGCAGAAAAAGGCAGCTCGACAGGAGCTAGGCTAGGTAGGCCATTACCGCATCACGATGTAGTTTCCCACCGCTGGATTTTGGAGGGTTTCAATTGCCTCTGATATACACACTCCGTACCTCAACTTTCCTCATTGTTCAGCACCTACCTCCAGGCATTGCCAATTCATCTAGCTCAACACCATCAACATGGGCGACCAAGTAACCCACCCACCCATTTCCCTCAACGAACTCTCCCAAGCTAATGATGAATATGGTACACCAGACACACAACCTCTCCTTCATCCTCGACCCCAAAGGCCCCACCCTCACCTACGAAGACCGCCCCATCCCGCACCTCCGCTCCCCGTACGATGTGTTGGTCAACGTCCGCTACACCGGCATCTGCGGCTCCGACGTGCACTACTGGACGCACGGCGGCATCGGCACCTACATCGTGCGCGAGCCCATGGTGCTGGGGCACGAGTCGGCGGGCGTGGTCGTGAGTGTGGGGGATAAAGTGAAGAGTTTGAAAATAGGGGATCGCGTGTGCATGGAGCCTGGCGTGCCTTGTAGGAGGTGTGTGAGGTGTAAGGAGGGGAAGTATAATTTGTGTGTGGATATGGCTTTTGCGGCGACCCCGCCGATTGATGGGACGCTGGCGAAGTATTACACGCTGCCGGAGGATTTCTGCTACAAGCTGCCCGAGGGGATTAGTTTGGAGGAGGGGGCGTTGATGGAGCCGTTGAGCGTCGGAGTGCATATTGTGCGGCAGGCGGGGATTAAGCCGGGAGATTCGCTGGTGGTGTTTGGAGCTGGACCGGTGGGGTTGTTGTGTTGTGCCGTGGCGAAGGCGTATGGGGCGAGCAAGGTGATTAGTGTGGACATGAACGAGGAGAGGTTGGATTTCGCCAAGAAGTATGCCGCGACGCAGACGGTTGTCGCGCAGAAGGAGAGCGGAGAGGATGCGGCGAAGCGGATCATCGAGGCGGGAGAGTTGGGGCTGGGAGCGGATGCGATTATCGATGCTACGGGCGCGGAGCCTTGTATCCAGACTGCGCTGCATGCGCTAAGGACTGGTGGGACGTACGTGCAGGGTGGCATGGGCAAGAGCGAGATCAACTTCCCGATCATGGCGCTGTGTACGAAAGAGATCACGGCCAAGGGCAGTTTCCGGTACGGCAGCGGCGACTACACGACGGCGGTCGGGTTGGTGGCGACGGGGAGGTTGAGCGTGAAGGAGTTGATCACGGGCAAGGTCAAGTTCCGGGAGGCGGAGGCGGCGTTCCAGGACGTCAAGGCGGCGAAGGGGATCAAGACGTTGATTGAAGGGCCGGCAGACTCGAGTGTGGTGGTGGGGAATGGGGAGAATGCTGCCTCGTCGTGAGAGCTATGGTAGTAATGAATGGTCAATTGGATTGTATATAGCTGGCAATGTGACGCTATTGTGAACAAGGTCATTCAGGGTCCTTCACAGTGTTCAATAATATTCAGACATGGTATAGCATCCTCGGGCCGGTTCCGCAAAACCGTTTGTGATGGGTGGAGGATCTTTGAGTTTTAGCCACCGCGGCCATGTGGTCTGTAGAACTAACAACACGTGGGGCTCCACAGCCATTGAAGAAGTCGAGGTGAAGCGGATGAGATGGATGTGCAGATAATGCAAATCGATATAGTGAGTACGTATTATATCTTGATGTAGTAATAGAGAGTGGCGGCTGCACTCCTCTCTCAGCGAGGATGTTGCAGGTCGCAAGGATGACTTAGCCGGCCCGCTAAGGCCTGGTTTGGACAGGTCTCCCCAGCATTCCGCTGGTCTGGACTCGTGGATCAAGCGAGGAGCGAGAGCGCGCAGCAGCACCTCATCCGAGAGTCCAACAATCCTTCATCACGACCACCACTTGAGAATCCATTCGCTTGACTGTGCTGGACATTGAGGACTGACCTACGAATTCCATCGACAGACGACCTGCGACATCCCTCGACCAGCGTCCACCAGCTTGCGCAGCCTGCCGCCAACCCAGTCTCACATCCAACCCCAGCCCGAGGTTATACTACTCTCTTGCACGCGACCGGCCAGACGTAGGATGAGATAGCAAGCAGGAATGACATGGGAGACGAGCTGAGAGCGGACAACCTCTTTGGGCTGTCTTCGGCAGCACCCAGCCAGAAGCATTGGGAGCACGGCGGGCAATAGGAGCACCTGGACAGCTAGAGGCTACACTCGCATACCCTCCCAGCGCCCGAACGTGCTATCAGTTACGAACCGCCCAGCATGCGCATTCCAATCCGCGAGCAGCTGGCCCTCCTCATCTTGCTGTCGTCGCTCATTGGCCTGGCAGTGATATCCATCGCAACATGGATCTCCAACCACCACTACGTCCTCAGCATCTGCAAGTCCCGCCTGGCCCTCACGGCGTCTCTCAAGGCCGGCCAGCTGGCGGCCAACCTGGCCTTGATGCAGACCACCGCGACGTTCATCAGCACTCGCGTCCTCATCCAGGCGGCTCTCAACAGGTACAACGAGAATGGCAACAACACCGCAAACAACTGGGAGGATGCTTCTGCGGACATGATGGCCGCCATATCAGCTGGTCAGGGATTGTTGCTCCAGACTGTCATCATGCCGAAAAATGCCAGCGGTCCAGCCGGGTCGGCGCCTGTACTGAGCACGACAGGTCCGAATGCGTTGGGCGTCCAGCTTCCAGTGAACTGTCCAAACGGCCAGCCCGCAATGCTGGGCATGAATGCTTCTGATTGCGGAGGCCAGTCGTTGGGGTATCCGCCGCAACTCTACCCAGCGCTCACGTACTCGTCCTACGACGATGACGGCAGATCTGTCCAGCAAGCGCGGTACGGAGACGTTGTAATCGGCCCGCAAGCTCAATCAGCATTGCTACTGGGCCCGCTTATTGTGAACGACACCTTCTCCCTGGTCTCCATCACGCTTCCAGTCATCAACAATACCAGTGCATTTGATGTCCTTGGCTGGCTGAGTGTCACGATGGATGCGCGGCTGATCGAGCAAGTGCTGGATTCGGCGGAAGGGCTCGGCTCTACGGGAGAGACTCTTCTGGTCGGACCAGTTGCGAACGAGAACACCTTCGGGAATGGTATAACGTACCAGACGAACAACAACAACCCTCCGGAGGACTTCCGAGTAGAGTACGTTTTCCCGTTGAGCCAGGCGTACCACAAGCGACATCCAGATCATACCGTTGGTACGGCCAACGCGCCGTTCCAGGCGAAAGCGTACCCGGCCGTGTATTCGGCAATCACCCATGCGACGGGAAACATGGACAATTCCGGATCCCAGATTCAAGGAAGCAACGAGGCTGGCAGTAATGTGGCTTCCGGCTTTGCGACTCCGCAGACACCGATCGTGGACTGGTTCGTCATTGTTGAGCAGGCGAAGAGCGAGGTCTGGGCTCCGATTAATAGACTACGAGACATCTTACTCGGCTGCGTATTTGGTACGGCGGGATTCATGGCGCTGCTGGCCTTCCCACTCGCGCACTTTGCATCTCTACCCATCAGAAGACTACGAGAAGCCACTGCGAAGACGATGGAACCTCCTAGCATGTCACGCAGTCGGAGCAGTTTTGGTTCCTTCGAGTCGTTCGAGCCCGGTCAAGACGGCATAATCGATACCGGCGATGCGGAAGCGGCGGAGACGACAGTTATAGCGAGGAAAGAGGGCGCGGGCTCGAGCACCATGCTGGGCAATTGGCGGCAGAGGCGGCGCGAAGGCCGGCAAGAGAGGAAAGAGCGGAAACAACGAGAGGCGTTCCGAATACCGGGGAAGGTCAAGGAGCGGAAGGTGTTTGTCAAGGATGAGCTGTCGGATCTGACGAGGACGTTCAACGAGATGTCGGACGAGCTCATGATGCAGTATTCGCGGCTGGAAGAGCGGGTGCAACAACGGACGGCGGAGCTGGAGCAGAGCAAGAAGGCGGCCGAGGCGGCGAATGAGAGCAAGACGCTGTTTATTGCGAATATCTCGCATGAGCTGAAGACGCCGCTGAACGGGATTTTGGGCATGACGGCGGTGTGCATGTCGGAGGACAACATGGACCGAATGAAGCGGTCGTTGGGAGTCATCTACAAGTCTGGTGATTTGCTGCTGAATCTCCTGACTGATCTGTTGACGTTCAGCAAGAACCAGGTCGGACAGCATCTCAGCCTCGACGAGAAGGAGTTCCGGTTGCGGGATGTCAGCTCGCAAGTGCTAGCCATCTTCGACAAGCAGGCTCGGGAAGGGCAAATCGACCTGCGAGTGGAGTGGGAGGGCGTGCAGAATACGGCGGGCGACAACTTCTCATCTCAGATGACACAGCTGGGTCCATATGGAACTGGAAGGTTGAAGGATATGATCCTCTGGGGTGATCTGCAGCGCATTCTTCAAGTCGTCATCAATTTGGTTTCAAACAGCTTGAAGTTCACACCAGCAGGCGGCTCCGTGGTGTTGACAGTGCGCTGCTTGGCAGAACCCTACGAGCCGTCCAGCAGGAAAAATTCGTCCGCTTCGAAGCAGTCGAGACAGTCGAGACAGTCGAGGCAGTCGAAGCAATCCCGACAAGCTTCCTCGAGGAAGCAGATGTCCGAGACGACTCTGAATGGTACGAAGACCGATTTGGGCCACCGAGCTCTGCCGCACGTCTTGCCGAATTTCTACGAACGGCCGCCGTCGCCACCACCTGGCACCTACCTCTTGTTCCAGTTCGAAGTCACAGACACCGGCCCCGGCATACCGGACGAGCTTCAGCACAAGATCTTCGAGCCGTTCGTGCAAGGTGATCTAGGTCTAAGCAAGAAGTTCGGCGGCACCGGTTTGGGCTTGTCGATCTGCTCGCAGCTGGCCAGTTTGATGCGCGGCTCCATCGGCGTCCGAAGTACCCTCGGCTCCGGCAGCACTTTCACCATGAAGATCCCGCTGCGCCATCTCAAGACTCGCGCCGACAGCTCGGCGAGCTCGAGCGTCGATATCCCACATCAAGGCGAACTGCACCGGCAGGTTTCGTCCGATAGCAATGACTGGACGCCAGCACGGCATAGCAGACATCTAACGGACGACAGCGCGGATGCCAAACACGTCGACCCGCCGCCTCCGACACCCACCTTAGGCACCGACTCGCAGCCCCGACTCGTCGGTCTCAGCCAGCCCTTCTTCGCCGCTTCGCAACCTCTGGAATCCCCCGGCTCGCAGCCCGCAGCAATGGAGAAGATGGCCGCGGAAGCCAAGCGCAGCGGCCACCGCATCCGCGTGCTGGTGGCCGAAGACAACAAGGTCAACCAGGAAGTCGTGCTGCGCATGCTGAAGCTGGAGGACATCTACGACGTCACGGTCGCGAAAGACGGGCAGGAGGCGCTGGATTTCGTCAAAGAGAGCATGGCGCCTGCTACTACTTCCCCTCCAACAACATCCAGCGGCGGAGAAGGCGAAGGTCTTGCTGGTGGTGGGGAAGCTGAGGAGAGGAAGAAGCCCTTCAACCTCATCTTCATGGACGTGCAGATGCCGAATGTGGACGGCTTGCAGAGTACGCGGCTCATCCGGGATTTGGGCTATCAGGCGCCCATCGTGGCGCTGAGTGCGTTTGCTGAGGAGAGCAATATTAAGGATTGTTTGGAGAGTGGGATGAATTATTTCTTGTGCGTATATTTAACCCCCCCTTCCCCATATACTACGATGGGGGTTTTTGGGTTGCTAACGTGGCTTCGTGGATAATAGGTCTAAGCCCATCCGCCGACCCCAGCTGAAGAAGGTGCTGAAGGAGTACTGCTCGCCCATACCCGAGGAGGACGAGGAGGCGACGCCGCCCGAGGTGGCGAATTTGGCGGCCGTGGCGGAGAATGCTACGGTGGTGGTTGTGAATAATGGTGGTGGTAGGGGTGGTGGTGGGGAGGGGGAGAAGAAGCCCGAGCAAAGGGTGAACGGGGACGCACAGCAGGGAGGGAGTGAGGAGATGCCGGCGAGGAATATGTCGCAGGATGAGACGAAAAGGCCTGTTTCGCCTGTTTCGCCTTTGACGAGTGGGTGAATGGGTGCTGCAGGTGCTGGAGAAGACAAGGAAGACGAGCTACGGACTCGGAAGTCGCAGCACGGAGCCACGAGATGAACTCTATTGTCCGTCTGAACAGCGACCGGGAAACGCGTCGGTCGTGTTACGCGGCGATGAGGCGTTGCTACGCGGTCTGGTGTTGGCGACGCGGTACAGGCGCGTCTGGAAGGGCTTGAGGAAACTGTATCGTTGGAAGAGATCTGATCCAGGGAGTTTTTTGGCCTGGCGGAAAAAGCGTTGCAAGCGGAAATGGGATTTTCGATTTGTTTGCATTGAGCGAGGGTGTCCGGGGCGTTGTTCTCTCTGCTCGCATGGGATGATGAGCATGGAGAGATATATGGAGGGGGGTTCTGTGAGCAGGAGGACTGTACTGTAATAAGCTGAGCTGGGTGGGGATGGTCACGCGTTTTGCGTTGCACGGATGGAACGACTTTGAGCTCTTTTGCTGTATATCTTCTCGTACACGTCCATTCCACGTCGTCGAAGTTGCGGCCACGCGATTCGTATCGGACACGTGAAAGTGAGCGCGTCACGTGGCGACCCAAAGCCTCGGGCTCACCTCTCCGATTCGTCTCGCGCGCAATCGTGCACTTGACTTCCCCCTCTCCATAACAACAAACAACACCACCTTCGCCACGAGCGCGCCTGTCCAGTATATGCCTCACGCGTCGGGTCGAGCCAGAGGCAGGGCACTGCGGCAGTCTACATCTTGCTCTGTTCTACCGGTCTGAAGCTCCACCTGCACTGCATAAGCGCTCGTCCGCCACGCCGCCCATTGGATCTGCCAACTCGAGCCCTGCATCAAAGCTGCAGCATTGAAACAGCAGCGGTCGCAGCCGCGCCTCCGAGCCCCCAACCTCCTCCGAAGTCAGCCCATTCACCTCGTCGACTACAGTTCTGATTTCGCGTTCGATGGACTTGTAGCGTGTTTTTACGCTGCATACCAGGCCGTGATCTTGACCACGGATGGGAGACGGTGAGTCACTGTGCTTGCTTTGCAGATCAGACAGGTCCACTTCTTCGTGGCAGGTAGGTGGGCGAGGGCGAGGTCGTGGTCGTGGTAAAGGGCATGGCCTCAGTCCTGTCGGGTGTTTCCTTTTTCTCCTACCTACCACACTCTCCACTCTCGATCGCGATCAGGACGCATGTGCTTGTTGCTATCGACCCATTGACGGTGTATTATCAATGACTCACTTTTCTCGTTATGAACTGCAACCAAGGAAAGCCCACCGGGCATCTCCTTGCTAGCAAGCCTTCCTCTGCTTTCTCGACGACATCTTCCGCGGCGTCGGCGACATCAGTGGGGACTTCGAGGAGCGGAGGGAGTCGACTGCTGTTTGGCGAGATCGATACCAGTAGTGACCGATGTATGCACGATCATTGCACAGGGAAGCGTCGCCACAACTGACAAAACACACCAGCCTCCGGCCTCTACGCATCAGTCTGCAGCTTCGTGCTCTGCGACAGCAGCACTTTCCTCAAGTTCTGGCTCGAAGACAAATGCCGCGACACCTTCCTCTCATGCGTCCCGAAAGAAGACCTCGCGAGTCTGCGACTTGCATGTCACGACTTCAGTGTACGAGCAGCGCCGGCGCTGTTCAACGACCTTGCGATTACGTTTCGAGCGAGCACGTTCACCCGGCCGGCCAGACTGGCAGCACTGGACCGACTGGGCTTTTACGTCAAGACGTTACGGTTTAATGTACCACATTCGCCCGAGACTTTTCTTCCACCGCTTGTCGACCCGGAGACTGGAGCGGAGTTAAGCTTCACATACACGCCGCAGATTGAGGCGTCGACAGCGAAACGGCCGAAGTATGGAGACATTGGAACGACTGAGATTCTGACCCGGCAGTGGCCTACCCTCTTCCACGCGGCGACCAATGTGCCGGCCTTCATCCGCGCCTTTTCCGCCTTTGTCAACTTGTCGCACTTGAAGGTCAGCTGCCCTGGCTACAATCAGTCTCAACAGTATCGCCGAAGCACGGTCGACTTCGCGCTCATCTCCCTTCGCATTGCCGTGGAGCAGAACAACCTCAACGCGCTGGATACGTTGACCCTTTCGCCAATCCATCCCGGAGGCATACTTCACCTCTCACCCATCCTCGGCTACGGCGCAACACCTCGATCATCACGACGATGGTCAAGAATCAAGAACTTGACACTGCACGTCGTCAAACCACGCTCATCGCCAGCAGCCGACGAGCCAGACCACTTCAAGCTTCTCCAAACCTACATCCGTAATTTTCAATCTAATCTCACAACCTTCAAATTCCGATGGATCGGCTCGAAGGGCCTGATACCCATTCATCGGCAGCGTCAACCTTTCGCACTGACAGAGGAGCATCCTGCATCGCGAACTGGCAGCGACCACGAACCGCCTGCAAAACGCAGAGCATTGCCGCCACTGCACTTCCCAAAGCTCCAGCACGCAGAGTTCGAGAACTCGAAAGCTGCTGCGGACGACATCGCCCACTTCTGCGCGGCGCACAAGCGCACCATCGAGGAGCTCAACTTTGACGATGTCGAGCTGACTTCAGGCACGTGGGACGAGGCTCTTGGGCCGGTGACGAAGCGACAACATGCTTCGCGTCGGAGTGAGGACACCGCGGATATCCCGATCATGCTGTCACCAACTACTCGCTTGCCTGCTGTGATGGAGCGGCTGGAGATCACATCGCACCAGGAGAGTGGGAATGGGAGGAAGAGTCTGAGGATGTCGCGATGGTTGTCCAAAGGGAGGAAAGCGAAGGCACCACCTCCCACGCCGTCAAGTAGACCTCACGTACCGGCCACCAGGCCTCCTGTCCTATCGAGCAGGAGGCCGAAAGACGGACTCCTGGGATCGGAAGGGCAGCTGCGGCGAGCGTTGAGAGGAGGCATGGCTGCGTGGCGCGGAGGGTGAAGGAAGCAGCGTCACCATTCTGCCGTGCATGATGTGAAACTATCAGTACGCGGACGCTACGAGCTAAATGAGCCTCAGATATGACGATCACTACGATAGCTGTATGCCCGATGCCCCGTCCATTCCTTCCCTTCCCTTCCACTCCGTCATTCCGTGCTCGCTCTGCAGTGGACGTCGAGCTGAACGGCAGGGTTCAGGCTTGCTCGTAGACTCCCAGTTGACAGCCTACCTATGTGATCGGCTGCGAAGCGAGCAACCTGAAGCACGAACGAGACCTCGACAACAGCCGGTAGGGAGGAAGGCAGAGAAAACCGGCTTCGGTTGAACTTGCTTTAGAGACTAGAAGCCTTGATGATGTGCCGTTGCCAAGTTTTGTGGTGGTCCGGGGGAGGGGACAGGGATGTTGTCGATCGGGGATTTTGTGTCGCGACGACAACCCTGTGGTTATAGTACAGTACTTTCTACTCCACCGCAGGTATCGCGCAGTATTGCAAGGGACGAAACAAGGAGACAGAGTGGCTCCGGCCGTTGAAGCTCATGTATGGCTTTCGGCAGTCCATTCGTTCTACCACCGCCAGTGTGGTGTAGGCCCGTGAGTACCAGCATCGTGCTCTTTCATTTACTGCTCCAATCTCTTTAGATTAATATCTGCAGCCTTGTTGAGATGGCCGTATTGATGATTGACGGATCGCCGTCGGGAGACGCCGGCAGTGTGGTGATCTGTTGACTTCACTTGATTGATCATACGGGAGACAGGCTGGAAGAGTGACTTCATTGCAGAAGACAAAGGTGGACCGGACCGGGTAACGAAAGCTCCACGTCTGGGAATGTCTCACCCTCTGGCACCTCCAACACCGCCAACAGCCGTTCATCGAGTGGAACGAACCATGTGCTCGTGCTGTCTCACCTAGCTCACGGCTGCAATCACCTTGCTGAATCGACCGGGTTGAGAGCCACGGAGCACCACTCTGGTCCACTCACATCGGAGAATTAACAATCTCACAGTAGCCCAACGGTCTTGCAGTGAGACAACGGCAGATGGCAGCTAGTGGGCGACCAGGATGACCATCCCCCGGTTTTCCTTGAACAACTCCGTGCTGCTAGGCCATACGGAGGTTCTTCTCCATGCCTTTGACGCCACGTGGCACCTGTCTGCAACAGTCAACGAACGCCATCACATCGGTTGTGACGTCTCTTGCGCAAAGCGCCGCTGTTACCGCAGTATTGAGCCGCTGGTCAGGGGCCACAGTGGACTAGATCTTGTGGGTAATGGAGCAGCCGTCTGCGCTGGACCAGTCGTTGCTGTCCTGGAGTACAAGCGAGCAATGGCCATGCCATCATTCCAGCCTCGACCGTCGAAGTATAGAGTGCTCAACAAGATACGTTGGCCAATAGCAGCGTTCTCATCCACCGCTCCGCGCTGAGAGTGCCAACCAGCAGCAACAATACCCGCGAACATCACGATCACCAGGACATCATTCGCCGCCTTTCCTACTCCAGTATTTCTCCGTCCTGTTCCTGAGCAGGGTTACGCTCCAGGGTTGAACGGTTCAAGGCCGTCCAAGCTCCCATATGATGACGATCAATATTGAATGATCCCCGGAGGAGCGTTAAGCACGCTGCTGAACGCAGGGGTCTCGACCAAGTTGAAGATCCCTGGCGACGTCCACCAGTGCGTCACGGGTTTGAGATGTCGTGAGGGACGATCAATGGTAGAGGAAGACCCGCAGGTATAAGAGTCGAGACCATTTCGTCGTTGACAGTCTTCCTCTCTCACAGCTCAGCAGCCTTCGACTCAATCATCCAGTCCTTCGTTCAGACAACCTTCAATCACTCCCTCAACCACCACCCACACCTTCCCACACCATGAAGTTCCTCTCCCTCCTCGCGCTTCCAGCGCTCATCCTCCCCGCCCTCGCCGTCCCGGCCCCAGCCCCTGAAGCCGTCGACGCCGTCGCTGCCCCCCTGGAGCGCCGCCAAATCTCCTCCGCCTACTCCATCGTCAGCGACCTCTACACCGAAATCCAACAGTACACCGGCGCCATCAACGAGACCGCCGCGTCGCTCTCGGACTCCAGCACGCCGCACCAGAAGAAAGCGGCTGCCAAGTCGTACCGTCAGAACATCCGGGCCATCACTGCTGCTGTTCGCGCCGCGAAGAAGGAGACCGATGCCCTCGAGCCGGCTGCTGCTGATGCTAAAGTGAAGAGACAGACGGATCAGGCACTGGCGGATTTGGTGGCGGGGTTGTTGGAGGAGGTTAGTGGGGCGTTGAACAATATTGTTGCTACGCTTGGGTTGAGTATGTTGTTCTCATCTTCTGGGACCGTTCTACGTGCTAACGTTATTGCCAGCCTCACTTCTCGGGTCGTTGAACCCGCTCGTCAATTCGCTCTCGGCACTGTTGATCAGCTTGCGTAACGTGGTGGACAACCTGCTCATCTTGGTGAAGCAAATTGTCGATGGCCTTCTTACTGGTTTGTCGATTGGACTCGCCGGCTTGACTTTGTAAGGTGAACAAGCGGCGGGACCATGATCGTGTGCGTCCGAGAATGGATATGTTATGGCTAGTCGTAACGCAGTCCGTAACATGTATTCTGTTGATACATCAGAAGACGACAGCGACTTTTCTGCCTGAGCCTGAGCTTTTTGCCTCGTGTACCTCTCAGCACGCCCGTCGAATTTGTGATTCTATCTCTCCATTGTCTTTGATTTTCTGGCGAAGTTGGCCACGGGCAAGAGCATTCGAGATGCATCGCATGTCGCCAGTAATTGAATGTACAACATCCGCAATGCGGGAGCAAAAGGCTTTGGGGTGTTCGCGACACGCGCGATCCAGCGCGGCACCAGGATCCTGGCAGAGCTGCCGACCTTCACGATAACGTCTGATCGCGACCTTTTACCAGCGTTCAGGAGACTCTCTCTGGAAGCGAGGAAGTACATCAGCGAGCTATCTGTCAACGCCAACAAGAAGCCTGCGATCTTAGACTGGAGCGAAGCAGCATACCATGTCTTCCGCGGCGCCCTAACTACTACTCCTAGGAGCCTCTTCTCGATCAACGAGTACAGCACTCTGCTGGCGGCCTTTCGCAACAACTGCTTCAACATCGGCGACGACCGACGCGCCATCTTCCACGACATCTCGCGCCTCAACCACTCGTGTGTGCCGAACGCGCAAGGGAACTTCAACACTGCTATCGACGGCTTCGCAGTGCACGCCACGCATCTGATTGAGTCCAGACAGGAGATCACGATTAGTTATCTGGCCGAGCATGGAGCTGTGAGGAGTTCGCGGCAGGCGAAGCTGGCGCAAGGGTATGGATTTGCTTGCGGGTGTCCTGTTTGCGACGGCAGCACGGTGAAGGGTGCGGAGAGCGAGGAGAGGCGGAGGGTGGTGAGGGAGCAGTTGGGAGTGTTTTCTGAGGGTGAGCAGGGTGGGAGGGAGGAGCTGGAGATGATGATGAGTCTGATCGAGATGTTTGAGCGGGAGGGCCTGGCGGGGAGGGAGTTGGGAACGATGTGAGTATCGTGTCCTTAGAGCTGCGAAGGCTTTTCTTGACCACGCTGACCCATCGTTACAGGTATCTCTCCGCTGCGGAAAGTAACTGCAAGCTTAACGATCCTGTGGCAGCGAAGGAATGCTCACGGCTGGGACTGGACATGGAGCAGAGGTGTTTGGGGGTGGACAGTCCGCTGTACCGGGAGAGCATGGCCAGGATGAGGAAGATCCGAGCAGTGTGATATCCTGGCCGTCCAAGCCGTCTTCGCAAATGTCAAAACGCCATCAATGTCTCGCAGGATACCTCCTATCTTCACTATGCACCGAGTGCCTCTCTCCCTCCTTCAGTTCGTCACTGTAGTCTGTCAAAATCTCGCTGTTGTTTCGTCCTCGCCTGCGCATGGTCACTGGCCTCACCCGTCTGTTATTACCTGTCATCTTCCTCCGCAGACACGCCTTCAAGAAGGCTATATCCCGGGTACTTCGGACAAGTCCCGAAGTGAGGCTCATCGCGAGCAACCGAAGCTTTCGGCAGATGAACGGTCGCGTGGCAGGCCTCTCTTCGGCCTCGTCCACCAACACCACCCTGCAAGCATCGTCATGACTTCCGTCTCTGCAAGCAAAGGAGCAGGCATTGTCGGGCTACTGTGCGGTGGACTGTGAAGCGTCTGCAAGGAACAACGCCATTCGTGCATTTCGCTCGGAGCCCGCTTCACGGCTGGATGGTTGGCGTCATGATGATCTGCTCTCGCCGTCAAAACACAGATTGACTACAGGCATCTTCACATGTGCTCGGCAATTGCGTAAGGGAAGGCACATCAGACGCTTCAGAGGTGTAGGCTAAGTACTCTCACTTCCTTATCACACTCTCTTCCATCTCATCTTCCCATCCCACAAACTCAACCACACCACCACCAACACAACAACAACCACCACCATGGCCGTCTCCCAAGCAGCAGCCAAAGCCGAGCAGCAACTCGGCCACGGCGACAACGCCGTCACCGCCCAAGACGTCACCAACCCGGGCCGCGACCGCGCCGCCTATGGCGACCCCTCCGAGACCATGAAGGCCCTCGCGTGGATGGGCAAGAACACCGTCGAGATGATCGAAACCCCCAAGCCCAAGATCATCGAGGACCGCGACGTCATCCTCAAAATCACGGGCAGCACCGTTTGCGGCAGCGACCTGCACCTGCTGCACGGCAGCGTCGTCGAGCTGGAGAAGGGCGATATCCTAGGCCACGAGTTCTGCGGGATCGTGGATCAGGTCGGAAGTGCTGTGAGTAAAGTGAAAAAGGGCGATAGGGTGGTGGCGAGTTTCCAGATCGCCTGCGGGGACTGCATGTACTGCAAGAAGAAGATCTCGTCGCAGTGCGCGAGGACAAACGCCAACACGATCGAGAACGCAATGTACGGCGGTCGCACGGCGGGCATGTTCGGGTACAGCCATTTCACCGGCGGCTTCGCCGGGGGTCAGGCCGAGTACACGCGCGTGCCGTACGGGGATGTCAACTTGCTCAAGCTCCCCGACGATGTGCCGGATGAGAAGGGTCTGTACCTCTCCGACGTCATCGCCACGAGCTGGAACTGCGTCGTCGACACGGGGGTGAAGGAAGGCGATGTCGTGGCCATCTGGGGCGCCGGCCCGATCGGCCAGATGTGCGCGGATTTCTCCTTCATCAACGGCGCTAGCCGCGTTATTATGATCGATCAAAACTGGCGGCTGGACTACGTCAAAGAGAAGTACCCCAAGGTCGAGACGGTCGACTTCTCGCAGCTCAAGGGGCAAAAAGCCGTCGTGAGCAAGATGAAGGAGATGTGCGACGGTCACGGCCCGGACGTCGCGCTCGAGTGTGTCGCCGGCGAGTACCCGAAGGGCTGGCTGCACACCATCGAGCTCGCGGCAGGTCTGGAGACGGATACGAGCGAGATCCTCAACGAGATGATCGAGAGCGTGAAGAACTACGGTCGTGTTGGGATCACTGGTGTGTATGTGGGCTATACCAACCACTTCAACATCGGCTCGCTGATGGAGCGCGGCATCCGCTTCATCGGCAATGGTCAAGCGCCTGTGCACCTCTACTGGGAGGACCTGCTAAAGCGGATCCAGAAGGGTGAGATTGATCCGTTGAAGATGGTGACGCACCGGGTTAAGGTGGAGGATTTGGATAAGGTGTACTATAAGTTCCAAAAGCGGGAGGATGGGATGCAGAAGGTGTATGTGCAGACCAAGTTCTCTGCGCCGCCCTGTGAAGGCTCGCCAGCTTTGACGGAGTACTAGGAAGCTCGTGCTATGAGGTAATGATAGAGTAGTATACGATACCATGTCTTCAACGTCTGCTCAATTTTCCGTCCCTTCTCGAAGGCAGCAATAGATTACAGAGGCATGGGGGGTGTGAGAGGGGTTTCAAGGCACTTTTGTTTGTCGAGATGAGGCGCTTGGGGCTATGATATACTATATAGATTCCGCCCCTTCTCGAGGAGCCCATCGCCTACCCACGGCAACGCCGTGCCCACGAGATCTCGCTCTGTACGGCGGAGAATCCGCCCAAAAAGCACACCAAACGCCCCCTTCTCCTCCAGCCCAACCACCCCCCAGCCCCACCTCCCCCGCTGCGCTCCTCCCACCCCTATGGGCGGCGGGGAGGAGAGGCGCCAGGGGAGATGCTCAACTCCGCCATCCTCTCCACCGTCTCCAACCCCTTGACAGTCATCTCGTAATGCGCACGGGCATCACGAGCAGCAGAGGCAGCCTTCTCGGCACTGATCGACGCTTCGCGCACATGAATCAGTTGGTCATTGAGAACCTATGACGTAATCAGCTTCTATTGCGAAGTGAAAAGAATGTTGATGACTCACCTGCGCAAAGGTAAGGAATCGCTTCCTGCGGTTCGGATTCCGCTCCACAACAGACTTGTCGACCAGGGACCTCGCCAAGTCCTGGATGCGCTGCGACTCGTTCGGCGGCGAGGTACCGGCCACCAGGGTTGCGTCGGAGGCAGTCTGGATTGACGGAGAGACCGTCCGCAGTGTGGTATATGTCGGGGCTGGAAGTGCTGGTGCCCTTGGGAGCTGGGAGGTCTGCGCTGGGCCAAACGACGAGTGGTTGTGTGTAGAAGGGTACCTGTCTTCTTTCCTGGTGAGGTGGCGCTCATCAATGCGAGGGACTGGTGGGATCTCTTGGCTCTTCCTGTCTCGCTTGCCGTGAAAGAGGCCGCCGACCTTGTCGAGGAACAGCTTGCTCCTGGAGCGCGAACGCTGTGTCTGAGAGATGGTAAGCATATATATTGACGACAGGTCTTAGTGAGACATACCTTGATGTTTGACCGACTCTCGCTGGGCGTGGTTGTGCGACCGCGCTCGACGGGCTCCGGCGTCTTGCTCGTCTTCGCAGTCGGCGTTGGCAGCCTCGTGGTCATCCTCGAATGGGAAGCTGCCGTGGTGCGTGCAAATGATGGTACCTCGTTCTGGTGAAGAGCCTGGCGTGCAGCTGCGACGGATCCGGGCTTGCGCTTTCCGACAGATGGCACGGTTGGCGATGAACGACGAGAGGAAATGTTCATGATGTCGGCGGCGTCGGCATCGCTCATGTTCAATCCTTCGGCTGGGGTAGAAGATGGGTATCCGATAGATGGGGTTGACTTTGGTGGTTGGCGCCGTATCGCTGGGCCGCTGGGCTCGACTGTTGGTGAGCCGTCGCGGTGGCCATCAGACGAGGATGACACGGCATTGCTGGATGGCGTGGTGTCGGACCATTTGCTGACGCAGCCTTTCGCAACAGCCTCTCTATAGTACGCATGCCGGGAATGCTCATACCCTGTCATGTCCTGAGTCGGCCGCGGAGGTGGTGGATGAGCTGGCGCGTTGCTGGCTGGCGCGTTGTGGTCGTTGATGGCCAGGAACATGTCCGCGGCTGCGGCATTCTGGTGAAACGTCGATTGGCTGTTGTCCGTCGTCTCCTTGCCACGCTTGAGATGTCCAAACATGTGGCGGAGCGTGTGCTGATCAACACCAGCTTTCGGTGGGCTGCCCTTCCCTTCGAGGTGCGAGAGAGCGCGACCGCGTGCATCAATGCCTTCGTCCATTCCTGCATCTTGGAATCCCGCACCGCCTGTTGGAAGTAGTGCTTCAGACGTGATAGTTTGGAGCGGAGCTGTGAACGGGCTGGTCGATGGTGGAGCGCGAAGCGGCGCACCCAACGTATCCGCGAAGATGTCTTCTGTGCTGGCTTCTGTATGCTGCTTGCGAACAGTGCTGGCTGCACCTTTCAGATCATCTTCCGAGCTTTCACGAGACTTCTGCGACTGCCCGTAAAGCTGCCACGCCGTGGGCTGCGGATCCGGCGAGTTTGCAACAAGAGTACCTTCTGGCGAGTCGAAGCTGCGCGAGAGCGATGGCGTTGCAGCCGCAGATCCCTCGCTGTCAGACGTGATAGTGCGATGTAGTTGGAGTTCACTTGGGCTTTCACCTCGCTTGCTGCGCTGCAACTGCCTCCTGATCTTGCCTTGCTCCAGTATCTTCAGAGCCTCCGGCGTTCCAATGCGACGACTGCCAAAGCGGGGCTGTGCTACCGAGTTGTTGGAAGAAGCGCTAGACGTTCTATCCTTCCCCACATCGATCATGGTGGCTTTCTTCGAGTCGGGGATGGGAATACGTGAGGCGGTTCCGATGCTCCTAGGTGTGAGAATGGATGCGTCGCTTTCAGGGCGCGGTCTAGAGAAGTTGGTGGGGGAGGTGATCTGCTCTTGGGACTGATGAGAAGCTGTTGGTGCGTCGGCTCGTGGTTCGGTGATGTCAGTGAAGCCGCGAAGTTGGGTGTTTGAAGCATGAGCTGGTGTGACAAGGCTGCGGCTGGAAGCCTTGTTCTGCAAAGAAGCCGCGCGGGTCACGGTGTTAAGGTTGGCGCCGCTTCTCGAGTGCCTCACGCTCACACCCTTGGGCTGGAGGCTATGTCTCGTGCTGATTGCGGTCTTGCGGGTACTCGGTGGAGCCGGGCCTTCGTTGGCAGTGGCGTAAGAAGATTCAGAGTATGGCCTGCGTCTGTCACTGGTCAGTTCTGATGTATTTGGCATGTTGGTCTTATTAGACGATGCAGCGGCTGTGGCGATGGCTGACAATGGCTTGGCGAATGAAGAGTTAGTTCCCGGCACGGCGAAGGCGCCGGCTTCCAGCTGTCCGGGGTGGTCCTGATGCTGTCCAAGGTCCTGGTGCTGTTCATGATCCTGGTGCTGTCCACGGTCTTGGCTGCGCAAGATCGCAATGGTCGAGCGGCAAGATGTGGGCTTGAGCGCTGGATACTCGTGCTTCTCGCCGTCCGGGATGGTGGCGTGGAGAGGCTGTTCGAGCGCGTCGATGATCATCCGACTATCCTTGCTTGGACTGGGCATGTTGGATAGGCAGGCGATCGGACGCGACGGCAGCGGCTTCTCGTGTGGAAGTGGTTTGTTGAGTGATGGTGAAGGTGAGGATGACGTGGAGCTCTATGCGAATATCATTAGCGCGTGCGACGGAAGTCTTGGCGTGGTGCGGAAAGGGGTAGTACCTTGCTCTGAAGGCGACTGGCCATGACAGAGCGGTGCGTGTCGGATGCGGTGCGATTCTTTTTGGCAGTCGTCTCGGCGGATGCGATGTGATCAGAGACAGAACTCCATAGCGGTGTCGATGGTGCGGAGGAGGGGGTGATGACGCGGCGTGGGAGTTTGGAGGACAGCAATGTTTGTTGTGTTCGTGGTGTGGTGGTTGCTGATGTCGGGGGCGGAGCAATATCGCGGTCGCGCTCAGTGTTGGCCATGGTCGAGTATCTTGACAATGGTGCCGTGACTCGAGCGAGGAGGATATTTGACTTGCGGAAGAATGAGATGGAGAACAAGGCGAGAGGGAGATGTCTCGGGAGGGGCGCGATGTGAGAGCGGACCCCGAGGGGTGTTTGGGGCAAACAGAGGAAGGAGCGACTCTCGAGCGTCGCCGGCGCTTGCCTGCATCTTACCGCGACAGAACTCCAAGCTCACCTCATCTCTTGGAACCTTCGTACTACATGAGGAATGCATTACCTTCGAGGATACTCACGCTCGTTCTGGGATACTACAAATGTGGTGCATCAGAGAGGAAGACAATCGGACCTGTGACATTTCTGGACCAAGCACAGAACGGGCGTGCAACTGGGAGTAAATACCCATCTCAACTCATGAGTACATGAATCCTCCGCAGAATGCTGGCTTGCTGGCGCCGTAGCAAAGCCAAAGAACGACGGACGCGCCAGAACGAGGAGAGGAGGATGAAGTGAAGTCGCGGAAAGTTGCAGCGTGTCATCTCGGGAAGGCGGCGGCACGAGCGCCGAAAAACCCATCCGCCGGGTCCACCCAGGGTTCACGCGTGTATTGGTAAGGCTTGAAGATTGACCTTCTCTGCTCTTTTTTTCTCCATCCTGCTTCCCTACATCTTCATGTACAGGACGACATCATGACACCCGAATACAAGGCCGAGAAAGAGGCCTCCGTCTCGTATCTTGGCGGCGGCAACATCTGGGAGATCAATCTTGTGACGCTCGTAGCCCCCGTTCGTCCCCCAGAACCCGGCCATCTGAGACGAAGTTTGACTGACTTCTGCAGGCTGCCGCACTTTGCTGGTCCATCTTGCAAAAAAGACAGGGCGTCTTCAAGCCGTACACAGTCTCTGCCGCCGTGGCCGACTTCTTGCTGAACTGCTGTGCTATCCTTTTCGCAACCACCGTCTACGCCGGCCAACCGCAGACTCTGAATGGCTTTCTCATCTTGCCCACCGTGGCAGCCATGCTGCAGCCTCCTGCAGCGAAGGAAAAGACAGCGAAGCCTCCGCCGAAATCCGAGCCCAACGGCAAGCCCGCTGAGCCGCACGACCAGAACGCGGGAAGCGACCTGGATCCTCTTCCCGTGAAACCGTTCATTACCACCTACCGGGGAGCGATGATGGTTGTGACTTGCGCAAGCATCCTTGCCGTCGACTTTCCGATCTTTCCTAGGCGTTTTGCGAAGACCGAGAGCTATGGAACCTCACTCATGGATATGGGTGTTGGCTCTTTCGTCTTCGCAGCTGGCATGGTGGCTGCTCGTCAGCAGCTCAAGGAGCAGCACTCCGCCTCACGCTCCATCACTGCAAGACTCAAAGCTTCCATGCGCCATGCTTTGCCGCTGTTCGTGCTTGGCCTCATCCGCCTCTGGACTGTCAAAGGTCTTGACTACGCCGAGCACGTCAGCGAGTACGGCGTACACTGGAACTTCTTCTTCACACTCGCCCTACTTTCGCCCGCCATCGCCATCCTGCAACCACTCTTGAGAGTCTTCCCATCCTACGGCCTACTCGCATTCCTCATCGGCATCTGCATCGAAATCTTCTACGAGTCCTACTACGGCATTAAAGCGTATATCATCCTCTCCGAGCGAATCCCCGGTGACTGGCTCTCGCAGAACCGCGAAGGCGTCTTCTCCTTTGCAGGCTACCTGGCCATCTTCATCGGCGGCATGGGCGCTGGCATGGGCATTCTCCCGCGCGACGTCGACCCGGAAGAGAAGCGGAAGCAGGAAAAGGCTAAAGCGGCAGAGAAGGACTCCATGGACGAAGACGCCGAGTGGCTCGCATCCGTTCTCGCACCCGACCAGCAGAAACCAGCCGCGAAACCAGTCTCCTACCACCCTCTCAAACCCGAGTACCCGCAGACCACCTTCTTCCACCTCGTCAAATGGACCGGCATCTGGTTCATCCTCGCCGTCTGGGCAATGTGGCTCTACGGCCCCGGCCTCTTCGTCTCCCGCCGCATGGCCAATCTGGCGTACGTCATCTGGGTCTGCGCGTTCAACTCCGCGCAGCTTCTACTCTTCTGCTCCATCGAGTCGTGGGTCTTTCCTAAGATCTACGATGCGAAGGACAAGGCTACGGAGAAACAGCGGGTCAGCGATGCTACGAGCACGGTCATGAAGGCTTTCAATCGCAATGGACTGGCGTTGTTTCTGCTGGCCAATTTGCTCACGGGGCTGGTGAATATGAGTATGGAGACGTTGCACATGGGGGATACGATGGCTATGGTGGTGTTGGTGGGGTATATGGGGGTGCTGTGTGCGGTGGCGTTGGCGTTGGAGAGGTGGGATGTTTCGATTAAGCTGTGATGTGTACATGTAGATAGTATTGAAGAGAGCTGCGTTGCTCTGTCTAGTTTTATCACAACTCTTCCATCTCGATCGGTGGTAAAATGGTAATGTCGAGGCGACTTGCGACTACATGTAGACCAGCGATGGAGTTGTGCTTCAGCTCGTGGCTCACTTGACCACGTCATCAAACGTCTGACATCTCATCCTCATCTTCTAGCTCCTCTTCTTGTTTCTCTTCACCTTCTTCCTCACCCTCCTCTTCGTCTTCCTCAACTTCTTCCTCCTCATCAACTTCCTCCTCCTCATTAACTTCTTCCTCCTCATCAACTTCTTCTTCCTCTTCAACTACTTCTTCCTCTTCATCTTCTTCTTCTTCTCCACCCTCCTCTTCCCCCTCCTCCCCACCTTTTTGTTCACCCTCCTCCTCCACCTGCGGTGCCACCATTCCCACCGGATAACGCGGTCCAGCCAAACGAGGCAGGTTCACGGACCTACGCAAACCCTTTGCGCTCCCGTTGCGCATCCCCTCAGATAGGTCTGGGTATTCGTTGTCGTCGTCATCATCGTCATCATCATCACTATCTTCCCCGTATCCGCCCGTGCGTTTCCGAATGGCGTTCAAGATATTGGCAAAAGCCGGCCGTTTTGAGGGATCATATGCAAGACACCTTCCGACCAATTTCTTCAGCGTCTTACTGTACGTCCTCCCCAAATTATTCCCAGCCTCATTCCGAAGACTAAGCAGCGTCCGGTCCAGCTTGGCGGGGTGGAGATACAAGGGTTCGTGCGGGAGTCCGTCGCGCATGATGAGACACCAGAGGATCAGACCAAAGCCGTAGACGTTGGTCATCTCGCCGAGGACGCTTTCATCCATGTAATCCCAAGTCGTCTGATAGACAAAGTATCGCTGCTCTGGGGCGAGAAATCCCATCGTGCCGCACCACTTGTACCATCGGAGGTTGTTGGGATCGTCCAGGAAGGTTCCAAAGGCCAGTCCGAAGTCCCCCAGTACTGCCTGGGGGTAGTCGGGATAGACGTCATGGGGATGGGGGCTGCGGAGGAAGCAGTTCCCGGGTGTCATATCCCTAGATAACGGCTGTTAGCGTTGGGTCGGGCATGGGACGAAGCTGTCTTACCTGTGAACGATCTCCTCATCGCCTTCGCCGCGCATGGAGATGCCGGCGCGGCACAGAGACTCAGCGACGGACCAAATGAACGGCTCGGGAATAGGAATGTCTTGGTCCTGGTGTGCATTCACGACAGCTTCAAAGGTGCCGTTTTCGCACCACTCCGTGTAGACGCGATAGCTCTGCGTGACATTGTCGACCAGCGCCGGGTCGTACTGAGCTTCTTTTAGTCTTACGATGCCAGGTCGTCCATGCAAGGCATGATGGCATGCCAGCTCGTTGGGTATCTTTTGGTTGGGGTCATTGATGGGACCCTGGAAGCGCGAAGGGTCGCGCCAATCCTGGTCGTCGGAGAAGGCAGTCTTCCTGTATACTCGCTGATTGAGAAACGGTCAGCGACGATATGGAAGGGCTGAGGGATGCGCTTACGTCGGCGATCTGATTGTTGCCATCGTATCTTACCCATACACCACCGCTGGACATTCCGCCATCTATGCTCTCCATATGCACCCATTGGCCAGGAAGTCCGAGCGTGTTACTCTCCACATCTCTCCCGTGTGCCAGGTATTTCCTGCGCGCAAGTCGGTTCGGTGCAGCCCACTCGAAAGGCTGACGGCGGCGTCCCTGAGAGTCAGCGCCAACGGGAGGAGTTTGGCCAACCGCCACGACGCTATCGTGGTACCCGTCGAAGATGGAATACTGGCGATACATTTCGCGAACCTGCTCCAGATTGTAATCTAGACTCTCCTGGCTCCTTCCAGCGTGCGTCTCCTCTGCTGCATGCAGTTCTTCCCACAGGCGCTGTGCATGCTGGAAAGGTCCGATGGTAGGCTGGAGATCAGCCGCGAGTTCGCTCACTTGATCAAAGAACAAAAAGTATTTGTCGCCGCGATCGAACCAGGCTCTATCAGCATGTCTTGTGAGCAACGCGAAGACCCGTGGGACGCGGCCGTTCGTGCCAGCGATGGCTTCTGCCTTAGCTTCGACGGCTTCGTTGAACTTGTCCACCCATTGCGCTCTCTGATCAAGGGTTTTGGCGTTCCACTCCCCATAGATCTCCGCATTCGTTGCGTTCGGTCGAATGGTTCTTTGGTGTTGGACGAATACTGCCCTAGTTTTCGGTGCCATCGTCTCGAGAAAATCGGGGTGCTTCGTATGATACTGACACTGCCAGAAGCGTATGAAAAAGGTCTCCGAGGTTGGGTAGAATGGTAGAGGAGGGGATTGGGCCGAGCAGAAGCGTCTGAGAAATCTTGTACAATGCTGAAAGAGACAATTGCTACCCTACCTTCAGGACAAAGAACCTGGTGTACCAGAAGCCCCGGATCCGGCCAGACAGTGTACGATGTGTCGACTTCTGCACATCGAGAAACAGCCCTATGCCCATACAGTGCGTGTAGATGGACAATGGGGTTGTTATGCTTTGGAGCATGAGAAGTCGATGGGTGATCACCCTCCAGTAGACGAACACTCATACTCATCTGTGTGAGCCGCATCTTGACAGAGCATGCGTATATTAGCCCGCAGTACGGCAGGCGGAGCGTGGGACGATGGGAGAAGACGGTATGGTCTGTGAGGTCGAGAGTGTCGTTGAGGTCGGATGGAATTGAAAGGCGGTCGACGTTCGCGTACAAAGCAGAACTTCTGAGTATTTTTCAGCACGGCATGGACAGGAGACGGGACCGGACGCGAATGCGAGACAACATCCTTGGCAACCAACACCTCTCACCCAATGCCACCCAGCGATCCTTCATGGTGAGGCGCCGCCGAAACCTTCGCTACATCGACCAAGTACATCTCCAGAGCAGTTGCGAGACCAACACCGCACCATCCTTGCTACGGCCTTGGCTGCGCACTGGGGAGGCTACTCTTGTCCGGCTGTTACTTGCCCGGTCCACACCCGGTCCACACGCATCGCGCCTTAATGAGGTACAGTCACATCAGCATCAGTGGCGCGGTGGACGTACTTGGAGGATGCGCTATCTCTCCCACGTGCTCTTGATGAGCGACACCGTGGTCAACGGCAGACAAGACCGATATTGACGCCGGACTTGCAACGACCAGGAGGATTGTCGTTAAGCGGGGGACACTCAAAGTGGCCCACCAGGTCAGAGCCAGTCGTGTGTTGGATCTTCTCGCAGACAAGAAAAGCTCGCCCACAAAAGCGGTGTTGCATTTTTGGGTTGCTTTGGGTCTGAGAGAAGGCTGCTAGATATGTCCGCTGGGCCGCTTCTGCTACCTCTCGCCTGGTTGTCTACATGGAAGACATGCGTGCTGTGCGTGGTCTGATAACGGCGCTCATGACGACTCAACCCACTTGGTCAAGCTGGTCTATCGGCATGCTGTTGCGTGTGGATGCTACTGGGAGACAGCCGACCTGCCATGGCCAGAGATCTCTCCAAGCTCACCAGAAGCAAATGCAGTTATGCAGCGTGGAGGAGGTATCAGCAAGTACCGAGCCCGCTCAGTGGGCCAGAAGACCCCAAAGGATCAAACGCTGCTACTGCGTTACCCGACGTATGTTGCAGCAGCGGCCATTGTTGGTCCAATTTCGACGTTCGAAAGGTGGAGTTGCATTGTGGACTTGCTAGTGTACGTTGCTTGGCTTCGAAGGATGCTGTCTTGAGCTTCAGGAGACTAGGCAGCAGATCGCGAGTGGACCATCTCTGCTTCAGGCGTGTTACTAGTCGCGGTAGGTGATCTGCCAGGGTTTTCCACGATTCTGGGCTGTATCGACAAGCAATTGCCGCTGCATGCTACACTGTGCAGATGCTCTACTCGACGAGGTCAAGTAAGTCCAACCATCACGTATGTACTGTGTCATCGACTTTTGTTCCTCTCCGTTGCACTCCGTAACAAGCAACAAACAAGCCCTCGAAGGCTCAATAACACTATTCCTTATCGATTGAGACTGCAGCGGGGCTGACTTTACACCACCGAAATTGGCTGCGAAAGGATTTGATGCTATGGTCCACAAGGAGACACGGAAGCCCGCACGAGTCCAAGCCTTTACCAACACCACGCAGAAAGAGGACCTAGCATCTGTACGGCACTTGAGCGGGTAACCCTTGTTCCATTGGCTCGTCGATTAATTTGACACAAGCGGCGCTTCACACCAGAGCTACTTTTGCAGGAATAGTATGCGCCAAGGCAGATGAGCGGATATGCATGCACGCATGGCAGCACTTTTATAGATCGCCTGACTCGCACGAAGGATCAAGATGCATGCTGAAAATACGGGGTATGGGGTGCTTGAGTAACATGTAAGCATATCCAGGCTGACGGGAAGGATCGAGCCAAGCCCGCGAGGTACAGACTAATGGCTTGTTGCTCGTTCATACCACCATCTTGGTCCTAGAACAGCACAGCTTGACTGGACCTCATCACGGCAACAGCACAAGAAGCTCCGAAATAACCAACGAACAATCATCCTTCGAGTTTCACATCGTGGAGGTCGAATGCGAGATTCATTGTACGGTTGCATTTTCGCTCGAATGTGCTCGCGACAATCAGACTGGAAATAGAGCCGACGACAAGATGGCCGACAACCGACAAGATATAAAGAGATGTAGCGGTTACTTCAGTCTTCGAGGCATCAAGAGCAGCAAGTCTCTCGCTATCAAATTCTTCACTCGCTACCAAGCAGCCTTCCGCTACACCACCATCAGAACATACTCCGCCCTAACCGGCCTCGCTTCTAGCCCACCATGTTCACCAAGGCTCACACAGTCGCCATGGCCGCCGCTGCTTTCTCCAACATCGTGGCGGCCTCGCCCATCACTTTGAACGCCACAATGATGATGGATGGACTTCTGATGAAGAGAGACCTGTCGGAGGTGATTTGCGGCTTCTATCCTTCGGCCGACGGTTGGGAGACGGAGAACAAGAACGAGCCGAATTTGAGGGGCAAAGGCGATCAGAACGTTCATGTTGCGGCAGGCTCTTGTAGCCGGGTTGGCTGTTACAATACCAGTGGCGTGTAAGGACTACCTTGTTTTCCAAGGTCCATCATAACATAGGTACATCTGCTGACGTTCTTAGCTATGTGTGCAACGACCAAGACTCCGACTTGGACGTGCCCATGAATGAAGTGGTAGATTTATTAGACTACCTAGGGCAAATTTGTCTCCACAAGAAAACCGACGATGGTGGCCAAGATGGTACGATGGTGTTGAGCCAACCCCTACCTTACAATTCCTAGGAGATCCACTAACCTTTGCTCTTTGGGATGCAGGTAACGGATCCGGCCGCGTCACGACGACGGATCGTGGAGGATATAATGTCAATATCGGCTACTGCAATGGCAATGACTCACCCAGCATCCCGCCAAGTGGCTACGGATGGCCCGGTAGGTCATATCACACCGCTCTCAGCGCAGGGTCGTGCTAATTCCTCCTCTCAGGTCCCAATGGGACTCCTTTCATTCAGTGCGGCAAGGAAGGCCAGCCACCATGCGAAGGGACCGGCTGCCTTGAAGGCACCATTGTCGTCGAATCTCAGGAAGCAGTCGGATGCGCAGACTACCTGGGTGCGGGGTATATCGAAGCAGGTGCGACGTACATCTACAGCACGGCAAGTCACTCATCCTATCCCACGAGATGCTCATGCTGACGATGTTCTCCGCGTTCTATAGACTCGCCAGATCACCACAACATGGACTGTGGGCGCTTTCCTCAGCATCGATACAAGCGACCTTGCTCCGGTCTCAGTGCAGGCTGGCTTCTTCTCTTCGTTCTCGGAGGCGACATCCACAGGTTCCTCGACAGGTCTGAGTGACATGTGCGGCGACGAGGGTAAGTTGAGCTGTGAAATATCCGCTCCCACGTCCAACACGATGCTGACTGCCTTCTTCCGCAACGAACAGATGCCGAAGGCGACTGGACTTGCGGCATGCACATTAAGCCTCAGTGCTTCGCCATGACTGGGTACTGCGACACTGCTGACCTCGGCAGAGTCCCATGGGTATGTGATCTTCTCCGTTCTCCCGCTTTGATTACGCCAGGCTGACCATCGTCCAGGCCAATGTTGTGCCGCAATCTGCAGGCGACGGGGTAGGAGTCTTCACCTCGGAGATCTGCACCTGCCAGAACTGCCCTGGAGCTGACCAGGAGGGTGCTCCGGAGACAGAGTGTGGCCTCGAATGCAAGGGGTGCGTTGACGAGTAGATCAAGCCGGGGAAGGCGATTGCAGGGCGATGCATTGGTCAGTTGCATTTGGGGTTGGTATTGACCGGTTGCACGGGCAATGGCGTTGATGCTGTCATTTTATTCCCGAACGATTTTAGCATTTCAATACGTACGACGATGTCCGCTGCTCTTCTCACCGAACAATCATGCTCCGATACAGACTCAAAATGCCTACACCAGCACGAGCAATCAGCTACTAAGACTCCCGGAGGACGGACCTTGGAGTTGAGGTGGGGTTTTCGGCACAGCTGCAGTCATGTAGTCGATTTCGCTGCCGAGCCAGTCCACTACCATAACGAACATCTTTCACTTATTCACGGTATCATTGTCTGAACCATTCCCATACTCGTCCATCAATTATACCATCTATCACAATGTCTAGGGGTGATCAGCCCGCGGAGCCACAATGGCTTGCCAAACCTTCCGGCGCCTGTTGCTTGAAGTACGTCTCGATGGCCTTCGATCCCGATGCCTTACTGATAGCGCTTGACAGAGGCCACCTCCATAACGGCGACCCGAAAGGGTTGTTCGAGCGCCTGGCCGACATCGAGACTTATGTGACCAAGCCGTCGGCTGAGAAGGATAATGGGCATATCGTCTTGTATGACACATCCCCTCTCCTCTACAACAAAGATGCTGACGATAACGCAGCTACTTCCCCGACGTCTTTGGCTTCTTTACAAATGGTACGGGACTCAAAAGCAGTAGTAGAACACTTACCGTCTCGGAGAACTGACCATCACGGCAGGCCTATTGGTTTGCGATACGTTTGCAGAGGCAGGTTATACTACTATCGGTATCGATTACTTCAGTGGAGTATGTAACCAGGACTGTTGGCTTTGGGCAGTGGGGAGCTGGCTGCTGAGACACCATAGGACCCAATCTACATGCACAGAGATGGACCAAAGGAGCCGAAGGCAAGTGGATCTACACTATGACGCGAGTGTTCTCGACTGACCGTGGCTCAGGAAGGCTTCGATTTTGAAGCATGGCTGGCTAAGCACAACAAGTTTGCCGTCGAGAACGTTAACGGATGGATCGTGAGTGTCTTGTCCCGAATTCCAGAGGTGTTCAAGCGCAAGGCTGACCGCAGGACCAGTCGGCCGTGAAGCAAAAGTACGGCAAGTCGGAGACCAAGTACGCTTGTGTAGGGTGAGTTCATGTTTGCCAGAACTCTTCGCTGGGCGGCGTCAGCTAACACATACTCCACAAGATACTGCTTTGGCGCACCCTACGTAATGAGCAGCATCACCCCCGACGGCTCCAACGCACCAGCCTGCGATGTGGGAGCGTTCGCCCACCCAGCGTTTCTCAAAGAGCGAGTCATCCCCTCCCCTCCCCTGTCGCCGCTTCCAATGCTGACTAGTAGCGCAGACACCACTTCGAGAACATCCAACGCCCTCTCTTCCTCTCCTGCGCCGAGTCCGACTTCACCTTCGAGACCGACGCGCGCAACAAGGCCCTCTCCATCCTGCGCGAGGCGAAAAAGCCGTACTCGCTGCAGCTGTTTTCTGGAGTGGAGCATGGATTTGCTCTGCGCTGCAACCTGGATGTTGCGGATGAGCGTTGGGTGAGTTTTTGTCCTAAGGTTCAAATGAGAGAAGGCTGACCGATTCTTTCTACAATGTTGCAGGCCAAAGAAGAGTCCGCCAGAGGCATTGCGAGCTACTTTGACCTGAAGTTGGGCTTGTTTGAGAAGCAGGGCAAGGATGCGAAGCTGTAGTGGTTTTGTCCCTTGAAGAGGCTCAATTGTTCGATGAATAGAACAGATTCATTCCTTCAGCTGAATAGACGGATGCTGACGTTGTCCCGTTTCCGGCCCGTTAGTGAATTTGCCTCGAAAAGGATGAAGAGTACGGTACGATGGCATCTCTCGGCAGTGTCAAGTGTTGAGACAGTCCGCCAGTACGGGCGACCATTGTGGAAACTTGAATGTAACCCATGCTGTTTGCAGCTCGTATGCGCGAGGCGGCCGCCAATATAGCGGCATGACCGGCTCCGGTCATCTTGAGTTACATATATGCTCTATTCAAGCTCCCATTCTTCTCTCGAAGTTAAGTCGTTAAAAACTGTAATCTGCACATCACAGGAAGACTTCTACCTTTTCGCAACAACATCCACTATGGCGAACAGTTCAGCCTACCTAGACGCCATCGGCAAACCTCTGCGTGTCGGAGAAGCCGAGATCCCTCAACCAGGAAAACATGACATTGTCGTCAAGTAAAACCATCGACACCTTTCATTCACCGGTTCCATGTTAACATCAAATCCACAGAAACCGCGCCATCGCCCTCAACCCGGCAGACCACATGCAAGCCAACACCAACTTCATGAACTTCCCCTACCCCATCGTCCTCGGCTCAGATGTCGCTGGACACGTCCACTCCGTCGGAACCCAAGTGACCCGATTCCAACCTGGCGACCGCGTGGCGGGCTTCGCTCAATGGCTGATTCGCGGGACGCCAGAGGACGGAGCATTCAGTCTTTACACGCGGCTTCCGGCTGGTAACGCCGCACGGATTCCGGAGAGTGTTTCGTTCAACGAGGGTGCGGTGCTGGGGATGGCGATCGGGACGGCGGTGTCCGGGTTGAATGGAGAGGGGCACTTGGGTCTGTTGTTTCCAACGTTGAACACCGAGTCGGATGGGAGGGTGCTTGTGGTGTATGGAGGCTCGAGTTCGATTGGCTCGATGGCGATTCAATTGGCGGCTGCAGCAGGACTTCGGGTGGTAAGCATCTCCAGTGCGAAGAATTTTGACATGTGTCGACGCTGCGGTGCTTCTTCAACCTTCGACTACACCAGCGCCAGTGTCGTTGACGACGTCGTCGCTGCGGTTGGCAAAGACCCTTGCGTGGGCATCTTCGAATCGATATCTAGCGAGGACTCCTTCAAGACCAGCCTCGCCATCCTGGAAAAGCTTGGAGGCGGCCGCATGGCTTGCAGTCTGCCTCCCCCGAAGGAATTGTCCGATCATATCAAGGCAACTTGGATGGTGGCTACCGGCGAGCATTCGATCCCGGTATTCGAAGACTTCGTTACGCAGGCGCTTGAGAGTGGACGACTGAAGTGTCTGCCGGAGCCGTTAGTAGTGGGAAAGGGATTGGAGAGCTTACAGAAGGCTTTGGAGGTGTTGCAGGCGGGCATGAGTGCGAGGAAAGTCGTGGTGGAGCTTTAGTCGTTTGATACCTAGCTGAGTATCTCTCGAGTAGCTCAAGGTAGATACATGGGCATCTCCATCACCTGGCGCCTTTTTAGTCTACAGAGCGTCCCTGAGACAGTAGAAGGTCGTCCCACGCTCACTCAGCCCACCAACACCACGCTACTGATTGGGCAATCCAGGAATCTGTCCATTCCGGAACATATCCACAAACACCCGATGATCCTCCCTCACCCGCGCGCTGTACTTGTGCGCGAAATTCTGCAACAGCGGCTCGAACCCTGCCTCATCCTTCGAAATCGCCTCATCGATCGCCTTTTCGGTGCTGAACTGCACAAGCCCGGAGTGCTCGCTGTCTTCGTCTGCAGCACCGTGCATCATTGCCGTCGCTCGGCCAAGGTCTGCCACGATTGACGTCATTTCTTTGATGTCGTTGATGTCGTCCCACTCAAAGTCGACGGCGTATGGTGAGACCTCAGACACCATGTAGCCTGTGCCGTCTAGCTCGGTCCATCCAGCCCATGGGCAATTCGTTCGTTAGCTTATAACACAGTGAAAGCAGTGGGAAACTTACTCTGCGTGGTCTTGCAGCGAGCGCTGAGAGATGACGGTCCGGTGGCCTTCATGCTTGAAGTACTTCTCCGCTTCAGGGACCTCGACATGGCGGGAGACAGCGGAGGCTTGTGACTGCTTGAGGTAGAGGATGCGGTCGTATTCCAGAGCTTCGGTCTCACCTTCGATCAGGACGTTGTAGGTTGGTAAGCCGGCAGACCCGATCCCAACACCGCGTCTACCAATGACGTCCTTCACCCTGCAAGAGCCTCGGTGATCGGAGAACGGGAGGTGCTTGAGATAGTGCTTGAAGGCTGCGGTGACCTTCTCTTTCATTTCATCCTCGAGTTCGATGACGCCGTGGCCTCGCTTGAAGCGCCTCTCGGAATCAATCACTTCTGTGGAACCATCGAGAAGCTCAGCACGGCTCTGTGTGCGAGCAGACTGCAATGCAGCTAGAAGCGGGCCTTCGGCGGTGTCGAGACCGAAACGCGGCACCTTCTCCTCGCCGGCGGTAGCCAGTACGTGGATACGCTCCCGATAAGCGTTGGCATAAGCCTTGACGAGCTTGGAGATCTGGTCATCGCTCAAAGCCTTTCCATAGCCGAGAAGGCCCAGCGAAGCAACCAGGCGGTAGAGGTCCCACGTGAATGGGCCAACGTACTGCAAAATTAGGTGAAAGACGTCAGCATGTTATTCTGCGTTGGGCAAAGATGGTGCAGAACTGGCTTCTATGCCCTAGACCGGCAGGTAGGCTTGCTAGGCTGAGATGACCTCGAAGGGGCATCTCAGCTAGTAGGCGCTCAAGCCCCTTCAAGTCTAAGACATAGGAGTGACATGTTCCACCTCATATTTACTTACGGCTTCGTCGAAGTCGTTAACGTTGAAGATGAGGCGGCCCTGAGAGTCCATGTATGTCCCCATGTTCTCGGCGTGTAGATCGCCATGGATCTGGTGAAGGGATTAGCGACGATTCATAAGGAACTTTTGCTCCAGGAGAACTCACCCAGATACGCGAGGTCCGCTCGTCAAGGAATGGACCCTCATTTGCCTCCGGCTCAAGGTCCTTGTAGAAGAGAGGTGCAGATCCACGGTAGAAGGCGAAGGGGGAGGCGGCCATCTTGCGAAACTTGTTTTGGATCGCCAAAGCATCGCCGGCGACGAGATGGCCAAAGGCGTTGTCGAATATCGAGAGAATGAGCTTTCCACGGTCTGACTCGGCGGCGGAGCCTTCGTTGAGCTCGGTCGACATGGTCGTGTGGTTGTCGGCGGTGGTGTCGGTATTGGCGGTGTCGTCGGTCTTGTTGGAGTGGGGGAGGTGCGCTTTGATTCTCGAGGCGAGCGACATGTTGATGGTGGTGGTGAAGTGAGCTTTCCTTACCTTGACGAGTCGAAGGTTTGTTGCCCGCTTTTAAGAGTTTGATCAAGGTAGCAGGAAAGTTGGAACAAACCTGGGAGGTGAAGCGCCAGTCAGAGGCAGTGCTGCACGTGTCAGATCCCCGCGGTGAAGCATCAGGGCAGGCGCGACGCTTGTGCAGGTGTTAGACTGCAGGTGCGACGAAGCCAAGAGACTGAATGTCGATCGAATCTGGAATGTTTCAGCACCTGGACTTCTTACCTGTCTTCTCCCAGGCAAGATAGCTACAATGGCCGCAGAGAAGACGGCGGTAGGGCGACTCTCGAGGTCCAGCAAAGTGGGAGGAGGAAGAGGTTGTCATCCAAAGACTTTCTCGCTCCTGTCTCCGATCGCGCTAAAAGCGGCTTTACCCGTGTACACCCATTGGCTTTGGCATTGGCACTCTTCTGCTTGTGTGCGATAGTCGCAGGACTATCTACCTCATACATTGTTGATGGCCTGATGTCACTGCGTCAAAGTGGGCAGTGCCAGCGGCCGCACAAGTACCATGGCTCCATGGTTGACCAACTCATCCTCCGGTGGACCACATGTACCGCCCGCGATTCCGGAGACCGATCAGCAGCGATGACGATATGACAGGGAAAAAATGCTGTAAGAGACATGTAGGTTGTCAAGGTTGCGCAGGACGACATTTCCTTTCTCCCAGTTACCTCCATATCGTCTCTATACCACAAAAACATGTCTAAGCCAGCATCCTTCACCGACAAGCTCGCCCTCGGCGAAGCCCCCCGCGACCTGCCCAAACGGCGGGTTATTGTCACCGGCGGCAGTGGAAAACTCGGACGTGCGACTGTCCGCTACCTCGCCGACGAGGGCTGGGAGGTTATCTCCGTCGACACGAGGCGTCCGCCAGGCGTGAGTGAAGATGGCAAGAGTGGGCTTGGAGGCGCGTACCGTCTTGTGGAGATTGACCTTGAGGACATGGGCAGTGTGCTCGAGACGTTCATGAGTACGGACATGGCCTACTCGGGTATTCAAGCGGTCGTACATTTGGCTGCCATTCCTTCTCCGGGGCAGACCAACGCTAGCAGACAGTTTAGGACGAACACGGTGAGGTAGGTGTTCCCCCCAGACGGAGGAATGTTCTCCTAGCGAAGCTAACGCTCATCACAGCACTTACAACGTCCTCGAAGCCTGCCGCAAGCTACGCATCAAGAACGTCGTCCTCGCTTCCTCCGAAACACTCATCGGCATCCCTTTCGACCCACATCCTCCCTCTTCGCTCCCCATCACCGAGGAGCACGAACGCAAGCCAGAGTCCGCTTACTCCCTTTCAAAGCTCATGGGCGAGACGCTGGCCGACCAGTACACTCGATGGGATCCCGAGTTGAAGGTTGTCTCGCTGCGCTTCAGCAACGTGATGTTGCCGCAGGAGTACGAGTCGTTTGAGAGTTGGCAGGATGACCCTAAGCTGCGATACTGGAACTGCTGGGGTTACATTGGTGCGTATACTGAAGTTCACCCTTACTTTGCCAAGCTAAGCTGATGATATATTCCTGTAGATGCCCGCGACGGCGCCCAATCCGTCTCCATATCCCTCGACAGCAAAATGAACGGCCACCACCAATACCTCATCGCCGCCGAGGATACTGTCATGCGTAAAAGCAACGATGAGCTCGTCAAGGCCGCCTTTCCCAACGTCAAGTACAACCCTACGGCTGGCCCGAATGACACTCTGTTGTCGATCGAAAAGGCGAAGAAGGAGCTTGGATATAAGCCAAAGTTCAAGTGGCAGGAGCAGGTTAAGGGCAAGAGCATTTAAAAGTTGCTTGATGGTATATATATAAAGTAGAACAAGCACAACACAGCAGAGATTTCAGCGGAAGCAAAGTCTCATTGGCGGAAAAGTTCTGATCACCAAAGTCTTCGTGTTGAGTGCTGATGGGCGAATGAGCAAAACGGGAGAGACACAGTCAGTAAGTGCAGCCTCTTCATGCTTTTACTTTCGCTGGTCGTCATTCCTCTTCGTCAACGATATCTGCATCTTCCACAGTAACCGCAGCCCTCTGAACATGCCGTGAAGTCCTGCTCCTCATCTTCATCCGACAGGAAGTCCACGCCGCCTTCGGTATCAGAGCCAACACCAACATCCGAATCTCCGTTGGAGCCCACATCAGAGCCATCCTGCTCATCCTTGCTCCCTGCCCACAGACGTACCGGGTCTTCGGGCAGAGCGTTCGGGAACTGCCCACCGACCTGACGGATCTCAAGCACCCCAGCAGCGCCAGAGCAGACCTCAAACCTCTCACCCGGGCGGCTGTGCGCGAACTGAACATTCTTGGTCAAAGCGGCTGAGAGCACCTTGATATCGCCCTGATGAGCCTCCTCCCATTCGAGGAGGCTCTGGCGCACACCCTGAAGCTGGACGTCGTGGAAGACACCGGATGTGTGGTTGGCCAGGATGAAGTTCGGGACCTGCCTGATCCACAGTCTGTGGATTTAGCTGGCAAGAACGTCTTCGAGGGCCAGCTGCTTCTTGGCTGAGCTGGTTTTGAGATCGGACATGGCTTCTTGGGGGACACTCTTGCCTCCCCGCAGCAGTTTCAAGCCTTCCAGGTGTGGTAGGAGTCCGATGTCTTGCGTCTGCAGGCCAGCTTCGATGTTCTCTGGGAGGTACCCATCGCCCTCATACCGCACAATGCACTGGAAGCCAGCAAAATCATACTTGATCAGCCGCTGGTGCAAGTCGGCTTCCTTGACACACTCCTCCAGCTCCGTGTACGCCTCCGGAAAAGAATGTCCGTATCCGTACATGTCCATGATCTGCTCATCCAGACTCTTCTCCCGACGGACCAGAAACAATGTATCACCGACCGTCTCGACGACGAACTAGAACGATTTATCACTTTCCCGAGCGAAGCGGAGAAGACTGCCCATCGTGCTGCCACAGGCGAAGATGTCGACTCCTTCGTCGTTGGCATGTTTCGGGGCCTGTGCGAGCACTGCTCGTACGGCTGGCTCGATTAGGTGGGTTGGGTAGTGGGTTGCGTTGATGTCGCGGAAGTAGGTGGAGGAGTCTTGCTCGAGTTGCTGAGGTGTGGACAGGGGAGCTCATTTGGGAGGTTCGCCTGTTCGCAATCAGTATGTCTTGAATTTCAAGGCCGGCGCGTAAAACGACGTACCAGGGGTGACAATCGTGGGTTGTTTCTTCTTCAACCAGCTGAATGAGACCAAGTACTGACAGTTCTGGATAGATGTCTTTGCCACTTGAAAAGCTGGAACTGACAGCAGGTCTTCATGGATGAGACTTTCGATGAGGGCGCCGCGCGGTGGTGTCGTGGTCTCGTTCGAGACCTTGTTGTCTGAACGACCGCTACGCCAGCTGCCTCTGTTGCTTCTTCCACCGTGGATTGCTGAGTACGGCGGAAGCCCGCCACGGGAGGAGTAGAACATGGTGGGTTCTGATCCTGGAGTACCGGAGCTTCAGAGAAATGGCATTGAGAATCCTAAGCAGAAGTCTCTTGAATATATGTGGCGAAACGACACTCCAGGGGCTCCAGATAATATTGCAGGTCTGAGACACCTTCCCTGCGCTTCTGCGTCCTTCCAAAATGCCCACCTATGCATTGCGTTCGTCAGTTCCAGAAGTACGGTACGGTCTTCGGGAACCTGCAGAAAACGGCGTACCCTTGCTTGGACTGGTGGGAGAGGTTTCTGACCTGTTCGATGGCAGGCATCACTCACGGACGACTGCGTTTGTGCCCTGTTCGACGCCGGTTGTCTCTAAAGGACGTGTCGCATTTGTTCGACACCTGGAAGCGAATCTCGTATGCTGCTTTCTTGGCCTCATCAAGGCGAGATACTACTTTTCGTCCACCAGAAAAACTTATCCTTGACCTAGCAACAGACACGAATCGCCTACTGATCTCCGGTTGCCAACGCTCGCGATGTCCGGACTCTTTCCAGGACCATATACAGTGCAGCTACCAAGAGTCCGGACGCAACAGCTAAAGGAAAGCCTCTCACTTCTTCGCTTGTGCTGGAGGCAATGGACAAGATGATCCTAGAGCGGACAACGAGAGAAGCAGACGCTGCAGCCGACGCCACCAAAGGGTCGGCAAGTATCGACTTGCCGATCCGAGAGCATCCGCAGCATTCGAAAGATGTTGCACATGGGTTTGTGGCTGACGTAGGCTCCCACCAAGACCTCCAGCATGACACCGCTGACCAGCAGCCACCTTGGCCACGCAGCGATCCAGAGAATGAGCCAACCAACGTTGGCCACCGCCTTTTCGTGTAACGGGATGCCGGCGTGACCGATGCCATCTGGAACCAGCTCCAGCTCTATCGCAAGAAGGCAGAAGAGGCCGAGGCAGAGCTTCAGCGCATGGTCGAAGAGGAGCGCAAACTCAGAGAGTGGCTCAAAGCCTGTGCTGATGCGAAGCGTCAAAAGGAGCTGGAGGAGCTCGAGCGGAAGCGCAAGGAGGCTGAAGAGAAGAGGAGACAGAAGGCGAAGGCAAAGGAGGTGCTCATGCGGATGGGACGTTGTCCTGTCGGATACGAATGGATCAAGCAGAGTGGAGGGTACAGGTGCGCTGGCGGATCTCACTGGATTGATGACGGACAGGTTGCGAGTACGATGAGGTAGGGCAGTCTGAGTCTGCATAGGAGCAAGCCCATTGCCATCCTGCCATGATTCTGTGCCATTTCCTACTGCAAGGCTTTCTGTCTGCGGTGCAACTAGCCAGGCTTTCCCGCCAACAAGTTTTGAATGGTGTGAGCAGGGTGCCGGTGTTGGCCGCGAGGCGCTGGGCCCATGTGTGGGCCTGTCTCTCGGCGACAGGAACGTCCATCCGTAGACTTCATGAATCGGTCGATGGGCTGTCGAACCGCTCACCCTCCAGCCGACTGCTCCTCATATTCAGCCCTCTCCAGCACCTCTCCCGCCCCCGCTTCCTTTTTCTCCACCCACACCCTCCCCAACTCCTCCTCAATCTCCTCCCTCCTCTGCCGCAAGTCCCCCGCCGCTCGCAGCCTCTCACGCAACTCATTCAACTCCTCCTCAGCACTCGCCCGCTCGCTCTGCGTGCCAATCCGCACAAACTCGTACTGGCTTGCATCCTCGCCCAGCCCAAGCGTGAGCAAGAAATTATGATATCGCTTGAGCGAGGCGCGGGTCGAAATGGTCAACAGCGTGATACCCTTCGCCTTACAGCTCTCATACAACCCTCCCTCAACATCCGCTGAGACGGCCGACGTGCCTTCGTCCACGAAAGCGTACTTGGGCTGATGGTACAGCAGCCTCGCGATGCCCATCCTCTGCTTCTCACCGCCGGAGAAGACGTCCTTCCATGCTTTCGAGGTGTCGAAGCCGCCTTCTCTGGTGACCAGGTACCCAAGCTTCGCTTCGTCCAGAACAGCCTGTAGATCTCCGTCCTGCTGACCCGCAGCGACCATCTCGGATTGTGTGTGCGGGTAGATGATCTGGTCCCTGAGCGTGCCGTTGCTCAGATAGGGTCGCTGAGGGATGAACATGATGCCGTCCTCACCCACCGCGCGAGGCCGACATGTGATGCCACGGTAGGTTGGCCACAGTCCAGCCACAACGCGAGCAACACTGCTCTTCCCTGCACCGTTGGGGCCAGTAATAAGTACGTGCTCACCAGGTCGGACGTGGAGTGAAAGCGTCTCGGTCAGCTCTTCACCTCCCATCGGCCACAAGCCTGGTGCAACAATGGGAACTTCCTCCAGTCTCACGCCATCAAATCCGAGCACCATGCTACCGCCCACGTCGGCCAAGCTGTAGGGTTCCGGGTAGCGGTTTTTGTGGGTGTAATGTGCATTCGCGTTGACACGGTGGAGGGAGGAGATGAGATTGAATACCCGTGAAGTGTACCCAGCAAGCTCGGAGAGGTCTTTGATCGAGTACATCATCCGTGTTCCAGCATCTGCGAGGTTGAGCATGATCTGCTTGTTCACGATGAACTGCTGCATGCGGGTAGAGCTCTTCTCGTTTGGATCGTTGCAACTCTCTGCCGTATCACCGTCGACATTTCGGCGAGGTGGCTGCGCAAGTTCTCCGATCATTGGCAAAAAGACTGGCAGACTGGAGATAAGGTACCCATATGCTGACCACGAGTACTTCAGGACGTAGTCTTCCAGCGTGTGGTAAGCGATCCGTGTCCGATATACGGCCTCCATGAATTGCTTCAAACTCCTGAACTCTGCGCTGAGCTGCTTCTTCTCAGTGGCGCCTCCAGCATAGAAGGCAACCTCCTCCGCATTCGCAATCAATCGTGCATGCATCGAGCGGAACTCACCCTCCTTTTGCCCTTCCTTCGCCTTTAATCTGCCGAATGGGGGCGTAGCTTTGGAAAGCAGCGATGCTGTGAAGAAGTAGTTGATGAGTAGAGCTGATATCCCGAGCCTTCCAAGCGAGCGATACAGCTGGTAGTTGAGTACGAACAGGTCGACCAAAGGCTTGCCCAGAGAGCTCATTAACGAGGCAGCCGCATCACAGAACAGAGTAACATCATGCGTGATGTACTGGTCTGCTCCTTCGATACTCCCATCCAGGTTGTGTAGCTTGTAGTACGCCAGATTGCCATTGAGATACAGATCATGGATATACCTCGTCAATCGCGTACGGAAAGCGATGGAGATCTTGCTCTGCAGAAACTTGATCTGGTGGTTGACACCACTGCCGACCAGTCCAGCCAGCAAGAACCATCCCACTTTCTTAAAGAACGAGCGGCCCTTCACTGCAACCAGGTCGCCGTTGATGCCTCCCTCGATGTGTGCGACAACAATGGTGAGGTATGTCCGGGCCAGAAGGCATACGGCATGCATCGACAACAGCGCCGCCTCTTTGCTCCGCCACCGAGGGATCATGATGGTGAGGAGGGTAGAGATCTGGTGAAGAAAGGCTTGATTGAGGCCGGGCCTGATGTGACCAGACGGGACTGCCGACCCAAGGAACAGCCGCTTGTGCGCATCGAATGTACTCTGCTTGGTTGGGTGGATGTCGACACGACTGGGCTGTCCTTTGCGGTCGACATACAGCACCCTGTCGCCGTCCTTAAGTCTTTTACTGCTGTTCAAGCGCATGAGCTGTCGTCCTTCATCTCTGCTCTTCCGTCTTTCCCTTCGCCATCTGTAGCCGCCATACCCGCCGACAACGATTGTGAGAGTGAAGGCTATCGCGACCAGTCTTCGGGCGGTTGCTTTAGACAAGCGATTACGCTGCTGCCATCTGTTGACGACATTGACAAGGCGCTCGTAGAATGTATTGAAGAGGCGTTCGGACTTCGACGGGCGGAGGGTGGATTGGGCGGCCATGTTAGATCGGAGGTGGTAGGTTGTCGATGATGTGGATAGATGCTGTCCCCATCGCGCGGTGTCCAGGTGTTCGACGATTATCCAGAAGGTGAAGTGCTCACCCACAACGATGCGGCTCGATCGCACATGATGCAAGGTTCATCGACATGTGCATGTGACTTTCATGTGATAGTTCTACATTGGGAGAGCTTCGAGCCGAGGCAGGGACTCGTTCGATCAATGGCTTTTTCCAACAACACCTCTGAGTCTTTGGACGTTTTTTGTACGTCGAACTACGAAGGGCTACCGACGGACGTGGAGACGTAGCTAAGACTGGGTATGAGAAGTGTTCATGCCGGTCTGTTGTGCATTTGCGACTTCCTCCTTTACGCTACCTGGGCATTTTGGGGCTACACGTACTGGCGGAGTTTGGCGGCATCTGAGCGCGGTGGCAACATAACAGCGCTGGAGGTACCTCGGTCCGACGAGGAGATGGGGATGTCGAGAAGGTTTACATCTTTGATCCTGGTTTCCTGCACTCCTTCCTCAGCGGCACTCTGATGAATGGGCGGCCCCAACAGCCACGAGGGCGCTTATCGGGCCAAAGACGTGTTCCTGCTCAAAGGTCACGACGGATCACGTGGATCCAGCAAGGACAATCAGGACTTAGTAGATAGGACTTCCGTATGAGGTTGCGAGCGTGCGCGGTCTCTTCAGACACTCAATTCACTCCATCCGCCTCACACCAACAACCCGACTGACCCTCTCGTCAATCCTCCTGACCGTCTCATTGAGCTCCAGCGTCTCGCAGCCATACTCATGCATCAACATCGCCATCCCACCGACCTGCCTTGCGATCCTGCGCGTCTGCAGCCTCGTCATTGCCTCCAATATCTGCTGCGCATCCGCCTTCTTCCTCAGCCATGTCCACCTCTTCCCGAGCGTGAAATCCGCATACCGCGTCCGCTGCGCCCAGAATGAATCGTCGTCTACTTCGTCTCCCTCGCCGTTATACTCGTCGTCATGATTGGTACTGCGCCGTCTACTCCCCTTCTCCGGCGGAGAAGAATACGCTGCATGATCGTAATGTGGCGGAGACAACGAGCTATTGCGCCGTCTCGCCCGCTTCCTATGCCCATTCGCGTCTCCAATCCCCGCCTCGCCTTCCGCGAGAAAGGGTCGCTCAAGCTCCTTCATCTTCTTGCACAGCTGCCTGACGACGTCGGACATGGTCTTGAGACTGACGTCGTCCAGCTCCATGCCTACATACGTCCCTCCCTCCGCTCGCTGGGCAAGTCGGCGGTGTCTTTTCATACCTTTGCGCATCATCTTCAGATTCGCGCGCTCCTCCAACAATTCTGTACGAAGATTCGTAAGGTAGGAGTGTACTTCATGATGCGCCTCGCATAATGTCTCGAGGTTGGTCCAGATCACTCGGACGAACGTTCCCAGAGTAAAAGCGAAGGAGACAAAGCCGATGATGCCGCTGGTGAGGAAGAAGGGCGAGGTGGGCGTGCCGGTGGATATCACGATGCCCATTGAGATCTTCGTTCAGGTGGTAGGCCGTCTAGTCGCGCCATGGTGTTGCTTGCGGGACCATCCCAAAAGCAGTTGCAGACTTTGATACGGAGGCGGTCAGCAAGAGCCGTACTTTGCTGGTGAAGGTCCATAACGTGGATGTGATGATGTTAGGTTCGGCATCCGCACCATTCCGGACCTTGTGCCGAGCAAAAGGCACCCTTCACCTCGGCCAGCCCCATCGGGAAGGAGGTTACAGCCAAGAACATCTCTCCCACTACCTCCTTAGACTTCGAAGGCTTTGCTTGTTCGAGGTTCTGATCGTCCTCATGCCCAGCATCATAGTCTGCAAGCTCTACCCGTTGCTTAGGCTAATATTGTAGCGTGCCCAAGCAGTGGGGGATGGAAACCTAGAGTCTTGATGGGAGAAACTTTAAGAGGTGAGGCCTTACTGCTTACTGCACGGAGAAAGTGTACCGACGACATATCCGTCATGGTATGGACAGCCTACGAGACATGTATCTGCATACGAGCGGGGCTCCATCGCTTTGGCCTTCTGTCAATTTAGCCGTATGGAAGATGTATATATCAGAATGGGGACTTTGTGTTGTACCCAATCGACACTGCTGGACCAGATGCGACAAGAACAGATCACAACACTATTCTTTCCACTCTGAAGATGAGGGCCACCGCAGTAGCTGGCCTGGCCGGCCTCGCGGGCTTGAGCTGTGCTGGAGAAACAACCTACCACAACCCGATCATCCCGGGGTAAGAGACTCCTGGACAACAGCCCTACCATGCCTCATACATTCGCTGACTGTTGTTGCAGCTTCCACCCAGACCCAAGCTGCATCTTCGTGCCAGAATGGGACAACACGCACTTCTGCGCCGTTTCCTCCTTCATCGCTTTCCCAGCCATGCCAGTGTTCGCCAGCAAGGACCTGGTCAACTGGAAGCTGATCAGCCACGTCCAGAACAGACCATCGCAGTCTCCGACGGCCGGCAACCTCACCAGAAGTTCCGGAGGCTGGTACGCTCCAACGCTGCGCTACCACGAGGGGAAGTTCTACGTGATCAATGTGGATGTGGATGCGCCGTCGCCGAGTTCGGGCATCTTCACGACCACAGATCCTTATGATGATGCGGCGTGGAGTGATCTGCTTCCCGTCGAGATCGGTGGGTACGACCCAGACATCTTCTTCGATGAGGACGGCACTATCTATTCTCAAGCCGCCATTACGATCAACGATGATCCTTTCACAACAGAGATTCAGCAGTTCACTATCGAACTTCCTTCTGGAAACACCACGCCCCGGAAGTCTCTAACCAACGGCACCAACGTTCAACCACCGGAAGGTCCGCACATGTACTACAAAGACGGCTGGTATTACTTGCTGTTGGCAGAGGGTGGTACGGCCTTGGACCATCAGGTCACCATCTCCCGCTCCCGGAAGCCCACTGGCCCTTTCAAGCTGGGTCCAGCGAACCCGATCCTCACCGCAGAACCAGACTCCCTCTTCCAGACGGTCGGCCACGCAGATCTCTTCCAAGACGCTGAAGGGAACTGGTGGGGAGTCGCTCTGTCCACTCGCTCGGGCCCGGAATACGTGCACTGGCCCATGAACCGCGAAACCGTCCTGTACCCAGTCTCCTGGCCAAAGGGCGAGTGGCCAGTGCTCGACCATGTTCGCGGCACCATGTCTGGTCCATTGCCACCTCAGAACCTCGACGTGCCTGGTACTGGCCCGTTCGTCAAAGACCCGGACCACTACACCTTCCCTCGCGGCTCACCCCTACCACGCCACTTTACCTTCTGGCGCTTCCCGCACGAGGAGAAATACACCATCTCCCCACCAGGTCACGCCAACAGCCTGCGCCTGTCTCCCTCCAATGCCAACCTCTCCCAGTTCCCGGCTTTCGACCCGCTCGCCGGCCAGACGTTTGTTGGTCGCCGCCAGGTCGATACGCTGTTTAAGTATAGTGTTGACATGGAGTTCGCGCCGTCTAGCAAGGGAGAAGAGGCTGGTGTGACCATGTTCCTGGCTTCCGAGCGCCATGCTGATTTGGGGGTTGTGTACAGCAAGGGCGCACCACACCTGCGCTTCCGTGCCAATGGTCCTGATGCGCCGGCGACAGTCGTAAAGCCGCTGCCCAAGGGCTGCGAGGATGGCATTAGTTTCCAGATACATGCGTTCAACTTCACGCACTACTCGTTCTCGGCTGGACCGCGACATGGTGGGAGGATGGAGGATATTGCTCTGGTGAACAACACGCTGTTCTCCACTTCGTTCACCGGTATGTACCGCGCGGACAAAAACGTCCTCACTCCCTCTGTGTTGGTGAGACGTTGTACTGACGGTAAGATGCTGCAGGTGTATTTGCCGGCATCTACGCCACAACGAACGGCAACGGTGAAGAGGGTACTCCTGCATACTTTAAGAACTGGCGGTACCAGGGTCTGGGTCAGGCGGGCGCCATCGATAAAGATGGGAGTGTAGAGTACTACCCAAGCAACGGGCAGGAATAAGGTGTAGATAGGACGATATAATCGCAACGGTATTCGATGGTGCTGATTCTATTGCGTGGCAAGCTACTGCAAACGTCGGACTTCTTGCGTGGGCCCTGGACGATGCCTGCCACCGGTGGAATTCCTTGCAGTACGAAGTCGATTCACACTGGCCCTAATGACCTACCACTACTCTTCACGGAGCAGTAAGACCGCTGAGAGTTGCAGCTTGGAGGAAGTCGTAGCAGCAGCAGAAGCACGCTGAGGAGCGGCTGTGTTCACAAGGACAAGGTTTCTGGAACCGGCGGATGATAGGCAGTCGAGGGCCGAGGTAGATGGTCTGATGTTGCCGATGTTGAGTGTTCAATGACACCGGAGGGTCTGAACGATACGATCGATGGACTAGGCTTCTATCTGGCTTCGGCTGGAGATCTTTCCTTGGGTCGACTGGGGTGAATTTGATCACTATTGCTTCCGATTTGTGGGGAGATTGCAGAGAGGTCAAAAGTGTTCTGCCATGTCCATTTTCTCAGATGATTTCGGAGGCTCTAGTGAGCGCTCAGAGGGAGAAGGAGGGTAAACCGCAGCCCCCGCCCTTCCTCTCCGGTTGCGATAATCTTGGAGCAATGGAAGTGCTCTTGGTCACTGTTAAGCGAGACCAAGGCTACTGCTGCCGCGTTTGTAGCATCATGTGTTGTGCACCAGCGGGCTACAATGCAAGACTATTTTGAGAGCAAGACTGTTTTGAGAGCACGATGAAGGAAAGACATGCCGTGGTATGCTCTCCATGGTGGAAGCCAGTTGATGGGAGGCGTCCATACCTCACGTCTTAAAAACGACAACCCATCGTCTTCTCCTACGTTTGGTAGTCGCTTCAAACAATTTTTGCGCTGCAACGTTGCCCGGGAACACACGACCAGCACTATGTTCGGGAGAAATACTCCAGCAGTTGAGGAGTGTAGACTCCAGACCGATGTCACCACAACCAGTTATAGTGAGTCTACTGAGTGCAGTCATCGTTCGCGATCTGGGGGGAGGTCGCCATATGAGGTTTCCGAGCCCAGAGCCTGGGGTCAGCACAGCGTCGGCTTGCGTCGGACGCAATGACTTTTCCAGTTCTTCTGAGAATTGCTCGACGCCTGAAGTATTCAGCAGGGCTGCTGGGTTCGTCCGGTGGTTCGGGATACTGCACGTCTCAGCAGCGCGGCCAAGCGGGAGGGGTCGACGAAGGATGGTTAATCTCGTTGACAAGCCGTGACTGCCCGTGAGATTCTTTATGCCGATGGGATGTTGTTCTATGGCATCGCCATCCTCCGGCTTCCTCAGGATCGAACACGCAGCTTCACCTTCACCGACCATGCTTCGGCCCTCGAGTTGGACGACATGTATCTGGTCCAAGGATGCAACGGTGATGACGGATGGTGTGCTATTCTGGAGTGATACCGTAAGCGGTGGTATTGCGCGCTGCGATGATTAGATGGCAGCCGTGTTGACGCCACTCGGAGCATCGTGAGACGGTAGAGGTGGGAGTTGGCGACAAGGCGTCAAGGCAGGCAAGGGGAACTGATATTAAGGATCTCCAGGCCCCCCCACTGTGCCCGATTTAGCTTCGGCGCTAGCAAAACATCCACCTTCGTCTCGTTCGCGACTTCATCTTCGACAACTTCGACAACAACTCCGGATCTGCAAGCAACATCGGCCGCATGCTGTCGTGACACACTTCAATCAACCTGTCACAAATACAAGCAAGAACGTGACATCCACGTCGTACGAAAGATGTCTTCCCACCGCGCCGGGCTTTGGGAAATCTGGAAGGATCCACGTGCAATGTCCGCCCACGTTTCGGCTTCTGTGGACCGCGCCCGATCTCCTTCTTGTCGCAGATCATGTTCGCCTTTCATGCCCCCCTCTGACACGCCCACCCACCTGTTCCTCGCTTCAACCAGAAGACAAGTCGCTTAAGCCTTCTCCTGCTCGAGGACCATGCCCAGAAGGGCCGTTGGTCTGTTGCCCTCCGCGCCCCATGGAAGCGCTAACAGCATGGTAAGACACGCTCCTCCAGCGTCTATTCCTACAAGATCTCATACAAGAACGGCGGCTCCCTGTTCCTTTCCCTCCATCGTCAGTTTTCGCAACCTCGCTGCTGTTTTCACAAGAGTGCTGGGTCACTCGCTGCCACTCGTTTGCCTACTCACCCAATACATTCATTTTTCTTCCGAGAAGAAAGCTTCCGCTTCAACGCCACCCAATACCCATATCATTCGGCAGTAATTCCCCCAATACTGCCTATCATGAAGTCTTTCGCCCTTGCAGCCTCCGCGGCCACCCTGCTCTCCCAGGTCCAGGCCGCGCAGTTTGTCATGTACACTGGAAGCACTGAATCCAACGGAGACGACAATGTGGTCGAACGTGCTGACCCCATCCTGGCTCCTGGCGTTCTCAGTCAGCACGTCCACCAGATCTTTGGCTCCGACGGCTTCGCTCCAGGTGTGACATACGAATCTCTCCAGAAATCATCCTGTACCAATGTCGGAGCTTCCAACGGAGACAGCAACATGGCCGACAAGAGCATCTACTGGCACCCGGCGCTGTATGCCGAGGCGAGCGACAACTCTGGCTACATCCGCATCCCCACCATGGGCCACAAATTCTACTACAAGGATGTTGGGAGCGACATGGACAAATTGGCGTCGCCGTTTGAGTTCCCCCATGGCTTCCGCATGTTGGCTGGTAACCCGTTCATGAGGGTAGCAGCCAGCGACCTGCAGCAGCAGAACGTCACCCAGTGGATGTGCCACGACTCCAGTGGAAGCAATCAAGGCACGGATGGTGGCTTCCCTGATGGCGTGACCGACTGCGACGCCTACCCCGGCTTCAACGGAGCAATCCACTTCCCGCACTGCTGGAACGGCGACGACTTCAACCCGGCCGACCCCGCTGCCCACATGTCGTACCCAGAAGGCGACGTTCAGTCAGGCCCGTGCCCGAAGAGGTGAGAAAGATCGTGCCATGAGATTATTTGGTCGAAGCCGGACTGACCTCGTTTATAGCCACCCTACGCGCCTTCCCCACATCTTCGTCGAGAACCAGTTCGATGTACACGGCATGGCCGGCAAGTTCAAGACCGATACGTTTACGCTCGCCATGGGCGACCCGACCGGCTATGGATGGCACTACGACTTCTTCAACGGATGGGACGATGGCGCCATCCCCGAACTCTTCAAGACTTGCCCACAGCCAGAGTTCGGCAACGAGGACATCGGCTCATGTCCTTCCATGAAGCGTGGTGGTGCGACCAACAAGTGCCAGCTCAAGACAACCTTCAAAGAGAATATCGATGCGCCTGGCAAGTACCTTGTCGGCTGTAACCCGGTATCGAAGAACAACCCGGCCCCGATGTACGCTACCAGCCCTCTTGGTACCAGCTCCAACCAGTGCAAGCTCGCCTCAGGCGGTCCACCACCAAGCGGACCGAGCAGCTCTTCTCCGTCAGAGTCGTCGATGGCCGCCAGTCCCAGCTCCGCGGCCGGCTCCAAGTCTAGCTCCATGGCACCTTCCGGCACCATGTCCGCCACCTACATCCAAGCTTCGAGCTCCGCACAGGCCACCAAGCCAATGGAGTCGAGCACTATGGTTACGTCGACCAAGTCAAGCAGCACTCCTTCCCCGTCGACCTACCCTTCGTCGGGCAGCGGGTCCGACATCTCTTGCCCAGAGTCCAACCACCAGAAGTACACCGTGAACGGCAAGACTTTCCGAGTACAGTGCGGTGTCGACCACCACGGCGGCGACATGAAGTCTGTCACCGCACACTCCCTGGCCGAGTGCGTGGAGGCTTGCGCTTCAACCGATGGCTGCGTAGACGTCTCACTCTCCGGCGTCGCCTGCTACATGAAGAGTACCCTCGGCGAGCGCAAGAGGAACAAGGGCGTGAATGGCGCCAGACTCGTTGACGCTACCCCCGCTCACAAGGGCGGCAAGGGCAAGCCTGCCGGATACGTGACAAACATCCATACTGCTACCGCTTCCCCAACCGCGACGGCTGCCAGCCACCACCGAAGGCATCTGGCGAAGCACATTCAGCGGTATGCTTCGTAGATTGCCTCGGGGTAGGCAGGTGTGGCAACGCCGTATGATTTCTTCTTGATGACCTGTACAACATCGGCAGCTCGAATATTTTTGGATGGGTTTGGAATATGGGTGGAGAGCATGGAAGCGCTTAGTTTTTCATTGTAAATATTGTTTACACGTGCATTCGTGCTTGACGATATCCATTCTCAACGTCCTACCTTTACATCGGACGCATGCTTCCGACCGACATGTTGTTGAGACCTCATCGAACCGGGACAAGTCCGACACATCGACCTACATCCTCAACATCCTGAAGTATACGATACAATCGTGGGCAGCATTCAATCGGTGAGTTACTCGGCGGCGGTGTCATCGACTTCTGCAACCGCTGCAGCTTCTTCCCCGCTTTCCCGCCTTCAAACAACCACTGCCACTCCACTCTTGCGGAGCTTCTTCCTCCATAAGCACGAGTTCCTGCAGTAGCGACGGCTTCATTCTGTCATCGCCGCAGCTCTTCTGCGGAGAGTGGGCGATGGCCGATGCCGCCATTCGGCCCTTCGTGGCACGACGCTGCTTATTATACAGAGAGAGAGGTAGGCGTGTAGCTTCCTCTTTTCCCTCCTTCTCATATCCTGGTATCACTTCAAAAGGCCCAGCGGGAGCATCAACCACAAGATGAGAAGCTGGAAAGAGTTCCTACTCGCAGCTGTGCCTCTGGCTGCCGCACAGTCGAGCACCACTGCACCCGCCGATGGCTTGACCACAGCTGCCGGAACACAGACTGGCTCAGTTGGCACAGCTACGATCAATGGATCACCAACAACATACTCCGTAGCCTTCACCGTGCCGGCCTCTGCAGACGTTGGTCCGAACCTCCTACCTAACATCAAGGACCCAAATGCGAAGCAAGCCCAGCAGCTGTGCCCAGGTTACAAAGCAAGCGGCGTCGAGAGGACTGCCCGTGGATTTACGGCCAGTCTCACGCTTGCTGGCGAGCCTTGCAATGTCTACGGAACAGATGTTGAGGATCTCACCTTGACAGTGGAGGTGCAAACGAGCCACCGCCTGCGTGTCAACATCGCACCAATATACCTCGACAGCTCCAATACTTCGCACTTCATTTTGCCCGAGAATCTGGTCCCAGCTCCGAAAAACGGGGACCTCCCACAAGACATTGACCTGGAGCTGAGCTGGAGCAATGAGCCTTCCTTCTCTTTCGTGATCGTGCGCAAGTCGACCGGTGATGTGCTGTTCGATACCCGAGGCAGCGTCCTCGTCTACGAAAACCAGTTCATCGAGTTCGCATCACAGCTTCCGAAGGACTACAACCTGTACGGCATGGGCGAGCGCATTCACGGCCTTCGGCTCGGGAACAACTTCACCGCCACCTTCTATGCTGCAGATGCTGGAGATCCGATCGATGGCAATATCTACGGTAATCATCCTTTCTATCTCGATACTAGATACTTCGAGGTAGATGAGTCTTCTGGCGAGCGCACGATGGTCACCACGCAAAATGTATCTGCGACTGGCAACTACGAGAGCTACAGCCACGGTGTGTATCTACGCAATGCTCATGGAGGTGAAGCGCTTATGCTGCCATCGAACTTGACCTGGCGTACGCTTGGTGGCTCGATTGACCTGTACGTCTTTGACGGACCCACAGCGGAAGATGTCACGAAGCAGTATCAAAGCGGAGCGATTGGTCTACCGAAGATGGTAAGGAGCATATTGTTCAATGTAATCAAGGGTGTCGCTGACTATTGGAATCTTCTTCTCAACAGGAACAATACTGGACGTTCGGCTACCATCAGTGCCGGTGGGGTTACAAGAACTGGTCGATGGTGGAGGATGTCGTCAACAACTACCGAGCCTTCGACATTCCTCTGGAAACTGTCTGGACGGACATTGATTACATGTTCCAGTACAGGGATTTCACGAACGATCAGAACACTTTCCCATATGACGAGGGCGAGGAGCTGCTTTCACGATTGGCGGCTAATGGACAACAGTATGCCGTTCCCCGCGCAAAAAGACCATCGCAAGGACTGAGCTGACCCTACCTCTAATCATCCAGCTACGTTCCCATTGTTGATTCCGCCATCTACATCCCCAACCCAAACAATGCTTCAGACAACTACTCATCGTACACTGATGGTCACGAGCGCGGCGTCTTCCTCACGAATGCCGACGGCAGCGAGTATATTGGTTCAGTGTGGCCAGGGTGAGTCCCTCCTCACCTTTCGGTGGCTTTGTGTTCTTAACCTCCAGCCAGGTACACCGTCTTTCCCGACTGGCACGCCTCTGATAGCGTATCATGGTGGTCAGATCAGCTGAAACAGCACCACGATAACGTGCCCTGGTCTGGCATTTGGATTGACATGTCTGAAGTCTCATCGTTCTGCATCGGCAGTTGCGGTACTGGTAACTTGTCTTTGAATCCAGTCCACCCGCCCTTCGTGAGAACGCACATACATCACACCGACTTGACGCCGCTGACTCTGCGTCACAGGGCCTGCCAGGAGAGGAGGGCAGCAAGATCTTCACCTACCCCGAGGGCTTCGACAAGACCAACAAGTCCGAAGCAGCAATGGCTTCGTCGCTCTCTGCTTCACAAGCCAGTGCGGTGGCGAAAGCGACTCCTCCGAGCACAGCGACCACACCGTACTTTGTTCCTACGGTGACTCCGGGCGTGCGCAATGTTGAGAATCCGCCTTATGTGATCAACAAGTGAGCATACACTGCTTCTGGGCTCTTCCATTCCGACGCTGACAGTGTATCTCCAGCATCAACGGTGCCTTGGGTGTCCACGCCGTCTCTCCTAACGCCACGCACGTCGATGGAGTTGAGGAGTACGATGTGCACAAGTGAGGACGCCCATATTGTGTCGTTGCTGGCTCAGGCATACTAACATGTTGTAGTCTTTACGGTCATCAGATACTCAACGCCACGTACTACGGTCTGCTGGATGTCTTCCCTGGCAAGCGGCCCTTCATCATCGGCAGGAGCACCTTTGCTGGAAGTGGTACCGTTGCTGGGCATTGGTGAGTCGACGTCTCAAAAGACGACGCGAGCGCAGACTGACCCTTGCCCTTTCTTCCCACCAGGGGCGGCGACAACACCAGTCTGTTTGCATACATGTACTTCTCCATCGCTCAGGCACTCAACTTTGCGTTGTTCGGCATACCAATGGTAAGTAGTCTGTCTCTTCCGCCGAGATACGGCTCCCTGTTGACGTCGAATAGTTTGGTGTGGACACTTGCGGCTTCAATGGCAACTCAGATGAAGAGCTTTGCTCCCGCTGGATGCAGCTATCTGCCTTCTTTCCATTCTACCGGAATCACAATACTCTATCGGCAGACTCCCAAGAAGCTTACGGTACAGTCCCACTTCTACTCATCTTACAATCAAGCTTGGACTGACAGGTGTTCTAGTCTGGGCATCCGTTGCAGAAGCATCTCGCAAAGCCATGGCCATTCGCTACAGCCTTCTCCCATACATGTACACTCTCTTCTACCTCTCTCACACGACCGGCAGCACCGTCATGCGCGCCCTCTCGTGGGAATATCCAAACGACCCTACCCTGGCCGCAATTGACAACCAGTTCCTCCTCGGTCCGAGCGTAATGGTCGTTCCAGTTCTGGGCCAGGGCATGGACTACGCCAGAGGCGTCTTCCCCGGTATCGTGCAGGGCGAGGTTTGGTACGACTGGTATACGCAGGAAGTGGTGTCCGCCAGACCAGGCCAGAATGTGACCATCCCGGCGCCGCTTGGCCATATCCCGGTGTTCATCCGCGGAGGATCGGTATTGCCGCAGCAGGAAGCTTTGTACACGACGTTGGAGTCCAGAAACTCGAGCTGGAGTCTGCTCTGTGCGCTCGACGCCAATGGCGCTGCAACAGGACAGCTCTACGTCGATGATGGGGAGAGCCTAGTACCGGAATCGTCGCTGTTCGTCGACTTCGCTGCGAGCGAAGGGAGCCTTTATGCCAGCGCTCGGGGTCTGTATAACGACACCAACGCTCTCGCTAACGTGACGATCATGGGGGTTGCAAGTGAGCCGCAAAGTGTGACGCTAAACGGAGAGGACGTGGGCAATGTGGCGTATGACAGTAGCAGCAAGGTGTTGAAGCTGACTCAGCTCACGACTACTCCGGCGTGGATGGAGGACTGGGTGTTGAGCTGGGCTTGAGTGAGAGCCAGGGGTGTTGTGGTACGAAGGCCAGCGGAAATCTTGACGGTTTGAGGTACCTCCAACAGAATCCGGATGGCCGCTTTATTAAGTGTCCTGTTCAACCGTGAAAAGTAGTTTCGTTCGTTTCGTTCAAGGGTCGAAAGTGTTTGTAAGAGCATCCCTCCATACTTTGGACGAGTCACGTGCCTCTTCGCTTCCGAGCTGAAGCAGATTGAGATTCCAGATTAGCTCCTACGTTGCTCGTTCTCCTCTTCCCATCTGTTTGCCTTGTGCCCGCGCAGCACCTCGTGTTTTCTGCCATCATGTCAGCTTGGCGAGAAGACATGTCGATGCAGACTGGCTGGCGGCCGCGTGCATGAGCATCTCCGATGGTCGAGGCCGGTCTTACACGGTACATTGTCTGGTACTCGACGGATACCTGCACCCCAGTCAGACCACGTATCGCTTATGGTGACAGAAGCAGCCTCAGTAAGCATGCTCATCATACGACCTTGATTGGGACTTCAGCCGTCGGGAGGCCTTGAGATCGCTACAGCTGAAGGAATCTTACCAGCCAAAGCCTGCCGGCTGCAGATTTCTACCCAGAAGTAAGAGCTGGCTCGCCTGAGCAGCATGAGATTCCCGGAAGTCAGCTATCATGCAGGTAGGCTCCCTGTCACGCCAGCCTCTCCAGATGAAGGTGAGCAATGGTAACGAATAAGTAACCCGGTCCTGGCAAACCACCCGCATCTTCAAGGGTCAAGCTGAGCGTGATTCCGCCATCTTCACGCCATCCCTACTCCCCTTCCACCGCATATGGACTCAAGCGAAATGCTCACGAGGGTCTTCAGCTGACCACTACTGAGCGTTGTACGAGGCTTTTGACCTTGCAGAGATCTCACTCCACGGCTACTATAAGTATTCGAGCATTTCCCAGAGTAAACTATATCCGGGGACATACCGTACTTGCGTTTGTGGCAAAGTCTTCCGTTTCATAAACAGTACTAACAACAACCATGCCAGCTCAAGTTGTGCTCGATGGAGCGCCTAACGGTGCTCCCAACGGATCGTCCAGCGGAACACTCAACGGAGCATCCAACGGAACACTTAACAGCCCACCAAGCCCAGAGCATACGCCGTCACCGGGGAGACCTCGCCATGCTTTAATCGACACCGAGGGGTTTCAATGGGGCGAAGTGGACGACAAGTTCATGCGTCTCGCAGGGCACCATGACGCCGCTCGCGTGCTGGCCGCCAACCCAGCGGCAGCAGCGCTTGTAACGCCACCAGCCATCCAGTTGCCACCACTCGGCCCGCTGGCACATTTCAAGGGATCCTTTGCTGGGACTGGGATGAACCTCATCTTTCGACCGACCAACAGCTCGACCAAAATCCCAAGTCCATTTGTACCTCCGACACCAGCTTTCCCTGCAGTACCCAATGACTCCATCTTGGAGATCAATCTTACCGAGGAGACACTCTCCTTCGCTGACCCTCTCGGTGACGTGCCTAATCGTGGCTTCAACACTCAGCGGGACATCCATCTGAACGGGGTGCCATACGTGCAGAGCGTCAACGACGTGACCAACACCGGGACCGGACGGGCTGATGCGCCACCTAAAGGAATCCACTTCGAGCCCGGAGTCTGGATGCACGTGCCTGCCAGCACTGATCCGACAGGAACAGCAACACTGAACCGCATGGCTTCGATCCCGCATGGTACCACTATCAACGCGCAAGGCGTCTCTCCCACGACTGCCATCGCTGGACCGCCAAACTTCAAGTTGCCGCAGAACCAAGTCGACATTACGCCGTTCAAGATTGGCGATCCTGGCAATCGGCTTAACGACGTATTTCCCTCACAAAAGGTTGAATCTGTTCATTCTGCCAGGCTGCCGCAGGATCTCACCAAGTTTGTCGGTAAGTGATCTCAGCCAGGACAACAAAGATGTCAACCGACGAAAGACCATTCAAGGCGTACTGACACTCTGCCAGAGGAGGGAACCATCACGCAAGATATCCTGGACAACCCAAATGTGGTGCTCGCGAAAGCCATCGAGGGCCAGAAGATCACAGAAACCATTGTGTTCAAAGTCACTGCAGGGCCCCAAGGCGTCGCCAGCACGACTACTACTCCTAATCCCATCGGAGGCGGAGGTCCGGCGAGCATCGACTTCTTGAACGGAGATGACAAGGGTGACGGACCGAATGCTGATGTTCCGTTCATGTCTGCAACTTTCTGGATCGAGACCGTGGAGCAGCAGGTCACGCTGCCGCCCTTTCCTCCAGGCCGGCAAGGACCGGTCAGGGTGAGGCCGCGGACCGCAAATGCTCGTGTGCCTGCTCCGACTTTCCTCGTCCACCCGCCAGCTCAACACATCACCACTCCACGGACCGTCGCGGTCAAGTCGACGCAAATCCAGTACTCGCAGACGGTGTTGTTGAACTTTGCAACTCTCTCATGGCCGCACGTCAGTGTTGGTACTTTGGTCCCGTCGGATGACGTGACGGCGACGATTCATTTGTGAGGGAGGCAATCGAGATAGCTAACGGCCGGGTCTGATGCTTGGGCGACTCTCAATTGTATCTCTTTCTCACCATCTCGCCAGTTCAGTTCTGGTAATCATACACAAGCTTCACCTTCTCCTGCTTTCCTTCCTTCTTTACAACGACACGGCGAACGAACATGCGCTGCTCTTTGATCTTCTCAAATCCCCAGATCTCAATAAGGTATCAGCATATGCTCTCTTCAAAGGATCGACCAATGCACAAGCCATACCTGATGAGCAGTCCAACCCGCCTTGGCGCTCTCAACATACGCCTCCACCTGCTCCACACCCTCATCTAACCACCCTCCGGCAAAGAAGTCGCCATCATAAACATCGCCAGGCTTAGACCACTTTGCCTTAGCCTTCACACGGCCCATCACCGGATCCTTCGACTCCCGCATTTGCCAATCGGTAATCCATTCTTCGTTGACAGCGGGGATGTTTGCGGTCGTCTTCTGGTCGATGCGGTATTTCGTGTTGTCGCCTTCTTTGGACTGGGATACTTCGAGGTAGACTGGAGCATGTGCGATGGCTTTCCGCATGAGGCTATTGAAGCCTTGCTGAGAATTCATGAGTAGCTGCTGATGCGTTGTATCCTGATGGACGTACGATCTCGAGTACACCGTCAACATCGTTTGATAGCTCCCGGTTCTCCAAACTGTCAGCTTTCTATTGAGAGAAGACGCCGTGGTCCAGTCTCACCATCTTCCATTTGCCGGAGAGGTCCTGCAGGCTCTTTTCGCTTGGTGCTGCCATGTTTCAACGTCGGTATCGCAACTTGATTATACCAGACAAACGTTATTCTGCTGTCCTCAACAGCGAAGTCAAGATGATCTCCATGCTTGCCGAAATGAGGCTTCTAGGATTTCGAGGTGGTTGTTATGACGAGATGCATGCAGGTACCGTTTTAGCTTGAAAAGCTTATTCCGCATGATGTTCTGCCATGGCCAGCGTTGAAGAGTTCACGATGTGGCCCACCATATGCCATGCCGTCCTAGACCTCAGAGTTGTAGTCTCTGTGGTTCCATTGCTACCGAGAATACCTTAGTTGTTCTGCCAGGAAGGCTCAGGTTTGCTCCTCCAGCTCGAACGTTACTACGGACCAAGGCATGCTGTCAGTCGCGCTGTCCTGCCGGGTCCGGAGACCCTTCACGCCCGAGTATTTTTGTGTATCATTGGCCTTTGGCGTTTCCCAGCCTTAAATCTTACAGACCGACAGGAGCGTTCAACGTTCAGTGTGTGATGTCGGCGCCTACGGGCTTTGGGAAAAGCCCGACCGCGGGGTTCGTTGATTGATAAGTATTTCAGTTCTACCTATCCATTCGCGAGAGCAAACCATCGAGGACATTCCCGTCGCTGGAGCAAGATACATCAAGGAAAATGGACAGCAAAGGGAAGACAGCGAGGGTAGCGCCAGGCGACCTGCAAGTCATTGGAGTAAGCCGACGACTTCCCTCAAGCACGCCATTCCGTACCAATCAAACACCCTGCTGACCTACTTTTACTGCTCAGGCAGGTCTGCCTCGTACGGGAACAACGTCGTTGTACACGGCTCTGGAAATGCTTGGCTACGACCGATGTCATCACTTCAAGAACAGTATCGGTGGGAACTGGTTTCCGTACACCCAGTCGAGACAATGGCAAAAAGCAATGCAGACCGACGATGCCGCAACCAGAAGGAAGATCATCAAGCAGATCTACAGAGACGCGGGCTGCCGCAGTGCTGTCGACTATCCCTCGTCTGCGTTCATAAGTGATCTGGTCGAGATCTATCCAGATGCGAAGGTCTGTTGAAGCATTCGCTGATCGGTTCATCGCTGACATTCCCAGTTTGTACATAGCGTACGGTCTTCGCCGCTGGCGTGGCGGAAGAGCTGGAATAGCACCCTCGACCAGATATACGGTCGAATGATGTATTGGTCGTGCTTCCTCATACCGTGAGTCCGCTCTTCCGAAGAGATGTCCACATTCCTGCCTGGAGCGGCAGCAAATACGGTAAGTTTGCCGTGCTCTTGACTGACCATCTTCAGTCACATGCAATGGGCGCTCTTTCCAACCATGTACGGGTTCCTGACGTGGGACGAGAAGAGATTGGGTACCACACTGAACGGCGCGGACGACGACATCACCATGTACGAGCGCCACAACGAGTACGTCCGCAAAGTCGTGCCCAAAGATCGTTTACTGGAGTTCGAGCCGAAGATGGGCTTTGGACCGCTGTGCAAGTTCCTGGAGGTACCAATCCCGACGGACGACCAGGGCAACGAACTGCCGTATCCGCATGTGAACGATACGAACGAACTCCAGAAAGGCATCAAGGTCCTCCGGTTGGTCGGGCTCGTCCACTGGGCTTTGCTGGGTGGCGCGGTCTGGGGGACAGGTAAAGCATCAGGGTGGTGGTAGGGCCAGCAAAGAGGGAAGGGGAGGGAGGATAGATGATTAAGTGCTGTAGGCTGAATGATTCTGTTGATGTAGTGTAGTGGATGACCAAGGCAAGCGTTTCAACAAAACATTTGCATGGCTGTTCGTTCATGTGTCTGTTTGTGGTGAAGCCATTATTTCTGACCTCCGTCGATCATCTTTTTGGTGAACATTTTCTCATCAACCGCCGATTGTGACAGCCTTGCCTCGAGCTTGCTAGCCAGATGAAGTTGGGTCTCTCTCCTGACTCCATCCATAGCTTGGCGACCGCGTCACATCCGTGACTCCGTAGGTACATCTTGTTCGCACGCCGGAGGACTCTCCGGCGACCAAGTGGGAGAGAAGATGCGACGAAGCCCCAAAATATCGCCATGTGGATCTCGCGATTGGCGCCAGCCGGAAGGGGTAATGAGCCAGAAGGATTGCATATCGTGAAGATCGCCCGCATATTCATCAAATATATCAAACAGTGACGCACGAAGGGCTGTTACTGTCCGAGTCCTGGTGCACCTTTTTTCATGCTCTCCAGTGTCCATGATGCTTGTTGTCCATTCAATGTCTGAAGGAAGCGTTTTGTATTGAACTCGTATCTTCCCAACGTTTACGAAGACGCGAGTCGCCAAGAATGTCCACGTTGCCTGGCTGTCGCGGGACGTGCTGCAGGGATCAGCCGAGAGTCTGTGGTGGCTTCGCGTTTGTATGAGCCGGCCCATTCGGCGACGACGAGGAGCACGACATTTCCGTCACACTGATGGAATTGGGAAAGCCAACCGTTGTCCACGTCTCTTGTGCTTCCGGTGACTCGTCGGGGATCGCAACAAGACACCCTTCGCGGTGTGTACTTAATAAGCAGAAAACAATCCAGACCTCATATACCGTACCTGCCGTTCCTTCCAGGCAGCAGCATTTCACTGCAGACCGTCTCTTCCTTCACCCGTACCGTGCAACGTGCGGGCGGCTGGCCGTCATCCTTCGACGGTTGACGAGGTTCGACCTCGTGTTGCCAGAAGGAGGGGGCTGAGTGGTACAGTACATGTACGGCAGCCGTGCGCCTCGACAGCACGTTTGCTGCACGCTTTTGATGGAACGGGGGGGCTTTTTGATGTACTTCACCGTTTTACCCGCCAACGATGAACTCAGACTCGACCGCTCCTGCTTTATCTCGACCTCACCTCACCCCCGCCCTCGCCCTCCGCGAAGGTTTCTGACAGAGTTTGAGGTGGAATGGGCCACGATCTGGAGATGATGTTCCCTCTGCGCCCAGGACGCCACCGCCGCGGCCGCACCTGCACCTGGACCCTTGTCGCGGCTTGCCTGACGATACTCGGCCTGGTATTACTCTTTCAACCTGCTGCTCTCATTCTTTCACCTTTTCGCGTCAGGATAGCAGGAATACCACCGCCACCACCACCTCCGCCAGTGTACCATGAAGAGTCGCCTCAAATCATCCACACTCGACCAGAATCACTAGACTCGTTCTGTGCCGGCGCACGCGGCTTCCGGATAGACGACCCGAACACAGAAGATCTCCCTCACCTAACCTTCAACCTATCCAATGTCGACTATCCCAAGCCGACGTATGGATCTTACGACGAACTCGGCCTGGAGAAGACGTGGATGACCTTTTCCCAGCGGTGGTCACCATACGGCTATCGCGAAGATGACAACTCCTACCCGCTCTCGAAAGTGGACTGGGGCTCCGTGAACTGGGGCCAGCTTCAAGACCAATGCCTTGACTCCAACTCAGGCGCCTTCACCGCGCAGACCGGCGCACCTCCGCGCTTTCGCTTCTTCGGCGACGGCGACCTTAAAACCAACCGCAGTGAGTTGGGCACCACTGGACGGCAAGCCATAGTCCTCCGCACATGGTCCACCTACAAGTACACGCCGGAAGATTTCTGGAACGTGCGCTCGATCATTACGGAGGCTTCTCTCGCCACCAAAGGACAGTACACGGTCTTCCTCCTCGTTGACTTCAAGCACGATGATGGCTCCTTCATCCACGAGAACGACGATCTCTACCGTGCGGCTCTCCGCGAAGCCGTGCCGAAGGAGTTTCGGGACATCGCTGTGCTTTTCGACCAAAGCTTGCAGCGGTCTTGGTACGAGAAGGTTGGTGAACATCGGCCTGTGTGGCAGATCATGCAGCCTTTGGAGTTGTTTGCATACTTCTACCCGGAGTTTGACCAATACTGGCAGCTGGAGATGGATGCGCGCTTCACATCTCATGCCGGCAAGATGCTTCAGGCCTTTGACGCTTTCGGTGCCAAGGTGCCCTACAAGCAGTCGCGCGAGCGAGCCAGCTGGACATACATACCATCAATACATGGTACTTACCAGGAGTTCTCGGAGAAGCTTAATACGACACTGGAGGGCAGCGCGACGACCTGGGGCCCTCTCAACATCTCAGACATACCAAACCCACTCGGATACCACCCCACGATAAACGCGACGGACGACAAGTTCGAACTTGGTGTGGGATCACCGGCGGAGCTGCTCCTTCTTTCGCCTTTATTTGACGTCAGGCGATTCAACAAATACGAAGACTGGGTCTTCAAGGACTGGGCACGTGGCTTCAGCACGAACGTACCTCGCTTTTCCAGCGCCCCAGCACAGGCGAGGGCATCGAGGACTCTGCTGCATTCCATCCACGAATCGCAGCACACTAGAGGTCTTCGGGTCCCTTCAGAGGCCACTCTTCCGAGCTGGGCAATGTGGCACGGTATGAAGATTGTCCAATTGCCGAACCCCAACTTCCAGTGGCCCGTCCGCAGCATCCGCGAACTGGACATCGTCTACAACGGCGGCTCGCTGCAGAGGTTCAAAGATGGCATTGCCAACGGAGCGGCGCCATACATGAAGTCTGTGATTGAGTTCTACGAACGACCGCGCACGTGGGAGTGGCAGTCGTCGCTCGTTGATCCAGTCTTTAGACACTGGATCGAAGGCGACAAGGAGCCGACCGTTCCTGAGGACGCAGATTCAGACGTCGTGGAGCAAACAGTAGAAGACTCCACCGACGGCTTCACTTCCGGTGGCATGGGTAGCGCAGGTAGCGCATTACCTCAGCCGAAGGGAAGAGGCCTGAAGCCTGCTGCCCTGGGCTATGTGCCAGAGGAGCTCCCGCCGTTCATGGTAGAGGTTAACGGTCAGGTCTTCTGTCCGAACTTGATCATGCATCCGCGGAAGACCAACCAGAACCCGCCTCCCATGGCGCCTTCGTGAGACATGAATCTTGTTTTGAGAGTACTGGAGCACACACGTGCACAACATTGTACTTGGAAGGTCATTCTGCTCGGCTTGTTCCAACGAGATGGTACTACCGGCGAGAGCAACGAAGCCAAGAGGGCAACGAAGCAGTTCAAGATGGGACTATAGAGGAGACCAGTAGGAGGACGGTTGCCATCGACGGAGCGGAAGAAGGGTTACTTTGCAAGATGAGACTTGCCTGGTGGTGAAGGCGTACACTTGGACGACAGCATGATACCCCACAGAACTATTGCTTTCTGTTGCTTTTTGGGAAGTGCACACAGGGATGGAAGAATCACGGCCGGCGACGTCCAAAGGATGGGGAGCCACATGACTGTAGTAGTATAGAGCAACAACAGTGCAGATGCATACCAATACTTCCTCTGATCTCATTCATCCAGGCTATCCGTCGTCTTCATCTGATGATCAATGTAGAGCTAGACATGTGACGGTGCGGCCAAGACTCGATACGTCAATTCACGTCACGCGAGATCGACACCTGCATGTGAATGCACAAGTAAACAGGCAGGACAGGCTTCCGGGGGGGCACGCGACCATGATACACGAGCGATAGGCGCCGTACTACTTTACCTTTTGCATTCTCCTCCAGCATCCTATCCTCATGCATCCATACCACACATCCCAATAACCACAGTATCCATCAAGGCGACATGGCGCAGGCACGTACACGCAAAGGCCGCGCGCGGGCAGACTTGTCCGAAAGCTGGATCGACGCCGACGTGCATCACGAGGACGACGATGAGGAGTGGGAGGCAGAGGAGGACATCGAAGAGGAGGAGGCAGAGGAGGACAGCAGGCATGGGCGCAAGAGAGACATGCGAAGCACCCGCTTCGACACCGCCAGCGACGCCCCGCGGAAGCGCATGACAAGATCGAGCGCTGGGCCAGAGCTGTTGATGCCGTCGTCGCCGAATGCCGCCGCTGGAGGGGCGAACGGGCATGCGAAGAAGAGGGATGCCACGCCGCGGTTTCGCCTCAACGAGCGCAGCATGACGGCTGGCCCGCCCAAGCCAGCAGTACAGAGCACGAGCGATAGGACAACGACGCCGCGCTTTCGTATGAATGCCCGGAGCATGACGAGCGATGCTGGAAGCTCTGCTCGACATGATGGCGCGGACGAAGAAGACGACGACGAGTCGCTGGCAGGGTACGCTCGCATGGCATGGCGACGGATCCTGGCGCCTCTACTCTCCTACGTGGGAGACATTGTGGGCCTGGTGCTGGGGAATGCGAAGCCGCTCATCGCGTACATCCTCTTCGCCTACTTGATCGGAGCGGCGCTCGTCTTCAGCAGCGGCTTCCTCACCAACAGCATCAACAACGCCCTTTCACCCATCTGCCGCATCCCAGGCGTGACGACCTTCTTCCACCCACCCTTCTGCCGGTCAAGCAGCGCAGGCGATCTCGAGGGACCGGCTGAGTTTGACAAGCTGGTACAGGCGCAAAGCCAGTTTGAAGATGTGCTCGCAGCCTCTTCCACTGGCGCAAACCTGCCCTTGGATATGAAGCGCAGCGAAGCCGGGATCCGCGACCTCAAGCACGTTGTTCAGTACTCCACTCTTCCTTCCCGCAACGAGCTGGTCTACGAATTCGACGGCTTTATCAGCACAGCTCGCCAAGCCGGGAGCGACCTCAGCAAGTTCAACTCCCGCATCGGCCGTGCCGTCGACCACATCCTTAGCACAAATCGCTGGACCCTTGGTGTAATTGACGGGATACGCTCTGAAGAAGCCGGCAGCGGCAGCATCAGCAAGTTCTTCAACTCCCACCTCAACATCTTTGCGCCATTCCAGCCAGTCTCACTTTCCCGAGATGTGCTGCTGGATCAATATCTACGACACACCGGTGCGGTCGAGGAACAAATCGTCGCCCTGATCAACGAGGCGCAGGCTCTGCTTGGTATTCTCGAAAACCTGGACGGTCGTCTCGAAGTCATCGCCGACATCTCCACTCGCGATGGGCTGAAAGCGCGGGACAACAAAGACGAACTCTTCGCCTACCTCTGGACCAAGCTCGGCGGCAACCGCTCCTCCGTCAAGAAGCTGGAGGCCCAGCTGCAACTTCTGCGGGACGTTGGGCAGTACAAGCGCATTGCCTGGGCGCACGTCACGACCACGATTGTCAAGCTGCAGGCCATCCGGGACAATCTGGAGGATTTGCGGGAGAGGGTGGCGATGCCGGAGACGGTGGGCACGGATAAGGTGCCATTGGAGGTGCATATCGATGCCATCAATCTTGGGATAGAGCGGTTGGAGGAGCAGAGGGATACGAATCGAAAGGTGGAGGCGGACAATTTCCAGCGTGTGTTGGATAGAGCGAGGGAAGGAGATGGGAGGATGATTGGTGGGAAGGAGCTATGAATTGGAGAGATGTCTAGGATCTGGTTTTGGCAATGGAGAGATTGGATGATACCCCATGCGTACGTTGTTGACTTGAAGACTAAATCAATCTTTGGATAGAAGCAGGATGGTGTTCACTCTTTCTCAATGTGCACGGTGGTATCGCATTCACGTTGGTTGGCCACAGTCGACAGACACGCTGCAGAGATCCGCCTGCTCTCCGTCTCCGACAGACCTGGGCCGTCCCATAACACTGGTCACGACCGTGTGAAATCCTCGTCTTCATCGAGCACAAAGAGGCGGCGTAGAACGCAAGAGACTGGTGCGATGGTCACAGCTTGGTGGTAGGATGAAGAAGGGTAGCATTCACTATCTACAATCATTGAAGTAAGACCTCCATGCACCAGGATCCGCAGTCTTTCTGCTTGCGCTCGGATCGTCTCAAAACGCCTCATGTCCACCAATAGCTCACCACTCTTCGCACAGCTCGCTGGAGAGGCCTCGCACATCCTTCGCATCAGAAGAAGAGATGCGAAATCCCATCTCTGTGTACCTCACCATGTACTGGCGTCCCTCCCCAGACTCCTCCAAGTCGAGCACACGATCGCGGATGTCTTTCACCGCATCGCAGAAAAGTTTCAGTGCATCCTTCCTCACCTCCGCGAAACTGCCTTTTCCGCTGCCAGCGGCAGTCTCGTTGCACTGCCAGAGGTTGCGCTTGTCGAACACAGCCTCCTTGCTCTCTTCTTGTCCGGTCGTGGTGGAGGGGAAGTGCTCAGCAGAGACAAAGTACGACGCTCCGGACAGGTACGTCTCACGTAACTTCGCATCGAGGCGCGCATTGTACCTGCCACCGTGGGGCTTTTTTGCTGTGGTGAGCTCAAGTGTCACCGATAGCGGAAGTAGTGCTCCGCCGCGCGTGATGGTCATGTTGTCGACTTGCTTTCGCGAAGAATTGTTGCGAGGCTCCAGCTTCCCGAGTGCCCTCTCCAGATCCAAGTCGCGCTCTTCGACATACGCATCTGCTCCGTGGCGCATCAGGACTCTCAGAGACCCGACATCGAGTTGTACGACCCGGTGGTGGCCCTGGCAATCCTCAAAACCCTCATGCGGTTGCATGGACACTTTCTCGAATTCTTCGCGGTATCCAGCCTTGTTCTTGCCTTTGGTGACGTCGGTGCGAACGAAGACCAGCGTCTTCGAGCCCACGAATTGGATTCCGAATTCGAGATCCCTCGCTTGATGCTCGCGACCTTCACTTTGAAGGATACAGAGCTCGAGAATGGCGGCCAAGATGCTGCGATCTGTGACGATGTCGAGCCATTCGAGACTGAAATCGGGCTCGAGCGCCAGGACTGCACGAATAGCTGGATCCATGGGTGCGTCGGGCCAGCGGCTAGCATTTTGATCGATGAAGCGGGTGCCGGAGTCTGGTGATATCGTGACGCTGTCTGAGATTCCGACCCATTTGGGTGGCATGCCTGGTGGGCTGTCAGCATTTGCAACCTCGGATTGCAGAGCAACAGTGAGTATACCGGGCACCACAATGGTAGTCCCCTCCGCGCCCACGCAACTGTAAGAGGCGATGATTTGGACTCTTCCCATGATGATATAGTGGTGTGTTGTTGAACGTATAGATTTGTAGTGCGGTTCGGAATTTGCAGAAGTTGTGTCGGGAACAAAGGAATTTTGACAGAGCCGAAAGTCTCATACAGCGCGACAGCATGTGACCACAAGCTAAAGCCGATTGAGCTCATTATTGAGTCTTGTCACATGATTGAGGCTCAACTGAAGGCTCACCTGAAACTCACTGGAAACCACGCGTGATGTCCGATGCCTTTCATTTCTTCGTTACAGCCTGCTGGGCATCCTGCTTCCGCCGTCCAGCCTGATAACCTCACCATTCATCATTGCATTCTCGACGCAGAACCTCACTGTGCTAGCAAACTCATGAGCCTGTCCTGGCCGCTTTGGAAACTCGAAAACCTTTTCTAGACTCTTCCTGACCTTGTCGCTCATTTGTGCAGTCATGGCGCTTTCAAAGTAACTCGGCGCAATAGCATTACACCTGATCCCATTCTGCGCGAGATCTCGAGCCAGCACAAGCGTCATACTCCGAATCGCCCCTTTCGAAGCAGCGTACGCAACCTGACCTGGCTGCCCATCAAAGGCCGCACTGCTCGAGACCAAGACCAAGACGCCACGCTCGCCATCTGGTTGCGTGGGTGAGTTGATGGTCATGTGCGGCAGACATAGCCGCAGGAGGTCCAGCACGCCGCGGAGGTTGATGTTCAGCACGAAGTCGAGCGCCGACATATCGACAGGCTCATTGTTCTTCCCTACCAGCTTCGCAGGAAAGCCTACGCCTGCAGCGGGGATGACGCCGCCGATGGGAGCATTCGTCTGTTTGGTCCAGGTGGAGATGTGGTTGACTGCGGCTTCCAGGGCGGTCGTATCGCGAGAGTCGGCTTCGTAGAATTTGACGCGCTCACCCAGCCGTTCGACAGTCTTGCTGCCGGTCTCTGCATTGATGTCGATGATGGCAATGTAGCCGCCGTGGGCGTGGAGATCTTCAACTGTGGCCAGGCCCAGACCGCTCGCGCCACCGGAGACGATGAAGGTGCGGTCTTTGATGTGCATCTTTGGCCTGTGAATGCGACGGGCGTGTTAGAGATGGAGTCGATAGACAGCCCGTAGATGCACTCCGTAACACTTGACCAGATTCGCTGCCGCGTACTGATCCCCTTCTCCTCCGCAGCAGTGATCACAACCCGCGACGACGATGGCAGATGCTCTATTCAGACCGTCTCGATGGGGATGTAGGAGCAAGAAGGGAAGTGAACCCACATCAACATTCACATGTAACTTCCACGCTTGGCTTCCCCGCGAGCCACCCGCAAGAGCCTCATCTTCCAACCTCTCGACTCGACCCTCTACCTTCACATACCACCTTACCACCTTACCCCCTTGCTCTCAACACTCGATCCGCCACTCACCGCTCAGCATGGCCTCACCGACAGTGAACGGTCACCCATCAACACCTCCCTCCTCCGACCCCGCGACAACGACAGCGCCGGCACAGGCACCTTCACAACCCACCGCGCTCCCCACTGCGCCACTCAACTCCCTCACCGACGACGGCGACACCAAGCGCCCCCGTGATGCTCGCCTCATCCACCTCGTCCTCTCCTCCCTCGGCATTCACAGCTACCAAGAGCGCGTGCCTCTACAACTGCTTGATTTCGCGTACCGCTACACCAGCTCCGTGCTTTCCGACTCGTTGCGCCTCTCTAGCGAAGGCTACCAAGGCAGTACCGAGCGCAATGCAGGAGGGAGACGAGGCGCCGGCGCGGGAGGGGAAGATGGTGCGATCTCGGTGACGGCACTTAGGCAGGCCATCGCGAGTCGGACGGGCTATCATTTCCACCCAGGCGGCGCGCTGCCCAAGGAGTTTATGTTGGAGCAAGCGCATGAGCGGAACAAAGTGGCGCTGCCGCGGGTGGAGAGGGGCTATGGAGTGCAGTTGCCGTCGGAGAAGTATTGCTTGACGGGCGTCGGGTGGGGGATGAAAGAGGAATGGGATAGTGAAGAGGAGATCGAGATGGATGTTGGAGATAGGTCAAATGGCGTGAGGAGCGCGGAGAGGGAAGACGAGGCTATGGAAGGGGTAGAGGGTGACGCCGAGGGAGAGGATGAGGAAGGCATGGGCAGGATGGAGGATGTGTTCGGTGAAGAAGAAGGCGCTGGTGACACTTCGATGGCGGAGGGATGAATATAAGTTATATCCGACGAAACCAGCGAGATAAAATGCTCCGCGCACCGCAATTGCACGCAGCATGGACCAGAGCAACGACCAGAAGAAGCGCAGACTGAGGACACCAGAGCACTGCGCAGTTCCCGAAAGATTGAGACGTTTCTCGTGGAGCTTGACAATGGCCCGAACTCTGGAACTCCGCCTCGAACACCTACAGGCACGTCTGATCGCACACTGGCCTCAGGAAGGTAAGAGTGCTCAAAACGGACAACTGCCCATGGTTCAGCAACGACAGCAGCCACTTATTCTAGTAGGCGTGACGATAGGAGTGCATGAAGGTGGAAAGATTGACTGAAGGTGCGAAGTTGTTTGGAGCAGAACACTGGCAGTTGGGTATCTTGACAAAATGAATATCGCAGCAAAGACTTCGTGAGACATCTCCCTCGCAGAATCTCATCGCTTCCGCTCTCGCACTTTGAACTTCACCCCGTTCTTGTTCACCCCACCAACAGTGCCATTCATCTTCGCCCTCTGCATCTCGACTTCGTGTAGCGCAGCCGCCATATCACGCTCCCGTTCTTCAAGCGCCTGTAGCTTCTTCCGCCGCGCATCCTGCTTCTTCCGCTTTTTTCGTTCCTGACCCGAAGGCTTTCCAGCGTCTGACGCATCGCCCTCTTCCTCGTCACTCGACACCCACTCTTCCGCGTCGGCGCCTCTTGGATTTAGCGTACCAGCACCCTCGACAGCCTCTCCGTCCTCGCCAAACAGCACCCTCTTCCCGCCACCCACAGGCCTCGCAACCTCGACACCGACCTGCCCGCTTATGACTTCCCTCCCCACTCGCTCCCGCTCCCTCCTTGTCTGCTGCAACACCGTCCTCAAATACCCAACATCCTGCGTCTTCATCAACTTCACCACCTCCTCCCCGAGCACCTTGTTGTTCCCTCGCTGCGCCACCTTCACCCCGCCCTGACTCTGGTTGCTCATCATGCCGAAGTAGAACTCATCATCGTTGCGCTCGGCCGCCTTCTGCTGCAAGGTCTTGATCTTGCGCTTCTTGACCTTGTGGTCGGCGGCGCGAAGCTTGTAGTCCTTGGGTTTCTCGAGAATACCCCATTTTTGGCGTTCGAGGGGCTGGGCACGCTCGCGATGGTTGCGCCGTTGGATGGTGTTGCGAAGGGTGGACATGGTTGTGTTGGTGTGCGAGTGGGGGTTATTGTTGTGGGAGGCGTGGTTGTGAAAGAAGTTCCAGGTTGAAGCAATGCTCTTTGGCGCCAAGGCCGGCAAAAGCGCCGTACGGCGAGGTTCCAAGGTAAGATAGAGTTTAGCCCGCCGCTTCTACACTTATCTTAACCTTAATATATCTATTAAACCAATATATACAATACGTTATATAGTAAGCAATCTATATAGTTATAGAGTCCTTTATAGATCTAGTTATAGCGCTATTTTATAAAGTTTTTTATAAATATAGCTACTAGTTAAAGTAATAGTCCTATATCTAAACTACGTTCTACTCTTCTTTACCCGTTAAGCTAGCGCTTTTCTACTACTATAACCTAATAATCTAACGTTAGATTATTAGCTTTCTATATAGTATAAAGAGTAAGCCCTTAGATATAAGGCTCGGGCTAGACCTATACTACTACGGCGTCCGCTTACTTTCCTTCGGACTTAGGCTAGAAGTTCTCTCTCTCTTTTATCGAACTTATTAAATACTAAACTATACTAAGCCCTTATATATACGTCGCTCTCCTATAATATTAAGTTCGATTATTATAAATAACGAGAGACCTATAGGACTTATACTAGATACTGAGCTAAATACCTTAGAAAATAGGAGTCCTAAGCGGGAATCGATAGAAGCTAAGATATAACGTATTATTAAAGAGATATACGTACGCTAATAGCGGATAGAAGCCGAGCTAGCGAGTACTCGTACCGCCCTTAATAACGCGGAGGCTAAAAGATATCTAAGAGCGTCTAGGGCCGACCTACTAGAGGAAGTACTACTAACGGTCCTTATAAGAATACTAATAGAGACGTTCTTAGTAGCGTCTACGGCGAACTCTATATAAGAAGCGACGGGTCTAAGAGACTAGAAGCCGTTAATATAGGATAGAAGAGTAAAGACCTTTCGAGACTACCTCCTTAGGCTTAGAAGCTCGTATCGCGTACGCGCCGGTACGAAACCAATACTCTCTATAGAATACTACTAGGATACTATCTATAGTACTCTACTATTACGAGAACGAGCTCGGATATACTACTTCTAGGAAAGGGTTAGGGTTAGGGTTAGGGTTAGGG